AGGGGTTTTTTCGGACGCCTCGTGTCCTTAATCTTTTTTATGGGAAAGGGAGCTTTTTTTAACGAGGTGCCCAAGGGTAGACATTCGGTGTTCCTCGTGTCCCGGTCCCGTGGCCATGACGGGACCAAGGAACGACCCAGTTCCAGGAGGTTGCACCCCGTGACGTCACCTCGGTGTCAACCCCATTCACGACCCTCCTGCGACCCAGATTCTCCGGGCATCCCCATGAAATATCATAGTTCATTGAGGCCTCCCACCACCCTTTCGGCCTTCACCCCCTGTATCCCCACTCTTTACCTTCATAAAAGATATCGGTTATCAAAAGCGATACCGATCGATTTCATCCCTGGATCGTAGCTCGATTTTCGGAAGTTGTTACACCCCCTTGGTTGCAAAATCACCCCTTTTATTTATAAAATTGTGTACATCACCCTTTTTGATTTCAAAACATCCTACATCACCCCTCGAATAAAAAAAAATCCAGAAATTCTGGAAAATGTCCGTCTCGATTCTCGAAACAAGCGAAGGGGGATGGAAAATTCATCCCCTAGGATTCCGTCCCTTTTTTTCCCCTAGAGGGACCTAGGGCTCTCTGCGATTTCTGGAATGAGTCTTCTCGGCCTGAGGGAGGAGGGCGCATCCACGACCTATCCTAACCTCCCTTCCCGCAGTTTGGCCCAGTTTCTCTCCGCTGCGGTGTGACGTCACTCTCGTCATTGAGGAGGCCGCCGACAACGTGTCCCACTTCTGGGCCGACCCCTCCCCTGATATGTGGCCCTTACCCCTGATAAGGAAATCCATCACCTGCCATTTCGCTCCTGATAAGGACTCCTCCTTGTCCCACCTCTCTTTCTGTTCCTGATAAGGTGTCACTCTTCCATTACCTAAATTCATGACACCTCTCAATATTTGACAAGAAATTCACTTTTCTCACTGATAAGGAAATTCCTGAAATATTTCTTTTCTTCAATGAAATCTTGTTCTCGGTGTATCAATTACGAATCCATGATAAGCAACCCTTTGTAAACATATGCAGATCTTCGTCGCACTTCTTATCAGCTGCGTCTTATTACTTGGCGCTGATAAGACAGATTAAAAAAATGGAACGACACGTGAATGTCGCTCTGTACGGGTGCAATGCGTTGTAGGGAGGGGGTGTTGCAGGGGTGCAGTGATAAGGCAGGGATCGATGGGAACGAGGGTGGGGGCAGCTGCCCCATTCACCCCTCGAGGTTCGACGAACCCTGGTGACGGCGTCGCGACGTCATGTCGTCATGGCGACTCTACGAGCCCCGACGCAGGCGTCTCCCGGAAACTGGACCTTTGACCCTCAACTAGGCCACCCCTTCCGCCGTCGCGACGCACCCCTTTCGATGACGTCGCTTCGACGAGTAGATCCTCGACATCGACCGCGTCTCGGCGATTCGGTTTTTTCCTCGGTACATCGGTGATAAGAGGTACAGAAAGTCCTGATAAGGGTGGTCGGTCAATTTTTCAAAGAATTAACATGCACGAATTATGGAATAATTAAGATGTACGAATTAAGGAAGAATTACAAAAAAAATTATTTATTATTAATAGAAGTAATCATTTTTTCGATGTGCCTACGAGGACAAGGGATGAGGGAATTTTAATAGAGATATTTAATTAAATATTTAGATGGTACAAATAAAGACATCGCGATTACTCCCATCTGGTCTGAAGGTAAAGGATGAGATAATTCGACTTTATGGATTAGAATTTTTTTTGGGCGGTTTAAAAATTGATTGCGATTTTGAAAAATGCATCCCCACTTTTTTGGGACCCCTTGGTCAATCCTCAATTCCTAATCAAGGGCTCGATTTTCTTGAAGAGGGCGGTCGCGTCAAGAGCCGCGTCCGGAGAACCCTTAACCCTTTCCCGAGCTAAAAACGTCTTTCGAGTGTCCATCGAACTTTCACGTAAGCCGATCTTCGGGTCGCGAGGGACTAAAAAGTTCGGTCTGGTTTCAGGAACGTGACCGACGAGACGCGGAAGAGTACCCTGAAATTGCCAAGCCCTAAGTTCGAAGGCGCTCTTAAATTAATAACCATCAGCTATGGAAGATTAATTTTTTTCATGATATCGCCCCCGAATTGAAAAACGCCTCTCACGTACAACATTAATTTTCCCTGCACTTCTTCAGGGTCCTATGATAGAGATAAAACAATTTGACACGCTCCGTCACATCGATAAGTCCAAGGACCAAGAGAGTAAATGGAAACCGTAATTACGGGGCGCTCTGCGTATTTATTTACCAGCAAATCCTGTGGAGAGGAAACCAAGGCCTTCCCTCGGGATCCCTGAATTTCCCTCTCCATAAAGCGGTACCTGGACAGGTGGTGCCCTGAAGAGGAAAAAAATTCGACCAGGGAACTTTGAAGAAATTGTGGAAGTAAATCGCGTTGGGGGATTTCAGGGACTCTGGCGACGTGTCTCGCAAATAATTCCCAGGACCGGAAGGGTTGCCACGTGCCCTCTTCAGGGTCCTCTTCAGGGTCCTCTCCGAGGTCCCTGGACTTCCACGAGAGCGGATCCAGGAAGTCGCATTCAGGAAGTACGTTCGCCTTGTGATATTCCACTTTTTTAATAATAATTCCCCACTCTCCCTAGGGAACGGGGGTGTTCTTCAGCACGTGTCGCGAGTCGGCACGTGGTGACACGAGGTGAACGAATAACCCTAGAGTCGAAGGTCCCACCCTCGAGGTCCCAAGGGATATCCAGGATTTCCCTGGCTGTAAAGTCTCCAGGCCACCTCGCCGTTTCCATTTCCAGGATGAAAAACCCGAGCCCCTAAAACCGAGGCCTCCCCAACCCTGAAGAGATCCACGTGTCTTCTCGTTCCACCTCCACCCAGAATCCACGATGACGGCTACCTTAAAAATAAAATAAAAAAGGGAAAGATGCCGCGAGGGGCTACATTTCAGAGTCCCCTAAATCTCTTCAGGGTGTACTTGAAGTCGCTAATTATATTCTATCCACGTCACGTTATAAACATTACACAACGACTTTCATTATACGGAATTAAATCGATATTTATTAATCCTGGCTACGCATCAAATAAATTTCAGAGCCTCCTAAATCTCTTAAGGGTGCACTTGAAGTGACTAATTGTTAATTGAATGCGATTTTTAAAGGGATACCAAGGAGTCATTCTATTAATCTAAACGTCAGAATATTTATATAACTTTTCTCCAAATCGAGTGCACCGAATCATTTGAAACAAAAGTGTTTTTTATTTACCCTACACTAGAAACAAAATCACATTTCATATTTTGAAAAATGAATTTTCACGAGCATCGCGTTTTTCCTTATGGGCTCCATAATCACGTGTTAATAATCAAGTTTTTTTTTTAACGTGACTACACGATACATCATTTAATTCGCACCGATTAATCGTCGAGATTTTTTATCCGCGCAGTTTAATCGAGTTCTTCTGCTAATCAACCAAGTATGGATTATTTGGTACAGACTTATCGCAGCGATGTATCGTTATCTGTGTACTCTATAGGGTGAAATGTGATGCCAATCGATCGCCTTAGGTAATCGAAACCGATCGACGAGCGATGGCTCCTCGGATACCAGAGACGTCTTCTCGAAGCGATCTGGGGTTGGATTTCAATTTCTTGAATTTATGGGGTTTATGGGGTTATTCAATTTATGGAAAATATGGGATTTATTTCACGTGGCGAATTTATGAAGTCTGGAGGTGATCGGGGATCGGTTTTCTAATCGGCCCACGCAGGACTCCCCGAATTAGGAGCTAATTGAGACCCGAGACTCCCACCCCTGGTTACGTGTGACTCTTCAGGGTGACGTTTGTCATTTCTTGGAATTTTCTGCCCGATAGGCTTCTTCAAGACTTGTGCTCGTCGTGCAACACCTTTCACGTGAGGGAAGCATTTATATTCCCATTTCTTGTGGGTTTTCCTCGAGTGAACGAGCCTGATTTCAGGGGACTCTTCAAGGTTCTTCGGAACTTGCCATGCGAGGATATGGAAGTCACTGGATGAAGCGAAACTGGTGTATTCAATTTTTTCCCAATTTTTTAACAGATGGAGTGGAGTTGATGCGAGGATATGGAAATCACTGGATGAAGCGAAACTGGTGTATTCAATTTTTTCCCATTTTTTTAACAGATGGAGTGAAGTTGATGCGAGGGTATAGAAGCAACTGGATGAAGTGAAACTGGTGTATTCAATTTTTTCCCCATTTTTTAACAGATGGAGTGGAGTTGATGCGAGGGTATAGAAGCAACTGGATGAAGTGAAACTGGTGTATTCAATTTTTTCCCCATTTTTTAACAGATGGAGTGAAGTTGATGCGAGGGTATAGAAGCAACTGGATGAAGTGAAACTGGTGTATTCAATTTTTTCCCCATTTTTTAACAGATGGAGTGGAGTTGATGCGAGGGTATAGAAGCAACTGGATGAAGTGAAACTGGTGTATTCAATTTTTTCCCCATTTTTTAACAGATGGAGTGGAGTTGATGCGAGGATACAGAAGTCACTGGATGAAGCGAAACTGGTGTATTCAATTTTTTTCCTTTTTTTTACAGATGGAGTGGAGTTGATGCGAGGATATGGATATGACTGAATGAAGCGAAACTGATGTATTTAATTTTTTTTCTCCATTTTTTTAACACATGGAGTGGAGTTGATGGCACCCAGGGAGATCCTCTCGGTCTTTAGGTTTCTCTTCGTGGTCTGGCCTGGTTGACGTCTTTCAGGAAGTGGATCGGCCAGCTAATTTTAGGGCATTCACCAATCACTCTCGTTCTCCCCACAATCCGCTTCCATTTCTGGCCTCGACGTAGGTAAGTTTCATAAGGTCCAGCCGCGAGTTTTCAACAACGTGTAGCGACATTTATAAACGAAATTGCAGAATTATAGCAGAAAAAAAAGGGATAAGTACCCAGTACAAAATTGAGGTTCATCGCAGAAAAAAATAACAAGTGCGACAAAAAAGTGGGGCCAGAAATGTTAACATCATCCGAAAATCGTTTTATTCCAATCTCCACTCTTCGAGCGTCTAACAACGAATGAACCGGAATTTTTTTTCTTAAATAATTCGTATCACAGGTCGTTATCACTAATTAAACGTTCTGCCGGAATTTTGTGGCTTGAGACGGGAACATGTAGCACTGCATAAAGCTGGACTTCTTCAGGGCGGTGTACGTGGCAGGATAATTATAAATGAGGCTGGCCAGCTCCTCTTCAAGGTCTGCAAACCTGTGGGCATTCTTCCTGGCTGAAAGTCGAACGTATCGATCACCTTTTACAGGCCTTAAAGATCGAGAGCAGTCGGGGCCTGATTTTTACGGCTCTTACTTTCGCCCACGAAGAAGTCTGCGAAGTATTGGCTAACCCTGGTCGAGTGAGCACCATGGGGAATGTTCTTGCCGAGGGCCCACTCGTAGATGTTCTTTTCAGGGTGGAACTGGACCCCATAGAAGGGCAGAGTTCTGTGTTCCAAGGCGGAGATGAACAGCAACCCGTTCCAGTCTTTGTTCACCGACATCACTTGGAACTCGCCGGTGAGGTTCACCTTGGCCAGGTCCTGAAATATATCGTAAACCCATTAACATCATCGCCAATATTCAATTCCGCAGCTGAATTAAGCCATGCATTTTTTAGAACGTCATTTCATATTTAAAAAAAATTTTTAAAAACGGCTCTAAATAATTTCATGCACTCTTCCTCGGTCAAGTCTTATTTCTAGAGGATCTAATCTTCATATCAGCCTTTCAGATGTGGCCGAAATTTCGACTTGCACTTTTTAAATGAGAAAAATCATGACTAAGAGATCAAGACTGATTTTCCTCGTCACTGGAATAATTTTTTTTCTTTTTCTTTTTAACTGCAAGTGCTTTGTACATTCTCTGTCACGCAATATCTGTGGTAGTTCCCGGTGACGTTTTTAGCCTCCAGGATCTCGAGGACGTCCTTTGGCGCATCTCGGAACATCCTGCTACTCTGGAAGCCTGCAAGCATAGAAAAGACCTGGTCAACCCGTTCTGCTCTAACGAGTCCTTGAGGAAACGAAGTCAATACCGAATTTGAACTCGAGGGGCAATGCCTGCCTCTGGCTCGAACAATCCGATCTGTGCTCCTCGCGATTCGCCGCGAGGTAGGTCAAGAGTTCAAAGCCCAAGCAGGTGCCCCAAATCGGGAAGTAGTCGCCCATCTCGTTCATCCTCTTGGCGATCCTGAAATTAGAAATTCCCTCGTTATTTCCGAAGCCCCATTTTGATATTTAATCGACTAGAACCTGAAATCAGGCCTGAAAATATATTCTAAATCCTCGCAACCTCTAAAATCGCTCTTAAAACATTTTTCATATTAAATATCGTTCATCCTCTTCGTGGTCCTGAAATTAGGAATTCCCATTTTAATATTTAATAGACTGGATTTTTAAATCAGGCCTGAAAATATTTCCTAAATCCTCGCTACCTCTAAAATCGCTCTTAAAATATTTGTCATATAAAATATCGTTCATCCTCTTGGAGATCCCGAAATTCGGAATTCCTATTTTAATATTTAATAGACTGGATTTTAACTAAATCCTCGTTACTTTTGAGATCATCCCTCTATCCATAGATCTATAGAGAAAGTCTGTCAAAATATTTGTAGACGGAACCTTCCTCGCGAAAAGCCGACCCAATTAGATAAGCCCGCCTCGATATCAGGTATTTTCGACCTGGACTCCTTTCGCGATACATGATTGCTTATCAGGGTACTTTTATCACTGATTACTGTTTTTATCCGGAATTAGGCGACATTCTGCCGTACTTGAAGATAGTCTCCCCCGCGTCGGCGTATCCTCTGCTCTGGTTGAAGAAAGTGGATCCACCCGGCCAGAGAACCCTAAAAAAGGAGCAAAAAAAATGTTATAAAAATTCCCTAGGCCCAAAAAAAAATTCCAAAGGCCCAGAAATCCTTACCCGTTCACCTTGCCGAGAATATCCTCGTAATAAGCCTCGTCCTTGCCGATCCTTTATCATAAATAATCGAAAAAAAATTGTAATTCCTATTAAACTCGAATAATCATTAATAATTAATTGTTCATACCAGATAGGAGCAACTCTAGCTCCAGCTCCTTCCAGGAATTTCACGTAGGAAGCCGCGATGTAGCTTTCAAACTGCCCAGGATATTTCTGGTTAAGGCTGTAGCTGATCTCCTGCGCCAGGACCCCTGGAAAAAAAAATGTATTAAAATTCATTTATGAGGGAAAAATAATATAAAAATATTTATAGGACTCACCGATGATCGGCCTCTCGTTCAGAGTCTTCGGATGAGCTGCAAGCAAACGGTCGCACTGAATCGCGAGGAGGAAGAACAGCGTGCCTACCCTGAAGAGGTCGTTGAAGAGGGTCCTCGACATCGTGATTAATCGTGTTTCGGCTTAAAAATTCAGGAGACGTTCACCCCGGCGAGAAAGACCTGCAAGAGGTGCAAGAGACACTGCAAGTCTGAGAGAATCGATTAATTCGAGCCGATCAATATTCAAGACGGACGTCTGAGACAAGCCTTATCAACTGTGACTGTGATGTGATATCCCAGGAAGAACTACATAATAAGCTGACCGAGTATCACTTTAGTCAGCATACATATCCATCTCTTATCGTTGCGCCTTGTGTAACATCGCAGTGTGTATTTTGAGGGACCTGTATAATAATTTCGGAATTATTTACAGCTCTTAGATCTTATTAACGATTTACCTTCATACAGGGTTCTGAACGGGGATTATATTTATATTACATCTGTTTGTGTGCATTTTATGCCTTTTGCATTGGGAATTAAGCGAGTTATTATATGCATTGTATATTTGTAATCAGAGGAGTATAGTGCGTCCTTCTCAGATTCATGGTTGGAAGGGGGGAGAGAGAGAGACCGCATGGTCTCTCGGGGGGTTCGGATAGTAAAGCGATGAGGCAGGCATGGCACTTCTTTATCGGTCGAGTTAGTTGCTTTTCTCAGTAGTTCATATATCTGTGGCAATGTAGAGGGCTGGTTGTATTTTTTACGGATGGATATCTCTATCGCTGATAAACTGCGCTAAGTACAGATATTCTACTTAGAGTGTAATGACGCTGATAATTGCTTTACTTGGTAGTAAAATCGGGAATAAAACAGGGTTAGATCGTATTTTTAACGCAGTGGTGGCGCCATCTTTGAAGGCGTGTCGGAATTAGTTTAGATTTGCTTGGAAGACCTGACCGGCAAAACGGCGTGAAATAGCGTGAAATGTAACGAAGGGAAGAAGTAATACGTTTTGTAAACGAAAAACCGTGGAATCGTTGTTGGTGCTTGCCGGATCAATTAGAAAACTGAGAAGAGAACAGACTGCGGTCTTTAGTCGCCGTAGAGGTTATCGACGAACAGTTGTGGTAGACAAAATGGCAAGTAAACTTGATTGTGAATTTGTGAGGTTAGAAATAACACGTGTTGCGGTTTTCATGCTATTTATCACGGTCATGCACGTTTGCAAGTTACAGAGGTGCTTTATGTTTGTTTCTGCCTGTTTTCTATGATACTGTAGCTTTACTTTATCTTAAGAAGTGCGTTACCTGTATTTACAGTCTGGCTTGTCGTAACTGTTTATATCTGTGTTTAGACTGACGAGGTGAATCCCAAAGCCTATCCATTGGCTGACGCAGCACTGACGGCAAAGATCCTAAATCTGGTACAGCAAGCGATGAACTACAAGCAACTGCGCAGAGGAGCCAATGAAGCAACCAAAGCTTTGTCACGAGGTGTTTCGGAATTCATTGTACTTGCATGCGATGCGATACCAATGGAGATTGTACTTCACATTCCATTGTTATGCGAAGATAAAAATGTACCATATGTATTCGTGCGAAGTAAACAGGCCCTAGGACGTGCCTGCGGTGTTGGCAGGGCAGTAATTGCTTGTGCGATAACCGTCAATGAGGGGTCTCAACTTAAACCACAAATTCAAGCTATTCAACAAGAGATCGAGCGTCTCTTAGTGTAAATCTTAAATTTGACAATGTATTACACAAAACTTCTCACGAGCACTGAAATTATACATCGTTCGACTGTTTTCATCTTTTTGTTTATAATGTACAGAACATTCGAGGTGTGTAAAATATTAGATCATAAGTGTATAACTGAATTCCCTTTTGTAGGTTATAGTTTTATATTGTACAATGAATTGCTGCGCTTCCTAGCACACTTCCCCTTGAGAAAGACTTTGTACGGCAATGAATTAACTGTAACGATAAAGTACTCTGTGCCACTCTTGTATTTCTTGATGCAGTTAAACAGGCAAATAAAAAGGATCACTCTTTTCACTTACACTTGGTACAAAAAATTATCAACTTACAGATTAACAAATTAAGCCGTATAAAGTAAACTATTCTATGTATTTTAATGCATTCTGTATGGTTCCGAAAGGGAAGTAATGTATTTATAAAAATGCAGGATGCAAAACAAACGTGCTGATGAATACCACATCAGGATTCGCAGGGAAAACAAGGCAGAACTTTTAGCGACCAATTACCATGCCATCGAAGTTGTAGAAACTGCTCCAACTCCTGTTTGAATTTTTCTACCAATTTCTGTTGCTCTGGATTGTTTGGGAAATTAATGAACCATGTTTTCAATTGTTTGGTCAGTTCTTTACCATTTGCGAAAACAAAACCGTTCTCATTGTGTTTGACAAGTTCTCCCAAGCTGTATGCAAGACAATATTAATTAAAGCGAGTAATCAAAAAATGTAGCATTGGATTGAAACAAAGCTCACGTACCATTTAAAATCAAAAGCACAAACTGGAAGATTGCAACCAAACATGTCGACTACTTTCATTGGTAGATCCAAGCCGCTTGACGATGTATGAAGACAGATTCCTAAGTCAGCAGAAGCTGGAAAGTAATCGATTCAGTTTCATTCAGGCAGAAGGATTCACTCTTCCAATGTAAAGAGTGCTGCGTAGTGAGAGTAATACCTAATAATTTTGGGTAATCTTCGTTTTCAAGCCAAGGGGTTACAATTTTGACGTGCTTCCACTTTTTCAATTCTATTATAGCAATGTAGAATTCCTTTAAAGGACCTTTGCCTGTTATTACGCATAGTAGATCAGGTAGATTCATTTCGCCCATCTCACAAACACCTTCATACTCTAAAATATAAAATATTTTTATTTTGTTGGAATTATTCTATTATTCCGTTAAAGGTGAGAATATTATATACCGGCAAGAGCGTTTAGCAGTATAGAAAAATCTTCGTCCTCTGTCCAGCTGGTACTCGACACGATGAAGCCAGGCCTTCTTGCCCGTAAACTAATCTTACCATCCGGAGAACATTCTGTTAATATCGTTGACTCTTCACTGTCCCCTTTAAAGGCATTGTACGTTTTGCTTAGTCGAAGCAATAAATTATGTTTCTCCTCGATAGTTATAGGATGAAATTCATCCGGTGGTCGATCATACAATACTTCCGCTCTGGAATATTAATGTATTAACCAACTTTTAATAAGTCAAAGAATGTTTACTTATTTATAAGCCACTAACTGTATGTTCCATCTTTTTCTCAAGTCGTCCTTCATTGCCTTCGTAACACAGAAGTTATTATGCGACAGTTTCCCAAAAATAGATTCTATCAGCTCAGTTAATAATACAAAAAGATGGTCTTTCCCTAGATTTATAGCCATTAACGTATGTGCATAATTATGCCAGTCTATCGTAAAGTGGGTTCTAGTCACGAAACAGTAGAACCAGCACACCGGGATCGTCGGTACTGCCGGAGGATTTTGTAAGATCAAGTGGGTCGACGGTCGCCTTAGAAATAATGCTAGAAATAAGGTACCGGTTTGCCATAGCACCTTCACGGCTAGTGAAATAACACGAGGTACGCCTGTGAACCGAATACAAACAAATGCATCAACAAAACCTGTTACGATTAATATCTATAATATTTCTAGCGATCGCTTTACCATTTTGCAAATTTGGGGAAGGCTGTAAATAGGAAATCTTCACCGTAGAGCTTTGATTTAATTCCTTCAATGGCATCGACCCAGGATATCCTACGATATCAACGGTAAACCCTTCCTTGAGAAACGACACCGCATGATATTGCATTCTTGGGCTTCTGCCAATATCACCGAGCACCACGGCGCAGACATTCTTTCTCCTTCTGCCAAGGCTCAGCCAAAGGAACCAAGTTGTCAGTAACGTTAAAATAGTCACCGTACAGTAATAGACAATGCAACTCATTATGCTCCTTCTAAAGAGCACGTGTTAAGCTCGGTAATCATGCAGTGACTGCAGCTGTATAAAAATCGACCGTTAATTCTCGACGGCGCTCGCAGAATTAACAAATGTCTTCATCGACAGTTCCCAATTCTCGTATCACGGTAAATAATGACATTTAACAATGACCAGCTGTTCACAGCCGGTGATTAGCAGACGACTCTCTCCTGTCAGTGCCATTCCCCTGGAGCGGAACCAACGGAATGAACGCGCTGGGTGTTTTTACGTTTAATCAACCCAGATTACAGATTCCTCAACCAGTCGAGTACCGAGCAAAGAATGTTTATTTATAATTTCAAGAATATTTATTATTAAACTTGTAATCATAGATGAGTTGGGAGATTGCTCATGGGGAAGGTTGCGCGATCGAGTTCTGTGCTGCCCTCGGTGGAGCATGCAGGCGGCTAATGGACTTGCCCCTAACGGCAGCCCAACTCAGGGATCCAACTCATATCTCCTCCCAACTTATCTCTCAGCGCTCGATTGTGGAACTTCACCGTATCGCGACGCTTAGGAGAAATAAATTCAGATTTCGTCCCCAGTGATTATTTCAAGGAATTTCCCGAGAGTAGCAGAGGGAATCCTTGCCTTGGATTTACATCGAGCTCCCAGGAGATGGCCGGATACTCTTCGAGATCTCTAGCTGAAGAAACGAGAGAAGAAGCTGATGACAAGACTGGACAATTTCGTAATACTCTTTTAAATAAGCTCGAAAACTTATGTACTTGCGCTACTTGTACAATAAACTGTAAAATAATGAGTGTAATAAATAAAGTAATGAGTGTAATAAAGCAAGTTATTAAATAATAACAATGAGTATGTTTAATTAGACGAGCCTGTCTAGCGAACCCTCTAATCACCTATTCCTAATCCTTTCTTCCGTAAAACTTCGGTGCCACCTCCTCGGTTATCCTATGATCCTGTTAGAAATCGGAAATTTCAACCCTTAAAATATTGCCCGGGAGAAACTCCGTGCCACCTCCTCGGTTGTCCTATGATCCTGTTAGAAATCGGAAATTTCAACCCCTAAAAGTTTTGCCCGGGAGACACTCCGTGCCACCTCCTCGGTTGTCCTATGACCCTGTTAGAAATCGCCAGAGGTGGAACAGGATCATAGGACAACCGAGGAGGTGGCACGGAGTTTCTCCCGGGCAAAATTTTAAAGGTTGAAATTTCTAATTTCTATCAGGATCATAGGATAACCGAGGAGGTGGCACCGAAGTTTCCCGAGCAAAAATTGTAAGAGCAGAAATTTGGACATATAACAGGAACATAGGACAACCGAGGAGGTGGCACGGAGTTTCTCCCGGGAAAAAATTTCAAGATTTGAAATTTCCGATTTCTAACAGGAACATAGGATAACCGAGAAGGTGGCACCGAAGTTTCCCGAGCAAAAATTCTAAGGGCAGAAATTTTCAACTTCTAACAGGATCATAGGACAACTGAGGAGGTGGCACATAGGTGATTTTCAAGGATCAGGAATAGGGGATTAGAGGGTTCGCTAGACAGGCTCGTCCAATGAAACATACTCATTGTTATTATTCAATAACTTGCTTTATTTCACTCATCATTTTACAGTTTATTGTACAAGTAGCGCAAGTACATAAGTTTTCGAGGTCGTTTAAAAGAATATTAACAAATTGTCCAGTCTTGTCATCAGCTTCTTCTCTCGTTTCTTCAGCTTGAGATCTCGAAGAGTATCCGGCCATCTCCTGGGAGCTCGATGTAAAATCCAAGACAAGGATTCCCCCTGCTATTCTCTGGAAATTCCTTGAAATAATCACTGGGGACGAAATTTGAATTTATTTCTCCTAAGCGTCGCGATACGGTAAAGTTCCACAGTCGAGCGCTGAGAGATAAGTTGGGGGCAGAGATGAGTTGGATCCCTGAGTTGGGCTGCCGTAGGAGTAAGTCCGTTAGCCGCTTACATGCTCCACCGAGGACAGCGCAGAACTCTATCGCGTGACCCTGCCCATGAGCTCATCTCTGCAAAATGATCTCTGTACGCTTTAAGAAGAAATTTCGAAGTTAATGTTGTAAAACAAATCCTGGCATGTAATCTCTCACAGTTGAAATATATCTTTATTTCTGTATACTTATTGTTTTCAGCCTTATATAAAAGGTTACAACCGCGCGCTTCGGGCCAGTTAAGGATCTTGTGGTTCTGGGATAGGGTGCAGTCGAGTCGCTTAGCAATATGAGACTTTGTGGGCTAAGTGTACAACGATTCCGTTACTTAACTCTAATTACGTGTAGTCGTTAACCCTAGTGTTTCTTTACAGACTCTCGTAGACCTCCCGACTCGATATGCATCCTACTCGACGATTTTTCATTTCTATGGTCTGCATCGGCCTTACGGTTATAGAGACCTGACGGAGCAATCGTCGATTAAATTGCTCCGATCCGCTCCTAAAGCTTTGTAAGTTCATCCTTGCCTCGTCATCGAGCGAAGAGGTTATCATAGGATTAACTGTAGGTCATCGAACGACTCGAGCCATAACAGTATATTTAATTCTCCTACTTTCTGAAAGACTCGATTAATCTACCCAAGTACTTGAGGCATTTGAGTCGTCACCTTTCTAAACCGAGAATTAGAACGATCCCTTGAGCCGGTCTCCTTTTCTACGTTAATGTTTCTCAATGAACACAATATGGAAACCCGTGTCAGCTGGCTTCGAAGATTAAAAGGGAGCAAAGGAAGCATTACAACCTTTAAATTAAGCGAGTTTTGGCATTTGTACACTGCCAATTTGCCCGGCGGCCACAAGAGGAACAAAGAAGTACATTCAACGATCTAGTAAATGATCCTCGGGGGGCAGCATTGCTTGGCAAGAATTCTCATGCTTTGAGTAATGATGTAAAAACACAAGAAGGCTCGACATTGGCAACGGATGGTTAAAAGTATTAAAATTCATTCATGTCCCTTAGACTTGACTTCGACGTCAGTCGTTACAATTCGTCGATACGAGTTAGGCTCTCTCTCAAATTTCTAAACATCGGTTATGGATTTGTTGAACTCCTTAAATAACACACTTCACTGCCCATAACCTCTTCCGCAGTCAACGAGCCAGAAAAGCGAGTATCCGAGGAAATGTTCATCCCAATACACTGCCTTCCTAGAGGAACTGAGTAAACCCGCGATCCAGTGTCACCAGAACACCCGAGAGCATTCACTGATACTGCTTCGTCTGCCGAAAGAACTCCTGCAGGCCACCGGAGCAAATCGCAGAGACAGAAACCGACACTTTCCCTGCACTGCACTCGTTACGACACGAACATTGCTACTCCATAACCTCACCTAACTCTACCGCCATCCGTCCCCTCAAGATAAATAAATTAATTACACACACGTACGTTCGCGCACGTTCAAATCTTGCTATTCCTGCCGTACTCCAGGATCTGCTTGTGATAGAAAAGAAGGTACCTGAAAAATATCAATCAATAACAAATCACAATGATTTAAACATCCTTACAAAATATCGATTGTCACTTTGACATTTGGAGGTTAAGGCTAGTACTCGTACCACACTTTAAGCATTAAAACATGTCTTTTACCATTTAAAGCTCATAGATAAAAGATTTCTTTTATTATTAAAATTAAGGTTAAAAACGAGTATTAACTTATAAACCAAAGCCAAGGCTTCCAAAAGGCTTACCCTTCGCTAGTTAGGACATCCTTGAGTCTCGCCCTGGTGATCAGGTGATCGTCACACTTAAACCATTGATCTCGTTGCTGTCTGATGAACGCCGTATAATGGCCAGTCTCCAACGAGCCCTCATGGTTTATAACGGCGAAGAGGGAGTACCTGTTATCGCTAAAGGCAGCCTCTTCGCCATTCTTTGGGAGGCTCTCCAGGGCAGCGCTGTTATTGTTGCCATTGCGCCGATGCGACATGAAAGGTGTCATGTCGAGCTGCTCCGGAAAGGAGATGAATGTAGAGATCTTCTTGTCCTGGACGCTGGAGTGCTCGAAGCGTTTCAAATGAAAGCTGGCCACTATTGGCAGCTGCTTCATGGTAAACTGCTTTGTACTTTCCCGATAGGTCTGACAATTGCTGCACTTGATCTTCGCTCCAGAGCCCAAGTGTTCGGCACGGGTGAACCTTTCCAAGCAATCCAGCAGCGAAGTGGGTGGACCATTGGTGTCGGAGCCAGAGGCACCAGCAGCTGGGCCCAGATCCAGCGATATATCCCAGAAAGGGTCTATGGTTGTCGACACTCCACTAGAGAAGGATAATAAATCATGATTAATCTTAATGTTTATTTATGTAAAAATTGGATCTAGTTCTGCCCATCTGCAGAAACTTAATAGAGTTTCGAGCCAAATACATTTGAATTGACACTCACTTGCAGGACTGACAGACCACGTCGCTTTGCAATCCTCCAGTGAAGATCTGGTCGATTATGCAGTTGCAATGGTGCGGATTGTCCTTGACAAGTATCGGGGCTGCTTCGCAGTGCCTATGTAGGACGTCCAGGGTGGCGATGAAGAACTCGTGGGCATCTTGCTGCTCGTAGCCTGCTAGGTGCCTTGCATGGGTCCAGATCAGGTGCAGCAGTTTGTGCAAAGTTAGGGGCGCCTTGCTACCGGAGTAGAATTCCTGGAATAGGTGGGAGACTTCGCAGACCAGACATCGGCTGGGCTGTGGGCAGTGATGGCGGTCAGCCAGGAAGTAGTCCCGCAGCAGAGGGGTGTGGATCAGGGCTTGCACGATGCAGTTCATGAAGCAGGTGCTCCCGAGGTTTATCAGTCCCCTCAAGCCTATGAGATAATTCTTGTTAAGAGACCATCGATGGAACATTTCATGGAAACACTCAAGAACACGTAATTAGAACAACGAAAAACTGGTTTGTGAAATTAGGTCCTTAGCTATTGCAGGTTCTACTGTGATTCTAACCTATAGTAGAATTTTCTACGACTCGTCTTCGCCTTGGATGCTTTCTCAACAGCTCTGCCTCGATCTGCGTCGGCTCCCAGGCACGATAGAACTCTCCCAGACTGAGACACTTCGCCGACTCGCTCCACTGCGTCTTTGCAACAGCAAGTAACTCCCTGTCGTAGACATAATCTCCACATTGGAAACACAGAATGTTTCCGTAGCAGAGGTCCACGGCTGCAACATTCACGAATGCACTTTCTCATGTCACGTTTTGAGTTCGAATTCATGCTGAGTATGTTTCTCAAGTTACCTAGAAAGTGTTTCTTCATCTTTGCGTGCTCCTGTATGTGGCCATTGCCGTAACACCCAAAGAATATGCAGTGCAGGCATGAGTGAAGCCGATCCTTGTAGGTTTTACAGGTATGACACAAGCAGCTTACTGCCTGCAAAAATAACACGAATGCTTACTCCGCTGCTCGCTACTCTACCAGACTCCGAGCCAATCCCTTGACACTGATAATCCGCTGCATCTAAAATTGTAAGGACTTGTGTGAACGCTAAAGCAGACCTTCCATTACTATTAAAAAGACGGGAGAGTAAAAGAGTATACAGCTGTCGTTTGCATAAAGTTAAATTTATTTAATTCCAAAGGAGCACTCCGAGAACCGAAGTGACTCGAAGGAGTAATTCTACACCGAGACAAGATTATAAGGCTTATTGTAAGTGATACAAGACATTCCGAAGACAATAAGGTCGTTACCGATTAACATGAACTACCACTCCGAGACTCTTTCGATATTGCCTGAGATTTTCAAAAAAGCGATTAAATCGTGCGCGTGTGCAGGCCGAATTGGAAACGAATTAAAAAAGGAAGTATACAGGGCACAAGCCTGGCAGAATGTTTTTTTAAAATTAAGAGATCAGTAACACTCCAAAAGAACGGGGCCTGGTTAGCAGAAATCCGTTCATGACGAACGATCGTAGTGCCGCCCCGAGATCCGAAGTCCCGTTAAATGCACTAAATCTCACGATCACATAACCTCAATTCCTCCCCCGTGAATCCTTCACTGGTACCTTTCGCCCTAACCTCAATCCCAGGAGCTAGAGTTGGGTAGGTATAATACATCATGTAATATACTTGTTTTTTTTTACGTATAGATTACAATGTATAATACGTCATGGAATATACACGACTTTCTACGTGTATATTACAATGTATAATACATTTCTAATTTACTACACAAGCGTAAAATACATTACACCCTTCTATTTCTAAACAGAAAATAACAAATCCGATTAGATATTTGATATCAGTGCTAAGTCGAAGAAATTTTGAACGCAAGCGCCAAATTAATTATCCCTTAAAAGTGGTTACATGTTTACACATGCGCTAAAAGATGTTTATAACCTAGCGGATGCCGTGAATCGTTCAACTACGGAATCCTTCATATTATTAACGTAATTTACTAATTTTCTACGATAAACTATTTGATTAACGTGATATAAATAATAAACCTCAAAAAACGGGAAATTCCCCAACCTTGCAGGATCTCCAGAAACCTAGAAACTCAATCCTCAACCTTAACACTCCTCAGTCCTAGGTTATGTCTGCCCGCGTCTACTTGGCACATCTACCTCTACAAACTCGAATACTCCATGCCAAACGCGCCCAGCCATCCCCAGCCCCAACAGGGCTGACGCCTCGGTCCGAAAATCATCACCCGGTTCCACACTCTAAGAAAAATTCATTTCTTCTTAACAAACCCCGAACCCTCACCGGTAATAATTCCGTGAGTATCTACCGACATCAAAGAACATTAAAAAAAATACTGAGACTTGAAGTAAAGTTCAATAATCCTAGGAAAAAAATCTAAAAGCGAACGTGGAACCGGAAAGTCAGGAACATGGCGGCCGGGGGGTAGGCGATATAAACTTAAGGTCAAGTATAGAGGTGTGTGTTTGTGTGTGTGTGAGGAGTCCGCACCTTCCTGACGCGTGCCTCGGTGGAGGTGCTGGTCACGAAATACGAGTGAATAACTTTGTAAGGCTGGATCCCCTTGGCCGCCTTGAAATTATTCAAGTGTATACATCCATGGTCGCTCATCTCAGTCCGCGGGGCGAGCCGGGGCAGCGGGGGGCGCGCGAGAGGGCGGAGCTCCGGCCTTGGAAGTCGGCGTCGCGGCCCCCGTGGTCGTTGACATGAGTCAGGCGGCCGCGTCCGGCAGGAAGAGGGCGCTCCTTAGGGCACGCCGTTAGATGAGCACCCGCGGACCGTCCAGGAGGCCGAGGAGGGACCCTACACCTCCGCCGGGTGAGGTTAGGTACACCGCTCGCGCGGCGGCGGGGCGCGCTGGCCTCGCGACGGCCCGCGCAGGTTTCGAGGTTAGTCCAGGACGGACCGGTCCTGTCCGTTCCCTCGCGAGTTCCTATCTCTCGCGCTCCGAGGCCCTGGCCGCGCACAGACACCAGCCGGTCACTGCGGCCCGGCACGAGCGCGGCCCCCGCCCTTCCCCCCGTCGCGAGGCCTCCCGGGAGAAAGCGTGTACAAGTATCTATGTAGAGGTGCGCGCACCTGGTGGGAACCAGCGAAGAGACGCGATGGGTCGGACAGTCGCGGACAGTGTGGCGGAAGAAGGGAGGTTCTAGGAGCCCGCCTCATTCGGCGCCCCTCCAGAGACCTCCGGAGACCGGGCTCCGGGGTAACGGGAACCGTTTCCCTTGGAGCGCGCCAATGGCGGCAGGTTTCTTCTGGAGCGGTGGAAAGGAATGACGCGACGGAATTATTTTACGTTCCAGGAGACTTCTGCGTGTCGTTGTTTAGTATATAAGGAGATAGATCGTATTATATAGGGTTTTTCGGCGGAGAGTTACAGGGCGAGCTGATTTTGAGGTTTGAAAGTCGTTACCGATCGAGTGGTCGCGTCTCTTGGATCGTTTTTAATGCTCGCTTCTAATTGGTTGGTCGATTCTTGCTACCCCTACGCCTCGTCTGCCGAATCACGGGTCACGTGACTTAGTCACCTCGCTCTCGACCAATCAGGAGCCGCGTAGCCGACAAGAGGAACTTCCTTTCCTGCTGAAGAAATCTCCGAGTGGCATCGTTCCGCGTAAGCTCGTATTCCTAATTATTTTTACCGTCCCCGGATTCTCAGCGTGCCGAGAACTGTTATTAATGCCGGCGCCCGAAATTGCCGAATTATAGGGGAGAGGCTAATCGCATGGATCGCGGCCGCTCGCGAGGATTTCATGCGAAGAGTGCAAGCAGAGCACGTGGCATTTGCGACTTCTTTCATGGCGTTCTTTAATTCGCTGCTTTTCCTTTTCATTTGACTCGCAGTGGAATTTCTGTGATTGAATTTACTTACGATGTTTAGTACTGATGTTCGAGGTTATGCTCACGGAGCGGTCACTGTTCTGTTTAGGTTAACTCTACGATAGCTTCAAGATGTCCGGAGGGCTGGATGCATTGGCCCTCAAAGAGGACGATGTTACAAAGATGTTGGCCGCGTGCACCCATCTAGGCAGTGAGAATGTCAATTTCCAGATGGAACAATATGTGTACAAGCGCCGCGTCGAGGGTAAGCACTTGCTCACCCTTCCTATGATCGTTGCTTCGGTTATGTGAAGAGATTTGCTGATGGCTTTTCTCGACACTTAGGAGCGGCTGTAAATATCATCAACTTGCGTCGGACTTGGGAAAAGCTGCTGCTCGCTGCGCGTGCCATCGTGGCAATCGAACACCCCAGCGAGGTGTTCGTCATCAGCGGTAGACCTTACAGTCAAAGGGCTGTATTAAAGTTCGCGACACACACAGGAGCTACGCCTATCGCCGGTCGGTTCACGCCTGGTGCATTCACCAATCAGATTCAGGTAATGTCCTGTAAACGATGATAAAACTTAATTGAAAATATATGCACCAACACTCAATGATGAGACAACTACGTCTGGAAGAAAACATGTCAGTTTCGTAATGGCTTAATCTTTTCTGATATTAAGAGTTCATGTAATTTCTATAATTAGGGTCATTTTTCTTAAGACTGTATGTAGATTGGTACTTTCAGGCTGCCTTCCGTGAACCTCGCCTGCTTGTCGTGACTGACCCAGTAACCGATCATCAACCGATCACCGAAGCCAGTTATGTTAATATACCTGTTATTGCATTCTGCAATACCGACTCTCCGCTTCGGTTTGTTGATATTGCTATTCCATGCAATATCAAAAGTCCCCACAGCGTTGGTCTCATGTGGTGGCTCTTGGCACGCGAAGTACTGCGTCTTCGAGGTGTCATACAAAGGGAAACCAAGTGGGATGTTGTCGTAGACCTCTTCTTCTACAGAGATCCTGAAGAGGTCAGTTAGAAACTTCTCTGTCTTAACCTCTTAGAGGTTAAAATGAAGGTAAAAATACAATTGATTTTACTAATCGATATTGATTTTGTTATACATATTAAATAGGCTGAAAAGGAAGAGCAGACGGCCAAGGAGATCGCGCCTCCGCCAAAGGAGTTTACACCGGCAGAGCCTACACCAGCTGCTGAACCCAACTGGGCAAATGAAGTACCAGCTGCTGCACCAGCTGAAAATTGGGCCGATGAAATTGCAACTCCAGCTGCACCTGTGGTTCCTCCGCCTGCAGCAGCAGTGCCGCCTGCTACCTTCGCAACCAATGGAGATTGGTCGGCTCATGTAAGTCTTGGGCACTTCGTCTTGATTTTATAACGATATAAACAGTATTCCCTTTACATATGTAAATCATTGACAGATTCGTTTTATTAAAAAGTAATTTTTAATTATCATTTACTCAGGTACAAGAGGAATGGTCAAGTACGCCAGCCACTACCACTGCTCCAACCTGGGGAGGTGCTGCCAACGGCGAGTGGCAATGAACCGTCAAGTAATCTTTTTACAGCTTTAAAATAAATCAACTTAAAAAGCTACTCGCTTCATTATTCCGTCGTGACGATTCGCAATGGAAGGCATAAAAGGATGAACTGCATCCGGTGCAGTTCTCTTTTACATGTACCAATAGAAAGTGATGTTTCTTTTAACAAGAACTTCGAGAGTCCATTGATACGACTAAATCATGTTTTTCAACTGATCGTCGTGATCAAAGATCTTGCCGTGAACTCTGAATCTGTATAGGCACGTGTATTCGGGATGGCCCCAATTTGAGGTTACAACCAACATTACTATTTGAAACGGTCTGTCACGTACCTTATCGTTCTGGAATTAAGTCTATTGATAAACTCATTGATATTCTAATCAATTAATTCATTATTATTATTCATTATTTAACGTACCTCAACCTTAAAGCTTTGAGTTGCAGGCCCGTTTATGTTGTAGAGAAAGGTCCCGATCAATTCATAATCATTGTCCAGGCGTGCCTAAAATGTTTCTACGGTTACTTAGCCAATTACTTGGATTACATGAAAACGTCTCGTTACTCACGAGAATCTTAAAATCTTTCGGTGCAGAATCAATTGAGCCGGTTACAGAAGCCGATGCTGGAATGTGTTCTATGGTGACTCGGTCAATGAGAGCGATGTGGGCCAGTTGAATCTCTATCTTGCCAAAGGATCCTTGAAAAGCCCAACATTCCCCGGGTTGGCTCCATGCCTTTAAAAGAATATCTCTTGGATTATGAGTAACAAATCTAGATGTTTATATTAGGTCGGTGCATACTCTTTGCTATTTTATTTACCTTGGGTTAACTACGCACCAACCTAATTATTGAAATTTAACTAACTTGGATCACTTTGCGCGGAGAGATGAACGAGGTTTTGAAGATAGGGATTCCGAACAAAGTGACTTGTCCATGGTCTTGGTAAAAAGATTCCGTGTCCGGAGTATTCAAAACAGCAGCCCCAGCTGTCTCTGATGCGAAGTCTGCCAGATCACGGTCCTCTGAAACATTGATGAAATTAAGTCTTATCTTATTCAAGCCTCGGATATTTAATATCGTTACCTTGAATCTTCTCTAGGTATTGCATGCGAAGCAGCAACGCCTGTAAAAGGGAAATAGCTGAATGAATTAAGAATAAATCTTGCATTAAATTCACGGCCAAGAAAAGGAGACAATTCCGACCATTTTTTGCAGAGATCTTTCCAGGTAGGCAGTCTTGCTTCGTAATGCGTTTATTTCCTTCTCTATAACATCGGTCCTGGGGTCTTGGGTCAAAGAGTCGATTAGAAAAATAGACTTCAAAGACAGGCCAGGAGAAGCTTGTACCATATCGATGTTCCATTCATGTGATGGGAAGTTGGCATAAGAATGGCCAAACATGTACCCCAGCACTGCACCTGGAAAACAAAGGATGATTATCGATACAACACCCCTGGTTATCAAAAATAGTGGACCATCAATTTAGTGTGTAGATCGATCAATGATTGTCACATACCGGTGCTCAATCCGATGATGAATATAACTTTCAGAATCGGCCAAAGAAGGTTCACGAGCAGTAGCGAACCCTTTCCGATTACTTCGATGAGGCGTCTGGCTTTCAGAAGCAACCAGATATCCAGGAGAGTACATTTAGCAGCGAGTATAGCTGTCAAAATAGAATGTCTCATCAGTGTCTAACATTATTTTTCACATAGTAAAACAAGTCTTTCATATGTAGATACTTGCATGTAAATGTCGAGAAATTATCCAGCACATCGCTCCTAGATTTTCGGCTTCTGTCTGCGGCTTGGAACCTCATCTTCACTGCGTAGTTTTTGTTCCTTTAAAGTAATAATTCCCTTTGTAGTTGACACTGGTCACCATTGAAACGCACAATTCGCAAAACTGACGAGACTCTGGGTGACAGAAACGCGATTAACCTCTCACTAGGTCATCTAAAGGCACTTACGAGCGACCCAAGTTCTTCTCGAGTCGAGTGCTCATACAAAACTGTCCGAAACTGCTCTAAACTCAACGGATTTTAACTTTCAAGTTCACTTTCAAGCCTTTGCGATTGCCTCGTGCAACTCCACATGCGCACTTGATCGACCCCCACTTTCACGTCCTTGTCTTACTTACGTCTCTAGAACGATACACGACAAAGACGAGAGATGGCCGAGAGTTCCTCGGCGCGCGCGCCGCCGCCATCTTGGATTTCAAATTTCAAATTTCAAACCACGCATTTCGTGTCGGAAACCTTTGTCTAATAGACATTAACTGAGAGTTCTCATTTCGGGTTAAGTATTTTCCTAAAACTGACAAATTTCTATATTATACAAATATTAAGCTTTTAACTTTAGAGAGTCACGTTTCAAGATATCGCCGTAACACGCGGGTTTCTTGTCGCCGGCTGGGCGCGCCGCCATCTTGGATTTGAAATTCTAAACCCTTCCACCTCGCGACTTCTTGAAATTAACTCGAAAATCACGCGACGCGGGGAACCGAGAGACAATCAAGACCAGGCTGCGAGTTTATAGCAAATATTTATAGCAATTGTAAGTTGTAATATAAACGATGAGCGACTCTCTCCACCCTTGGACACTGCACACACGCTACTCTCATGCCCTCTTCGCGTCTTCCCGATTTCCTTTCCTTACGCCTCCAATAATATCGCATATAAGTAATCCTAGTGATTATGTGTAGATTTGTTCGGGCCGCGGGTCGCTTGCCGGAGGATTCCGCTGAACAGAGATAACGGGCACGGAAGCGAAAACCAGGAAAAGAAAAAGATGGAAAAAAATAAAGAAGATAGAAGAAAGTGAAGAAAAGCCAAACGAGAAATCAGGAGAGACCCTCTGGGAAGCAACCCGCGCTCCACACGTCAGAATCGCCCGAATTATAATCCTTGCATTATTGTAACTTGTCAAAAATATAAATATATATATATGTATGTATGTATATATTTATATGTACCGCCTCGGGTTCTATAGCCAGCCCTACTGTTGGTTCGCTTTGTGCTGCGTCGAGAGGAGAGGAAAAAAAAAGAAATAAGAAAAGCAGAACGGGAGTTAACCGAAAAGGCCCGACTCCCTGATTCTCGAATCTAGGCGAGAATTCTCGCACGCTCGATTCCCGGAACTCTTCGCACGATTCCTGGAAAAGAGGAAGAAATCGAAAACTCTTCTCAATAACGATTCCAGTCGGCAGAAACCAACTAATGGGCCAGCACAGACATAAACGATTTTTAACCTGCACGAGAAATCCGGCGTAGACAATATTTTAGCTATTATAAATANTTTATATCTAAGAGCGTTCACATGCCTTTACTCTTCTATTAGCCTAGATTTGTTTAATTCTTCGTTCTCGGGCCCTCGCCGGCCAAAAAATTTCCTTTCTCATTCTCTTTCGCAATTATTTAAACGTTACTTGCGCCTCTCGTTACATTTTTCGGTAATTTACTCACGCGTGTAATCTGTCTCATATATATATACACACTTTTGCCTCCTTTGTGTGTGTATATATATATGTATGTATATTAGTACAATTAAAATAGCGCTTCGTATAGATACGGCGAGTACGTGCGTGCGTCCCCTTATCTTATCCCTTTCCTTTTTTCCTTCTCCTTAATTTCAATTCGCTTCTTCCTTTCTTCTTATCCGTCCCTTTCGTCTTGCCCGTCCCCCCTCGCACGTCGCGGCATCGATAATAGAATATAAATTACTCGTTAATATCTTCCTAAACTCTTTGTACGCCCAGGATCGAGTCCGAGCCCCGAGCGAGCAGTTTTATTGTCAGAAGCTTATCTTTCGTATTTTCCTTAGTTTATTTATTTCTCTTTTTTTTTTCCCCTCAACCTCTAGGCCGGAGCTGCGATTTTTCCCGTGCAAATCTGCGGTGTGATTCTAAATTCGTCCTGAACGTCGATATCAAGGAGATAAGGAAAAATTGGAATTTCAGATATTAAAAAAGAGGTTTCCTAAGAGAAGACTTCCGGATAATAAGTCTCGAAGATAAGCTCCGTACTCTGAAGACTGAATCATTGACAACGATGGATACATTGCTAGCAGAATTATTTAACTAAGAAAATAAATAAAGATAAAGCCAAGGACACGAACTAGACGTGATATTTGTAAATAGGCCGCATAATGCATTGTTAATTTTTTGGCGGAAATAGAATAATCCTGACAGGAAATTACGGAATTCTGTTCTGTGTATAAAAATCGACAAGGTTTAGGAATTGCGTATTGGGGGGTGAAAAAAAGAAAAAAAAAAAAGAAAAGAAAAGAAACCGAACGTCTCGGGAAAGACATCTAAAACCGCTTCTGCTCTCTTCCAGAGACCCAGACGACGATCCTGGCCCAAGCCTATGGACTAAAGCTGCGATTACAAAGATTCACAACAGCCAGCGCCTGCAAGAGCAGCTTAGCTGCAGTTTACATCGTGCCTCGCATCCGGCGAAGTCGTCAACTTCGCTGTAATCCGGATCCACCGACCTCAGGGTGGAGACAAACGAGAAATAAGAGTGCTGAGGAGGAAATCGACCTTCGAGGGTCGTTTCGGAGATAGGCTCGACATAAACTGCAGGACCATAGTGCGAAATTGGTTAATTCCTAAGTAGTACTTTGAAAAGTGTGGCCGAGGGCGAACGGTCCTTTGTGAAATTTAATCCCATAGGCGAATCTTTTATCAAGCACGTGGTTGGATTATCGAATTCGGCCACGTGGTCGATATGTCAAAATCGGCCACGTGACCTTTCAGCCAAAAATGTTGAATCGAAAAGTCAACCACGTGGTTGAACTGTCAAACTCGACCACGTGACTTTTCAGATCACGTGGTCGAGCTGTCAAACTCTCGACCACGTGGCACCCGATTTACTAAGACGACCGTCCATCCCTCGCTCATAGGTAATAATCCCGACGTTTGTTCACCTCGTAATCGTTTGCATAAACATCCATAGTATTTCAATGTGTTACCGTCTAAGTACAGACTGACCTAATAAAAAATCTCGCTCGAGTACGTTTTTCCTTTTGGCCTCGCGTTTTGATATACTAAATTATGACAGTGCTCGGACAGACCGACAATCTCTGATCTGAATGTATATATNCACAATTATGGGCACATATAGTGTAACAGGATCCATGCCCATGGATTTTATATTGCTATTCTTGTCGAAAATTTCTCTAGAATTCTATTTTATTCTGCACAATATACCCCCGTGAACGTCAAATCCACCAAAACCGCGACGTCTTTGGTACCCTCTCCGCGTGCCCATCCCTTCGTCGTTCATTATCGGAATATTTTCACATCTCGCCATTTTCGAAAACCCATCAAAACACTTTTTCACAAATCCATCGATTGTGCTAGACGTCACGGCTTCTCCTCTCAATACAATCCACCGGCGTTCCTCTTTTTTGTCCCCTGCTACTTACTTTCCCCCCATTTTCTTCTTTTCTTATGTTCACATTTGTTTTACCTTCTCTTTACTAACAAGTTACAAAAACGTTAAATAATAATTATATCCGTAGTCTTTCGAAATTGCTTTAACCGAGGGACACAGAAGGGGGGAGGGAGGGAAATTCGATAATGCGCTCCTACCTAGAATATAACATACTCTACGCATTAATAGAGATAATATATATATAATATATAATATTTAATGTCTATTTATAATTTTATATATATATATATGTATACGTGTACATACACCCGTGTCTCTGTATGTATACCCACGTGCACATACACGTACACGTATATATCCTTAAAGAAGAAACTTTTACTCTCCGCCGAGTCAGACCTAAGTCCTCTAGGTTGTCAGCAATCGCTATTGCGTTTTCCTTCCGTTCTTTCCTTCTTCTTCCCCTCTCCTTCTGTTTATCCTTAACTTGTCTAACGCTCCGGCGAGATGTCACCGCCCTGGGGGGGCCAGAGATATGAAACGACTGAGATAAAACGCTAACGGGAGGAATTGATAATAAGAAAGACAAAGAAAAATGAAGGAGGAAACCGAGTGCTGGTAAAACAGAAGAGGAGAAAAAACAAAACAAAAAAGCCGCGAGAAAGACTCCCCGCGAATCGTCCTGGCGATCCTCGAGCCGCGACTCCTCGCGAGCTCCTCTTCATTCTCTTTCGTTTCTTCTTTCCTTTAAATTATTTATTCTCTTTGTCATTGAAAGTCCTAGTAATTTGTACTTGTTTTTCTCGAGGACGAGCTCGGGGACATACTCGGCGAAGACCTAACGAATTATTCCCCCCCCCGCGAGAGAGAGAGAGATCTCACGGTTAATTTGGAAAATCGTCCGATTCGAGGATTAATTCTAACGTCAAACAGGCCAACGGTGTAACTAGGGACGCCGTTTAGTACATTCGCTGCTAAATGCGCCGATTGGCATTTTTTTTTCTTTTTGCGAAGGTGGAGGCCCTAAGGAAGGTCGCGAGCCCCCCTTAAATGCCGTTCTCTACGTAAAATTAAAATTATTTATATAAGAAAATGATTTAAAAAGAAAAAAAAAAGAAATGAAATTTCACGCGTGTCAGGACCTTCCGCGGGGTCTCCACATTCGTGGGGTAAAATTATAAATAACTCGATACATTCGATCGGGGAATAGTTTCATAAACAAGAACCCTAGATGCCGTTCTCGCATCGTAAAATTAAAACGTAAACTCTACGTAAAATTAAAATTATTTATATAAGAAAATGATTTAAAAAAAAGAAAATGAAATTTCACGCGTGCCAGGACTTTCCGCGTGGTCTCTCCACATTCGTGGGGTAAAATTATAAATAATTCGATACATTAGATCGGGGAATAGTTTCGTAAACGAGAACTCTAGATGCCGTTTTGGCATCGCCTTAAGGCAACAGAAAGGTTGCCCCCGAGAAGTCAATCGTTTGTGACACTTCTCTCGGAATTGGATGCATAGAGGCATTTCAAATTTTACCACATGAACCTGGAGACCCTGAGCAGAGAATGCAGAAGTAAAAAAGGCTTATAAAGAGAAGAAAGAAAAAAAGACTACACGAGGTACCCTGCGTTAAGGCTTAAACGTTCAAGTGGTGAAGTTCCAAACGATTGGGTACACCTAATTAAATGAAAAGCTTCATAAACAATTGACCCCTCGGGCGGCATTTACAAATCGCCTTAGGGTGGCTTTACATGTAACGACAAATTCACAGCGATTTGTGATCCATACGGTTAAATCGAGTCTGTACATGGATATTAATAATATTAAGGGTGAAACACGTTCTTGCAACATTGCGTTTTGACAAAACCGCGAGAATAGAAATTCAATGCGAAATAAATGCAAATTGAGACTCGATGCGACATGAATACGAATGAAAATAAATGCGAATTGAAGTTGACTGCGATAATAAATGCGAGTAAAAATTCTAGTCGATACATTGTCGATTAAATCATGACATATCGCTACGATTGTTTGTCACATGTGCGACCACCTTAACAAATTGGATCGGACTTTTCGTCCTAGAACCTACGGTCACACACACGCAAGGACACGCATCCGTAATATATCTTAAAAGCGTATGAAAAGTGCTAATTATTCCTAAATTACAGTCACCAGAATATCCGATCTCTAACGCCGACACGAAACACCACGAACGAGAGAGTAAGAGAGACATCCACTAGAGCGGATCCTAGAAAAATGCAGCTTCCTCGTTTCTTTTTCTTGTTTTTTGTTTTTTTTTTTCTTCCACATCGTACAAAAGAAATGCGTGGTAGCGAGAACCTCGGTTGCACGTCGCCGTTTGTTTATTTGGCCCTGATTTAGATTAAAAATGATAATGGAACACCCGGAAGTTGAAGATGAGGATCAATCATGGACGTATATACATATATATATATATGTGCCCATAATTATGAAAGTGGTCTGTCATATATTTTTTGTTTCGAAATTACATTGAATTAATTTCGTTTGAAATAATATGGCGTGAAATAACTGATAACTCATTTTTTTTTTTTATTTTGACTTAGACCACTTTCACAATTATGGGCACATATAGTGTAACAGGATCCATGCCCATGGATTTTATATTGCTATTCTTGTCGAAAATTTCTCTAGAATTCTATTTTATTCTGCACAGTTTGCCTGTAACGATCAATATACGAATGGTCGATTATTATCACGGGCAATAATTACAAAAGGAAAACGGGGACCATTGGATCCAAATTAAGGTGATGTGAAAGTGGCGTCGAGAAGGTTTTGTTTATAAACCTTTTCTCCCAACTCGGTTTACCGAATAGCTTGAAACTCTCCAACGTTAATAGGGAGACCATAAGGAAGGTCCCGAAACTCATGAAATTTCAATTCTTTTTCAAATTTCTTCATAGGTATTTTAAAAGTAGTTTATACAAAATGAAATTTTCCGAGTTTCAGGACTTGCCTTAGGGCCTCCGTATTCACGTTTTAAGGTATGAAACGACTTGAGACACCCAGTTCTATGAAAAGTTTTATGAACGATTGAGCTTTCGGATGCCACTTTCACATCCCCTTAAAAACAAAATAAAACACCTGAGGAAAAAAAAAAGAATAAGAACGATTTAAAATCAAACGCAACCGTGCAACCGGAAGTCCCTTCGGTCTCGCCCGAGGTGCCACCCAACATAATTCCGTCATCCGTTAAATAATACTATTAACTCGTTAGTACTGTAGCTAGGTTAATTAGTTCATTAGTAAATACCTATTACCTAAGACCTAGGATCAATTAATTAATTATTCCGGGTCCGCGATACTCGTTCTCTTGGGAAGGAAAAAAAAAGAGAGAACAAGAAATCAAATAAAATGATAAGGGGGACAAGAAAGGCGTCCCTTTCGACGGTAGTTTACGATCTCTTAAAAAATGGAGGAAAAAAAGAAAATATAATAGAACAAAAACAATGACAATCTTTCGTCGTGCATTCTCAATCCGAGGACGAGCATCGCGAAGCAATTTGAAGAAACTAGCGCTATTACAAAAATTCCTAATTCCGTTATTGCTGCTAAATCGTTATACCGCGTTTACACAGTTTAGTTAGTTAAACTCCTCCATTTTGTATCCTCGCACGGTTAAATATATATATATATTTATGTGTATATATATATATATCATTAATTCAGTAATCTCTTGCAAACGGTGAGCAACCCGAGCGACCAGCTGATCAAATATATAATCGGGACTATTTCGCGCTCCCTCGACATTGACAAAAAAAATGATACAAGAGAGAAAGAGAGAGAGGAAATAGCCTAGATTAAGACGGCGAGGAGGAGAGCGCGAAATCAGTCCGCAAGAGAGAGAGAGAGGGGGGGAGACTATGCTTGTGTACCTTAGATTCAACGAAAATATAAAATCTGTTAATACTCGTTATAGTTATTACTAATTAGCGGATGCGCCACATCCTAATCCTGGTTACATATCTATACATATCGCGACTCGATCTTTATCTCTGTACACTGGTGGACATGAATGGGTCTTCTTGCCTCGGTGGTACTGTATTATCAGGGAAGAGACACGTCATGTCCAGGAGTGTACATATATTTGATAAACCCGTAAATTCGTGCCGGTTAAATGTTAAACATTTTAGTAGACTGTATTTAATTTTTTTAAAGCGACGACTGAACATCTGAACGTCGGGGGAAAATCCTGGATGAGGGGGAATGTATCATTAATCGATGTTAATTTTTCCTACTTGGAATAAATTAGTTTAGATGGAAAGAAAAAAATGGGAAAAAATTCCTGCCGTTTAAATGTTTAACATTTTAGCGGATTATCATTTTTTATTTTTTTTTTTTTAAGCGACGATCGAGGACTTGAACGTCGGGAAAAAATCGTGAACGACGAGGGGATATATATATATCTTATTAATCGATATTTTAATACCCTATTTGTTAAAACTAATTGAAATAAAAAAAAATATATATATTAAAAGGGCACGAATTTATGGGGGCAACCAAACACATGCACTTTCTATAAACTCGAGTGTGCACACCACAGGCAACCGATCTCTTCATGAAATCCGACGAGCTTTTAATTCGTCATCGTACCGGAGAAGACCCCCTAGACTCGTGGCGAACCCGGTAAATAAAAGAAGAAAAAAAATATATATACGATCCTGAGAAAAGTTTCCCCGTCCCGTGTAGGTCTCGACGAGTTTCATTCACCGAAGGCCGATCTCTCGATTTGTCATTGCCATTTTCTTCTCCCCTCGTCTGAATTTTTCTGAAGCCTAACGAGACCCCTCAGGTATTCTAAGGACCTCCCGAGAAATGTCCCCAAGAGTATCGCGAAGGTCGTCTTCCAGGCAGTTCCCGATTTACGAATTTCATCGAGCTTCATCTAAAATCGAAACCCGGGATAATTCACTAACCTTCGTCTCCGCGAATTTCGCGCTTGACAGATTATTTATATCTCAAGTAGTACACGGCGAGTATTGCTCCATTTTAATCTCCGTCAATTCTATCTATCGGAATCGCTTATACTAAAAATCGTACGCGGGGAAATTCACTAGTTATTTATATCCGCAAATTTCTCGCCGGTTGAAATTCTCCTCTAAAAATCGTACGCGGCGAAATTAACTAATTTTCATCCCGACGGATTTCCTTGACCGGAATATCTTTTCTATTCGGATACGACTTACAGGAATTTCTTCATCTCAGATCGTACCGCGGCGAATATCGCTCATTTTCATCCTCGTTAATTCATTCCACATGGAATTCCATTTATCTAAAATCATACGCGGCAAAATTGAGGAATTTCATTCGCCAGAATTCAGACCGGAAATCCTAGAAATTCTCGATTAACGATCGGTCGCTAGGAGCCAATAAATTCGGAAATACGAGAACCACCTGTAAAAGACAGCCCCCGAAGGACGATCAGTCAAGATGGGAAATAAAACGTCGCCTTAAGAGTCAGAATCCTCCCCATAAAAGCCATACCCCTTTTATCCGCCCGTCAAGCCACGTCCTAATTACATTTAGTAATCCCTAAATTCCCTAATTTCTCGAGGGAGCTCTTCAACAACCTCGCGACACTCCAAGGAATCCCCCAAGACTCATCACCGACAGTTTCAAATCTACTCCCCAATTAATCGCCGTGAATTCTCAATTAAACTCTGCGAATGTCCAATTAATCGCCGTGAATTCTCAATTAATCATCGGGAATTCCCGATTAATCGCCACGAATTCCTAACACCAATTCAACCAACCTCGTAACCATGCATTCCCCTACCATCTCCACACAATTAGTACGATTACTCCTAATTCTCCTGTTAATTACCGAACCCGAGGACGACGAGCCCTCGAGTACTCTGTATGATAAATTCCAGTACGAATAATTGTCCGACTCCGTGTCTAAACCGCGCGAGGTCTCCATTAATTTCACCGTTCCTAAATAAAACCGATAAATATCCAAGTGGGAACGAAACGAAGAAAAAAAAAAGAAATTAATAATAATACGCAGCCATGGAGAGGTCGCCCTCGCAGGGCCCTCCCCGGCCGGTACAACAAATAATTAACATTAACGGCGATCGACACATCGGAATTAGAATATACCCAATCGAGGGACCTCGAAAGGTCGAGCAGCTTGGTTTACGAAAATCTAATGCCGACTAATTGCGAGCCACCGAGCCCCGGGGGTTCGATTCTGTATCCTTCGGCGAGAGTATTCATTTCTCGCACAATGATCTCACGTGAATTTATTAGTGCGAATCTCAAAATGGAAAAAAAAAAAACTCAGCCCCGAGTGGTCGATTTTGTATCCCGAGCGAGTCTTCTCGCGCGAGTTCATTCACCCGATTCTGCACCCTGGCCGAGTGGCCTCGCGCTAAGTATCTCGCATCTTCACCAGGGTAAAAGTTACAGGATCGCGGGAGGTCCTCACATTTTCACCGTAAGGATAGAGGATGTTAGGTGATCGCTTTTACCATTTTCACACGATACGAAGTACAGAATCGAGCCCCACGTCTCGGAATTCCCTTCATCCTCGTCGAGAGGGATCGTCAGCGGGCTAGAATGGAGTTCGCGTCGGTAAAGTAGGTTTCGTTCCCCTGCCGGTTAACTTTCCTCCTTGACGGAGTACGAGGGTCTGTCGTACTTCGTCATCGCGAGAGGTTTAAGTACGAAGGAGGAGAGTGCAAAGAGATTGACCGGCGGGAAGGATCAGAGCGGGAGCTGGCGCCTCTTCCGCGGTGTTTCCGCCGTGTCCTGGCGTCGTAGAGGCGTCTTCCCGTCCCTCGATTATTCCGGCGTCTAGGAGTCGACTCGAGGTCGCTCTTCAGGGTGGCTTCGCCTAACTGGTGGAGGCGACCGGTGTCTGGCAATACGGACACTCGCGCTGGCTCGGAGCACAGGTAGAGCACACCACGTAGTGGTTGCAAGGCGACAGGGTCACCGTGCGGTTCTGCTCTTCGCAGACCATGCACTTGGTCGCCGTCTCTCTGTACAGCACCTGAAAAAAGCAAGAAAATATTCAATATTAGTTTTAAGTTCAATTGCATCGGGTGAAGTACAACCTCTTCAGAATGATAGTCACATCACCATTCGGCATCTTTTAACCCGAGAAGTTACATTTCCACCGATATTAAAGTAATCATTGAAGAACCCTACCGTAAAAATGAAAGGTCAAACGATTTTCTTAATTAAATGACAAAAAGGAAAGTCGCCCTCGATGAGGTTAAAAAACGAGCAATTTAAGGTCGTAGAGGAGTCTCGGCGCACCTTCTCCACTTCCTCGAGGTCGGAGCGAAGCTGTGTCTGGATAGACTTCAGGGTCGCTATCGAGAGCGTCCTGAGATCGTTGGTCCTCTTCAGGGCGTGCAGGTAGGGGACGCCGTTAGAGGCCTCGCTTTCCCTGAGGGCCTTAACCTGGATCAGGGCCTCTTCTCTCTGTTGCTCGGCGATGGAGGCTTTCCTCTTGGCCTCCTCGCTCTCCAGCTGCCAGGCGGCGCAAGCCGCCCTGGCCTGGTTTATGCGCTCGTCCCAGGTCGCCAACTGGGCCCGACTCGTCGTCAGCTCTTCCCGGAGTCTCTGTACCTGCAACTGATCGTACCGGTCAGAAAAACCATTATTTATAGGACTCTTCGTGTTCCCAATTCCACGTTAAGCGGTCGTTTCCAGGATGAGGAGGGTCTCTTAAAACGCTAACCTCGGTCAAGGAGCTGGTGTTGCTGGGGCTGATGGAAAAGGCATTGACTAGCGGCGAGGCTGGCAGAGGCTGACCCCGGGACGGCGAGACGCCCTGGCTTGTGAAGTCGAAGAGGCTGCTGTTGAAACCGCTCAGCTTCGAGGCCGAGCTGCTCAGTTGGGAGATGTGCTTCCCGAAGGGGTCTGATACCTGGTTCATGAACGGCATCGTCTGCGAATGGGAAAACTCGTTAAGGATCTCGTGCACCACGCCTCCGGTTAACCGCCGATGAAGCCTACCGATTCCATCGAATCCTGGTGGGAGAATCTCGAGCCGGTTAGGAAACCCGCCGACTGGAGTTGCTGAAGGGGGCTCGAGGTCGAGGGCGAGAAGTTCGAGAGGACCGAACGCTCGGCCATTCCTGGGATGTTCACAGGGGCGGAACTTCCGAGCAACCCGGAACTGGCCAGCCCTGCGGATATCGAGTTGCTGATGGGAGAACTCGTGTCTCGGTGCATCGAGTCCACCAGGCTCAGAGGGTCGTCCAAGTGTAAGTCGTCCAGGGCGTTGCCTAAGGATGCAGGGTTTAAATCAGCGTATAAACGACACCATTCATAATTTATAACTTATAGAGAATTCCCTCCGAAACTTAACCAGGGATACTTACCGACCACGGACTCAACGGTGTCGTTGGGATAAAACGAGCTGGACAGTGGGGACACCTTCGCCAAAGAATGGTTGTTCAAAGCTCCGTTCAGATTGTAAGCTATGTAGAGGGTCTGCTTCCTCTGCGACTTCTCGGCGTTCGTTAGGAGAGGATCGCTCTCAATCGCCAGCATTTGCTTGCGGATTTCACCCTGGAGAAAGAAGAAAGTTGGAATCGAAGATCAAAGGCGACTTCTGTCAACCTCATATTTACAAATCACTATGGGTTTATCGTAACATGTGTAGCCACCTTTATCAAGTTTATCACTGGTTAACAAGACTTACGACTTGCATAAGGGATGAAGGGTTATACAGGATGCCTGCGAGCTTCTGTTGACCGCTGCCACCGCCAATAGCAGAGCCAGAGTTGGCACCGTGCAACTGAGAACCTGGTGCTTTGCTATGGGAGCTGTTGCTTCCGAGGCTGCTGGTGCTGGCTGACTCCGAGACCTCTCCACTGCCGTTCTGCAGATACAATTTGTTAATAAAAATTGCTCTATTATTTATAACATATGTCTCAAGCTCCCTAGGTCAAGAACTTACGCTGCTGTCGCTCAACGGTTTGTCCTTCTCGTGGATGCGCTTATCAGGTGGCAAAGCGTTGCTCAGGAGATCCGCCAGGTTCGTCCCGCAATCTATTGGCACTGCCATGTCCCTCGCCAGGCTCATTTCTTCTGTTGGCAACACTGCTCCATCAGCACACCGTACCAACGTTCGAATATAGATATCAACTTTGAGAAGTAACTTCGATGGGCATATTTCGTTTGGTTCAGACTCTACGATAGGACTAATGGGCTCAGAGGCCACTTCGAAAGGAGTGTTCATGCAATTATCAGCGACCCTTACTCGTATCTCGCTTTTCATCTTACAATAATTTCCTTTCAGGGAATATAAGGAGAGGAAGGGCTGCGAACATACGTCGAAGCAGTGTTCAGTGTCAAATGTATCGAAGAGTCTTGACCTGACCTTTTTTAAAATTAAATGACTTCTTCTAGCCATTTAAAATAACATGGACGTGCCATTTAAGGGATGAATCGTTTATAAAAAAACATTCCCACGAATTAGGAGTACCGAATTGTTTTAAATTTAAATACACAGGCTCTAACGAAGGTTCCGAACACCCATGAAGTTTCACCGTGTATCAACATTCTAAAAACGTATATACAAATTAAAAGGAATAAAATTTCATGGAGGTTATGATCTTCTTTAGGGTCTAAACATTCACGTGGTAAAATTTCAAACGATTTGGTACAGTTTAGAAAAAAAGCTCCACCGAGATAGCTTAGACGTCACATTCATATAACCCGAAAGATTACAAATAAAAAGCGTCTTTCAACATTAAGAGTGAGGTAGGAGTACTGAGCCCAGGATTTCTCATTTGTTCCTCATGCAATGCTTGTTATGAAGTGCCGAAGGGATTGCTCGAAGGAAGTCACTAATAGATCGTAGCGATCGACTGGGATATTAAACGTTCCCCAAGCTCGCTCCTTCGGTGTTCAGCCACGCATGCAACTAGGCACATATTTATTATGTAGTGTTTTTTACGTACGATTGATGAGGGTACACTCACGGTCAACGTGTGCGAACGCACAGAAGACACCACGGGGACAGTAGCCAGCTTGCTGGACATCGTTACACTTTGTCGATTTGTATATCTCAGGGTGGAACTGTTGTTCAGTGCGTGTGTGACAGTACGCACATGCGTCTCCCTGTTCGCAGTTGCCTGGTTCACCCCATTCTTCGCCATGTTTTACATTTGGGCACGGTGTTGATCTAAAAAATAAGAATACAACTTTTTTAAATGAAATCATTTTTTTTCTTCAAACCGAGTTTCTTGTAATCTGTAAACCTACAACTTTTACAGGCACTATTACTCGGCTAGCCTAAAAGTTAATCCTGTTTCCCTAAATTTTTACTTTAAATTTAACATACAGAATGTCTTTTTGACATGAGACTGACGTTTGAAAATGTAGTTGTTCATTAAACTTTGTTTTCGTAATGTATTTTACAGAATAATTTAAAGTGGGATATTCTGTGTTATTTATTAAAGCAGTGTTCAAAGACTCACCGATATTTATACTTGCGAGGGCTGCGCCTCTTGTCTTTGCTATTGTGATACTGTGGACAGGCGTAACCTTGTCTGCATAGCCTGGGAGGTCTCTTGCACGGCTCCGTCTTATAATTCCCAAGGACATAATTCGTGTCCTGCCATTTGGGGTCTTCATTCATGAGGTTCCTCTCTTTGTCAAGAATATTCGGCCCATTTGAGGAGGAGTTAGGATCCGAGTCAGGATTTTCCAGCGCTTGGATCTCCTTGATGTCGTACACCGGAGGGCGCAGGTCGTGGTTCCCGTGAGCGAATGCACAATGTGGACCATTCTTGACACAGAACCCCCGAGTGTCAGTGTCGTGCACGCACATGCACGTTTTATAATACCGCAGATGATAGCGCCTCTCGGTATCACCAGCAGTTCGGTGTAGGAATGGACACCTGCGCATCGATGAAACCAACAATTACCGACCAGAAAATCTGGACCTAAAACCCACTGCAACTCGACCCTCACACCACAATTTCATTGACATTCTCCACCCTGGACATCGAAACCATAACCTCTCTTCCAATTCCCATTTCCCTCTCTACAATACCTGCCTATCAAAAGTATCAAAAGCATCGAACTAACTCCGATGTACCCCGACAACCATAATTAATCCATAAACGAGTAATAAAACAGTAGAGTAAAATGCATTGGACTCACTCGTCTCCATCGGGGCATATGCCAGTGGTCTCGTCATACTTGGTACAGTAATTGTCAGCACTATAGTTAAACGTGCGGTCGCGTTTCCTGACGGGCCTGCGCCTCCTCTGGTTCATAAAATGCCAGTTGAAGCATGTAAAGGGCCGGTGCTGGGTGCACTTGCGCTGTATAAAGAGAGGACATTGTTCCACGCGAAATTCCTTCAAGTATCTGGAATGCGAATCCACAGAGCTACACATTATTCCTGGGTCGGCGGTCCGTGGGTGCTTCGTGCCGCCCGACGGCTCCTCCCCGGGGCCGTTGGCTCGTCCCTTGATGCCACTGGCGAGTCGGTCGTCTCGATCCCGTAGCGCGATGCCGGCCCGTCGGTCGCTACTTACGTATAATGCCTCACTTTTTCCGCCCGAGCTGTCAACAAAGGTTTAGAGTCGGACTTCATCTTGGACACACAACACTGGCGGCGCGCGTACCCTTACGAGTGTACGTGCACGTACGCGCCTCCCCTACCACGCAACAACGACGCACGCACGCACCACATAAAGAGCTAACCTCTTTATCGGCACTCCGCCTGCCCCTCTCGGAAAACTAGTTCGCCATCTCGCTCACTCTCACATCTCCTGCCCTCTCCCCTCTCTTTCTGTCTAAAGGAACGCGCTACCCGTAAAGTTCCAGCTTCCGCCACGGGTGACGCAACGATCGCTCCCAGCCCGCCTCATCCGATACCCCCATCCATCTCCCGAGAGACCGGTCTCCCGCGTCCCCTCTCACTTAATCCCACACAATAAGACAAAGAAGCAATGACACGCGCGGTTACCCTCCCCGCGCCTAACCTGTCCATTTCGAGATCGTTCCCCGCGTAACCCGTTAATTCATGGTTAACCTCATGAGATCCATCGCGACTGAACGGCACTCGGACGATCGGAACAAGTACCTGAGAGTATTCCTATGTTTCTCTATGTTTTTTGTGGGATTTCAGGGGTTTGCTTCGCTCTCCCTCCTTTCCATTCATGGTTAGGCTGGAGAGAGAGAGGAAAGGTGCCGCCAGTCTCCTGGCACGCGAACCGAGGGATTTGATTGGCTGAACGTTGCCGCGCATCCGACTGCGCAGCGTCGCTAGCCAATCCCGAAGCCGCCTCCGCCCCACGTGACCCGCCCAGGTTTCAAGGTCATCGATGTTTTGGAGACGACGTAAACACGAGAGACGAAATCGAACGCGGGGCCGAGTGACGGGTTCCCGGGACGCTCTCCTCCCACCCGATCGGCCGGTCGCGAGACCGAGGAGATGGGATCGCAGGTTTACATACCGACCAACCGGTGGCGCTTTCGCTGTCCTGGCTCGCCGAGATCGACCGCACGCTTCTTTCTCTCCCGCGCTCTTAGGGCCGTGATCGATGAGTCGTCCTCCGTTGCCGGTGCGCGATTGAGGGCCCTGCCGCGAGCGGCCGCGTTCCGAATTCGCTCGACGCAACTCCGGCCGCGCCGCCGCCATTCGCAAACAAGACACAAGATGGCCGCCCGGCTCTCCAGGAAACTATCGGGCGCCGGTAACGCAGCACGCGATTACCGACCACCGGTGACCGGGTTCCACCGCGACGTGACAGATGGCGCCACCGTTCAACTCCACAGGCTGCGCGAAAAAATTCGACTTTTAAATATCTCGAAGATCGGCGCCATATTTAAAAACCAAGCGCAAAACCGAAAATCCCGTTTAAAGGACCGTGGAAATGTCATGCAAAGGCAAGTATGTTTGAAATGCAACGTAATAACCGAGTAAATACGTAACGTAAGAGAAATAACGTAACGAGCGAGTGGATACGTTACAAATGTCCATATTATGGCAACGAGACGCGGGACTTTGTCGACTGTTACGATTTTGCGCGCGACTTCTCGTGGTTTATTTGCGTATACAAAACGTAATCAACGAATTACACGGCGACAACGCAAGTGCGGATTAATAGTTAGGCGGTTCCTAGAAACGCAAGGTATAAATACGTAATAACGCGAGGGTGCGGAATTATATGTATACGAGTGACAAGAACCGAGTAGGCGGCTAATCGATAATTTAATCGTTAATTAATAATTAATCGTCAACGCCGCGATCTCGAGGATCCTTGCGAAATGGAAGACTCGAGATCGTTTATCATCCAGAAGGGAGACACATGATCGCTTCCTTTTTATTTCGTTTCGTCTCTTTTCCGTCTCCTTTATCATGGCGATTTCTTGTTCACGGTGTTAAAGTGATATAAAAGGGTCATTCTATATATATATATACATGTATACATATATGTATAATATTTATAAAATTTTTCTCTTGGAGAAAAGTTTTATAAATATTTTAACGTTATATATATGTAATGATCCTTTTATATCACCTTAACAGAATATTCGATTTTTCACCGTGATGTCCACTAACAAAGCGCCGTCTCTTTGGGAACATTTGCATATCGAATGCGAGTCTCCTTGCGAGAGCGATCAGCTCCTTTACGTTCATATATATATATATTTAAATATTTATATTTATATATCTGCGGCAAAGTGCGAAGGGAAAAGTCGAGGCCGAGTTTCGCCTCGACAGGAGTCCCTTCAATACACTTTGCCGTTTTATAACAATACCTGGTTGGCCCTAAACTACGTCGGATTATTCTTGTCGCGGTGATGCACGACAATTGATTAAATAATTGAACGATCGAAATCGGTGATGAACCTGTATAAATGATAAGCCCTTAAATGAGGCAACAACGGTAAAATTGATCAAACAATGGATTTTAATCACAGTTGGCTTAATTTTTGCCGGCAACGTGAATTTCATCGATTCAAGATTAACTAATCATAGTTAAGAATAACTTTTTTTATGTTACGGAATTTCACATTAATCACGATTGGTGATATCAGCCCTAAGAGTTCTCTTATCGGGGAGGTTCAAACCGAGAAAAGGTACTTAAAATTCATCCGCAAGAACGCACAACTCGCAATTGTCTCACCGCGCCAAGAATGATTAATAAAATTAATTGTCCCGTACGTACGCAACGGGATGGAGTAACTCGTAATTACACATTCGGTCGGAGTCTTCGAGTTATCACCTACTCTACCCTGAGATAAGAGAGTTTCACCGAAGCGAAGGAATATTTCTTTTAAAGATATTAATCATTCGACCCGACTTAAATTGGATGCGAAATTTCTTCGGAATTACGATAATCCATTTGACGTTGTCCCAATCAAATTATCACCCCTTGAATTACCTAAATTATTCCTTCAATTCCCTGAATCTCTCTTCCTCGATAAACAACGACAATAATTGTCGTCATCGCGCGCTAAAAATTAAAGCTCGAGGGCCTGATATATATCAGAATATCGAAAATCACGTCGACGGTTTCGCTCCCTCTTGAACGGAGAAAAAAAAAAGAAAAAAAAAAAATTCATCAAACCAAAGGAATATTTTATTAATCCAAAGGATAATTATTTCACTCGAGCAAACTGAAATAAATTGTCGCAATTCCTAAGGAACGTAGCATCCAATTTATTCCGTTTGATCTCGATTAAATAATTCCTTCATTAAATCAACAAAATGTTTCTCTGGTTCAATCGCATTTCTCTTTTTCTTTTCTTTTCCTCGGTGTCGGTAAATATATGTATATATTAATATGTTTATATTAAATGTATCTCGGTTGGACCATGGAATATAAACTATACGGATATCGAGGTCTCGCTAATCGTTGGACCTACGTCGCTACCTAAAAAAGTTCGTCGCGAGTCGTTAACTAATTTACCCGCCTAAAGGTTTATCATCGTTATCATCGAAATAGAGAGAGAGAGCTGAACAATTGGTCGCCGATTAAAATGCAACGATCGCCTCGCTAATCGAAACTCTACTCTTCGTCTACGAGGACGTTTCTCGCATTTAAGCTAAACACATTTTAGTGCCATACGTGGTAGATATTTTTCTCGCGTTACCCTAGGGAATAGGGATCCTCCCCAAGGAGAAATCTAGGGACTATCGAGGGCTCTAAAAAATTCTCTACACACGTAACGATAAATCCGCGCAAATAGATCTGTATAAATTTGAGGTGTCATCAAAGTGTTTCTTCCAAAACTGGGTGTACCGAATCGTTTCAAACATTGCAATGTAAATACGGAGGCCATAAAGCCTCCCACCATGAAATTTCAATTCTCATTTTAAATTTCTTCATAGACATTTCTAACACTTTCTATACAAAGATTTTGAAAATATCTATAAATGTTTCTTACGTAAAACTAGCAAATAAAAAAATAAATGTCTGTAAGCAAATTTCAAGTTTTAATTACGTGTCGAGTATTTATCGTTACGTGTCAGGATTTATCGTTACGTGTAACAGTTTAATCGTAACACGAGGAGGCCCCTTTAACCTCGCGGATTCCAAATCGCTACGACCTATCGCCACACGCGTAGCCACATTAATGATAAGGATACACGCAGCGTTGAATCGTCACGATAAATCTGTGCAAACCGGTCCGTACAGATTCGACCGCGCTAAAGAATTCGATTAAACTGCGCAAATCCTGCTAGACAAGCGATAGAACCCTACGATTAAATCCTAGGCGAACGGTACATCTACTGTCCCTAAGCTAGACGATGATGTAGATGCCGAAGATGACCCTGGTGCTGTCCGTGTCGAGGGTAGTCTTCTCCTGAGGCAAGATCGACTTTAACCGAGCCAGGTTCCTTCCACCTCCTGGGGGATTTTTCTTAATCTTCCTCCAAGAGCGATGACCCTCTAGAGCCATCAAATACGCCCTATAAAATCCTAGCCGAGCGAACCCTTCGATTAAATCCTAGGCGAACCGCACTCGAGTCATAAATCTACTTTCTTTAAGCTAGACGGTGGTGCCATAAGTGCTAAAGATGACCCTGGTGCTGTCTGTGTCGAGAGTGACGTCCTCCGGCGAGGCGAGGTCGACCTTAACCGAGCCAGAATCCTTCCTCCTCCTGGCGGATCCTCCGGCCCAGTTCGACAGGGTCCACTGGCAGGTGTCCGTCCTGGTCTCCTCGCTCCTGGCTCCAGGAGTGGCGACCTCCTTCTCCACCCCGGTGCCCAAGGACACGGAGGACTGCGAGGCGACCGAGTCGAAGCTCGAGTCCCTGGCGCCGTTTAAGTCGTCTCCGTCGGCGCTGTCATCGCCGCCTCCTCGGTACCTGGCAACCCCCTCGAAGGCGATGTCTCCGGGCGACTCCTCGATGGCTCTCAGGATGTTCTGGCAGAGCTCCGAGTCGACCGGGATCGGCTCTTCCGAGTCCCTGTTGTGGATGGTCACGGCTATGTGCACCGGGTGCGGGATCGGCAGCGGGATCACCAGCTTCTCCGCGTTGTAGGGCCGGCTCTTCCGCTTCCAGGGCTGCCAGCGGGTGTCCGAGGACCCACTGCCGAGGGTGCTGCGTCTGCTAATCCTGGCCGACATCAGGAGGACGGAGGACGTGTCGCTGAGGAGCGAAATTCACCGGTTAGATTTGTTATCCGGTTGGTTCCAAACAACTAGTTTCTAGACCAGTAGTCAACAGGGTTGAGCTGATTTTTAATCGTAATTTATAATCGACGATTCTAGTCGCAATTTTACAAGTCAACAATTTTAATCTTGACTTTTAAAAAGAAATGAGGGAATTTTTTAAGACACCAGTCATTCTTATTTGTTACAGGAAATCGACGATTTAAAATCCAGGATGACGATTCAACGTCTCATCCTTCCCTACCATCTTTTATCGGATTTCCTGCTGCTGCTCAGCTGCTTGCCCCGAGGATTGAAGGCAGAGACCTCGAGGTAAGGACTGTGGACTCTCACGTTCCCCCTAGGTGCATACACCGCTCCCAGCAGATCCGGTCCATTGGCGCCACCCAGCTCGGTGCTGCGAATCATGTCCGTGTACCTAAAAAACGAGATACCATATCCATATCGTTTCGTTTATTTACCATCAAGTGGAAGCTGCTAACTAAATCGTAACGACCTGCACGTCAGTTAAATCTGTGGGAATTAGTCGCGACGAGTTATCGTTACCTAAGTAGCTAACATAAGAATTATATGACCGAGCTTCCTCCATCCTCACCTGGAGAGGTCGACCCCAGGATGGGGATCCAGCTTGAACTTGGTGTCCGCCTCGTCCAGCGGCTGCAGGAAGTCCAAGCTGAAGATGTCGGCGTACATTAAGCCGGACAAACCGGCCCAATCCCCGGAAACCAGGCCTTTGCTCTCCCAGAAGTCTTCCTCGTTCCCGGTGAGACGTGCGAAGACGTGGCTCGGGTAATGCCGCTCCAACATCCTCGCAGCTTGCTGGATCGCCACCTGAAGTCGCGTTTAAATCATCCTGATAAATTCACGGTCAATCAATCGATGAATAAAAATTATAAATACTGTAATATGTTGCATGGATATTCTAGATCTATGAACGTTCCAAATCTAAACTCCACCTTGAGGTCCACAGACGTGAGTTTAATCTTGCTCCTGACACCGACCCCGAGTCCCGTCTGGAGGTCCCTTCTGCGCCGGTCGAGCTTCTCGTGCAGCACCGCCACCAGGTCTCTGGCCTCCTTTTCCAGGGACTTGTAGGGGTCCTTGTTCTTCGCGAGACTCGCGGCGAAGGGGCCAAAACAAGCCTCGACGAACTGTGCGAAATCCCTCTGGGGTTGGGCGATGAGTCTCTCGGTTTCCTGCTGGAAGGCCAGCAACTCGTCCAGCTCCAGTTTCGCCTCGAATGCCGCTAACGCTTGCTCTGGCTTGATCTGCAATCACGATAAAGTCTCACGTTAAACTTCATTGCCCATTAAAGTGACGTCAAAGGTGACATGGAAGAAGTCTCATTCATGAGACCTTTCTCCAAACTGGATATACCGAATCGTTTCAAAGCTGTACAATGCAAAGACGGATGCCATAAGGAAGGTCCTGGCACCAATAAAACATTAATTTTTTTTTATCGGCATTTTCAAAACTGTTTAGAAAAAAAAAATTAAATTTCACGGGCGTCAGGACCTTCCTTACAGCTTTCACATTCACGTTGTAAAGTTTAAAACGATTAAGTGCACTTAGTTAAGTGAAAAGCTTCACGAACGAAGAATCCCAGGTTCGTCAGAGGGCTAGAAGGGGTCAACCTGGTAATAGTAGTCCTGCGCGAGTCCTGGACCGGCAATTCTCTTGACGACGAAGCTGTCGCTAGCAGGCACTCGACCTCTGCTTTTGATCAGCAAGTGGAACATCGCGGTGTCCCAGACGAGCCGGATCCAATAACGCGTGACAGCGGCTGTGGAATTAAAAAATCGCCGTCAGATCTTGACTATTCGACGTCGAGAAATTTCCATGTGTCAGGATGACTCACCGGTGAGAATGGAGAGGGAGACCAAGGGGCAAACGAAGACGGCGACGAAGAGGGCGGCTAGTGGTTGGAGGAGACCCTGGATGAGGATGTTCCATACGAGGGCCTCCATAACGACGAGGTACCGGTTCCTGCTGGGTTCCGGGCTGTCCAAGTCCATGACCAGGGCCATGAACGTATGCAGGGTCAGCGTCACCAGCGGCATCCTAAGATTTGAGAATAATAAAATAATCATAATAAGATGAAGATCACGACCTGGGGTAGAGTAAAATAATCTTTGGAACTGTTTCAACGATGCATACCACATGAACGCGGTGACGGCGATCAGCAAGGACCCGAGACTGGCCAGGATGCAGACCACGGGGAAGACGAAAAGGATGACGATCGTCCCCAGGAGTCCCTTCACGCCGTAATTCCACCACCTGTTCAGGTGTCTCGTCATACCTTTACCGATGAAACCTGGGGAAGGAAACGGTTGATAGAATTTATTATTGAATTAAAGATCTAGATGAAGAGAGGAGACTAACCAGTGTCCGGCTCCGTCTCAAACCGCGTCCTGCTTTTGCTGATGTGCCTCCAGAGAGTGATTAGCCTCGAGCAGAGGGTCGCCGTCTGCGAGGACTTCCTCGGGAACAAGGTTCCGTTCAGCTGGCTGAGCTCCAGGTCGGGTGTGAAGGGCTGGACCAGGAGCAGAGCTCGTATGGACACAGGGCTGTACCAGGGCACTGCGACTCCCAGGAGGAACATCGCATTCCAGGTCCAACACCAACTCCTGGCGATGTAGTTGATCAGTCTCCACATCGGCCAGCTGGTACAATATATAAATAATTAGGCGAGAAATAATTCCAATGAGTTCCTAAAATTAGATTGAAGCAGCCGAAGAGAACAAATACCGCGTGGTTGTCGTGCGAACGATCTCCCTCTCCACCAGGAAGACCGGCTGACTAGGATCAGCCCTGGGGGTAGTGATGGAAGTGGGCGTGTTACTCAGGACCGTGGGGATGATCTCGGACTGGCCCCGGAAGCTGCGTTTGATGATCCAGTTCCGGGGGAACCAGATTTGAGTAGGCCACTGGAAACTCCTCGTGGGGGTCTTCACCTTCCTCAGTTCCTTCAGAAGCACCGGCTCCCTCTGAAATAATCGGAAATGGATCCAAACCACGTTCTTCGGGGTCTTCGCCTGGTTATCTCCCAGGGTGGATGTACCTCTTTCATGAACGTCAAATCCCTGTTCAGGAAATACACGGTCTGCTGCAGGTTCTGGTGCGTGCAAAGAGAGAGGGCCTCCTCGTGGGCGCTCCACTCGCACACGTGGGCGAAGTTCTCCTCGGCTTCTTTCATGCGATCTCGCATCCAGGGCTGGATCCTGGATAAAACCGGATGATCCTCCTCCATGGTGCGTCGGAGGGTTTCTTTGGTGCGGGCGAGTTTTCTGCGAACATTGTCCACCGCCCTGTACATCAGGACGACCGACTGAGCTTGCTGGACCAGCAGACGAGGTATCCCGTCGCCCAGACTGGCGAGATCAGGGTGCGCCAGGATGCTGGAGTAAACGCGTTGCAGGTACTCCCTCATGACCGCTTCGTTGACCACCTGGAAGAAGCAATGCTTCATTATATTATCGTCGACTCATCTTTCCAACAATATCAGGAATTGAAGCCGACGTACCCTCTCAATGTCCTCGTCCGGCATTTTCTGGACCTTCAGCTCGGAGATGAGCCTCTCCCTGAAATGCAGGAACCAGCCTCTGGATTCTCTCTCGAGAATGGAGACCAATATCGGCAAAGATTTGCGGACGATGTCTCTGTTAAAAAGCCGGAGATCTACGGCAGTTCCTCCAGGAGTTCCATAGACGAAGGGGACCGGGACGGGCAACAGCTGCGAGGATTCTCGTTCGACTTCGAATTTCTCCATAGCCGCTCGTCGAAGCTGACGCCTAACAAATCCACAGAGCAGCTCCAGCGAGTCTTCATACTCCGGCTAAAAATGATATCAACGATCAATAATTGAATAAACTATTAACAATTAATTTCTAAGCGATCCACTTACCCTGCAGACGAGTTCAGCGACGAGGTACCTACACCTCTCCTCTCGGATCTTTCCATCCAGATTTTGAGCTTGCAGCGAAGGCACACCGATCACGATATCTAGATCGATGCAAAGAAAAATGAGACGTTAAAGTAGAGATCTCTAGCTATGTAGATTTTTTTACTCACCGATGAGCCTCAGCGATCCTGCCAAGAGAGCTTGTATTGACTGCGACACACTGAAACAATGCGACACCAGTCTAGCCTTTGCTGTCACTACGAGGAACCTGGTGGCCAACGCAACGTCTCTCAGCAAAGTTTCTCTCCTTCGATCCCTCCCACGCTGCAGAAGTCCACTCAGTCGCCATCGGTGGGTCTGTCCAACGAAGTTGATGGATTCCACCTCGAACTCTCTGTAAGAATTTCCCTGATTACCGCTTATCAGGAGTAGTCAGTCGTACAGACCGACGCCAAGTACATCCAGTACGTGAAGTAGCACGAGGAGCTTTCATATCCACATATTTCATGTATAAAGTTCCCTACACTTCGTAACCAGGGTGGTTAATAGTATCACTCTTGTGGAAGAATCCAGCACTTTTAACTGTTCACACACGGTCATCATAACCTGGTTTAAAAAATATTTACACTACAATCACGGAACATTTACCAACCACTGTCTTATCTTGTCTCTTGAAGATCACTGATGTCACTATCGGCTAACTTGGCAAGGACATGTAAGATTAGAACTTTTTCAGTTAGAGTGAAAGGCTCCTTACGCTACTTTACGATCCAGTAGTAATAGGTGAGTGCATGCTGACTGAGATACACGTGTGTGGGCTCGGTACGTGGGTACGTAGAAACATTCTAGCTGCGTAACGTACCCACATCTTCGGATACTCTCCAACTGATCAGCATTTAGCTTCTTCGGCTTTCCATACTTATCCTTGTGCAGGCTTTGGAAAAAAGCGGGGAAGAAACATGTCTTATTTCGTACGGCAGTTCATCCAGCTCCACGAAAATAGCATTCCAAAGGTATCGTCAAGAAAGGTAAAACCGGTCTGTAAATTGGTAGAGAAGAAGAGAAGACAGTTGACAGATGGTGCTTCTTATTTACCCTCTTTCCCTGATGCTCTCCAATTGCTTGTCGGTGAGTCTCCTCGGCTCCCCCTTCCCATCCACGGCAACAGCATCCAATTCGTCAAAGCTCGGAGCTACGAAGAGATCCCTGGCATAAATTGGTCTCTTTCGAGCCAGGGTATCCTCTTTGTCTGCGCACATCGAGAGCGGAGATGGCAGGATGATCGGAAAGGTCTTCCAGTGGTACAGGAATTGCTGTGCCACTTGTTCGATGTCCCGAACCAGGGCTTCCACCTCAGCCGGAGCTCCTCGTAGATGAGATACATCGAACTCCACTGGTTCTTTCTAAAAATAAAATAAAACAAGTAAGCTCCCATAAAGTGAGGTATACGAATAAACACCTCCAAACCCTACATACCTCCGGTCTCGAAGGCCACACGTCTCCATTGTTCCGTCTCGAGTTGGACTGAGATAAAGGATAGCCTCGATGGTTGGAAGCTGCTTCCGGGAAAGTGGTGGACGCCGAGTCGATATTACGTGGCATGTCACACATAAATAGTGTCCGTGGGGGCCGGGGTCAGCTGCCCGGTATTCCGACAATCTCTTCATACACCATGTCGAATGTAATAGCCCTTCTTCATGAAATGCCCTTAACGGGATAAAACTGGATCGACGAAGGGGAAGCCCGAATCGATCGGCTCTTCTAACCTCTCCAAGAAGGCTTCTTAAAAATCACGCTCCTCCGTTCCTTGAATCCCAGGTCTAATGAATACACCGGCTGTCCGGCAAGTTGGCAAAAAATAGCCTCTACGTACCCTACATTCGCCATACAGACACTTACTTGTGTGCGAGCTGTAACCGTCTCATTCGTGGCTCAACCGCTGCGGCTCAGCCTCGGAACCTTTGAAACTCTTTCGATACCTATCGAGAAAGGCAGAATCCAGTTAATGACTACACTATGTGACGCAGGAGTGAAACAGTACTCAGGGTAAAGGGTTGGGGCAAAATACTCACTTTTATAGGGAATATCTCGCGTCTATTCGCATTGATGGCAAATCAGTGTCGACGAGGAGACCACCTTACTGAGCCGTTCAGGACCTGGAAGCGAGCCCGGGGTGGGCGGTCAGTGTTTTCTGGGTCATTTGGCGGCGATATCTAGAGCACCACCGGGCCCTCAGCTGACAAGGCTCGGCAGGATTTAAAATTTTAAAAGACAGCCCGCTTGGAAGTCGTACTCACGCCAATGACGCCAATTGACAGGTGACGAGTGCTCGTCTCGCATCCGCCCGGCGTCGCCTGGGAACTTCCGTTGTCGCGACTCGGCCCTACACTTGACCCCGAGGGCTCCTCGTAAACGCAGCTCGTTATTCACACGGACGCACACCACTACCCACCCACGCACCGCACTCTGCACACTGGCTCAAATAAATTCGCACACGACGCCCGAAACCCTCGAAACGATCGAACTGACGGCGCTTCGACGAATCCGCAATGAGTCCCGCCAGACGCCTCCACGAGCGGCGCCGGTGGCGCCATCTAATATCGGACGATGGAACCCGCTACCCAATTTGAAATATCATCAACCGACATAGATATACCCCAGACATGAATCTGTCCTATTCACCGACGATACCACCCAGCGCTACAAGTTTCATTCAATCTCTGCAAGATGGCGCCACCTCCGATTTCCACATTTGGCGCGTTATATATCTTGAATTAATTAATTATCGTCATTTTTAGGTTATTAATCCCCTGAATTCGAGGACGTTGGGGGTGCCCCAGTCCCATGAATGTATATGAATGAATTAGAAACGGTTTAGACCAAGATTTCGCCTTCTTGCGGTTTTCTTCCTGGCGAATTTTTTCTTCGCGTTTAATCAACTATTCAATTAACGGAGAGCGTTACGCGCGTACGAGGACCTCGCGTTGTTAAATTGGATTTCCCGACATTGAGGGGTTTCCAAGAGGGAATCTCGAAGCCCGTTAAGATTCGCCAACGGCCAGAATAGTTCGCCGAGCGGTTCCGAGACGAGTCTTGACAGCCGATTTTTTTATATCGAGGAAGTCAGGCCTTTGATAAGGACTAGTGTACGTGATTGTCCTCAGGGAAATTCCTTCGGAGAAGGAATTTTGAACGGGAGGGACAGGGCCTTCGATAGGTGAGCTCCAGTCCCGAATTCGTTAAATCAGTGCTAAATGTGAGCCGTTGAAAATCCCTACGAATTTCGTTCAGTTCCCAAATAATCAATTAACGACTTAACGCAATCCCTTCTTGCAGTTTCATCGTCCTGTTCAGAGCCTACCATTCCATTTCTTCATCTCTTCGCATGCCCTGAAGAGGCCTTCCTCCTCGTTCCCGTTGCTTCTCCAGGTTTCCTCGCTTCCTAGATTTCCTACAAAAAAACGTACGATACATGCCCCTTCAATATTATAATATTAATTAAAAATGAAACTGACATTAACGAATTATTTTCAACAGTGTACAAGAGGCCCTTCAATGAGATAATTCGTACAATTGGAAAATCAATTATCGACCTAACGCAATCCCTTCTTGCAGTTTCATCATCCTGTTCAGAGCCTACCATTCCATCTCTTCATCTCTTCGCATGCCCTGAAGAGGCTTTCCTCCTCGTTCCCGTTGCTTCTCCAGGTCTCCTCGTCGAGAAGGGAGAACCTCAGAGCGCATAATCAAGGCATATCGATTTCAGGTACGAGCGCAAGCGCCGGGCGGTTCTCTTCAGCGTCGTGGGGGTGCGGTTGTTACCATGGATCCCAGTGTACTCGCCAACATGGATAAGGACGCACTGAAAAAGCAGATCGAGAACATGAAGTACCAAGCTACGATGGAACGGTGGCCGTTGTCGAAGAGCATCGCCGCGTGAGTTCGGGAGTTTTCTTTACAACAAAGCCCAGAAGCCGAAGAGGACCCGAAAGAAAAGAAAAAATGAAAAGAGCGTTGTCTCCGTCCTGTAATCGCAGGAGGAAGGAGATCTCGGGGGAATTTTTCCAGGGCTTAACCCTTTACCTACCGGAAGGCTATTAATAGGCTTCTCGATGCCAATGCTTATCGATTAGAAGTTTATTAATCCGATTTTCTTAAAGGTAGATCAGAATGTTAAAGCCCAGCCAGCATTAATGGAGAATTAACCAGTCTTTTCTAGGGGTCGGATTTAATTCCCAAGCGGGTGGTTAAGGGTTAAGGCGATCGGAAATGTTGAGTCAAAGAGTGGCGTTTTATTAAACTTTTGTCGGAATTGAGTGTACGGAGCTTTTTGAAAATTTATCTCGTGAATGTGGAGGCCATAAGGAAGGCTTTGACCCCTGTGAAATCGGATCTTTCTTACGCGGAATTGGAAAGGTTTAAAAAAAGGCTCTTTTCATGGGATACGTAAATTTCCAAAGATTCAGTGCGTTCGGTTCGGAGATAATTTAGATGTCCTTCGTATGGTTCTTAAGACACAAATTTCCGACTCGGGAAGAGAGGAGTGAGGTGAAAAAAAAATTAAAAAAGGTGCTTTTCCACAGGATGCGAGAGTACGTCGAGGAGAACGAGAAGAGCGACCCCTTGATCCACGCGCCGGACAAGAAGAACAACCCCTGGGCCGAGAAGGGAAAATGCGTCATCATGTAGACCCATTAAGGACGAGAGATAAGGAGGAGGAAATCAGGGAATCGGGAAGGACCACCTTGGCAGGAGGAAGGAGCCATTTTTTGGCTCTCTCGAGCCAAAGCCACACAGAGGAGAGGATTTTCCAGGCATCGCCGTGCACCGGGTGGAATTAACCACGAAAGAGAGAAAAAGAACTAAAACGGAGAATGGAACTTCAAGTAACAGGAGGGAGAACCAAGAAAGAAAAGGAGAATCATGGAGAACCGAGCCAGAAAGTGCCAAAACGAGATGGCGAGTCCTTGAATGAATATTTTTTCAGGATTCGTCCTCGACCTGGACTCCTTCAAGTGTGGCTTCGGTCTCGAACATCGTACTCGATAATTAACATTTAACAAGTACCACCTAACGATTGACACTTAGGATTTAATATTTAATATTTAATATTTAATACTTAATTCTCAATACCAAATAATTAACTTGGCGACCCTCGACTCGTCGTCTTAACAATTTTCGCCCCTCTCGCTCACATCTTCCTCTCTTTTTAATTCTGGATAAATAACCATAAAAATGGAGAATGAAACACGTGCATAGGAACTGGATATTGATTTGTCCCATAAGTTCACGAACGAACATTTTTCTAAGTGCATTTTCACCGTGGACAATGATATGCTTGTCAAAACCATCAGATAGATAACCGTAGATAACCAAAAGTGAGAATACATTATTAGTTAAGAGAGTTTCATTTAAGAAAAAAACAATTGTATGATCTTTACAAAATTTACTCTCGAACTTATGAGACAGCTCTTAAGAATATGCTCGCACTTTTGACATGTCATAATTTCCAAGTGGTCTGTAATCGACCATACACTTTCATGTTCATCGTTATCGTCCTCTCTATCGATTTCTTACGGGAAGAAATATAAATATAAATATAAATATAGATACATTGTAACCTCTCTGAAGAGGAGGAAACCTTTTCATGGGGTGATAAGGTTATCACCATGTGAATCGGCGAACGTACTCTCGTTTTGTACCATGTATAATCGGTATACACCTGTAAAAGGTAACTCGGTTCCGTTCTGATACCATCTCGACGATTCTGAATTTCGTGGGGACCCGAAACGATATAAAAACTCTATGGGGAAAAAGCGAACCCCCACTCGGCGTTTTTATTTCTCTTTATCCATTAATCTCGTTATCAGCGAATCGGCGTAAATAATTTCGATATCATGTACGGTTCGCTGTAACCTTTCAGCTAACGATCGCATTTTTATCTCACACTCGCGTTTCGTTTCCTGTATCGCCGGCCACGTTTAATAAATGCGGAAACGAGATCCACCCTCAGTTTTCCAATTAATTCCATACCCAAGTTTTGTTATCGTAAACCTAAGAAAAAAAAAAAGAAAAGAAGATGGGTCGACATTATTTATATGCGTGTAAAAATTAACGTAAGAGAGAGTTGAGGAAAAAAACTTTTTATGGTGCAGCGCAATATGTTAACGACCCATCAGGAAGGGAAATAGAAAAATCTGCCTTTAATGGAATCCCATGGAAATTGGTTCACCATATATTTCTTACGTCCTCTAGGCAACTAAAACTAGGGAAAGAAGAAAACCAGGTGAAGAGCTAGTTATCGTGCAGAGGAATATGTCAACGACCCATCAGGAAGGGGGATAATGAATTCCGCCTCCTCCTGGCGAATCCCATGGAAATTGGTTCCCCATATATTTCTGACATCCTTTAGGCAACCAAAACTAGGGAAAGAAGAAAATCAGGTGAAGAGCTAGTTATCGTGCAGAGGAATATGTCAACGACCCATCAGGAAGGGGGATAATGAATTCCGCCTCCTCCTGGCGAATCCCATGGAAATTGGTTCACCATCCATTTCCTACATCCTCTAGGCAACCAAAAGTAGGAAAAGAAGAAGAAACTCCACTCGTTCCGGTGACTTTAGAAGGCTGGCACCAGGAGAGGAGTGCTCTCCGGATTGGCGGCGTTTCACTCTCTTGTTCCCATTTAACTCCACGGGGATTGGATGGCCGCGCTCGGCTCGTTGGTGGTAGCGGTGTTCGCCACTATAGTTAAAATGAAAGGCACTTAATTGTCGTCTATAATATTCCCGCGCACGTACTAAATTTAAGAAGGATAGTTTCAGTGTTTCCTGAACAGCTGTCAGCGATAGACAAGCCGTCATACGGCGAAGGGACGATATTCCGCGCCGGTGGATCCGCCACTGAGCGACCTCGAGAGATTCGCGAATCCTTTTCCGATTTTCGCGCACCCACGCAAAGAAGAGAGGTGGTTAAGTGAACTTTGGAGACCGGATCTGCCAAGGAGCCGGACGAGAGGAAAATCGGAGACAGCCATGGTAAGGGAGCCGCCCTCCACCTGCCCACTTCCGGTCGAGACGCCCCCCCGGAAGTTGGGCACCATTATTTCGACCTCTTCCGGGACTCTTCCGCTCTTTCGCTGTTTAGCTTTCTATTTTCTGCCGTTGCATCTGGAGTCTGGTTTAAAGGACGGAGAAATTCGGCTCTTTTTTATTAGAGCTCTTCGAGTTCTCCAAGTTTCCCTTCAAGTTCTTGTCCATATTTCATTTCTTTTTTTCGGCGTTCTTTCGCTTTCTACTTTGTGCTGTTTTATCTCAGAGTGTGGTTTAACGACGGAGAAATTCGAGTTCTTTTACTTTCTACTTTATGCTGTTATATCTCCAAGCCAGATTTAGGGCCTGAGAAATTCGGGTTCCCTTATTCGAGTTCTTCGAGTTCTCTTTCAACTTCTCTTCCCCCGCTCTTTCACTTTCTACTTTGTGCTGTTACATCCTCGAAACTGGTTTAAGACCCGGGAAATTCGCGTTCCCTTCTTCGAGTTCTTCTTCGAGCTCTTCATCATCCTCGGTGAGTTCTTCAAGGAGGACATTTGCGCAATTTTCGCCTCTTTCTTGCGGGAATCGTCGCTCCGTCGACCTCCTTTCCTTGTTCCCCTTGATTTACCCTGGAATAGCGCCGATTCATTTTACCTCTTCATTTTTGCTATCAATCTTTTCGGTCGTTTACCCGGTTACGTCGTATCCAGGACTTCGTCATCGCAGTTGCGTGCTCCAGGTGACTTCATCTTCCCCAGGTCGCAAACTCGGCCTGGGAGGAAAGAGAAAATCGAAGATGCGGAATGGAGGAAATCCCTGGGAATCCGTTTATACACTTACACCCCGTTAAAAGAAAGTGTCTCAAAGTATACACACCCTTTCTTTAAAGATCCCACACCCTATTAAAACAATTGAAATCAATTTTGCACCGTTTTACACAATTTTAAAGAATTTAATAAACTCGCGAAAGGCGTATTAAATAATTCTTTCAAACATCTAATTCGTGATTTCAGCCTAACTTTGTACACCTACATTGTACAAAATTTACAAACATTTCTAACGCTGTAGATATTAAACATTGTCTCGAGGCTCATTCACACATTATCAGACATTCTCTGCTAATTTCCTCGCACGAAATTTGCAACATTCATATAACTTTGTATACTAAATTTATAAAAAAAGTGAACCTGTTTCGCCGCGAAAATATCTCGATATATCGGAGATCTCGTTTTCACGGAGGCGTGAATTATCGGAGTCTCCTTCTTTCCAGCATGCAATTTTTCTTTTGCTCTCGCGCGATAAGCGAGTCGCTTTATAAGGCCTCCGTGTAACAGCCTGAAACATAATATTAAACATTGAGAACACGTACAAGAGACGAGATCGCACAAGTGCATTAACTTTATCTCGGCCGAAACGAGAGTTCGATGATAACGATATGTAGCGTCGAAAATTAATGATTGAAATAATTAAATCATTAATTTAACGTCCAGGCCGTATAATTTCTCGAGTGGCTGCGAAGACTCTCCGATAAAATATCTAAAAATTCATAATTAATTAATTGGTAAATTTCCACGTAAAGAAAATCGCGTGAAATTTACGAATTCGAATGCAAATTACTGGTGGGTTATGAAATCACCGTGAAAATGGATGTCTCGATTATTTCACGGAGTGCTGCGCTGTCGAAGTCTCTCTCCCTCTTTCTCCCTCTTCCAGTGTCTCCGTTCCTTCTCTCTCTCTCTTTCTCTCTCCTCGGTTTTGCAATCATCGCCGTGGCCGGTCGCGATTTTCTAACGCAACAGCGAGTTAATCTTGAATAAAGATCAATAGCTTCGAAGTGACATCACTCGAGAGTTGTCCGACGTGTCGAGTCTGCAATTTCTTGCGAGACTTATTTCCTCCCCCTCGTGTCCTTCCCCAGATTCAGGGATTTTATCAAGAATGTCTGGACTCAGTGGAATGCCATTAAAACGGTATTAAAAATGCTCATAGAATCCCTGCCTGTTTGATACACAAGTTTGAGATTCAATTATAAATTCGACGACTCAAAAGTTTATCAATTAAACATTACACAAAATGAAATGTCATAAAATGACAAGATTGTTATTAACAGTGTGCATAGGTCTGACGTCTCTGCAAATTCGGAGTTTCAGTCCACGTGACGTCTTCCTCTTATTCCCGTTTCCCGAGGAGTCGCGCTCGTCCCACCCGATCAGCTGATTTTGACAGCTGTCACCGGGCGGACGGGAGGCGATCTTCCGTCGCGAATCCTGCGAGAACCGTCGATTCTACGAGGAAACACCTTTCTACCATTTTCGTAGATTCTTTAACGCTCTACAAAACTATTCCTATACAATTTCGCCGTATCTCCTCCCGAAAGCCACCAGATGACGAGGGCAAGTCCCCGAGACGACATAAACGATCTTCCGCCGCGGATTCCGCGAGAACCGTCAACTCGACGACGAAGCGCCCCTTCACCTCTTCCACAGATCCTTTGACACTCTACAAAAGTGTCCCCATGCAACTTGGCCGTATCTCGGCTGTGAGGCCGACAAACCGCGGAGACAGGTCTCCGGGGCGTTCAGGAAATGTGAAAGTTATCCGGCTCTCGAGACGGATTTGCGATCCGCGGGCTTAGCCGATCGTAATCGGCACCTGCAAGGGGCCCGACTGGTCAACGAACTTGCCGAGAAAAGAGATCATCGTTATTTTCGGGCCGGGTTTCCTCGTTTTTGGAAACTTCCATGGAGACCTCGCGCCGAGACTTTCCGGCAGAAAAGCGGCCGTTGCTTTCTAACGCGGCCGTCCCGGTGGTACGTGTAGCTACGTATAAATACGTACACGTACGTGTAGCTACGTATAAGTACGTACATGTACATACGTACAGTACATATAAGTACGTACCAGCCGGCTAGAAATCGGCCGGCAAGCGGTTCCCAAACGATCCGTTCTCCGACATTGAAGTCAGGGCCGGTGGCTCTTGCGTTTCCTCGCCAGTTCTCGTCCTTCTCTCTCGTCCTTCCTCCACATCATCCTGCAAGACACGCTCGATATCAGTCCAAGTCGAGCGACTTTTTCGAGGGATAAAAAAAATAATTCCCAAGGCGAAACGGGGGAAAAAATGGATTTTTCTCTATTTTTTTTAAATATTCTTTACTTCTTCCTGTAATTTACAGAAGCACTACTAATTATTATTCTCGAATATGTCATTCTAGACTTATTATCTCTCTTTCCATTTCCTTATCACTCATATTTAAGTTTAATTATTTTTAATTCATAATCTCCAATTTGCCTAATCTGAACGAAGGAAAATATTGGACATTGGAGAAAATATTGCGGAACTTACGTTATCGTATATTTTTAATATGTCTTGCCCACGTGTAGCTGCACTCTGGGGTCAAATAAAAATATTGTAGTCTCTTTCTCTTTCTCTCTCTCTCGTTATCTTTCTATTTCTCTCGGTGAGAGAACCGGGGAACGGAAGTGTGGAAATGTAGGCCTCGTTTCCCCGGCACGACCTTTCTCTCGTTTTTCCTTCTCTCCAGCCTACTATTTGCCGGTCCTTCCGCGAACGTCCGCTCGTTCGACTGCTCTTCAGAGAAAGGGTCCGTAAAAGAAACACATCTACATATAAAAAAGTCCCGGAGAACCAGAGAGGAAGAAAGAAAACGGCCCAAGCGAGCGAGCTGTACCGAGAAAATGCGTAAATCCAGATTGCAAAGCGCGTTTTCCGAGACGCGATTGTGGTAATAATTCTCATAACAATCTCTGCGAAGGAACTTTTATTTTGCATTTATATATTTCCTCTGAAGACGATTCTTCGTGGATAATTCTCCTGTTATTCGCTGTGGTTTCGATTAATCGGACCGATCACGAGTCCTTCTCGAGCGCGCAAGATGGCGGCGAATTAATGCGCGAATGAGGAGAACGAACATCGCGAATCGTCCGACTCGTCCAGGTTTCGCCATTCGTGGTAAATGCCCCTTCGGTGTCGTGTCTTAATACCCCACGGTGTACTTGAAAAGTACGTGACGAAAGCCGGCGCGTTTCGTCCGCAAAGATAAGATGGCGGCGGATCGTGACTCTTAGGAAACGTGCTCGCGGCCTCTCCGCGATGAAAGGTGCATGCTACTTTCATGCCCCAGGAAATCGTTCAGCCTGGATTAAGCCTCGGCACGATAAATACAATAAACTTGGTATTCCTAGCTTTATTCGGCGAAAATAAGCTCGAAAGTACTGAAATGCAAAATGGAATCGCGCGTAGACGAGGAAGTAAGATGATAGCGGATTGTGATTTCTTCTCGATGAATACCGCTTTCATGTCTCGGAAAATCGATTAGCCTCGATTAAACATCCGTGCCATAAATGGTATTTCTCCTCGGTATTTCGCGCTTTAAAATCGGGTCGAAAGTTTTGAAATGCCAAGTCGAACGGCGAAAAGAGGAGAAACCAAGATGGCGGCGAATCGTGACACTCAGGAAACGTACTCACGGTCTCTTCGCAATGAAAGGTGAACGTTACTTTCATGCCTCAGGAAGTCGTTGCGTCTCGACTAAGCCTTGCATGATAAATACCCTCTCCTCGGAATTTCAAGTTTAATCGCGCTTTCAAAGTGCGAAAATAAGCTTGAAAGTCCCAAAGCGCAAAGTGTAACCACGCATCGAAGAGGATCCAAGATGGCGGCACGCAGGCGCTCCTGCAAAATTTATGTAGAAATAGACAGGGCATTACAGCGTTAAAATACACTCGCATAATAAGAACTTCCGGAGAAGTTCCTAAACGGAAGATACCCAAACTAACATCTTCTGAACACGTATACACATGCTCTATAAGGCCGTGTACCGCAACTGAAGTTAACCGAGGTTTAACTGACTGCCACTCGGTTCAGCCTGCTGTAAACTTCGGTTGACTCGAATTGTGGAACCGGGTCTTAAATCCTCTTCTTTTTCTGCAACCTCCTCGGGGAATTGGGCGAGGAGAAATTGTCCGATTCCTGGCGGAACTGCGACCGGCAATTATTTTATTTACAGTCGAGGTGGCGACTCGGACCCGCCGGAGGTGAAACGTTTACGGATGGCCGGGCATTACGAGCGGCGAGTCGACTTTCCGAATTGTTTCGAGATCCGCGAACGGGGCCGGGGGGAAAACGGAGGAAAAAGGGAGAAAAAGACCCGGGGGACCCCGCGAAAGCGCAATTACCCAGGTTTAACACCTACGAGGTGTATCTACGACTTTCCCTCTCCTGGATCGGCAAGGTAGTGGATCGTAGCTGCGCGGATCTTATTAGAAAGAGAGGCCGCGATGCGGACGCCGCGAGAGCGAGAGAAACGGAGATACCTCCGAGACAGGGTCACGTTCCGCTCGACGGTCCAGCCACCGGTCTGGGTACGGCTTGGTGCCACTGCGTTTCTGCATCAAGGCGAATTGCGCATTACACACTACGTTCCTCTCAAATATAATATTCCCGTATGAAGAACAAAATCCAACAATCTACGGGAATTTTTCAGAGAATTCTTCCTCCTCAAATAGCCGTTAAAATAAATCCAACTCACGGCGTCTCCTAAAACGTTCACATATTTCCTTCTTATTTCTCCTTTTTATACCACTCACTGAAATAATTGCCACGCGTAGAAATAAAAATGCAAAGCAGCATACATACCTACTCTTTCTTGCATAATGTAAAGAGATAGAGATTCAATCTCGGTGAAAAAAAAATAACAAGAAATACGCAATCCCTTTCCACAAGGCGGATCGCGCAGAAAAAGCGCGCGAGTTTCATTAATATTTAAACGGAATATAAACTTAAAAATAGAACAGCCTTGTTAAAGTGAGCAAAGACGTGGTTAAAAGCGGATAAAAAAGAATACGCATAAAAAGAGACCCTCGAATACCTATAATTAACGAGATACGATCAGTCTTCTTTCGTTATGCTAAACGATACACTGAGAGACAAGTTATTGAACTAAAGCACTTCTTCTTTGAATAGTACGAAAGAAATATTGTTGTTAATTTAGAAGTGAGATGGACATTTATTTCCCTTCCAGCTCGTGCTCGATGCGGCGAGGGCGAGGACCATGAAGAGGACTTCGAGGGGGTGGATGTTCTTCCTGGTTGTTCTCATCCTCTGCTTAACCCTGGAACAGTCCGATGGTAAGAGGATAAACGAAATCAAGTTGTTTATCATTTTTATTCCGGATTTTTCGCCATTTTCCAGGAGCCAGGAAGAGGTTTCGCAGGCCGACTCCCAGCACGTCGACCTCGAACGACCAGGAAGTCTCAGCTAGTGTGAACAGGTTCAAAGTTACCCGGAACAGACTGAACACGAAGACCACGAAGAATGAGGTGCAGCCCGAAAAAACGGGCGACTACAAGGTAAAGAAAAAAAAAAGAAAGAATTAAGGTGGGATGAAACTGCCGACTTATAAATGGGATTAACAGTTTATGAGACTTTTTTCTGAACACGTGATTATGGAGGCCCTAAGAAAGAACGCGATGCTCGTGAAATTTCATTTTTCACGAAAAAAAAAAATGATTTTAGTTCTAGTCTAGGGTGAATAAATGAATATTTTATTTTGAAAAATCTAATTTCACGTTCTTTTTTAGGGTTTCCATAATCACGTGTTAAAGTTTGAAATTATTCGGTGCATCCAGTTTGGAGGAAGGTTTCATATTTTGACGTTTTATATGTATATAAAATGACCCTTTCATTTCATCTTGAGTCCCTCCGAATTCTGAGAGATCGTACAAGATATCTTGCTCTTCAAGGTTGTCTGCTACTATACCAACTGGTCGCAAGTTTAAAATTATTCGGTGCGCCCAGTTTGGAGGAAGGTTTCATATTTTGACGTTTTATATGTATATAGAATGATCCTTTCATTTCATCTTAAGTCCCTTCGAATTCTGAGAGATCGTACAAGATATCTTGCTCTTCAAGGTTGTCTGCTACTACACCAACTGGTCGCAATACCGGACGAAGACCGGCAAATTCATGCCTGAAGACATCCAGCCGGACTTATGCACACACATAGTGTTCGCCTTTGGCTGGTTGAAGAAGAACAAGCTGACGAGTTTCGAGTCAAACGATGAAACGAAGGACGGAAAAGTCGGCCTCTACGAGAGGATCGGCAACCTGAAGAAGGAGAACCCCAGCTTAAAGATCCTGCTCGCCATAGGTACCTCATATTTCCGACTCGGAAGAAAGAGCGAGTCAAAAGACACTTTTAACTAAATCGTTCAACAAGTTCGACAAATTTCCTCCTTTTTAGGAATTTTATTTAGGGATAATTCCTAAACAAACCTGTCGAGAAATTACCAAGAGGGGACCGACGACGCCATGTATCAGTTCATTCATTATTTCCTAATTATGATTAATCAATACATGGTTCGTTTCGTTGCGCGTAAAAAAAAGTGTATAATGTTTAGAGATTTGTCGGTGAACTTATGAGAGAATGTGATATTTATAAGGATCCGAAAAAATCCATGCCGTCTCTGAATGTCTACTCTCTGCCTGCGCTTCTTCCAGGAGGATGGTCCTTCGGTACCCAGAAGTTCAAGGACATGTCTTCTTCGAGATATGCCCGGCAAACCTTCATCTACAGCGCCATTCCTTACCTCCGAGATCGAGACTTCGACGGACTGGACATCGATTGGGAATATCCTAAAGGAGGCGACGACAAGAAGAATTACGTACTACTGTTGAAGGGTGAGTACCCGGAAGAGGCTCTCCGAAAATGTCTCGGTTAATTTTTAATAACTTTTCATTGACATTTCTCTGTTTACCTTGAAGAACTGCGAGAGGCCTTCGAGGCCGAGGCTCAGGAAAGGAAGAAGTCGAGGCTTCTTCTCACAGCAGCCGTTCCTGTGGGGCCTGACAACGTAAAAAGCGGCTACGACGTCCCTGCAGTCGCTAGGTAGACAAAGAAAATCATTTCCAATCGAGTTTAACCGATAAAAAGTGACTACATACGTGACGATAAATCCTGGCACTAAATCTGTACCTACAAATTTAATTAAGAAATTAAATATTAAACTTCAGACACTCTTTACACCATTTCACAGGCCCTTAAAAATTCGTTCGACATCCCCAAGATGTCTTCTGCGATGCTAATTATGCTTCCGTATCTTTCTTCCAGCTACTTGGATTTTATCAACCTTATGGCGTACGACTTCCATGGGAAATGGGAACGTGAAACTGGACACAACGCTCCTCTTTTTGCCTCTTCCCTGGATTCGGAATGGCAGAAGCAACTCAGTGTGGACCATGCGGCAGATATGTGGGTTCGACTTGGTGCACCAAAGGAAAAACTAATCATAGGGATGCCGACCTATGGGAGATCTTTCACCCTGTCGAACCCCAACGCCTGGAAGATCCACTCTCCGGCGAGTGGAGGTGGAAAAGCTGGAGAGTACACCAAGGAGTCCGGCTTCGTGGCCTACTACGAGGTTCCTGGTCCCTTAAATCAGATACAAAATCTTAAATAATTATAAACAAGTGGAATTTTAATAATTACAAACAATAAAAATATATTTAAGCCGAGTTTATATCCCACCGAATGGGATGAGAAGAATTTTGAAAGGGCAAATTTATGCAAGTTAATAATGGATCCGAAGGGAATAAAAGCGCTATTTTGAACGGGTTATATATAAGAAGAAAAATATCTATATTATAAAATTAGGAACTAAATATTGATATACGTATGAATTTTTCTAATCCAGATCTGCGAGATGCTGAGGTCCGGTGCAGCCTACGTCTGGGACGACGAGATGAAGGTGCCTTACCTGGTGCACGGAGACCAATGGGTAGGCTTCGACGACGAGAGGGCCATCAGGAACAAGATGCACTGGCTCAAGTCTAAGGGTTATGGTGGCGCCATGGTGTGGACCGTGGACATGGACGATTTTAATGGGACGGTCTGTGGCGCAAACGTGAGGTACCCGTTGATAGGAGCTATCAGAGAGGAGCTTCTGGGCATTCCTCGAGGAAGCGACGCGAAGGACGTGGACTGGAGCGCCGTGGCTCCAACGATGGTTGAGACGGTGAAAAAACCAGAGCCCTACAAGATCCCCGTAACGGATGTCCTCAGCAAAGCCCAGAAGAAGCAGCAGAAGTCCTCCTCCGACCTCGTCGTCTCCACCGCGAGTCGAGGTGGGGACCAAAAGAATTTTCTTTTTTTAATCATCCGACGTTATCAAAGCCCTCTCCAGGGCCACTTCGCCGGCATCGTACATGTTCGTCCTTCTCTTGTAGAAAATCCCATCTTCAGGACTACTTTTCTTTTCTTTTACGCGCATTTAATACCATGTTTAATACATGTCCATACATGTCCTACACAACGAGTCCTCTTCAAGGCCACTTTATACACTTTACACGTGTTCATCATCCTCTTCGGGGACACTTTATACACTTTACACGTGTTCATCATCCTCTTCAAGGATACTTTATACACTTTACACGTGTTCATCATCCTCTTCAAGGATACTTTATACACTTTACACGTGTTCATCATCCTCTTCAAGGATACTTTATACACTTTACACGTGTTCATCATCCTCTTCAAGGATACTTTATACGCATTTTACACGTGTTCATCATCCTCTTCAAGGCCACTTTATACACTTTACACGTGTTCATCATCCTCTTCAAGGCCACTTTACGATACATGTTCATCATCCTCTCCCTGCAGAGCGAGCACCTCAGACGATCTGCTATCTGACGAATTGGTCCCACAAAAGACCAAGTTCCGGTAAATTCCTGCCCGAGGACGTGGACGCTCAGCTCTGCACCCACGTCGTCTACGCATTCGCCACCTTGAAGGACCACTTGCTGAGCGAGGGCTCCGACAAGGACGACGAGATGTACCGCAGGCTCCTGACCCTGAAGGAAAAGAATCCCGACATTAAGGTGGGCGGTGTCGCAATCTCAGACCTGTCCAACCACTCCAGTGACTTAATCTCGAAGAATTAGCATTTTAGGAAGATTCCTCGCCATCTGTTTACGCCGTTCCGTCCTATTCAACATTATTATATAATATTTCACACATAGATATTCTCCTCAGGTACTCCTGGCCATCGGAGGCTGGGCCTTCGGCTCCACACCCTTCAAGGAACTCACCAGCAACACTTTCCGGATGAACCAGTTCGTCTACGAGGCCATAGAGTTCCTCAGGGAGTATAAATTCGACGGACTTGACGTCGACTGGGAATATCCACGGTAAAAATGACCTGAGAAATCATTCCGATAATTAAGGCGATGCGAAAGTCAGGTGTCCAATTATTTATAGGAATTTTCTTGGAACGGGGTGTACCGAATCGTTTGAAATTTCACCGCGAGGAAATGGAACCCATGAAGGAGGTCCTGCCGCCCATGAATTTCATATTTATTTTATCATTATTATTTTTTATTCGACGTAAAAATTCAGTACACCCAGTTTGGGGGGATATTTCATAAAGGAATGTATTTTCTTTAATGACGTTTTATACATATATTTCATTTCCATCCAGAGGAGGGGACGACAGAACTGCTTATGTGAATCTTCTGAAGGAGCTGAGACTAGCTTTCGAAGGTGAGGCCAAAAGTTCCGGCCAACCAAAATTGATTCTCTCAGCAGCTGTGCCTGCGAGCTTCGAAGCCATCGCCGCAGGGTATATATAATTCTCCTAAAAGGACATTTAACAATATTTAAGGTGATGCGAATCTTCATACTACTCGAAAAGTCGAATTTTTACCATTTAATAACTCTTCAGGTACGACGTCCCGGAGATCTCGAAGTACCTGGACTTCATAAACGTAATGACTTATGACTTCCATGGACAATGGGAGCGACAGGTTGGACACAACAGTCCTCTTTTCCCTTTGGAAAGTGCCACGAGCTACCAGAAGAAATTGACAGTGGTAAGGAAACGGATAAATTGGAAGTCCCTTAAGGCGCTATGAAAGTAAAGTCCAAGAAGGCTCATTTATGAAATTTCTCAGAACTAGATGCACCGAATCGTTTGAAATTTTCTCCCGTGAATATGAAGGCTCTAAGGAAGGTCCTGCCACCCATGAAATTTCATTTTTCTCCAAATTCATATATAAACATTGTCGTGGTTTTTCATAAAAAATGAAATTTCATACGCGGCAGGATCTTCTTTACGGTCTCTATATTCAAGTTTTAAAGTCTCAAACTATTTAGTACACTCGGTTCGAAGAAAAATGTTATAAATGATTGACGTGGCTTTCATACCGCCTTAAAGCGAAAAAGGACACTCAGTAATCTCCTCTCCTTCAGGATTACAGCGCCAGGGAGTGGGTTAAACAAGGTGCTCCAAAGGAGAAGCTGATGATCGGCATGCCGACTTATGGGAGGTCCTTTACTCTGGTGAACAAGGACAAGTTCGACATCGGAGCACCGGCTTCAGGAGGCGGCATCCCGGGGAACTTCACGAACGAAGCTGGCTTCCTGTCTTACTACGAGGTCATTTAGAATATTATACGTAAAGCTGGATCGATTTCTCCTGCAACTTGGTGTCGATGAAGGATCTCTTCCGGGCAGGTCTGCAGTTTCCTGAACGAGGACAACACCACCCTGGTGTGGGACAGCGAGCAGCAGGTTCCATTTGCATACAGGGAGGACCAGTGGGTGGGCTTCGACGACGAGAGGAGTCTGACCAACAAGGTGGCTGAAATGAAATAACAGAGTGAACCAAAGTCCCCGGGAATCAGGATTTCTTAAGTACCGAAAGACCTGAAGAGGTCCTTCGGTACAATTAAGAGGTTTCATCAATTAATCGTTGACCCCACCGCAGATGTCCTGGCTGAAGGAGGAGGGCTTTGGAGGTATCATGATCTGGTCTGTAGACATGGACGACTTCAGGGGCACTTGTGGGACCGGGAAATATCCTTTGATCAAGGCGATGAGGAAGGAGCTGCAGGACTACTCCGTCAAGCTGGAATACGACGGGCCCTACGAGATGAACTCCTGGAACGGGAAGTTTACGACGAAGGACCGTAAGTCCTGAAAAAATCAATTTCAACAGACCTATTACAATGTTCCATCATTACGCGTTATTTAATTAATGTCGGCCCTGAAGAGGATCTTCATCGATGTCTTCTTGCAGCGAACGAGGTCGCCTGCGACGAGGAGGACAACCACATCTCCTACCACCCTGACAAGAGCGACTGCACCATGTACTACATGTGCGAGGGCGAGCGCAAGCATCACATGCCTTGCCCAGTGAATCTGGTCTTCAACCCCAACGAGAACGTCTGCGACTGGCCAGAAAACGTGGAGGGGTGTCTTCAGCATACCCAGGCCCCGCCAGTGTAGCCGGGTCCGTCCCGAAGGACACCCTGTACAAAGGAGGGGAACGACTCCCTGATGAAGAGGCCCCACCAAGAGGGCCTCGACCAAGAAAAGCGCCATCGGCCGAGGTTCGCGCGACAAGGAACTCGGCTGGGAATTGTAATAAACGTTGTAATAAACGATGTATCGGTAACGAGAGATACAGAGGTGTAAACTCTACGAATGTCCCCTCTCGATGAGTAAAGCGATACGATTATCTCGGTGGAATTTACAGATTTTTTTTAAGGGCTCATCTGATCTCTTCATCAGCTGATTCACTATTTTCTTCGAGATGGTGCGATGTATATCGATAATCGTCGATGCCGGGATGTAAAGTCTATGAATGCTTCTCCTGGTGAGCAAGACGGTACAATTTTCACGGTGAGATTTGTACGGTTTTCTTTTTAAGGTGTTCTCGATCAGCTGATCTCTCCTGATGTCTTCATCAGCTGATTCACGGTTTTCTTTAACACGATATGACGTATCAATTATACGGAGGTGTGAAGTCTATGAGTATCCCTTCTCGACAAATTAAGTATAGGTACAATGCTGTCAGTACAATTTATGGTGCTCTTCTCAATCAGCTGATTTTAGCGAACTCTCTTCATCAGCTGATCGCGTCAGACTCTCATCAGCTGATCGCATCAGCATCCACCTCTCTTCGTCATCTGATTCCCAGTTTCCCTCGCAAATATCAAAACGATTTCAGTTGGCCAGCAGCACCAGGGCCAGGATCTGCAGACAGGACATCCATGTCCTGGCATGTTCGTCGTTCCCAGAGCTGAGAGCCGAAGCCTGACAGGCAGTGTGTCTGGGAGTCCCCATGGTCAGTAAAACCTTGTCCGAAGAGTACGACGGAGTCGTTTCCGTGCAAACGGCTCTGCCTGCGATATTCCTCAGCTGTCTGGCATCAGACTGAGAGGCCGTGTGTATCTGCCGCGATTCTCTCAGCCATCTCCTCAGCCAAAGACTCAGCCAAGCGATCTCGCAGTCGCACTCCAAAGGATTTCCCGAGACCTGAAGACCTCCTAAACGACGACGAAAAAATTCATAAAAAATTAATCCCCCTCTTCAAAGTGTTCCCAGCTATTAAGGTAAATCAATAAATCGATAAAGGAAAATTGCCGTAATATATAAGCGACAATACACATCGACGTCGATTACCGGCGACGATATTGGTGCCGACCGCTTCCCAGGACAGATTCCCATAGATGACGGACGGACTGAGCTCGTTTATGTGGTTGTCCCTGAGGTCGAGGGTCAGCTGAGACAGTCTTTTGGTCAGAGACAAGAAGATGTCCGGCTGCAGCCTCCGAACCCCCGTGTCTCTTATCCTGAGGACCAGTTCGCTGCCCCCCTCGAGGGAGGAAAACGCCTCCGAGGAGATGACTTCCAGATTTCTACCGGTTACGAGGAGCTCTCTTAGTTGTTTGGTGAACGCGTTCTCCAGCTGGTTTTTTAGCTGCCTCTCGGTCACCTGGACCTCCACCGTCCTCAGGGGGAGACCACCCACCAGCTGACGAAGCTGAACACCCTCTGCTCTGGGCCAGGTCTGAATTCGCAGGTGTTTCAGGTATCTGAGAGTCCTTAGGGATAAACCGAGAAAATTACGTGATAAATGTCTCGAAAATTAGTGTTTTTACGTATTTTAATTTCAGAGACAAGTTTGGGTTATACGTTTGTACTTTGATTCGATACGAGTAGGCATTGATACAATTTTTTTTTTTTCAATACTTTGTCATCCCTACCTCAGGGTGTCCTTATCCACGGAGCGAGTCACCCCCAGGTTCTTCAGGTTTAGCACTTCCAGCCTGGGATATCCGGAGAAACTCTCCTTGGTCAGCTCCTGGAACGGTCGAAATATGATTTAAAGTCCTGCAGGATATTCATAATGATAAAGAAACTCACCTGGATGGGATTCCCAGAAACGTCCAGCTCCCTCAGCAGGGGCAATTTCAGGTTCTCTGAAAGCCTCGTCAGCGAGTTGTTCGTCAGGACCAGGACTTTCAGGACATTCAAGTAGGGGAAGTCCTTCCCGGAGACTGTGGCGATGTTGTTGCAAGACAGATCCAGGTAACTCAGCTGGAGCAAAGGTAAAATTGGCACTTTTCCCAGGCCGCAATTCCCCACGTCCAGGCGTCGCAGGTCCGGCAAGTAGTGGAAGAGCTCCTTGAAGACGAAGAAAAAATTGCCAATCCTTTCTTTGGGTTAACTGCATATACTATTCCTGTTTTTCCAATTTCTTTGAAAAGTCATAACGCATTTTCGTAACAATTGGCATAGATAAATTGCGTCCTGACTTTTCCGACAACCCGGTATCTCGAGTAGACATTAAACAATTAATTAATCAGGATTTCTTTTCAACACACACCTTGTAATTAGCTTCGAGATTATTGTGAGAGACGTTTAGAGTCAGCAGCTTCCCCAAAGACACGAAAGAGTTATCCGGAAGAATGGTGAGTCTGTTCCTGGCGAGATCGAGGGAAGTCAAAAGAGAAACAGGAAATGCACTGGAGTCCAATCTGTCCACGAAATTCCCAGCAAGGTTTAAATCCCTCAGAGTGAATCCCAGTTCAAGAAGAGCACTGGAAGGGACCGAGGTCAACCTGTTCTCGCTCAGGTCGAGGATTTCGAGCCTCGTGCCCAAAAAGACATCCCTAGGGAGAGTCCTTAATCTATTTCGAGAAAGGTCCAGGATCCTGAGATTAGGGACGTATTTAAATTGTTCTCCAGCCAAGTGACTGAGGTTGTTCCCAGCCAGGTCCAGCCTCTGCAGGCCTGAGAGACCATGAAGAGCCTGTCTCTTCAAGACTCCTCCATTCCCCAGGTCCAGTCTGTTATCTGCCAGGTAAAGGCTCTCCAGGTGACTCAATCCCAAGGTTCCAGGTTCCAGACCTGAAAGAAATAATTATTTACCAATTGTGTCAAGCAAATGTTTTTTTTTTTTTTTCCCATGCAGACCAAGCTTAGATTTACCTGTGAGGACGTTATGTCTCAGGTCGAGATACCTGAGACAGGGTACAGCAGTAAAGACATCGGCAGGGATAGTGCTGAGATTATTGTGACTAATATCCAGCCTGACTAGACTACAATTGTCGTGCCCAAAGGGGGAATAAAGTCCCTGAGAGCCCTGAAGACCCTGCAGGTCGGTTCTACCCTGAAGACCCGAAGAAGTAGCTGGCACCAGCCTCGCGATGGCATTGTAGGACACGTTCAGGCTAAAATCCGCAGAAGCTCCGGTGTCGATGACAGTACCGATTTCCAGGGTGACGAGTCGATTAAATTCCAGGTGCAGGAACCTGAGACCTGGGAGCCGAGCCAAGGCTGAGGGCTCTATCTTGGAAATTTCGTTATAAGCCATGGAAACGGTGACCAGCTTTAGGCAATCCTGAATGGACCCTGAAGACAACACCCTGATGCGGTTCCCGGTTAGGTCCAAGGACCTCAATTCGGTCAGGTTGTGGAAGGTGGCTGGAGGAATCTCTTCGATGAAGTTGTAGCCCAGCTTGATGTCTCTCAGCTCCTCGTGGATGCTGCCCAGGAAAGTGCCGACTGGTAGGTGATACAGCCTGTTGGACTCCAGGTTGATGTACCTGAAGAGGTGGACGATAGGTGTCAAAGTTTACGAATTATACAGGTGTCAAGATTGACGGTGAGACAGGTGCGAGACTTCGAAGTCGACTCACCTGAGCCTGGGAAGCATGTAGAAGGCGGTGGGTTCAATTGTTTGGAAATTGTTGTTATCTAGCACGAGCCAGAGCAAGTTCGATAAAGGTCTGAGAGCCCGCTGAGGAAAGACGTCGGTGGTGAAGGCGAAACTCAGCTCCAGGATCTCCAGGGTGTCTTCTACTCCCAGAAAGGCCTCGTCGTCTAGGAGGGATAACTGGTTGAAGGACAGACTCAGTTCTTTCAGCTTCCCAGCACCTGGAAATTCCATGTTTTAGGGTCCTTTCAGTCTTCAGAGTGCGATGCAAGAATGGAGATTTCAGAGTCTCGCGGAAAAATGAAAACTTCAAGATCTTGTGCTTGAATAAAAATAGAGAATTGGAAATCCCACGCAAAAATAAATACTTCAATGTCTCCCACGAGAGCAAAGCCTTCAATATCTCCAAGAAAACACCTGCGAAAGAAGCGGGCTTCAGCTTGGAGAGCAGGTTGTTCCTCAGTAAAAGGATCTCCAGATTAGAGGCCCAGCCAAAATCCCCAGGGACGACCTTGGCGATCTTATTATATCCCAGGTTGAGATGCAGGAGCTGCCCACACCTGCTGAGAGCATCAACAGGTACGGCCTTAAGATTGTTGGAAGCCAACGAGAGGGCCTTCAGCCGATCCGCGAAGCTGAAGAAGCTCTCCTGCGAGACATTCGAGATACCATTCCCAGCAAGATAGAGATAAGAGATCCTCTTGGTCCTGCTGAGAGCACTTGGGACCATTAGCAGTTCGTTGCTCTCCAGGTTCAGGTACTCCAGACTCTCTTCGAGGCCCCTGAAGGCGTCTTCATGGACGACTTTCATCCCATTCGAGGACAGATGTATTCTCTTGGCCTCCAGGTTCAGGAACACGTCTGCTGGGAGGTTCCTTATCCTGTTGCTGCCCAGGTTAAGGTCGTGCACCTTCAGACTGCGATTTTTTCCTGCTGGGACCAGGTCGTTTTCTGAACCTTCTACTCCCAGGGTCAAGACCTCGATGGAGTTGTCGCTGAGGTCGACCACTTCTAATTCAGGACTCTGGAATCCTGGAAGCTCCAAGCTCCTGATTGCGTTTCCTCGCAAGTAGAGCCAGTTCAGGTTCTTCAGGGTGGCCAGGGCTCGGGGGAAACTCTTCAGCAAGTTGCTGTTCAAGCTTAAGGTGTGCAGCTTCGGAGGTAAGGACGAACTTCGGAGATCCTGGATGTTATTGTTGTCCAGATTCAGCCAGAGTAAAGACTCGAACCCAGAGAAGCTCTCTGGAAGCTCCGATATCGAGTTGTCCCCGAAGAAGGCGTTCGTGAGGGTCTCTCGCAGGTGCGACCAGTCGCCCTCCAGTGACGTCAGTCGGTTGCTGGGAATTAATTAATTATTATTTTCTTATGAATGAAGAACCAATGATTTCGTATCCAAAGTATTGTTGTCAAAGAACTGGACAGAGTTTCGTGCCAAATACACATTTCAAGCGAAGGTCTCTTTACGTCAACCTTCGGTATAGACATGGAAATGGGTAAGATCGTATTCCCTGGTGCCAGAAATACCTTACTCGGATATCTAACGAGTAACTCGATGCAAAATCTATTTCTTTCCTTTTTTATGTAACGTCTCACCTGTGCAGGTTCAACCAGCCGAGCTTCTTCAAGGCATGGAAAGCCGCAAAAGGCACTTCCTCCAGGCAGTTGTAACTAAGGTCCAGAGACCTCAGGCTGTTGGCCACACCCCTGAAATTACGGCAAATCGGTCAATCCACGAAACGGGACGAAAATAATACAAAAAGGGAAGTACTTTCTACTTGCGAAACCCGAGCGAGTGGAGGGAAGGAGGAAGGAAGGCCCTCAGCAAATGACCAAAGCGGTCGCTGCGAAAGTTGAGGGAAAAAGAAAATTAAAAGGGGGGAAAGGGAGGCCCTAACGATGTCATGGGACCCTGAAGAAACGGATTACTCGCTCTTATACAGATCCTTCACTTACAGGAGCGACTTGTCGCCGATATTGCTCAATTTGTTGCTGGTGAGCCCGAAAGCCTCGACGGAGGATCCTGCCAAAGCGTCGTTCTCCAAAACCTGAAGACCGGACCCAATAATGTCCAACTGTGCCACATAACTCACGGAGATCTCTGAAATCGAAGGAACAATACATTAATTAATTTGCCAATAATATCGAAAATTAAAAGATCTTAACAGATGCCTCGTTTAACAGTAATAGGCATCGCGATAAGAACTGGTCGATAAAATTGCCGAAATAGAACTCCATATTAAATCTTTAAAAATCCATTGGCCCGTTTTCACCGTAATATTTTCGATTATTGTTACGCTAGGTATCTGCGGAGACCTTAAGAATTAACTAATGAATCTCAGAAAATTTAATATGGCGTTTCAGTAATTTATTCGGGAATTTTTATTCTTATGCGAGATATCTGCGCGGACCTTAAGGACTGGTTAATAAATTGCTGAAAATTTAATATGCCGTTTCAGCAATTTATTCACGAGTTTTTACGGTTATGCTTACGACCATTGTTATGTAAATTATCTGTAAAGGCTTTGGAAACCTTAATCGAAGATCATTTACCCGGGAACCTGGCGAACGGCACGCCGACACAGCTGACGTCCATCTTGGTGAACTCCGAATCATCCTGGACCCAACACTGGCACATCCTGTTGAAGCTGCAGGAAACACTCTGACATGAGTTCTCCAGGTTCTGGGAAAGGATCAGGACCATCATTGCTAGAATCCGTAGTCCTGGAGGACCTCCTTCCCGGGGACGGTACCGGAATTCAAACTTCATGGCGGACATCGTCACCTGGACCAGTCGAAGATCTTGAAGAAATTCGCACATTTAACGCAAACTGATATTAAATGATAAAGCAGATATCGAACACCATGGAAATATAGTAAATAAACAAATCATAGTGTAAATATTCAAAAGAAATAATAATTTCTCCAGTACACATGACTCACGTTTCACTGGTAAATGACATTTTTTAAAACTATTTTAAAGTCCACGGATAAAAAAACATCCTTTAACGCTGGAAATTACCATATACAGGGTGAGGAAAAAGTTCCCTTACAGAATTTAAATTAAAATGCAACGTTATTCAAACAAATCAATTATCAACATAATATACCAAAGTGTGGGCTAGATGATTGCATGCAATTTTGTTTTTAAAATGTCAAAAATGTCCATCTGATCATGCACAAGCCTTCAAACGCTTTTAAGATGAAATTTTGTACAAGAACATTTTCTCCACCCTGTACAAGGTCCAGACCTGACCTGCCTCTCTCTGGAAATACTAAAATAAATATTACCTAATATTCCGTGGAATTCGTCAGTAGATTAAATGTAAAGAATTTGATTTCGGCCGGCATCCCTGACCTAGGTCCATCTCGTTGACAGATTTGACAGATTTAACAGGGTTGACAGGCTGAATAAGTTAGTTGACACCGCATTCGAGGACGCCTACACCTGTCGGATGGAGATTGTCTTATGCACCCTGGGCGCATGCGCCAACCCCCTTTATGGATCGCGAAATGCGTTTGCGCGCTTTCGTCCCGCGCCTGCGCATTCCTGAGAAGTTTTCCAGTTTTTCCCGAATTTTTCCTGAATTTTTTCGAATTTTTTTCGAATTTTTTCTCGATGCAAAAAGAGTGAAGTGACACGAAATGAGCGCAAAGAGACTCGACTGAGTTCCGCGCCAAATGCATTTCGTACTCATCCATGCCCCCGTTCTTGTTTCATACATTCTCTCTCGTGGAAGGCACTTGCGAGCAATTACCGAGCAGAACATGTCCCGTAATTACATTTACTTGGAGGCATGGCTCGCAATGAGCGAATACGCCTCGAGGAAGGAATGGCCCTCTTCGAGATCGTGTCTTCGTGAATCGTGTCACGAGATCCGCCCCTGGCGAGGGAAAAGGAGAAGTTGTTATTAATTATCTGCGATAGATACGAGAACCACCAGTGGGAATGGAGGATATGATAAGAAACGAATATGAGAGTATCGATACGTGATAAGAATGATTACTGAATTTTGTGGGAGGGAAACTTTGAGAGGGGTGTGAGATGAGATATAAAAGAATAGAAGGTGAGAAATTGAAAGGTGAAAAATGAAAGATCAAAGATGAAAAATGAAAAACGAGAAAAGAGAGATACAAGGAAAATAAGAGAATATGATCTAGCATCTTGTAAAAAATAAATCACCCTGGAAATATATACCAATTGTTAAAAATGGAAAGTAAAAGGTATTTTAAAAAAGTGAAGTAGAAGAGAACCTTTCGTTCACACAACACCCATAGACATAATATGGGCAACATGGGGTAGGTCATGGTTCCTCTCAAAAGGAGATAACCCTCGAAATGACAATTTATATCACAAGCAAAATTACAATATTGTAAGTAAAATGATAATTAATACTCCAAGCGAAATAACGATTAATACCCCAGACAAAATATGATTTAATAAGCGAAGAGAATAAAAATGAGTTCCTCATTCTCTTGGAGTATATTCTCACAATACCCAGGAGCGTGGGCTAGGTCACGGTTCCTCTCGAAAGAAGGAGACAGTCCTCGACACAGCTACCTCGACTCGTATATATTTGGCGAAGAGGTTCGCAAGAAACGATGAATGAGACCTAGAACCGACCGCTCATACAAGGGTATCCGAGTGTTTACTGAATTCTTCCCAAGTTTCGTAAGGCTGTCTCGACGAGTCGCGACGTCCATCTTGAATACCGGGCAGAAAAAATATAATTATATCATATAATAACTATCTCGCCTAAACATCGCTAATAAATACCAAACATACACAACAATGGAGTGCTATTTGGCAAAGATTTCGAGTTACAAACAAGAAAATTAAGAAACAAGGGCTGAGTCTATCCATGGTCGTAAGGACCTACCTAAAGGACTTCTCTCGCCAATTAAGAGATCCAATCGCGATCGCGCCTCCCGGCAGATTGTCAAAAAGTGAAAGGTCGCTCTCAGTTTATCCCCACTCGATTTCTGGAATGCCAACACGTTAGCCGAATCGAGAGAATCACTATCGGATGGTTTGCGATCGAAGCCTCCACCCGGAGAGGCTGGGAGCAGTTTTAACGCCGCGTCTCGTTCGAGCGGATCGTCGCTTACAATTGTCTATATCCGAGTCTAGATTGCGTTGAAATTTTTCTACAAATTTTGTTCCTTAAGTAAACATGCCCAAAACGCGGGAGGTACCTTGCGAGGTCCTCGAGAAGTCGGCGGGAACCGTGGGAGATTTTTATAAAAGGTCTTAGCGTCGTTTCGAGGGATCGTCGCCATGGCAACCGATGATCAGCTGATCCCAACAGAAGAGGAGATCCTCGCCGAGGGGCGCAGGACTTCCGCTCTGAGGGAGCTAGAGGACTCTTTTGAGTCCTCTAATCAAGATAGACTCGGAAAAGAAGCTTTCCGAAGGCTCTTCCATGACGAGGTATCGTTATCCCCGCCATCGGTATCTTATTCAAGTCGACTGAGTTTGAGGGTTTCGCGTCCCCTTAAATGTTAATTTTTATTTTTAATCTTATCTAGGCTCCCTTCAATTCTTTATAAGAATTTCTTTTCGATTTTTCCCACATTTTAGGGATTAGTTGCTAGTTTGAATCTCCTCCGGAATCCTCCGATCAGAATAGGAATCGTCACGTAACTCAAGGATTCACACATTTTACTCACGGATATAGGAAGTAGGGATACATAACGTTGATTTAAATGTGAAGGTAGGAAAACTGGTAGGAAAAGAAAAAGGGGACGGTTAGCTCTTTCTCTCCCTTTTTATATGAAATAATTGCTCGACGCGATATAACAATAGTCTATCTAAAAACAAAAGAGAAAGAAAAACCCCTCTCTCTCCTTTTCACAGTCTTTGCAAGCATTTCAAGATAATTGCCGAGTTTTTTAATTCCACACATCCTGCATTCATGATTTCAATTTCTTATCGCCGATTTATCCGTAGTCACGCATTTTTCCGCCATCCGCGAAACGTTTCGCGCCGAATCGATTTACACGGTATTCAGGGTATCCCCAGGGTCTCTCGTCAAGCCCCGATTTACGGGAGTTAATTTCATGCCTCGTAAACGAGGTACACTTCTTTCTCGAAGGCGAGCACCTATTTTGGGCGTTTCTCCGCTACTTTACAAAGTCATCGTTGATTGCCACGAAACGACTTACTGATGGTCCATCGATTAACTCTCTCCTGGTGAATCCCAGCGAAAAAGAACCGCAAGAGATTTTACAGGAAGATCCGAGAAGAGATTCGAAGAAATCAAAGCAATACCGGATACCGGATCTAAAATGATTTCGAAGAAAACTCGAAAAGATGAAAATTCGAAAATATGAAAATTTGAAAAGGTGAAAATTCGAAAATATGAAAATTTGAAAAGGTGAAAATTCGAAAATATGAAAATTCGAAAAGGTGAAAATTCGAAAATATGAAAATTCTAAAAGGTGAAAATTCGAAAATATGAAAATATGAAAATTCGAAAAGGTGAAAATTCGAAAATATGAAAATATGAAAATTCGAAAAGGTGAAAACTCGAAAATATGAAATATCGAAAAGATGAAAAAATATCTATATGAAGATGAGGAAATTTTCGAATAAGAAAAATAAAAGAGAGATCGATCTAAGCGCAGCATCCGTGAGGATGAATTCCAGGTATCCTGAGCTAATCCGTGTCGTCCTTGAGGAGGAACGGGTGAGGCCCTATCGAGGCCTGGCACACTTCAAGGTGACGAACCGCCTCAGGCCGGACAACCTCGGTGGGGTGCTCCACTCTCGCTCCAACTCTGCAAGGACCCCATCCTGGCCTTCTCCTTGTCCGCTTTTTCAGCCGGCGGATGTGTCCCAGTCTCCCAGGCAGTCCCTTCCCCGACCGGTCCATTCCGAATGCTAATTCTAGTCGGACCGTGATCTTCGATAACTTCGAGATTACGCGACGACAAGCCGAAATTATATGAATTGAATGACGAGGCTGTTGCTCTGGGTCCATCGAGAGGTCGACGTTCATCATGCTCGTCCATTTCTAATTTTTTTTTATTGCTTAACCAGGAGGGTTGGGTCCTTCCAATTATTTCTGGGAGGTTTCCATGTTTCTCGAGTTCTTGAAATTCATCACGTTCATCAGGATCCGATTATCTTTAAAAGCTCTTCATGTTCCTTGACTTCCTCGTGTTCATCAAGATCCAATTATTTCTAAGCGCTCTTCAGGTTCCTCAGGTTCAACAAGTGTCCTGGAAGAAAGCAGAACTGAGAAGTTGTTCATCAATTAATCTGATAGGAATATAATATATTTCCTGTTATTCGTGAGATATTACGGATAAAAATTCCTCCCCCAGGTCTTCTTGGCGAGGCTCTTCAAGATCTTCGACCGGGACGGCAGCGGCAGACTGAAACAGGACTTCTGGATCGAGTCCTTGAAGGAGAGACTCGCGTGAGTATTACCTCAATTACCCTCCTCTGCTTTTTCATGGGTCCTGGAAATGTAGAAACCGATGACGTCTTCAGGGACGACAAGATGGACTTCGTGGCTCTCATTGAAAACGTCACTTACGGGATATGCGGCGAGGAATCGATCGACCCGAAGAGGTTTCGCAGAATATTCCGGGCGAAAGGAGTAAGTGTCGTCAGGATGCACTTATTTACTAAAATTATATAACGAATGACGTTTCCAGGTGGTCGACAAGCTCTTCAGGTTGATGGACCAGGATGCAGTAGGCTACGTGAGTTCCGAACAGGTGATGGAGTCGATCACCAGGATCAGCGACCCTCGGTGAGTCCTGAAAAATTTAGATAATTCAGGATCATACCTTTAGTCTTATATTAATGATACGTACTAATACAAAAGTAACGCAGAAATGTAAATAAATTGGAAATTAATGTTTTCTCTTCAGGCCTCGGCCAGGATTCGACAGGAAGCACCTGGAGTGGCTCGAAAGGATCTTCAAGCAAACCGTCGGCAACGACAAGGAGATCAAACGCGAGGAATTCACGAAAATCGTCATGTCGAAGAATGTAACTCTTCGTCTCCATTGACAGGAACTGGTATCAAGGTTTACCTGACGATGTGATTTATTTTCCAGCCCTTCTTCACGGACAGAGTCTTCCAGATCTTCGACAAGGACAACTCTGGGACGATCTCCCTGCAGGAGTTCCTCGACTCGATGCACCAGTTCGCCGGGAAGACGCCAGATGACAAGATCAAGTTCCTCTTCAAGGTCTACGACATCGATGGTAACGATGAACGAGTCAAGATTTGCGTTGATGGGTCGAAATTCCTGTTAATGGAAGTTTCACTTCTCTCGATACGAGACCCTGAAGAGCTGCTTCCTTAAATTGGGGATGATAAATCCTTGCGATAAAGATGTGCCAACCAATTTCTGGATGCTGTAAAAAGAAGAACTCTATTTAACCGCACAGTGTACAAATCGCTGGAATTTATCGTACCGATTTATCGTGACGTTTATTATCACGTATATCAAAAAAAAGAAGAACTCTATTTAACCGCACAGTGTACAAATCGCTGGAATTTATCGTACCGATTTATCGTCACGTTTGTTATCACTTATATCCGCTTTAGAGAAGAGCTCGATTTAATTGGAGCAGATTATAAATTATTACGTCTACTTTTTCTCTGTTTCTCTGCATAGGAGACGGTCTTATCCAGCATCGAGAGCTCCAACATGTCATGAGAGCTTGCATGGAGGAAAACGGAATGCGATTTAGCGAAGAACAAGTCGAAGACCTCACGATTGCGCTTTTCGAGGACGCCGACCAGGCGAATCGAGGAGCCATCACCTTCGAGGCCCTGAAGGACCAGCTGAAGAAGCACGAAGGACTCCTCGAGAACTTGTCAATTAGGTAATCCTGTCGTAGCATTAAAGTAACATGAAAGCAGCACCTGAGAAATCAATCGTTTATGAAACATTTCTTCGAAAACTCTCCTGTACCGAATCGCTTCAAACCTTACAACGTAAACATTTTTATAAAAACTTAAAAATATCCATAAAGACATTTTTTTTAAATTGAAATCTGGGAGTCAAGACCTTCCTCATAGCCTCCAAATTCATGTAGTAAATTTTGAAACGACTCGGTACACCCAGTTCGTAGGAAAGTGTCACAAACGTTTGATTTCTCAGATGCCACTTTCATACCGCCTTAAGCCACGTGCTCTTCAGGCCGTGGAATTGGCCCTGAAAATGAGGAAAATCTAAGAACAAAATGGAAATGACGATTTCAGCATAGATCGGTGGATGGTTCCCCCGAAACCGAAGGCCTCGAAGAGGTCCATCCTCGGGGACCTTCCATCCTTAAGGCCGTACCAGCTGACGAAGCCCTACATCAAGAACAACTACGTCTACATAGTCTTCATCTCCATCTACATCCTCATCAACTTGAGTCTTTTCATCTCTAGGGCTTATCAGTATCGCCACTTCAATGGCTATGTCATGATTGCAAGAGCTTGCGGTAATTGCTAAGTACAAAACTCGTCTAACTCGTGCTCCTCTTCAAGGTCTCTAATTTTCTGAGGAATATTCAAGGTCAGTGCCTCAACTTCGACTGCGCCTTTATCCTGGTGCTGATGCTGCGTCAATGCATCACATTTTTGCGTTCCCATGGATGTGGAGCGATTCTTCCCCTGGACCACCATATATACCTCCACAAGGTCACCGGGATCGTCGTCGTCCTCTTCAGCGTGGTCCACACTTTGATGCACCTCTTGAACTTTGGTAAGGTCCTTTTCAAACATAAAAAGTCGTAGATGTCAAGGATTAATCCTGCTTCGTCTTCCGGTCCACTCTTAAGGCGATATCAATATGACATTTGAGAGTTTAATTGTTTATAACATTTTTCACGGAACTCGGTGAACCGAATCGTTTCAAACTTCACAACATGAATATGGAGGCCCTGAAGAAGGTCCTGACACCCTAAAAGTTTTATATCGTAGAACATAATTAAAAATATTAATATACAAAATTAAAATAAAATAAATAAATAAAATGTCATGGGTACCGAGATAATCCTTAGAGCTTACATATTCACGTGGTAAAATTTTAGACAATTCGGTACATCCAGTTTAGAGGAAAAAGTCACAAAAGAGCATTTAATACCACTTTCACGTCACCTTAAGGTGTAATCTTAATTTTTTAAATCGCTACGTGTATATCCTCGAAATTCTTTCCAACATCATTGCGCTCTCCAGGGACGGTGGTAATTTATGATGAGAAGATTAATGCAGCCAATTACACGATGTCGGAGTGGATGCTGACGAGTCGACCAGGACTCTTCGGTCTGGTCCCAGGAGCCGCAAATCCCACAGGAATCGCTCTTATCATTATCCTGGCAGCGATGACGTTATGCTCGATGCCATTCGTCAGACGTGGAGGCTGCTTCGAGGTCTTTAATTAATATTAATACATTATTACCCAGTGAATAGTAATTTAAGAGCGATTAGTCCTGCTTCATCTCCTTCTTCTTTATCTTTATTTTCCGTATCACGATGGCTGACTAAATTTTCAGATCTTCTACTGGTCCCACCTCCTCTACGTCCCGTTCTGGATCCTGACCATTTTCCATGGGCCGAATTTCTGGAAGTGGTTCATCGGGCCCGGAATCATCTTCCTGGTGGAACGAATTCGTAGGATAATTTGGCTTCGCTCTCAGCGAGGGAAAACGTACATCAGCTCAGGTTTGCTCCTGCCCTCCAGGGTCACTCACCTGGTCATCAAGAGGCCGCACCATTTCGACTTTCGTCCTGGGGATTATGTCTTCGTCAACGTCCCCGTCATCGCCAGGTACGAGTGGCACCCCTTCACCATCAGCAGCGCCCCTGAACAGGAAGGTATGTGTCGGGATTAATTAAATTAAAAATCATATTTATTCAGAATTAATTGAATTAAACATCCAGTTTATTCACAATTAATTCAAACCTTCACTAATAACTATCAATTTGAACCTTCTTTATATAGACTTAATTGAATTAAACCTCCTCTATTCTATTTAAATATATATCGGGAACAATGTTGAAAGATTAAATAAAATCCTAGATTACATGTGGCTGCACATCCGAGCTGTCGGCGAATGGACCAACAGCCTCTACTCATACTTCGAGAAGGAACAGATTAAACTTCACCGTGGTGAAGTTTTCCCCCTCGAAGGATGCAATCCTTCCAAGGTGGAGGTCCTTCCGTAAGCTCCATATCAATTACAATGAAATACAAACGCCAATATTAACCCAGAAAATAAATGCGCGTGCATTCGTCCCACGATAAGCGCTAATTGAAAAGTCCTGGTGGAGTTGATTCAAATATCAACTATTAATTATTAATTCCAGGACGAAGGATCGCAAGTGTTCTCCACCAGGAAAGGAGGGCCCAGCACTGCTTCCAGAGGATCCTCGAGGGGTCGACAATCCTTGTTTCCTTCCTGTGCCAAATGACATCCCCAGTCCTTCGCCTCGGCTTCTAGGACCTCTTGATAATCCTGCAAGTCCAAGGACGCCCCTGGAACGTGGGGAATATTTTTAATGAATTCCATTAACCACCGATTTTAAATGAAAGTAGCCTTGAAGAGTCCTTTCCATATTTTCAGGACCTATCCAGGAGATGACGAGGACTCCTCGGGATCGCAGACTTCGTCAGCTTCTTCTTATCCCTGGAAGTAAAATGCCTCTCGAAAAGTCTTTCTCCATGCCGGATATGCAGACTAAAAACAAGAGGAGGGAACGATTAATGGCGTAATTTATTCCCTTGGCTTGACTTAGAAAATTATTAATCTTTTAGTTTCCTAGTTACATACAAGCGATATCAATTCCTGGTTAATACAGACTCAGGGACTATGCGAGATCGGAGTCAGAAAGGAGCTTCGACGAGTGCCACATCCGACGAGCAAGGCTGAAGTCCTTGGGCCTCGCTTATCTGAGTCCTCAGAACAAGTCCTTGGCCCAGAGCTTTCGTTACATGAGGACAAAGCCGACGATAATTGCATTTAAAACGCCCAGTCTGGAGAACTGCGAGTACGGACCAGCCCCAACGTCTTCAGCTACGCGTAAGTCCATTTCTTATCTGGTAAATCGGTAAAAATCGACCGACGACTTTCTACATAATTGCACCTACTTTATACAAGGGAATTTAATTTTTTCTACATTTTATAAACAGTCGATTATGGGAATAAAGAGGTCCAGGCGAGTCCGACGACGACACTGCAGGCAGCCGAAGAAGGAAGAGTCGGAGTTGAAGAGCCGAAGAGCCGGAAATGCTCGTCCTCGGAGGATCAGAGGTTCGTCATCTGCAAGGTGGACGAAAGTGTCAATGGAAGGACGAGCTTAAGGGACTCTGGCTCTCCAGGGTCCCATCCACCAGTTAACTACCCCGTAGGGAAGCCACTGGAGGTATAAAAATTAATCCTAAAATTCATACAGAATTAAAATTCTATACCTATGTATTAAAAATAAATTAATACACCCTCGCCATAAATTTCTGAATTTTCCTAACTTTACAACACCGCGCAATACAAATTAATATCACAATTTTTTTTATAAGATTAATGCACTATCTCAAAACAAGACGTCCAAAAAAAATGCTACAAATAACACGTGTTACACATTTACTTGACAGTTTGTTATGGAATTACCCCGTGTCCGATTAAAGAGAATCCAAGAAAAAAATATATATAAAATGGCAATACTCTTCTTAATATTATTCGATCTCCAGGTGCGACCGTACAGGTGCTTAAGTACCCCTTAATGTGAAATATACCCCTTGGAATAAATTTCAGATTTACCTGGACGGTCCTTATGGGGCCCCTTCGAGCCACATTTTCCAGGCTCAGCACGCAGTTCTCATCGCAACAGGAATCGGAGTTACTCCTTTCGCTTCGATTCTACAATCCATCATGCACCGATATTGGAAGGCCAGACACACCTGTCCGAAGTGTCAATTTTCCTGGTCCAGTGAGATTCCCGCCACGGTGATGCACCTGAGGAAGGTACAACGATAATACTAATGATACAAAAATACAATATGATAGTAAACAATAAAAGGAGTAAGAGAACGTATCGACGACTCACCGAGAACCATTCGCAGGTCGACTTCTTCTGGATAAACCGGGACCAGCGATCCTTCGAGTGGTTCGTCAACCTATTGTCTCAATTGGAAATCGAACAGGCAGAATTGGGGGCAACGATGGAGCGATTCTTGGAGATGCACATGTACATCACGAGTGCCTTGCAAAAGCACGACATGAAGGCGGTGGGATTGCAGCTTGCGATGGACCTGCTGCACGAGAAGGTACAACAATTGATAAGCAGGATTCCATTATCTTCCTCGATGACTTTTTTTCTTTGATTACTTGTATCGATGGGTGTTCGGCTTTCTAATCTGGGCTCGACTGCGCAGGAGAAGAGAGACCTCATCACGGGCTTGAAGACGAGGACCAACGCCGGTCGGCCGAACTGGGACAAGGTCTTCAAGCAGCTCCAGGACCGGAAGAAGGGCAAGGTCACGGTTTTTTACTGCGGTCCTCCACAACTCGCACGGATCCTACGCTACAAGTGCGACCAGTTCGGCTTCGTCTTCAGGAAAGAGTCCTTCTGAGAGAAACTAAGAAGTGTTACACGTAGAGATCCTCGAGACTTTCCTGGAGCTGGGCCGAGAAAATCGTTATTCTCTTCAGAAAGGAGTCTTCCTGAAGGAAGTCCGCAAAGTGTTGGAGAGTCATATTCTTCAGGAAGGAATCCTTTTTGAAGGGTCCGCAAGGTGCTGGATCTTCAGGGGCGACTGGAACTGGACAGGGAGAATACTGCCTGGTCCTACCTGGTCTTCTTCAGGAAGGAGACCTTCTGAAGAGGACTAAGAAGTGTTGCACGTAGAGATCCTCGAGATTTTCCTCGAGCTCGGCCGAGAAAATCATTTTCTTCAGGAAGGTGTCCTTCCGAAGAATCTACTTGGTGCTGGATCTTCAGGGCTTTTCGTCGTCCTCTTCGAGGCCTACTTCGTGCTTTTGACGTACCTCGCCATCTCGTGCATCACCCAAATTGTCAGCAGGACCACGAGGAATTGCACCTGCCGCTCCGACATTGCTCTCTTCAGCTTCTGCGCCTTGTTAAAAAGATACCCTCTTCATGTTTAAGGGTAACTCCGCTTCCTGGAAGCCCTGAAATTATGTAAATTATGTGAATTACCTGAATGATGCGAATTATTCGAATGATGTCAAAGATGTCAAAGACATCATCGATGTCAACTTACCTCGAGCCTTCTCTTTTGTTTCGCTTGCGGTAACCAGAAAAATCGTGGCTATATCTGTTACGATAAATCGTGGCGATTTTTAATCCGTTCACTCAATTCAACTTATTTTTTTAGGCGACTACACGCGTCGCGATAAATCGTGGGGATTTTTAATCGGTGGAGTTAAATCGGGATTATCCCCACACGTCAGTTAGATCTATATGGATCAGTTTGTCGAAATTCCTCATAACATATTGTTGCATATGCAGCCGCATTAATCGAGATTACTCGATCGAATTAAAGAAATCACCCGGAGAGAGAGAAACCAGCTGAAAGGGCGTTCTCAAAATGGAGAATAAACCCAAGGAACCGTGAAAGAGATAAATATACATTTTGTACAACTCGACGAGATCTCGAGACTCTTTTTTGGTATACAAAAGTTCTCGATATCCTTTCCCATCCTCTTCAAGGATATCGTTCAATTTATCGGAGGTATTAGTGCAGTAGCGAATAAACCCTAGGCGCGGCCAAGTACGAGATAAATATGTATTTTGTACAATTAGTCGAGATCTCGAGTCACTTCCTTGCTATACAGAAATTCTCGGTACCCTTTTCCACGGCGAACTTAGTGCGAAATTATCTTATAGGAGAAATTAGTGCGAAATCGAGGCCTTGATGAGGAGGTCCCTCGAGGGACCCGCGTTCATGGACACGGTGCGTTCGTTAACTAACAGTCTTTTCGATTTATCTTCCTTAGGAACGTTTCTCTACCGCCTACTCGTCAAGAGCCTCAGTGTTCATCAGCATCGAAGCACGGTCACAATGCGTAATGTCGATTTCGCAGGGGTTTTGGTACCAAGGTTCACCATCGACCTGGACAGCGCATGAACCATGCAGCTTCACCTGAAGACGAAAGCTCTAGTAAAGAAAATGAAATATAGAGAGAACTTGAAGACGTTGAGTACTGAGCGAAAAAGTAAAAAATGGGTCTTTACTGGCCATCAGCAAAACAAGATTAATTGAAATCAAGGCAGATTCCAAACTGTAGGCAATTTTTTTAAGCTCAGCTTGTCCATACCTTCACGGTGGAAGCCTGGCCGAGTCTATGAGGTTGCGAAAGTCCAACTTGCAATTGGGCGATATGCAAGGAAGAGTAAATCGCAACGACCTCCAGACGGCCGTCGTTGAAGCTCTGCTTGCCAATCCCCTCGTCACCTGGAGTGAAATTATGAACTAGAACTCGAAAGACGAAAGAACGGATAAACAAGCAGTTACCTTGCAAGCCCATCTCCCACAGATTCACTCCGGCGCCCCAGGAAGGAATGTTCAGTACTACGATACTCTCTATCGAAGGCAATTCCACTTGCACTCCATCCAGGTACACCTCCAGTTTCTGATCCAGATCTTTGCACTCCCTTTCTACAACTTGTTGTGTTCCGAAGCAGAGGTAGAGGAGCTGTGGGAGGTGATCGATAGAATGACCAATGAGAAGTTCAGACAGAACGATGCAACTGACACTCTCTATATTAATTAACTCACCTTGTTAAATATCCTGTGACTGAATATGTAAAATCGACTCTGCCTGGTGCGGTGGAAGTTCAAGGCCACTTGGGCATCGACCCCGATACTGAAGTAGTTGTACATAAAGTTGTGTCGCTGAGTGCCTCCGAAGGGTAGATTCCCCCCAGATGGAGTGATCGATAAGGACCACCTGTCCAGTTCTACGTTACGAGCTGCCTGAATTTGCCGGAGGACTTTCAAAGGGTCTAAGTCATCGTCGTGTTGCTTTCCCCAGCCCAGAACACGAGACAAATCGTTGCCAGTTCCTACTGGCAGAATAGCTACCGCAGGCACTGGCTGGAAAATGTCAAAGTTTTGTTCGGCTAGCTGAAATTGGTTTCTCCGATGTAGATACTAATATTTCGATACCTTTAATTGAAGCTTGTGAATAGAATTCAGCAGCCATGCGATCGTTCCATCGCCACCAGCGACGAGAATCTTGTAATTCACATCTCCGAGTAATCTACACCACTCGAGTGCTGCAACAGGATCACGATCCACGAGGTCCACCACCTGTACAGGATTCAAAGTTCTCCGGAACAAAGATAGAATTTGTCCTGAGTCGCCATTGCCAGACTTTCTATTTGCTGGAATTAAAAAACTATTGTAAGAAAAGGGTATCACGGAAACTTTAGACACTTTTAACTCGTACTCACCTACGACAATGAGGGGACACCAATCGCTCCAAGATGGTGGCACGATGCTTCTAAGTTGCATTCGACTCCTTATGGTACTGTGCTTGTTGATTATCTCTAAACTCCCTGGAGGAATTATCATGGACTTAAATATACCAAAGTCGCAAACCTACGAAGAGAGTTCTCATCGATTTTCGTATCCGTTCTAACTTCAGGGAAAGACCGAATAAATTAGTCGTAAGGTTCGGCGTGGGAGAATTACCTCGGAGAGCATTCGTTTGCATGTCTCGTGTACGAAGCGCTGACACCAACAGCACCACCAGTCGTGAAGGCCAGGCACTACGCTGCACTCCTCCTCGCACACATCACACATAGCCAGTAACGGGAGATTACCTTGTAGAAATGGATATTAAGTTAACCTCTCTAGAGAAGCACCTTTGAACCGCAACAATACATCCTTGTAACAAAAAATGACCTGTCTTTTATATTTTCAAAGTTTATACCTTTCACCCAATGGTGCTTCATAGGACGGTTACTGGATAGCACGATCGCTTTGCATTTCAGCTGTTTATCTGCGCTTTTCATGCAACAAGGATCAGCACATACTCCGCAGGAGTCGCAGACCACTCCAATGGAATGCAGAAGCAGGGCTTCGCAGATACTGCAATAATATGCCTGCAAAAGAATAACCAATAAGTAAAGCATCTTAAACGGGCCTTCCAAAGCACTTAATGAAACAAATGTTTGCCTTATATGTATAAATACATACAAATATATAAATAAATTAAATGCTCCTTATAGCATGTGCAGCATGCCTTCAACATGTGTTATTTACATGCAGCTTGATTTATCCCCTTCCAAGAGGTAATGATACATACTTTAGCCACGAATTGGCCAAATTGATTAACTCCAAGAGATATAAAATAGAGAAAATTGATAAATAAAAAGAGTTAGGCATCGTTCCAGTGCTTTGGTATCACAAGGAAAAAACATCCTAAAAGTAGAATGAATCGGCTTGGCTTGTGAATGGCTGCGATTAAAATATTTCAAACACCTGGGTGGAATCTTGAATGGCAGTCCAATTGTGCTCTTTACTGGTATCTCTTATGTGAATGTGCGGCTCGCTCAGAAAGTGTCTTGCGAGCTTTAAAGTCACCGCAAATAAAATCAGCGACAACGTTGGGAGGATGACAGCTGACAGTTCTCCCTCGAGCATCTTGACGGGCTGCGGAGATCCTGGCGCTCCTGACTGCTCGGCGACCTAGTTTATCCCCTTTGATTTTTCGTCTTCAATGTAATTTCGAATTTAACGAGGGATGACAAGGCACGGTTCGCCAGCGGTCTCCTAAAATTGTAAATGACTCTTCGCGACTCGCCATTTGTGCCTTTACGTTGCGCAGGTCAGTGCGGAAGCACCAACAAAGATGGCCGCCATCTTCGATTGAAGTAGATTCCACTTCTACCTCAGAGATGGCGCTGCAGAAATTGTCGCTGTCTCTCTCTCACTCCCATTAGATATGCGCAGCACCCGATCGCACAATTTTGAAAAAAATAATCCCAAAAATGGGGCTGAACTGTGAAATACTTGTAAAAAAACTCTTGTTAAATTAGCTTTAAACAAAATATTCAAAGTCACGGAGCTCTTACTTAAAGGGAACAAAAAAGCGAAACAATACATTCATTTGTCAAAGAAATTATAAAATAAGACATCAAACAATGTCTTCTTTCGTAATCCCGTATAGTAATCTCAGTAAGAGCGAGATTGTTGAATGTGAAGAAATTAAAGAGAATATAACCTCTCTAATTTTGTATTGACCTTAATCCTTTGCCCTCCGAATTTCCACAATCGTCTCATAAACGTTGACTCACACTCGACAAAAGTGTGCAAAGGATTAACAGTCGGTTACAGGGGTCTCTGGTGCCAAAGAACCAATAATATAACCTCAACAGTCTCTTTTTTTGTTTTATTACTTCCTTATTATATCTATTTAGATCAAATCGTTTAGAGCCCCTGCTTCGCTTCCTGACGAAACAGAATTCTTGTACGAGATTGATATGTCCACGAGTGCCAAACTTTAAAATGTGACAAAATACTTAATATACAGATTTATTGCAGCAGCTCTTATATAAAAATAGTTTAATGTTAACCTTAGAATTCATATTAACCGTCTGTGGTAAGACAAACAGTGTGTAAAAAAATTTACTCATATCCAGATCCATTATGACCTAACTTATATTGTATCCTACAAAAACACAGGAGTAAATGACAGCCAGCTTAACGATGATTAAAGTAGACAATTTTTCAATGGGCGACTTAGGTAAGGAAACTGTTATTACTTCCCAAGTATCTATTTCCATGGAACTAATCCTGGAAACAGTGAATTCATCCCTTCTCTTTTTTTCCTCTTCCTGGTTGTTCGTTCCAATCAACCATTTCTTAAAGGCTTCCACAAATCTGTCCATCTCGCTTTCAGCAAGATGGCACAATTTATGTATTATGTTCTTAGCGAGGTTGTTATGCGGCGCAGGTACGTGTCGAGACACCAACAGTGGCAGTACCCTGAAAATGTTTTCTTTGATGTAGCTCCACACAAAATCGACTGCTTCGGCAAGGCTCTTCCGTAAATTCATCCTAGGATCGGTTACAAGCTTCATGGCTAGATTAAATACACCCGTCAGTATAGACTGCCAACAATGAAAAGGCATCATTTCCTTAATTAAACTATTAACAAAGGTGAAATTATTTGTGTCCTGCACTTGATGTTGAGACAATTCAGAACTATTGCTAAGCACTAGGTTTTTGTACAGCCTGTATCCTTTGCCAGCATGATAAGAGGATACACTCGGAAATGTGCTGGCTTTTTGCATGGCGGAAGCCTTAAAGTTTATCCAGTTACGCTTTTGACGCACACTAATATTACTGCTTTGCTCTAATACACCATTAATCAACTGTACTCTCTCATTACGAGGTAACTGAGAGAATTTGATGGGATCGATCAGGTCCTTGCCGTTAATTACAACATTCCCATCTTTGAACCAGGCATTCGATTTGGTCCGATTGAAGGTCTTCCTTAATCTGACCATTGAGGCAAAAAATTCATCCTTATTGGAAATGTTACGAATACCGCGGATTATCTCTGCGTTTGCAGTTGCTTTATCTCCACAGCTAGTAATGGTCCTTCTCATGAGCTTGTGGAATTCTTTTCTGTGGCGATTGCTCCGCAAACTGTTCTCAAACTCGTTTAGAACTTGGCCCTGAGTACTGTGGATGAGTTCCTTGGCCAGCTTGAAATTCACAACAGAGGCTCCAAAGAAGAATATGTGAGTTACCAGTGAAAGTACGTTGCCCTTTGAAATCTCATTGGTCTTTTTATAATTCATGTACATTTCATAAGCATCTACACTAAGGCCGATGCCATTCATTACTACACTACCCACATTGACTGTCTCATAGGCCAAGGTAGCGGCTCTGCTTATGTTAGCTCCTCTTATAACAGCTCTCGAAAGAAGCGCACTCCCACCAGTTGCTGCAATCCCTAAAGTCGTGCCACCAATACTTATCCATGCGTTTCTTGCTAATGGGTCATGTAAACCAATTGATTGTTCATGAGTGTAACGGTCGGTCAGTTTAGAGGACGCTCGAGCAATGCTCCAAACTCCTGACGCCGTTGCACATGCTAAGCCTGACAAATAAAACATGCAACTAGCATTAGTATGTTTTCTACTAGAGATTACTGTCTTTTAATCAAACTAACTAAACTAAATAACTATATTTGAATAAATTTTTGTAATATTTTTAACATTTTAGAAGTTATAAAAATTTTAAGCTGACAAAAAAATTTTAAATAAGAAATGAAAAGCAAATGTACTTGTATCTGTGGAAAACGAATTCCTTTAAAATGCCCATTTTTGGGTTCTCAAAAATAAATACCCCCTTAAATGGTAACGACTGCTTTAAGGCACAAACCTGCTGTCAACGCAATAGGACCAATTGGCGTCACCATGGACACAGCCATTGCAGCAGTGCCAGCAATTCCAACAGTGCCGCTAAAAATATCCATGCCATTCAAAACTTTACGTTTAAGCTTGCAGCTTGGCGACCGATGGAATTCAAGCCAAACCAAAGAATTATAAACAGTAATTTCCTGTTTGGGATCAGCCTTATAACTACCGTCCTTCGGTAGGGCCATAATGCAAGGGCCTAAGGTATTGTTTTCAAGATAATCCAGCCAACTTTTATAAACCCGCCCAATCTCATCGATATAATAACACGACTCATTCTTCTTGAGCCTGAACACCGGTTTAGGACAGATTATTTCATTTTTGTTGTCCATTCCCTTTGTCTCGCACTTCATACTTATTTCATTAGCCTCTATTTCAAATACAACATTGTATAAAATACCGCACCAAATGGTGCTCTTCTCATCCTGCTGACCTCGCTCACAGAGAATCTTGTATAAGCTATTGATAACATTCATCTGTTTGGCATCATACAATTCTATGCCTGCACACGTCGTACTATCGCTAACATTATTGGTGTTAGGTGGGCCAAATAAGGCACAAGCGATGAAGAATTTAAAGTGTTCATGCTCCATTGGGTTGAATTCATATAGATCGGCAAAGAGTTCATAAAAGTACTGCTGACTCGACCTGGCAAGTGCCTGAAACATCTGGAAAGAATAAATGCCAAAGAGTGAGCTCCTCCACCCTTTACATGTCCCCATGCTACGTTACATAAATACAAGCTCACCTGGGAAACCTTTATCTCAGGTTCCTTACTTTGTGCGTTTTTCGCAGCCGTCTGAATATTTTTCTCAGCCATACTTTTCCCACTTTTATACAAATTCCTTGACACGATTCACTGTAACTTCCTTTATAACAGAGTCCGTAGCAACTGCCGAAATCTATAAACGCTCTCGGATTTCACAAGCGACGCAACAACTCAATCATCAAGCTGGGTGCAACGATACGTGGACAGGAAACGGAGTAAAAAAAATCCGTTAACGAATTACAAAGAGCCCCATGAAAACATGGGAATCCTGCACTAAAGCCCTCATCGAAAATTCTCTACTACAAATCTCAAGACACTCCAAAAAGTAAGGCCAAACCACCACAGAAATGAGTTGGGAGATTGCTCACGGACTGGGTAGCGTGAACGCGTCCTGTGCTGCCCTCGGTGAAGGATGTGGACGGCTAACGTACTTGCCACCTGATACCCCCCCAATGGCGGCCCAATTCAGGGCGTTTATTACGTATTTTTGACGAGCGCGCTCACTTCTCGCACTTTCATCTCACGTGGATTTATTCGCCGAATTACGTATTCGCTATATGAAAGAACGAGATCACTAGCACTTTTGATCCAATAATATTGCAAATAAAGATATATACCTTGTAAATCGAAAATTGTTGAGAGGTGTAGGTTATAGGCAAGAAAGGCGGGAAGATGGAAAGATAAACTATATAATACTAAAAAAGACGAACTATGAGCATTCTCAACTACTCCCAGTTCCGAGTCGGAATTTGAACTTTAATTTACACAATAACAGACACTCGTGTACAATTTTTAGTGTTTCCAACGATTCAAATCGCATGTTTACTGGATAAATTGCTCCATACAGAAACATAGAATTACGATAGTGTATAAAAAGAGAAAGGTATAGGTAAAAATAGACAGAGAAAGAGAGTGCAAGAAATAATACAGGTGACACTGGGTTTGTACAAAACTACTACACAGTTAAATTGTATTGCCTTCGTTACATCTCCGAGTATGTGGTAAATTTTGGAACGGAGACTGCCAAGACACCCCAGCCTAATGCTCTGATCGAGTCTGCGAGCAGTTCAGTCACTTTAACTCCGACTTGCGCGACACTAAGTCTTCTAGCTTGATTGGCAGTTGATCTGAGCTCCGACAAGTGGCTGCTCCGAGTCCAAGGGAACCCTGCAGGATGTAACGTAACATCGAGTCAGATTGAGACCAAATGCACAACTCCGGTGTACAGCTCCCTCACGATTACGGAAATATTACTTGAAGTTCCCATTGTCGAAGCGAAGCAAACTTGGGGCTTCCTTATTTGCTAGGCAGGTTGCTCAATTTCTGGCAAGTCTAATACGTTCTCTACGAAGGAGGCCACATTGGTGTCCTTCGTTGCATGCTCTGTGATGAAAACCATCTCCAACAATTGATTGTAATTCGGTCGAGCCGAATAATCCTTCATCAGGCTAACGATCAAATAAGAGAATGAACATAACTTCTAAAAGTGCAATGAGGCCTGTACTCTAATTGGCTTACCATTTGCCGATGAACTCCTCGAAGCTCGAGGAAAACTGGCCTGGTGGTAACTTTGGGGCTTCGTCTTTGACAACTTGTTTAAGCTGCTCAAAAGGAGTGCCCCATGACTCGTAAGGGAATTTCCCCGTAGCCAGTTCGACAAGGGAAATGCCTAACGACCAAACGTCCGATCTGATATCATACTGCGAGGGGTTTCCTGATGGATCTATCCTCTCTGGCTGAAGAAATTTTAATAAGAGGGAACAAATTAGTACAAGTGAATATCTATTAAAATCTACATAGAGTCATTTTTTACATACAGCCATGTACGGCTTGCAACCAGCATCGATTGTTTTTGCGACAGAGTCTACCAAGTAGCCAGATATCCCGAAGTCGCAGATCTTCACCTCTCCCTTCCGGTTGATCAAGATATTACTTGGCTTGACGTCTCTGTGTATCACCCTCAACTGTGAGTAGAGGTAATGCAGCGCACTCACTACCTGCAAAGACACTCTTCTGTCATTCCTTTCTAGGAGTCCATTTGATAGTGCGTCTTGAAACAGAATAAATTGCTTACAGCAAAGGCTATTTTCCCCAGTATATCTTCCGGGATGGATCTACCGTGCCTATAGACCTTAGTATAAAACTTATCGAGGCTCGTGTCCATGACTTCCATACAGATCCAGACGTCTCCTTCCCTAAACAGAGCGCCATAAAATTGTACGGTGTATGGACAAGCCGAGCTTCGCATCGAAATGTCCAAATCCATAAGCAAACGTTTCTGTTCCTGTGTATTAACTGTCGCCGTTATTCTCTGCAAAGTAACAGTACTCCAGGTAGCGCTTAACATGAACGATACCAACACGGAGGTGCCGAAAGATTACCGACGGTATCGATCGTCACCAGAGGTACAAAACATTTATGAACTTCCGACAAGTTATGACGAGATTACCTTAACTGCCATTATCGTGCCGCTTTGCTTATGCCGCATCTTATCTACAACTCCATAAGCTCCTCGTCCGAGAACGCACAACGCCTCTAGATCATCTGCCTCGACAACGAATGTTTTGTCGTCAATGGTAATTGTGGTTCTTTTGTCGAGATTTCTTGGTGGGGTCCTATAAAATCGAAGTAAATAATAGATCCCCGTTACAACGGCCTCAAAATATCTTTTTTTCACTAGACTCACACAGAGGTTACGGTTTCATCGGAGACCCGCAGCTTGAGGTTCCTGTTCCCTCTACGTAGAGCCATGAGGATGATTGGTGTTTACAACTCGTAGGACGAATCCCAAAGCTTGCTAGCCAAGCCGAGGCGACTAATTTCCCAGCATCTTGGGTAAGCCGAAGCACGTCGTGAGACCTGTAGAGTTGTGCACATCAAGCGTAGTTATAAATACCATGAGACGAGGAATGATAAGTATCACCCTGGATTTCAACAGAAGCATAGGTTATATAAAGAAAACCCGAGGAAGCCGGAGGAAGAAGGCGACCAAGATCTCGTGCACGTCGCCCTGTCAGAGCGCAAACTGGTTATCACTCCGACATTTCGCGACGCTATTCTCTGATAGACAACAACGGAACGTTTACCTCGCACAAATATATCGATCAACTTCGAAAATCACTCTCTGCCATATATGTCGCTATTATTATCGTAGACCTCGGTTCAGCTCCTGCTTCGACCGTGCTTCAGCCCACGGACCGCGTATATACCGAGGGAAACGTATATAGCGCCATCTTTCTAAAAAAACTCGAAACTTTACCATCAATTCTCCCCAAAAAGCAGCGTCCCTCTTTACTCATCGAAGGTCGTTCTCATTTATCGATAGTATCGACATCTCGAATTCAAAATGGTGGTATTGACATCGCGCTTCGGCACGCCTCTGCGAGATGACGCCACCGATTCCGCCGCAAAATTCAAATGCAACTAAAAATTCACATAATTCAATAATGCTATTTATTCGACAAAATTGAAAACGTAGGTAAGAGAAAGAAAGAGAGAAAACAGCTATACGCGTAACTGTAAAGAGTTCAGTTAAATAAACGCGGAGAAACGACATGAGCAGCGAAAAGTCGCAGCAATCAGGTTACTTAAATGGAAATAAAAATCACGAGAGCTATAACCCGGAACATCGAAGTTTTTTCGGGGAAATACGAGAGTCACGGGTCATTGCTTCATGTGTGTACATTCTTTATTGATAATATGAAAATGTCATTGAAATTTATTCATCTCCCCCTCGCCGTCGCTTAGAGGAGCGGGCGCACATGCGTTGACGAAAAAACACCTCATTCTCTCTCTCTCATTCTCTCATCCAGCCACTCTCTCCCTCTCTCTCCCACGCAGTCGCTTCTTACAGTTCCAGTAATAATATAGTTCTTTCTTCCTCCTCCGGTATCATCTTATCTCTTTTTTAATTCTTTTATTACTTTAGTACAACATGTCGTCAACCTTTTAATCCGATTTGCTTTTCGCTATTTTTTTATTCTGTATCTCTTCCCCTCTTATAAAAAAGGCTGGACAGTGTATACATGTGTGTGTTTGTGTGTGAGTGGGGGGGTTGTGTTACGCGTGTCGTGTTACAAGGATACGAGTTACAAAGCTTACAAGGCTGTCCCGCCGCGTCTAGGGAAAAGTCGGCGAGGATCAAAGCGACTGGAAAAGCGAGAGACGAACGGACTAGGGTCACTCGCGATCCGCCCGTTCGAATTGGACAAGTTTTCTCCTGGATCTAGGGCTGGGGAGGCATGGGAGACCGCGAGAGCCAATTGGAGGCCGACTTTCCATTGGAACCCGCAGAGCCAGCCCTATATAGCCCTCACCACCGGTTGCATTTGCCCTGAGAGCGGGGAATACCCTAGACAACTAGATTCACGAGGCTAGTTGCATCCATAGACATAGGGTTAGTTTTTCGTTCGTTATATTATCCCGGTAACATAACCGAGATATATAACTGCTGATTCAATTTTCCACAAATTTATGAGAATTCATGAGAACTGAATTTTTCTTTTTATAACATTAAAGTTATTCTCAGTAATTTTAACAAACTATTAGCGATTATAATTTTAGACATTTTAACCATATTTCAGACTTTGACTTTTTAAATTTTCAATAATTGAACAAGCCACAGTTAATCGACTCACCTAACCTCCTAACTTTGTGTGCATCTCGAGATTAGTAAGAGTGGTGGTACAAACTGTAGAAATAGAAATTCATCGCAAGCAAGAAAGGAACTATGAATTGAAGGGACACTATTTACAAAAAGTACCCTAACTTTATGAACATTACTTACTAAAGGCAATAAATTATTTTTATAAATTAATTTAAATAGAAATTCTCCTAGTTCTCGTAAACTCCCTTAAATTCCCTTGGAATTTTTAAAATACCTTAACGCTCTTGGTTATATTCAAGATATAGAACTTAAATTCTCGAGAATTTAAAAACATTGTGCAGGACACATGGAGTCGACACACCAAACCGTTCCTTTGATATCCGCACTAAAAAACTCTAATTACAGGATAGATATCTAAGGTATTCTCCTGCAATCTTTCAAGAATATTCCCCTCGAGGTAGAACCAGTGGGTACGCAAAATGTGTCAGGGTCCACTTCGTGTTTCGCTTTTACGCGATACACCATTCCGTGGCGTTTACGGTCAGGCGTGCTCTGCTCATCGGGGAGGGGGCAGCGGTATTTTTTAGTTTAGGACCACGCGGACGAAACGGACGTAAGATCGCGCCTCGACCTCCCGGATTATAAAATAGGTTAGGTTACATTCGAGGACACCGAAGGTTTCGCCCTCCACTCAACCTCTCTCGTTTCGCGCCACCACAATGTGAATACGTACAAATTATATATGCATGTGTAACTTACAAATATATACACACAGTCGTATATAACCTGTACATATAATTAAATGTAATCGCAGAACTCTCTTAAGAATCGTTTCGCTCGCTTATCTCCAAATCGGGTGCGCAATAGTAACGCTATCTCCAGAATCCACGCCAATTCATATTGAAAATAATATCTTTAATAATCCTAGGAAGGACATCCTTCGCATACGATTTCGATAGTTCTCGCCGGGACAATGTAACGACTCGAGAAGATCACACGACACTTGACAGACGATGGAAGCTACATACCGTGGAAGGAACATTTCGACACAGAAATGAAATTATAGAAAAGTGCTCTAAACACTTGTCGCTCGATGGAATTATGAAAAAATATCCTTTCCACTCGGTCTGCCGATGGCGTTCCATCGAGTCAAATTACCAATTATCCGTAGTGGCAATTTCTCAAGTAGCAAAATAATATCCTAATTACACTTATAATTGCCGCCAAATTTAATGTACACTAGTGTTGTCGCTTAACCATTAGCCGGGAGCCGAGCAGAGGCCATTGGAACGATTTCTAATGAAAACCGAGGCATGCCTCGAGCCATTTTGCCGAAGAGCATCTCGAAGTACGAAACACATCCCTTCTCCCCTTTTATCTGAATCTCCAGTCCAATGCAATCGACTTCTTATGCTTCAAGCAAGGTAATCCGCCGTGCCGATAAACCTCTACAGAATACGATGTCCTCGAAACGTGCAAAGCGACTTCACATTCCCAGAATCGTGCTACCTGACAGACCTTATCGTCGGCAAGGATCGAATGGATTCGGTAGCGCGGTTAATATATAAAAATATTAATGTGGCCCTCCACATTGGTGCACCGGTGGCACAGAGTGCTAGCGATGCATCTCCCTCCAAGAATCAACCCTTCGAGAGACACTCGTCAGCCCTTCGCACCATTACTTGGCCCAGCACGTTATATTACTCTTGTGAGAGATTCCTATGTAAAATTCCCTCCGTTTCCCATTCTGGGTAACGTTGCACTCGTTTCTCGCACTTATTCGACTACGCACTCAGAGAAGTCACTCTCTCGCTCTTTCCAAATACGTTTGCTTAGTCTGCTCTGTCCTGCCTCTCACTCTCTTGCTTACACGTAGTATTATTCGGTAGTTCCGCGAGTACAATAATTAATATTAGATCAATATTTATTAATAACAATGGGGTCGTTGCCGATCCTTATATCTTACACGAGTACGCGCATCCTCGGGCCCGCGTCACATAACCTAACTCACAGAGTCGCGGGTTTGTTCCTGACGATTCCGACGCTCGGAGCTCACGTGTAAAACCTAAAAATCGTTCTCCACATCTCGCTCGCACTTCTATACAACATTTACATCGAGCGAACGTAAATTACGTGCAAACACACACTTTCCCCTACTCCGAGGAACTACACGTGTCGTTCCGCGGACCGCTTAACCTTACTTTTACTGGATTGGCTAAAAAGTCTTGCGACACAACGGCACAATGTTAAAATTCATATTTATCTATTGAATTACAACTTCAGACAGTAATCCCCCATCTCCATTTCAGATCTCTGCCCATTTATTGAATAGCTGCTCAAAGCATTTGTGAGTTCTCATTAAATATAAGAAATAAAAGCATATAAAATGTCGCAGGGCTTTTCAGCCAATCCAATAATTGTTATGGAGGCGAAAAGTCGGCGCCGTCTAGGAACATCCCTGCCTCGAGACGCCTCTCGATAGTTTCGTTCCACTAGGAACAATGGAAACCACTCGTAACGAACTCCGTTCAATTGCCATAGAATTTCCAAGTATTAACTAATAACAAGTCCAATACAAACACAATTTACAATTTCGACTATAAGAAATAAGTTAAATCTTGTATCAAAACAACATATGAACTTATGACTTAGAACTCTTCTTCCACGACTTGTCTCTATCTACGACAGCACAGGGAGAGTTTCGTAAGGTATTAAAAGTTCAAACGTATAAACTCCCCCTGATAGCAAGACCACAGCAAAAGTTACAAGTTCTTGGAGTCACTTTGCTGTTGTTTGGTTTCAGCAATCGACAACAGAGTCCCACTTTCAACAATACATTTCACATTGTACAGCAACGGAACAAAATGCTACAAGTGGTATCCATGTTTCTCACGTTCCTTCGAGTCGTACACCCCTTGAGCGATCCGCAAGTCGGGCCCTGTCCATAGAATCCTAACCTCCTCACAGCAGCGTGTCGCCCGTTTCAAAGCTAAAAAAGCACTTCTACGACGCATTAAGCCACGTAGCCCTGCGTCTCCCTAACCTCCAAGGAGAGCATCGGTTTCCTGTCCAACAGAGCATTCTGCACACAACATACCCAAGGCCTGGCCTGATACCCCATCGCCACTCCCTTTGTTGCGCACTTTTTGCAATAATCATTTCCACATATATCCCTACCTCTGATAATACCAGATTTTAAGAACGAGGTCGAAAGGCGTCCAGAGGCCAAACCCTGTGCAGAAAACTCCACTGGAAAATTACTCGAACGAGAATAGCCTTTGTTGTAAATTTGTTTTTAATGACAATAAAATAAGAAACAGTATAATAATAATAATTCAATAATAATAATAATAATTCAATAATAATTCAATAATAATTCAATAATAATAATCGTAATTCGTCACATGTAACGCTCTACCTAGTTCCTCCAAAGTTTATTTTCGACACATATCATCGTAAATACGTATCCACTAAGCCGTTCTTCTCCATCCCCTTAATTCAGTCCGAAGGTTCACCATCGCCGGCATGCGACAACCGTTAGTGTGGATGATGATGTATAATAATAATGAAAATTAATCAATCAATTGGTATCAATATCCCCTTAAACGTTAGCCCCTCTCGTGTTATATTAATTATACGTGTTGATTTTTCAATATATACCCCCCTCCCCCTTCCCCACCCCGTGTCTCTGCATAACCTCATTTCGTGGGTTTGCTCTCACGCCCAGGCTTTCGGAAGAACAAAAATATCTCGCCTATCCAATATCTATATATATTTATATATATATTTATATATATCTGAATATATACTGCCCTCCGATCGGTGGCCAATAGAGGTTAGCTCCAGCTCGCCGACTCTCCGATCAGGGGGGCGTGTATATTTCATATATACCGTAATGGTTTATCTCCCCCTCCTCAGCCTCTCCCTATCCGTTATTACAATATATATATTAAATATCCTCGACACAAGAAATATCGCTCAAGGTCCGACCAGGGCGTCTTTCTCATTCTCTCTCTTTCGATCGCATTCCTCCAGACAGTCATTCTCTCTCTCTTACTCTCTTATTCTCACGTCCAATCTCTCTCTCTCTTACTCTCGCTCTCTCTCTGGTACAGTTTAGGAAAATTAGTATCATCGCCGCGGTTCTCCCTATGCCACCGACAGGATTCCTAATCTCAAAACTAGCTTGACGTGTCACAGGCGCGCGCGCGCGTACGCACGCCTGTAGCACTTAATTGTCGCATGACGTCTCTGTCCAGAGGTTCTCTGTTTACATCCCTCGTTAACATAGAAACCTATGAATGTATGTTGGACAAATACGAACCTGTCACCTCGATGCCGACTCACCATCGAAGTCCAATGGGTGAAACGCTGTCTGGTATGATGCAAAGAAACGTCTTCGATTGCTGATTTCACATGTCTTGGCGTGCTATCTCTCCCTTCAGGACATTTTCAATTGTCTCTTCTATGGAGATCGAGACACGTCAGGGATTGTTTCTCAATTAGGTGTCACTGTCCGGCTGCTGTATACTCCGTAGGGCCATCTTTGTCTTCCTCCTAGGATGCTTCGGATACTACTTGGTCACCCTATTCCTCTCAACACAGGCACGCACTCACACACGCACACACTGTGCAGGTCTCGACAAGTGGCTCGGTGCGAACGGTCTTGGGTGATTTGGCTTGCGTCGTTGCATACATCCTAAGTACTCCTCGAGTCGCTGAGTGCTCTTTCTCTTTCTCCCCCTCTCTACCCGTGGCCCACCCACGCCGAGCCCCAGGATATCGGCAGGAACTGTTCCAGTCCTGAGATCGCCTACTCGATCACCTTGAGCACCTTGCCAATGGCGATGGTTTTGTCTGTGGATAAACAATTGCAGGTTAGGAAGCGAAGTTACCTTCCAATACGCCCAATTGAGATTCGTTTGGATTAGCTACATTTTTACAGTTAATACACTCATTCCTTGGAAAGTACAGCTAATCCTAAGGAACTTATGGTTAGAGAGATTATGACAGGATATATTAGAAGGTCGGTACTCACTTTCGTCCCTAAGGGTGAACCGTCCCATCTGAGGGAATAATTTGAATTTTTCAAGGCATATCACTCCTGCACACTCGATTCTCATTATCGCCACCTGGTCCTGCTTGACGAACCTCGGCCTCGTTTTGCTCTTGTCGCCAGTCTTCTTGTCGACGAGGCATATCAGTGCCTTAACCGTCACTTCCTCCGCTGCACAGTGGATGTGCATCACCGCACTGTAGCCTGCGCAGATGATGCTCTTGTGTTCCAGGATGACGAGTTGTGCGTCGAAGACTTTTCCCGTTTTGATGGGATTGTTGCTGTCACAGAGAACGAACCCTGGACTGACGTCCTCCTCCTCGATGCCCTTCAACTTGATCTTGACATTCTCTCCAGGACCCACTGAGGTAACCTCCTCGTCATCGGACCATAGCTGATCGACGGTGACTGCAGTCTGTTAAAACACCAGTACAGTAGTAGAATTTTAGATGCATCCTAAGTAGCCTCTCTGTGGAGGAAAATAAGAGAAGAAAATATGGAGAAATATAACCTCATACCCTGTTAGGCATGACGAGTAACGACTGTCCTTTCTTGGCTTCGCCAGCTTCAACCTTCCCCATGACCACCGTTCCCATGTCCTTGTATTTGTCGACAATCGGCATTATGAACGGACCGTTGCTCTTCCTGTTGAGGGAGGGCAACGAGTCGATGAAAGGAATAAAGGGTGGCCCCTTGTACCAGGTGCACAATTGTTCTGGTATCGGGTCCTTCAAACCGATACCAAGCTGTCCAGAGACCGGCATGAATGTAAGGTCCTTCGCCGGATTGAAGCCCAACTTACGGAGATAGGGCAGTATCTTGTCTCTGAAATCGAAACGAACAATCCTGTCAGAGACAAGAAAAATCAACTTGCCCGCGAGAATGATTAACCTCTATATTTCACAACGCATCCCTCTCTATCTGTCTAAAGTGAGGTTACGACAAACTTGTACGGCCACAAGGCTGACTTCCAGGTTGAAGGCACTGTAGGCAAATTCTAACCTTTACTGGCTTTGAAATTTCTCACTTACGCCGTAATAATGATTATCCAACCTAGTAAGGATTTCTTCTTCGTGATCTTCTTTGTCTGTCCACACTTAACTGACCTGTCAAGCGTAACCCCCTCTCTGTCGAGGGATCCTCACCTGCATTCGTTGTACCTTCCCTCGTCCCACTCGACCGTTGGATCGTCCATCTTATTCACTAGCACCACGAGATGTTTCACTCCAGCAGTCTTGGCCAGCATGGCGTGCTCCCTGGTTTGCCCTCCCCTGTCGAAGCCTGTCTCAAACTCTCCTTTCCTGGCCGATATCACTAGCACCGCCAGGTCAGCCTGTGCTGCTCCACCGATCATGTTAGGCACGAAGCTCTTGTGACCTGGCGCATCCAGGATTGTGAAGTGCTTCCTGTCTGTCTCGAAGTACGCCCTGCCAACCTCCACCGTCTTTCCCTTCTCTCGCTCCTCCTGGTTGGTGTCCAAGGCCCAACTCAGGTACCACGTCTCCCTGCTCCTTTCCTTCGCTTCTCTCTCGTACTTCTCCAAGGTCCTCTTGTCGACCATCCCCGTCAAGGCCATTATCTGGCCTCCAATGGTAGACTTGCCAGCATCTGTTAATAGAATAAAAATACTTAATAATAATGAAATGAATAAGTAAAGAAGAAACATGAAACAGATACACGAGAGACAAATAGAGTAGATGATTAGACGTTAAAGCACTCCAATACCACAAAAAAAAATTATTTGTAATACTTAGTATCATGAGATGTTCTTCTCATTGGTTTAACTTGGTAGCGTAATATAGAGAGAAGCTTTAGTGTCGATGACACAAGGCCTGTCATGACATTCTAGTACATACCCACATGGCCTATGAACACGACGTTGACATGCTCCTTTTTGCTTTTGGTATCTTCCGCAACTTTGATCACCTTCTTCTTAGGTATCTTGACGACCGTCTCCTCATCTTCTTCGATGTCAGCCTGACATTAAAGTCAAAGGTTGGTAATTATCCACATTATTCAAAGTTGATCATTTGGGAAATCTTATCTAAATAAGCTCGTGGTATGTCAATTCGTAGGAATATGTTTTGCTACCTCTTCGTTCTCAGGAGTTAGTAGAGGGTCACCGTCGACGGCAGCTTCTTCCCAGGAGTCAGCAGGTTGATGTTCAGGGCTGGTGTTGAGAGGGTCGATGTTCATGTCGCTGGGAGGTGGAGCCCCTCCTCCGGCTGGAGGTTCCTCGGCTCGGTCGCCCACCGGATCAGGTGGCATTGCCGGTGCACTAGCTGCTGCGAACAATAATCCCTCGTGACATTAGACACAGAGATATTTCAATCCTTACATGAATCACAGAATCCAATTAAAAAATACTAATAAAGTCAGGTTACAGGAACAGTGATAACAAACTGGGTCGGAGAACATTAAAATCTCCCTCTAACATCCTGCATAATAACGTTTCAACAGGGGAAGTAATTTTAGGTTATAACACCAATTTCAGTAAAATACAAAAGGTCTACGCAACACTTTTGGAAGTAGCAAGTTGGTACAGTTCTTGGATTACAACATTAACCATATCAACTGTGCATACTAAGTTAGAACACTCGTAATCCAAAACTGTAGACACATTAGAAACATTGACTCATCCCTAACTATTCATCTTCAAGGGCCAACCAAGTCCACATATCGCCCCTTCAAACATCAAGCACTGACTTCTCGGCAGTATCCACCATCAAAGCACAAAATCCTTCCACTATCAGGTTCCACAGGTGCAAAAATCGCAGAACATTCTTTCTCGATCCACTTCCAGCTGTTACCCAGCCCACAATGACCAATTCAGCCCAGAGAAATCCAGTTAAATCCAGAAATGTCCAGACCTATCCACCGAGCCCCATTACACACTAAACCTAGAAATGACATGCCCTGACCAACGAAACCCCCGTTTCCCTCTTCAAAACACAAATCCAATCCCTGGACAACGCTTAACCCTTTTGAACCCTAAAAACCTCTGAGATTCTCAAAAGCAGCCCTAAAATACTTTTAACCCATCTGCCACGAGTCCACCGCAAATCCTATTCGAACCGGAGCTGTGGTCTGTCCGTTCCTGACCTACCCTGCAGTGGTTCCGGAGGTCCTGATAATCCAGGGAAGATGACCGATGGATCGAATAGACTAGAGATGTTCAAGCTGGTTCGAAGTGATTTGAAGTGACTCGAGGTGACTCGATGAACTAACCTAACAATCTCGTTGACTCACCGTGGTGGGTCTCCGGAGGCACGGAGGCCGGTGGCGCGTTAGCCGGGGCCGGGGCGACTGGGAGACTTGGGGCCGCGGGACTAATGCAGAAGGAAGGCACGAACTCGGCCGCGTTCACGTTCAGGGTGGAGAACTTGCCCTCGACCTCGTGGGCCCTCTCCTGGACGGCGGGGTTCGCGTCGGCGCCGTCGGCCTGCTGCTCCCACGAGTCCGGCGCAACGCTGTTCGCCATGCTCTCGGTGAGCCGCGGCGGCTTCTTCCTCGTGCGACCGCGTACCTCTCCTCGGTGACTCTCTCTCTCTCCCTCCCTCTCTCCGCCTTCGGGACCGGGCCTCTCTCTCTCGGCCTCCTCCCTTCGCGCTGTTCACTCCCGGGCGATGAGTCGTCCTCGCCGGGGCACTCGTTGCACTCCGCCTCGCCTCGTGTACGCACCGCGGATGCCTCCTCGCGGACGGGCGTTAAAAAAATATATGTATATCTGTATACCTATATATATATACACGTATAAGGTATATCGCGGGGTATATAGATATATCGGTATGCATATACGTGTCTATCTTGCCGTATTCCTTGCGGGCACTGGCACACGCGTGTATACCTCGCGACTCCGCGTGCGGTCCCCGTGGTCCGTTTTGCTGCCGAGGTAAGCCGGAACTGCCGGAGTCAAAACAGCGGCGGAACGCGCGCCTCCTCCTGCTGGCGCGAGCTCTCTGATTGGTCGCCGCGGTTCGGTCGGGCCGCGCTCATTGGTCGCTTTCCGATGGACCGGGTGGTGTGGACCAATGGAAGCGCGGTACCCGTGAGCGGTGGCTAGTCCACGGGAGTCACTTCCGGCTTGAAGGAAGGGAATTGCCACAAGCTGTGATTAAGGTTGATATTTCATTGGCGCTACAGCGATATGTAATGGAGGTTTTGATTGGCTGCAAAGAAATAGCTGGAGAAATAGAGAAAGTTCTGCCGTACGTTCTTTGCAGCCAATCAAATGCTCTTATTTTCGCTTCGTCACTTGTATGTATCTGTTGCACTAATGAAATATTGGCCTTAAGACGAAATTTTGCCCCTGAAGTTCCACAATTCGAGATAACCGAAGTTTAACTAGTTTATACGCGGTTTAAACCTACGGTATACCACTTAAACTCCGGTTAATTCGAAGTTGACGAACGAGGCCTAAACTGCATATAAACCAGTTAAACGAAGTTTAATTGGTTTAAAGCATGTTTGAACTAGACGTAAACCAATAAAACTTCCGTTAACTCGAGTTCGCACACTCGAGAGCTGTGATTGGCTGGATTCCGTTGGATCACTGAGGAACCACCAATAAGAAGACGTCGCAGAAAAGACGAACGGGATTGTCCCATTGTGATTTTAAACATCGATCATACAAATTTCTTTTTAACAAATTCCTTAACCTCGTTTATTCGACGCGTATGACCTGTCATGCAAATTTTTAGGGATAAAGTAATTTGCAGATGGAACATTTTTATATCCTGCTTGTTATTACTTCTCTTATATTAAGTTATGGTTAATGTTTCTCAAATAAATTTCTCTAACGTTTATCGTAATTTCCCGCTATTTTAAAAGATAATCCAAACTCTAAATAAACAGCAGATCAAACCTATTGATATCTATGGAATGTTACTCTTAACGTTGAAGTATTTATTTCTTCCAATTACATAACCTGCGATGTGATAATGGTTTAAAAATTTTACCTGAAGTGCGATCCCTGGATACGATAAAATATATTTGGTTAAAACAACCTCTGTATGTATTTACATGTTCCAGGTACTAACGTTAATGCAGAAAATTTTAATACTCGCAATCACCGAATGAAGTGATCATTGTGCATTTAGTCAGACGTCTATCAAGATTACTAATCCCAAGCAGAAATTTGTTAAAACATTTCTCCAACAATACCGCCCATTGTAATGAGTATTATAAATATTTATATATTTATATTACAATATGGGAGCATTCCAAGCATTTTAAATGTAACATGAGAGAAGACAGTTCTCTAAGGACTGTAGAGAAAAATCTTAGAAGAGCTAACTGATCTGCGTAACATCCGTCAAACTTAAAAGATCGACTTGCCGGAACGCAGAAGTAAAACTATATGTCAAGTCGTTTATTAACAAGAAGAAAACTCTACATCGCACGTCACAGTCCAGGTTTATGCTATGTTATGCGCTGCACATTTTCCTTTTTTTTCTCCGTTACAGCGCCTCTCTTTCGTTATTTGTGATTACACAGCGATGTCTATGAACCGCAGCCTCAAGGATCCTCGATGCCACGCCACAACCTCGAATTACCGCTTGTTTACTCTCGCTTATTCATTAATTCTTTTAATTTACTCATCTTTCCCCGACATAACGCGTAACCTCTGCAGTATTGCACTCTTGCTGTGGATGACCACGTTCTCTTTGAACACATTTGTTTAGAAAGTTTAGTTGATTCAAAGACTCGAAGAAACAGCGATGGATCGCAATGATACGTATGCAGATGTACACGCGCAATTGTGTCGAGTTAAGAGGAAGGAATAAAGTCAATGAAACTTGTATCTCTAACATACTGTACGTTATTTAAGATTTCCAGGAATCGTATTAACTGTGACAAGAAAGTGACAGATTTCCTAAGAGCGAGCTAATCAGCGGAGATATTTAAAATCCACATTGCTGGCAGATGTGACACAATTCTTATGAAACAAATTCCAGAACCTTCCTCATGATTTTCAACTCATTAACAAATTCACCCTTTTCAACGTCATCCTTGAGCTCGCCTTCGAAAATCCGTCCTTTGCTGTTAAGCTCCCCGATGACCGCGAAAAAAACACTTCCCTACATCAGGGAAATTGATCCTACCGCATGATGAATGGTATAGCAGCATTGTAAGAGCTCCTATGTATTAAATCCCAAAATACCAGGGAAGTGACTCACCAACCAAGCAGAATACTTTCGATGACTCCGCAGGTGAACATAACGAGGAGGTAACCTTCCATCGCAACGACCATTACACTCAACGAATTTGTCCTAATGTCAAAACGTTCTTGCCCCGACATGGTCTTCTGTCCCTCGGAAGTCATAACCCGCCTCGGTGCATCTCATCCACACAAACATCTATCCCGTACCTCTCCGATGAAGAATAATTCACCGTAAACGAATCCCAGGAGGCACCAAGTAGACGTCCATCAGGGCAATCTCCAACTCAATTCCACCGGTTCTTCGCAATATGCCGTCGGCTCTGGTGGTAGCTTCGAAGGGCACGCACAGGTTGCAAGACAAAGACCGAGATGACAGTCTTCCCCTGATTTGATCCACAATTCCCTTAACAAGCATTTAACTCGGATTAATATAACTATAATTTATTTATTTACAGATTTATTCAATGTTAATAGATAAGAGTACACTGTATCGTATCGTTATAGTACGAGTTCTCAATATATCTAGTGATAATGCCATTCGCAAAGGAAGACGTACACCTGTCATGTTAACTTAATGTACAAACAAAATTTTAAACGCAGCTAACAAATTATTAAGCCATTAAATAAGTGAATCCTTTCGACGAAACCAGTCACAACATGGAGTACTTTATACTTAGGAAGTGGTCTTACCTCCTGTCAGCCAGTTCCACTTCGCCTCTGCGTATCTGGAGGAATGGCTTGACGTAGATGTTAGGTCGATTGCTGTTGCTGCGGTTGTTGCGGCGATTGTTGTTGCGGTTTGCTGCGATGCTCATAATTGACGAGTCGTTTGCCGACGAGGTATTTGTCGTCCTTGATGTGTTCGTACAGTTTGTGGAACTGCCTGATCTGGAAGCTGACCACGACAAAGACGACGTTGACCAGCAGGAGGAAGGGATAGAGCCTGCGGGCAATGAGGATCTGGGTTTGGAGGTTAGAGACCAGGAGAGGCAAGATGCCATACGCCATAGCGTATGGAACCGCCAGGGCCAAGCCGAAGCAACAGATAACAGGGGCTGCCAGTTCCGTCACTACAAACTTCAGGTCCATCTCTCTGATCCCATCGTTGTAGGCCTTCTCGATGGCCAATCGAAGCTTCGACTCAGGGCCCATCATCGTCACTGCAGTGGCTATCTTTGTGTAGAGCACTCCGAGAGCCCAGTCCTGCCAGATAAAGAGGATTGGCGTCTGTTCCAGGGGGATGCGCAAGGGTATTATCACCACGAGCTCAAGGAGAAGACCAAAGAGCAGGGGAATGACCCCGACAAGAAGGATGCTCGCTACGGAGGCCTTCAGTCCGAGGACTGCCCAGTGCTTGATTCTATCCAGAATGGCACGCCGACCCCTCGGCAGCCAAGAAAAGGCCAGAGCCAGACCTTGAGCCAGGGCCCAGCACAAGTATGTACCACAAGCCACCGTATACACTTCGTGCACCCTCCCCGAGAGAGCTGACACGTTCTCGCCGCCATCTGTCGATGAAAATTTCCTGCTATAAGGAATGTCCTGACAGTCATGAAGTTTCATTTTTTCTAAAGATATTTGACAATATCTATAAACAAATTTTTCAAAAATTTAAATCCTATGGGTGTCCAAACCTTTCTTACAGTCTCCATATTCACAGAATTAAGTTTGAAACGATTCGGTACACCCAGTTCAGGGAAAAGTTTCATGAACGAGACCTCTTTGACGTCACTTTCACGTCACCTTAAACTCGAGCTGAGCCGAGTAAAAATTATTAATAGCCTTTTTAACTCACTGTTGTTGGAGAGGTCGGGCAGCAGGATGAGAGGTGAGGGCGCCGGAGCACCGACCATCCACAAAGCCATGATTCTGCGTCCAATCCAAATTGGAAGTGTCATCATGACGAGACTGACAGCGACAAGGGTAATGCAGACGCAGACTAGCAGAGCAATAAGGCGGGCTGGGAACCATCGAGGCCTGACGTAGGGCAAGAAATTCGAGGAGCCCTGTCCCCTCTGAAGCAGGGCATGGTGTGCTACTCCGAGACCCTGGTGGTGAGCCTCTTCGACGACTGCTGGGCCTGGATCGAAGCTCGGGTCCTGGAGCAGGTAGGACCGCAGATCCAACATCCATGCCACAACTCGACACCAGGCACGCACCACTGCTTTCAACCAGGTGCGGGTATTGGACTGCTCCAACAGTGCAGGTAACACTGCCTGCAGCAACAGGAGCTCCAACGACAGCTCACTAACCTGCTTCGGAGGTTTTTCGTGATAAATCAAACGATTCCATATAGCCTAATTTACAGAAGTTTCATAAACGATTGCTTCGTCGAATGCCACTTTCGTATCACCATAAAGCGGTGGGAGATGAGAAATAAAGAGAAAGAGAGAAAAAGGAAAATAGTGAGTGACATTACCTGAGCTTCGTTCTGGACATTGACAGTGTACGGCAGGAAGCCAGGCCAGGCCCATCGAACTATTTTAACAGGCAGCCAGAGCATAAGTAGGATGACCGTACCGAATATGACGATGGAAGAAACGAGCCTCCTGGCATGTCTAAGAATTGGCAAGTGTATCATCTCCTGGATGGGCGAAAAGTCTGGATCGTTGAGGTTCCTCAGGAACCAGAGCACTCCGGGCCTGAGGAACTCCCTGAGGAGGAGGACGAACGAGGCGAAGTAATAGATATACATTATGCCAGCGAGCCAGTGAATAAACATCGAGGTGCCTGGTGCCATGCTGAAGGAGGCCTCCCGGTCCCTAAGGGTGGCATCAAACATGGCCAACGAACAGATGTCGAGCCACCAGCCACAGACCAAGGGCAGCACGCCGATCTCCACCACCGAGAGCAGGGACACCTTGACGACGACGTAGCAAAGACCAAGGATCTGTTGTGATCGGTGGAAGCCCATCAAGGCTGCCAAAGTATGCAACACCACTAGACATACTCCAATGACACAGTAACCACAGAGGGTGGTTACAAGGCCCTCAAAGTGGGAAGCTGCTGCGTGCTCTTGGAGTCCCAGGCCTGCGATGGCAAAGCGACCCATGTGGTACGGGCAAAAGGCAAACAACTGCAATCATAAGACAAATAAAATATACCTCTTACTCTTATGTTTAATACTCCAACAGTTGTTCACCCACGTCGTGTATCGACATATACAAATATTGGAATAAATGGATTTAATTCTTTCATCTTAAGATCGACTTAAGCGATGTTAAGATGTATAAGAAAATAATAATCTGTTTAGATTTTAATACTTTAATTAATAATAGATTTCTATTGACTGCAAGAAAAATTTCGGGTAGGATTTAATGTCTGTAGCTTTTGGTTAAGTTTACCAAGATGAAGAGGGCGTTCAGCGAGACAACCCAGAAGATGTGTTCCAGGAAGACCAGGGAGCCATCCAGCCCGAGCAACCTTTCCCAGGTGAGTTCGTCCGCAGGCCTGTCCCACTCCATTGGGTTCCAGTTAGCCTCTTCTGCCTGTCCCTGCCCTGGACCTTGAGCTTGACCTCGCCAGCCACCATCCGCAGGAAGCTGTCCCTGGGCAGCGTGTATGCCCGGTTCATCCCTTGGAGGAGAGGCATTGCCTTGCCTGTTGGGCCCCTCCGGCGTACCAACTAAGAGAGGATCTGCCCCCAGGTCCTCACCACCCTCTCGACTTGGCGAGGCTCCTTCATCGATCAGACCCCGATTCGGGCCATCTGGGAATTTTTAGGTTACTCCGTAATCTATCTTATCCTATTCTGCTGTCATTACTAATTGCATAATCAGAGGAGTTTCCAATTTGCCTTAGGATTATTTTTACCTATTAAGTTTGGTTCTTCACTCCGAACAGGAGGTTCCTCGATGAAGGGTGGAACATTGTTATTATCTTGTGCCTCGGGTACTTGGAAGGCATGGTCCTCTTGGACCCGTGGCACATTCGCCTCAGGTTGCAACCTGTTCTCAGCCGGTGGTAGTTGTACGTTGTCCCGTTCAAGCCAGTCGGGACCTCCTGCATGGAGTATCTGTTCCCTGAGCCATACCAAACCGATAAAGCTGAACAGTGTACACGTCACCACAAAGCAGCCTTGGAACACGTCAGATGAGACGTTCTCTAGGGAAAACACCTCCATCGGCAGCGACATTATCTGCGGTTTGGTTGTTCAATTATCAGAATTGTTTCAGTCATTTGTGCCATAGATATTCCAGCATATGTCTACTCTATAAATATTTCAAACTCTTTTTTTTTCTTTACATGTATACATTTAGGAAAATAATTTACCCGAACGAGATTCAAGGAACCGCCGAACAGCACTCGGTAAGTACGACAAGCAGATAAGGGAACGATGCCCAGCCAAGCGATCGCCACTACTGTGTAATGGAACCAGTATTTCACCGCAGTGAGGACACTCGACAGCAGACCTTTGACGACATCCTTCAGAGGTAACCGCCGTGGCATGTCTGGACTGTATACTGGCATGAAGGAAAAGCGATACCCGCAGAGTTCGCAGTACTCCTTGCGTGAGTATCGCATCCATTGTAGCAGACATTCCTGATGGATCCATTTGATGCTTCCGGTACAAATGCAGGGATGGAAGAGTGGCCGGTCAGAAAGACCCTCTGCCTGGCATACCCTGCAGATGTCCGCGCCTAACATGTCCTCCGTCATGTTTGCTGTAGGATCGCTCTATGCCTCCTAGTCGTGTCCACGACTAAATATATCCTCAGCTATCGTCGCCAGGTCTGAAATTAATCCATGATTTTAAACTATCTCTATACAATAAGCTTTGATAAACCTTTGCATTGGCTTACGAGTACCAAAAATATAACAATCCCACTGCCGTTGAGTGACTCGATGGCATAAAGGATTTTGTTAAACACCAAGCAGTCCCTGTATAGCACAGGGAAATAAGAATGAGGTTATTTCATGTGCTGAAGGCTATCAAAAAGTTTTGGCGTTCATAAGGGACAGTCCGGATTGCGTCGAAGTGAAATTTATAAGATCAAGCACATTAACAGGTTAAGTAAAAAACAGACCTTGTCCAAAGGTGAAAACGTCGCACGCGAAAACGCAGCGATACATATCAACAGTTCAAAGCTATTCCGTAAAGTATTCGACCGAGAGCTCAGGGCAGAAAACAGGTATGAAGAGCCAGTACTTACGTGTGGGTCATTAGAAACACATCGAAAATGAAAATATACCGTGCTAAGTGTCGAAAGTTAGTTATCTACTGCTACCTCCAGCTGTTTCTTTCTAAACACATCAGCGGAGCAGCCAACCTCACGAACGTGAATCTCGTCGAGAATAACAAGAATGACGTAATAAGACTTGTGTGGACGTTCCAATTCCGAGAAAATTGGAGGAGAAGCACTCGTAACGATTTCCTGTACTTAAATCTCAAGTTAGTGACATTTACCGAAGCTGAATATCAGTGGTTACAGGATACAATCAACGTCGCCATCTTGTCAGCCATGAAGACGGCCATTTTTGGAAACACACGCGCCTCGGCACGAACTCGATGTATATGAGCTCGTTTTCCGTTGGTCCAGTCCCAACGGAATGCTAGGTTCTGATTCGTCGGCTATCGACTTGTCCGCGGAGAGCTCCAATCAGAATTTAACCTTTTTCTCTTCGACTGTTTTGAGTTTCCATCCGGTGAAAATGCGAATATCGTGAGCCGTATCATATTCTAGAACAATCGGAAAGATCGATTCCGTCAGGCCGTTATAAAGGCAGATCGCGGTTGGTCGAGATGGTGCCTCATTCTTTTGAAAGTACGACGCACTTTCGATGTATCGGAAGCAGCGGTTCTCAATGGGAATACTCAACGGCGAAAAATTGCTACATTGGATTTCCATGAATAAATGAACTGAGTGAACTGAAATTGACTGAAAAGTTCGTACGCACCTCTGAGTTTCCGGTGTCGCGCCACGCTGCCGATTTTTGAATTGATATGATACTTAAACGTTATTAACGACCAAGGCTTCGCACACGTTTGTAGGATTCCACTGATGTTGGGCTTGAATATATTGTATTTATTTGCACCTTATATTTAAACTTACGCGATATATCCTTAAATTTAAACTCAGACAAACAATGGCCTCGACTGACTCGAAGAACGTTGAGGTTAGAAAAACCAAGTCCAAGAGACACAAGAAAAAGAAGATCAAATCCGAAGGTGGTATCACGATAAATGTTAACAAAATATACGACCAATTTTTTTCTATAGATTGGTAATAAAATCAAGATTGCTGTTAACCTTTCAAAGATACCGTTTTGAGGTTAAGCTATCGAAGACAATTGCAATTTTCTTCATACGTATTTTGTAGGCAAAGAAGACAATGTGAACTATTACGTTGACAAAACAGGGAACAAGAATAACCTCGATGCTCCGACTGACAGTGTCAATGACCAAGTCTCATCCACGAGACAGAGAAAGTCTCAGCGCACGATTGTAGGAAACTCTTCATTAAATGGAACGGGTCGTAATCAAATAGAAAATAAGGAGCAGGAGAAAAAGAAACAGAAAGGAAAGAGAAAGGTCAAACAAGAAAACGACGAGGTCACTGACGAATCTCCTACTAAAAAAATTAAGAAAACGAGGTAAATTTTAGTTATGGGAGATGGTATGCTTTTAATCTGCTTTTTGTTTATGTCAATATTTTATTTGCTTTTAGCACAGACTCGGAAGATACAGATGAAGAGGACTGCGATATAGCGGAAGAAGATAATGCTCAGAAACCTCCAAAGATGTCAAAGAGACAAATTAAGAAAGAAAAGACTGAGAAGAAGGAAGCTGAGAAAAAAGAGGCAAGTAAACTCGAAGCAAAACAACGGGCGCTTAATTACGTTTCAAAGGTAATTTTGTTTCTTATATCATTATTGTTGTGGTCAGAAGTCAAATGTCTGTATTGTAATGTTATGTATATTCACGGTTCAATTTTTAGTGGAAACATGCAAAAAGCGAGTGGAGGTTTGAGAAACTCCGTCAGATCTGGTTAATGGATCATTTATTGGATCAAACATCGATACCCGATTCAATCTTCCCAACTGTGCTTGAATATTTTGAGGGTTGCAAAGGTATGGCCAGGGAGCAATTATCGAAGAAAGGCATGGATGTTATTAAGAAGGTCGAAGAAGATGAAGAGAAACGCGAAGAAATCATGGAATCAATAGAATACAAGAGAGCTAGACAACTTCTACAAGCATTGCCTTCGGAAACATAGTTTTGTCTTGGATTACGAGACTTCCTTGCAAGCTTATTCTAAAATTATCTATTGACACCCAAAAGAAGTCGTTGAACTTTTGCGAGTTTTCATTTAGATCTATATCATCAACCTAGTTCCTGCAATTTACAATTACAATGCATAAAGGAAATTGTAAATAAAGTGAAGATAATTCCAAATGGGGAACTCTTGAGCGCAATGGAATTATTTTTATCAATACTAACATAGCTTGCAAAGGCTCTGTCAAAATTTTGTTAATACGCGATATTGTTCAATTTTTGTATGACCAGTCATCACAAATTTTTATATGACAAATAAATTGTATTTAAGTTGCACATGCTTGTTATATTCTTGCAAACACAATAGACTAAAAATGTGTATGCTACAGAGAAGGACATATATTTAACTTGTTTATTCTATTACGAAACAATGTGCACCACAGGCACTCTATCAGCTAAAAGATACATAACCCCATGAATGCACATCCAGACAAAATAATTTATCTGTACACCATAAACTTCATTAGTTTTAACTAATGTATTAAAGATAAATTTCAGAACTACTTTTTACAAGGAAGATTTCTTAGCTGAATGCTATTAAGGTTCAGCATATTTATCAACAAACTTCCTGAGCTTATCCGTATCCTGGAGCCCAATAATTCTCTCAAGCACCTTCCCATCCTTCATGGCGATCAAAACAGGCACAGAGCCAACCTATAAGAAAGAATTATTATATAATCTAATGCCTCTAAAAGAAACAAACCAAATTTTACACATTAGCTGACGATGCAAAATTTAACCTCATAATCCAGAGCTAGATCCGTGTTCTCGTCGATGTCAACCTTCGCCAACAGAATCTTTCCTTGCTTTTCGGCGATGACAGACTCCAACCTGGGCGTCAGCATGCGGCATGGATTACACCATCTGATGAATATGCAAATACGAAACGTTTAATCAATTCATATTTGAAGAAAACTATGGAGTTACCATTAGACTTATCGAAGTGACTCGACTTCCATAAAAATTATCAAGATTTTTGTGCCCAATTTCAGCAAAAAGGACAAAACTAAAGCGCCAACTTACGTAGCGAAGAAATCGATGATTACAGGAACCTTCGAGTTTTTAACGCGATCGTTGAAGTCCTTGTTGTCTTGAACCTTGAAAGCTGCGGAGACTGCTGCTTCCTGCGCCGGAGCGTTCGCGAAATTTCGACTGTTCAAAGCCATCCTTGTGGCCCTCGAGCCGACGCGTAACATCTTCGAGTTTGCTAATTAAAACAGAATTACCTTTGCTCTACACTCGAATTCTCTGATTTAATATTACGCCGAAATCCAACGATATTCCGTGACGCGACTAAGCGTGTGACGATTCTGCGCGTTGGACTACCCCGACACATAACCTCACTCTTCCTCCGGAGGTGAGCTCAAATTAACTCTCTTAAAAATTTCCGAGTGGATTCAAAGCAACGGCAGGATATAAAGGCTACGGAGCGGTTGTTTCACGGGACATTATTATCTGTAATAATGTGATAACCTTTAATGCATGACATATTACTCCGATTTACTTTAATGTCGTTTTAAACATTTTAAATCGCCTGTTGGTCGGTGCTTCTCGCGCTCTCATTGGTGTGCAGTTTCTCGCGCTCTCATTGGTCAGCAGCTTCTCGTGCTCTCATTGGTCAACGGTTTCTCGCGCTCTCATTGGTCAACGTTTTCTCGCGCTCTCATTGGTCAATGGCTTCTCGCGCTCTCATTGGCCAGTGGCTCCTCGCGCTCTCATTGGTCAGCAGCTTCTCGCGCTCTCATTGGTCGACGGCTTCTCGCGCTCTCATTGGTCAACGGCTTCTCGCGCTCTCATTGGCCAGCGGCTCCTCGCGCTCCCATTGGCTCGCCGCCATCTTGACCGGTTCGACAATCGATTGCGCCATCTAGGCAAGCTCGCGGTCGATGTCACCCAACTCGAAGTGCGGCGGAGTCGGTCGTGTGTGCTCGCTGCATGCTATCGCTCGTGCGCTCTCGCCCGGCGCAATTTCGCGCGGCGTCTTTTTGTGTATTAGGAGTTGTTCGACGCGAGCGTCGTCCTTGCTGCGGCTTCCTTCCGTGGATCGGGCCGAACCACCATTCTTGGGCGCCGCCACGCGGGCCGAAGAAGCCCACGTCGAGGGGAAGATGTCGCCGCTCTGAGGCTACGGATCGCTTGCCACGACACAACGGAGACATCCGAGCCCGCTCTCGCGCTTTCCGCGGGCTGAGCGCAGATTTTGCACCTCCGACTGACCCACGAATGCGTAAGTTTCAATCCTCGTTATCAATTGTCGGAGAAAGTTCCCCACGAAGGGGCTCTTCTACTTCCGCGGCCCTGAAAACAGGATTTTTGGGGACACACGCTAATCTGCACTGCTCGAGTAGGAATTTGTATGGCTTAAGTAGAGATACAGTCATTTTGTGTTATTCCGCAGCGTTTGTCAATGGTTTCGGCACGTATCCTGTATCCTTCGTGGCGACTCAAAATGAACCTTTCAAGGACATCGTTTGTTGGGCTTTTCGGTCCTTGCTCCTCGAAGAGAAACTCCATGCATTGAGTTACATCGATTAATTTCAATTGATACAGTAGATGGTTATTATCAAATCCGTGATGTGTTTTGCACGCGTTATTAGGGATATTTTCCTGCAATTAGTGAATCTTGACGCTTGGAATTATCTCTTGGCATATCTGAGATAAAGGGCACGGGTTGATCCATGTTGAGGCTCTCTAAATATTTCGTTATTAATGCTTAATAAAGGTGACCTCTGTTATAAATGTTCCAAACCTTGCTTGGGTTTATGGTTGTTTATATATATTGATGTTTATGTATCTGCGTTAGTTTTCAGTTAGGCTATTTTAGAGGTTAATGTTTGTACATGGATTCTTTAGGGACAGGTTTAAGCAGGCAGGATGTCGGTACACTACAAGTTCAAGTCCACGTTGGATTACGACACCGTATCCTTCGATGGGCTTCACATATCCGTGGCGGATCTAAAGAAAGCGATCTTCCATCAGAAACGCATCGGCAAGAATACCGACTTTGATTTACAGATCACTAATGCACAGACCAAGGAAGGTGAGCTCTGAATGAATTTTTACCCACTCTTGGATAGATTTATTTCAGCACGAAAGTCTATATATCTATATTTATAATTCTACGTCACAATATATCTTTTATTTCAGATTATACCGATGATAATGCGCTCATCGCAAAGAATACTAGTCTTATCGTAGCAAGAGTGCCTCTGACGGTCCAGCAGAAAAGATCCTGGGATCGCAATGAACCTCCAACATTTAGCAACTTAAAAGATGAATCCAACTTAGGCCGCACGGTTGACCTCACTCGCCTCGATGGTTCAGAGGAGGACAAGATTCGTGCGATGATGACGCAATCAACCCAGGATTATGACCCATCGAAGTAAATAGAAACAGTTATTCAGGGACATTTGTTGTTCGAATTACTTTATTAGTACAGGATTTAAAGTGTCTGGATTTTATTATAAATTCCTTTTGTGTTTATCTAAGTTATATGAAGATCCGTGGTGCGAATCAGACCGGTGATGTGCCACCGAATTATCGTTGCTACAAATGTCACCAGCCGGGACACTGGATAAAGAACTGTCCTCTTGGGGCAAACCAGGAGCCGATCGAGATCAAGAAGAGCACCGGCATACCTAGGAGTTTCATGGTTCCGGTTGAGGGCCCTTTGGTACCTGGAGCCATGATGACTCCTACGGGACATTATGCAGTTCCTGCTATTGATCAGTGAGTAACCAGTGGTAGTTAAATATTTAAATATCGGTCATTCAAAGTGATTTATGGTAAACATCTTGCATAATTTCTATTTCATAGTCAAGCCTATAAGGAAGGGAAGAAAGAGAAACCTCCGTTCTCCCAGGATCCAGAACCCATTGTTGAGAAGCCGGAGATTCCAGAGGACCTGCTCTGTAATATCTGTAAAGATCTTCTGACGGATGCTGTCATGATTCCCTGCTGTGGAAATTCCTTCTGCGATGAATGTAAGCTCTTCTTCGAAACAAGTGTAAAACGGTTTGAGACTTATTCCATGACCTAAGGTGGCTTATTTAGTTACCTAAATCTGACTTCTTTAAATCTTCCTTCTCTAGGTATTCGTACGTTCCTATTAGAGTCTGAAGAGCACGAATGTCCAGACTGTAACGAGAAGGATGTCTCACCGGAGACACTGATTCCGAATCGTTTCCTTCGGAATGCTGTATCCAATTTCAAGAACGAGACTGGTTACGCGAAGAGACCGATTTTTAAGAAGTTGGTGCCAAAGCCAATAGCACCCGTACCCATAGCGGAACCAAAGATCGAGACCCAGCAAAATACTGTGCAGTCGATTAGTCAGATCGAACCTATTTCATGCCAAAACACAGCTGTCGCGCCAATGGAAGAACTGGATCGACAGCCACCTCCTGTCGAGGCTCCCATATCGCACAGTGATGTCAACGTCACGGTGCCCATTACAACCGGTACGACCGTTATAATCTACCGATTAATTATTTCTATATACCTTTATGCTCTCGTACATGTACTAAATGTTTCTTCACTCATCGCTGATTATGTGCATAAAGCAAATAGATGTTACCGTATCATCTATTTATGCATATTTGAGGTTTTCTCTTGAACACGATTTTAGAGGATATTAGAGAAGTGTGATTCTTTCGAGTTTTCGTCGCGGGTGACGGGAATTCGGTCGACGTTTATTTCCTTCAAATTCCGCAGCAATGCGCCGTCCTCGCGCCGCTTTTCCTCCCTTTTCTTTTTTTTTTCCTTTCTTTTCTTTTTCGTTTCCGGGCACGCGCCCTGAGTCGTCGCCATTTTGGGTGTCGCGGAGTAAATCCGATATTTCGCGCGCCGACCTAACCTCAAAGTCATGAGCAAAAAGTAACGCGGCTCTCTCTCGCGCGCGTCGTGCCTGTACGCGAATCGCGTGCCCGAGGTGTGAGTGAATCCGGGAAGAGCCACGAGAGAGCTTGAAATCAAGGATAGATAGCGGGTTAACCTAAAAAAAAGTTAGAAGGGACAGAGAATGAAGGTTAGTCCTTTGTACATCAGGCCTTCCGGAGACCACCTCGGAGTCGGACCTACAGAGCGACACGGTAACGAAGCTGACTACCGACGAGGAGACAGAGGTGCCACCTCCACCAGGCACCGAACCACTGTTGCCGATAACTGCTATCGGTAGCTCTCCGGATAAGGATCGCTGCGATAGGGACTGGGACAGGGACCGGGATAGGGATAGGGAACGAGATAGAGACAGGGATCGCCTGCTTCTGGACCGGGATAAGTGCGACAGGGATGACTACGCGGTCGATAGACACTCCAGGGAAAGGAGGCGCAGCTTCAGCAGGGACGGTCATCGTGACAGGTCAGGATATAACCTCGACGATCCGAATGCATTGCACAGAGTGACGGATCAATGGTTAGACCCGTTCCAATAGTATTTCTAAATGGCATCGGTGATGACGGAGGCATGTAACGGAGTTTGTTTGCGCAGGCATTCACACCGAGGGGACTATCCACCACCGGGAGGCCCCCTACCCCATTTAATGAACCCACCACCCGCCAAGGAATATCAGGGACATCTGGGAGACGGACACTATCCGCCGAACATGCACTATGACTCGGGTATTCGGAGGGCCAGCGAAGACAGACCAGGCACTCCTACGGTGAGTGGACAGACTCTTAACTCGATTCATTGTTTCAAACTTCGATGCGTTAACCTTCTGCTTCTCAATTTTGTTCTTAAAATCTGACTAAGTTTTACTCGGTTCAGGTGGACGAGCCTCATCTTCATCCACCCCCTTCTGCGAAGCAGCCACCCTTGTTGCCCTTTCCACCCGGAGAGGACCGAATCCCTCCACCGAATTACAACCAGCCCCCACCGGGCATGCCTCCATATAATGCTCCACTGTTGCCATATCCCTACATGGGACAACGAGTGTCCATGTACCCCTACCAACAGGGACCTCCTTATGGTCCTCCGAGATACCTCGAGAGACATCCTTACCAGCTACCAGGCTACAGGCCCACGCAGCCCCCTCGAAATTATACCAATCAGCCCAGACAAATGCGAGGGATACACCTCCGTAAGTAGCTTGACGAAGACTCTTGACAAGCGAACTCGCTCAATGCCAGTGTGATAAAAAATTCTGATTGTAAAATAATAATTTAGTTGGCTATCGGGGGCATCGGCCACTTCCACCAGGTGTTTCAGTAAACGTTCTGAACGGAAACCCACCTGGGTAAGTTGCTTCGGTGTTAATAATTTATCTTGGAGGGGGAGTCATCAGTGGCAGTTCATCTGTTGCATTAAGAATTTTCTTCCGGCAGCACAATTCTCGATCCACTGGAGGCCTTTGAACGCATGTTGCGAGAGAAGGACGAGAGGGACAGGAGGCTAGGTAAGCAACGAAGACGAAGTAGAAGCCGATCCAGGTCTCGCAGCTATTCAAGGTCGAGATCCAGATCCTTCGGAAGAAGATCTCCTCTGTCTCCGCGGATCAGTAGATCCAGAAGCCCTCCTCCGAAGAGGCGACCCTCCAGGTCGCCGCCTCCGTTGAGAGCGAGAAGTCGCACCCCGAAGAGACGATCCAGGAGTGGCAGCTTCTCGATCAGCAGGTAACACCCCCTCGGAGAGTCAAATCCTCCCCAGAGAACTATGATAACCCAATCGTGATCTTTGCCCTACTCGTCGATCCTTTTCCGGAGAGCTCATTCCTTGTTCCTGTCCTCCGCAAGACTGATTACTCTCGTGTAAGATCTCCGCTTTAAACGTGAAGGATTGTGAATTCTGAATTTTTGTTATTTTGTTCTTGCTTGCAGATCTCGATCTTACTCTCGGAGCCAATCACCGAGGGGCTCTCTGTCGAGGGACAGGGATAGGGAGAGGGATAGGGAGAGAGATAGGGAGAGGGATAGAGATCGCGATCGGGATCGGGATCGTGATCTGCCTCCTAGGTACAGGTCGCCTCCTAGATCACCACCAAGGTGAGGAATACCTTTGAACTTGTTTCCTGTTAGATAGGCGTAACAATCCTACTTTTATCAAATGTCAAGGTAGACAATCAACTTGCAGAGTTTCACAAAACTTGCCTCGTACAGGTTAAGTACCTTAGGTGATCTTGACTTAATCTGTTTACAACCTAAAAATATGACAGATGAACATGTTAGGAAATCTGAAAAAAATTGTTTCGCAGAGATTAAATAAGTTAGGTTGATCTATCATAACCTGAAAGTATGTGTATGTTTAATGGTGGTCTTTTCGTGGTTTTTTGCAGGTTCCAGCGAGAGAGGGACCGAGAACGAGACAGGCCCAGATCGAGAGAGCCCCCTCGGGACAGCTGCAACAGCTACTATAACGACTCGCCTGCCCATGATTATCCGTTCCGTGAACGCGAACGAGACCTGCCACCCCGGGACAGGCCCCCGCCCAGATTTCCCCCGAAGAATCAAACCTCGCAACACAATATTCCACCGTTGTTGCCGCACCGTGGCTCCGGAGGCCACCCACCGCCACTCATGTCGCTGGGACATGGACCGCCGCCACCGGACAGGAAAGACTATTATGATTCCTACAACAGGTATTTTCGCCTCAATAGTTCTCTGATTCACCTATACGTTAAGCAAACCGACTCACGAGGCCCGACGTCTCGTTTCCCAACGCGAGAGTACTGCTCCAAGGGTTACGTTGTCTGTGGAGAGCTTGTTGACGGAGTGTCCGTAGGTGGTTTCCTCTCGAGGGAACCTAATGGCAGCGAACCAGTCCCATATTTTCGAGAGAAATGTCGCGAAATACTTCGTCTCGAAGAGAATGTCTTCTGTCGAGACGACTCGGTCTTACTCGGATCCGTTTGTCTGGTTGTATGAAACATATCGTTCGTCTCAGTGGTTTACTTGGAATGGTTTTTCCATTAGATTGACGTACGTCCCTTTGCGTTTCGAGCGTTTTATTCAGAAAAACATTTGTTTGAATACATGGAAATACGAGCGTGTGAGCGTGAGCGATGAGAAGAACTTTGAGGTTAGTATTTTGAGAGACCTTTGGCACAGGCAGAGATTCCGTTTTTAACCTCGAAAGCTAGTGGCACGGTTTACTTCAAGACGGAGTTTTTTTCGATGCCTTGAGAGGGAACCGTTTTCGGCGCATTTTAGTGATACTTTTTTTGAAATTCAAGTTGACTGGCTAGTAAATACACATCAGGGGAACGATACGTCGAACGTTGCACTTACGTAGTGTTTGCGAAAGCTGTTTCTGTCTTCTCGTGTTAATGGTGCACATTAGTTACAATGATTATATGTTACCTTATCTTTACATCAGTACACACTTACCTTTACGTTCACGTGTATACACGTATATACGGCGATTGCGGCAGTGGAAGGTGCGACACATAGTATTTAGGATGGTATTAAAAAGACCTGGTCCGAGGCTGGTCTCTAATCACAAGATAAAAGTAAGGATCTATGACTTGATGAGCCATCGATGGGCATCGACAGTCTTGCCAATGTGCTACCCTTTATGTATAATAGTTTTATGTTAACTAGAATTTGCCTCGGTAGGATTCTAGTAATGGCTAATGTGGATCTTTCAAAGCATTGACTGTACTTTGCAAAGGAATTGTTTATAACCGCTTTTGAGGTTGTCAGAGCTATTGAGAGTTTGCTCGATCGAAGCTACCTTTAAAAAGGAAAGAAATACTAACAAAGATTTTATCTCATACACTGTTATGAATTCAATTTATGTTGAAAGAAATGTATTATCGATGCTCTGCCGTTACCCAATGGCTGTGGCAGTCATTTTTGCCATCAGCTGCACATAACCTCTATTTATTTTAGTTCAATTGGGCACCAATGAGCTTTTTATGCGAGACTTTTACATGCCACGTAATAAAAATACGAGGCTTAGAAGACTGAAAAGGCAGAGATTGTCTTTTTGAGAATTCAAGTACCTATATGAATCTTATCTCACTGTGATATTTCTGTGATATTTTCATACAATGAAAAAAAAAGCTTAAGTAAATGCAAGGATGGAGTTATTTACATGATGACTTTGAAGAGTCAGTGGCTCGTAGATGACACCGTAGTGTTTGTTTAAAGCAATAAGGGATGTTAATTGGAGATAAGTAGAGAGATTATTATATCGGAGGCTTAGAACGTGATTATGAATGCTTCCACGTAACTGCGACATTGTTGAACCAATTGTTACTCGTGCTTTGGTACTCCAAATGGATTCCGATATTGTATCCACTTGTGATTATGACTGTTGACGTTAGGTTCCCCATGAACACCTTCATGGATTGCATAAGTTAGCACTTAATGTTTATTTGGCAGGAATATATATATATATAATAATGCATATATATATATTTTTATTCATTCACGCATATTCATTTGGATATCTGTTATGTTTTCAAAGGTGCCAGGAATTTGATGAATGTAATTGAGAAGGTCGAGGAAAAATAACATCCACTCGTCAATACATTTTTGTGATATGCTTGTAAAATTTATTACTAAGTTTATAAAACGAGGGAATGTATTTGATGAATAATGAGACCTCTGTTGAATTGTGGAATTGGATCCCGATGCTTCTTTTTTTTTTGTTTTTTTAATCGTTACCAAAGTGGAGCAATTTTTCCTCGATCATTTGAATCGTAATGTTGAGTCCGTATCGAGAATGTGGCGTGTTTCTCGTGAATTTTGGAAAAGGGTGAGCGACTGCTGTCGGAGTAACATTTTAGTTCAACCATATAGATTTGCAAAACACTGTCCAGTATATCCATACCGAACCTCTTGGAACCAACCGACATACTCTTTGATATTATTTTATTTAAAGAATTTCTGTTATCTCTGCAAACGCAGATTATTTTAATATTGTGTCTAGAGTTTGCAGTACGCAGACCAATATTTTATAAATTCAATGCCAAGGCAGTTCTGCGTACCTGCAAGTTGACTTTTACGATGAACATTTGACTTAATGTTGGCAATGAAATTTAATCCACTGTTTAATGGTACTTTAATTTGATGTTTCTAAGGATTTTATTGTATAGTTATATCCTGGCCGGTACGTCCAGATACCAATTTACGAATTACAGTATTTGTTCCAAGATGATCGGTCTCGGTCATAAGTAAGAGATGCTTGGACACTGCGGAGGAATCTTGCGCTGTCGAAAAACTGAAAGCAGTGAGAGACGGCGAAAGCGACTCATATTTTTACAATGTAACATAAATGTCTGGTTCGACTTCAATGGAGACATTTTTCCCTTACTCGATTGAAGAGATCGACAGCACTGATACATTGTAACACAAGTGAGAGATTAATATACTAAATTCCTAACCTCCAATTTCTGTAAGTTATCCGTAAGAAAATCAGTTATTATTATGTATAATCATTGTTTAACTAGCATCGCAGTGCATTCTAGGCAAAAGTTTACAAGTGCATCTCAGAAATCTCACGACCTAGAAACTAATTGCTCCCTTTTGAGCAATTTATCTCCATTGAAGGAACGCTACCATGGCTCACATCCTGGACAGCAAGTCGAAGAAAAGCGAGGCACAGGGCGAAGTTACACTTACATTAAGAAACGTCCAAAAATATCCATAATCGACCTCTTTGCGAACGGAATACTTTTATCTACACTTGATATTTATTAAAAATTACATCTAACATTACTTGACGATACTCAGCCAATTGCTTCGATACATTCTATTCTCACTTTAGACGCACTCTACCCTTGGTTAAACCGTTTATTAAATGGAAGAAATTTAGAAACGTTAATTATAAACAATTATCCTGTAAAAGTGGTGTCGATGAGTATGTCAGATTTTCCTCTTTTGTTTGCTGGATTTTAATATCGGAGTGGCAAAGCCCTCGATGTGCCTCGCAGTGCTTTGACTTGGCTGCTCTGCAGGACTCCCTTCGATTCCGATCAAACACCTCTGTACCGTAAGACTTTTGCGTTGCCCAAGAGAGACCGGAAGTACCGTTGTCAATGTACCTGGAATTATGTCAATGAATATTATACGCAAAATAAAGAATGGCCAAAAATGTACCATGATCAGAGGAGAAAGGCGCACGAAGAAGAGATTCAGGCAAGGAACGGACGTGTACATATATACATACACCCTCGTATGTATATATATATAGGTTTATATATGTATATACATATAGAAAGCCAAAGTTATGTATATATGTCGGAGCCAGAGTCACACCAAGGAACGTCCCGAAGCCTACCCGTCGACGCAGCTCAACGAGACACGGTTTCTGATTCAGGTGAATTCAGGGCCAAATCAACATTTGTAACAGAGATCCCCTTTACAGACACATGCACAGAGAGAGAGAACAGAGAGGGAGAGAGAGAGAGAGAGAGCCTGAGAGAGAAAATGATCCGCAGAGACTCTTCGGTACCACAGCGAGTCAAGTCAGAGGCCTTCGACAGAGCTTCGTCAACCTCAGGATCAGTTCATCGGAGTGGACCACCGTGCCACTTGCATACGTGTCATATTGATTGTTACTTATCTATTAAGTATAACAATTTATATATAATAGGGTTTTAGCGTAGAAATCATGAAATATGGGATAACTTTCATAATGTTATACTGAGGAAAAGAAAAAAAGAAGAAATTCATTGAACCTAAGGAATATTTCTTTGAATGCTACCGATGAAACTATGTTTGGTAATTCAAGGAATTGTTGTTTGACGCGAATAAATTCATATAAATTGTCGTCGTTCCGTGGAAACGTTGCGTCCAATTTATTCGAATTTATTTGAATATTATTTGATTCAATTCTTCTTTTAATTGACGAAATGTTTCTTTGGTACTGCTCGAGGAAACGTTCCTTTGGTTCGATGACGTTTCTTTTTCTTTCTCTGGGTAACAATTGCAATTGTTGGTAGGGAGCCGAGGATATGTGTGGCGCGCTGTGGACCGAGGGTTTCTGTTCGACGGTGCCGATGCCCAGAGCCAAGGCATACGCACGTCGTCGGATAAGACGAGAGATTGGGGAGAGAAAGGGAGAGAGCCTGTGCGCTGGTGAGAATGCAAGAGAGAGAGAGAGGGTGTGTGTGGGAATTTGTCGAGCACGACAGAGCGGTTACCATGCAATTGTTTATTAATCTCGATTTTTCAGCGCTCCCGACTGCTGGCGATCGTCGAGGTCGGTTGCCGATCTTTCCTTGGCATCCTCTGGACCCTCGATTCCGCTTATCAATTTGATTCCAGCGAGCGCCGAATTTATAGCGCGATACGATGCTCGTCCCGATGCAGATGCAGGTTGTCCTTTAGTAGGACTCGGCGGGAAGAAAGCTAAAGGGTGCAACGGTCCCTTTGCCAGGGCGGACCTCGACGGACGCGATCCTTCCTCTGGATTTATTTATTTATTTACCCATTCTTCAGGGGATGTGAAAGTACCATCCGAGGGTTCGTTTATAAATCTTTTTTTCCTAACTGGGTGTACCGAATTGTTTTACAAATTTACAATGTTAACGTGGAGGCTACAAGGAAGGTCCTGACACTCGTAGAATTTAATGCTTTCTAAAAAATGATGAGAATATGAACAATTTAAGGAAGAAGAAAAAAAAATGAAATTTCATGGGTGTTCCTTATGATCTCCATATTAACGTTGTAAAGTTTCAAAGAATTCGGAACACCCTGCTGGGAGAAGTTTCATAAACAATGAAATCTTAAGGAATATGCTTTGACGTTTATATATTCATATAGAATAATGCTTTTGTATCACTTAAGCTGTTGATAAAAAATATATATTTTTTTTGAGAGAGAGTTTGAAGAAGAGTTGAAAAAGGAACGAGTCCAGGGTACCGATCACCGCGGGGTCTGCTCGTCGAGGGTGAAAATTGGGGCTGAGGGAGAGCGAATGGGAATGAGAGAGGAGACGAGAATGAGAGAGCGAGTGCGAGAGAGAGACTGGCACGCCGGTGAAAGAAAAGGTAAAATCGGCGAGGGATAACAGGAAGGTTTTAAATTTATGTCGACAGATATTCCGGGCCGGCCTCGCAGCGCTTTTCGAGCCCCCACAGGGAACCGCCGACGAAGAGGTTCGACGACGTTGAGCCTCCGGGTACCGAGGCCTATTACGATCTGCCTCCACCTGGAGTCGATCACTCCGAGAGGCCGGTCCGAGAGGACAGGCCCTCTCGACTCGGACCTAGAGACCAGGAGGAGAGAGACCATCCCCCGAAGGAGCAGGAGGAGGACAGAGACCGCGCGCCTAGGGACGACCGGTAAATCGGGATACATGAAAGAGCTTACTCGGCGAGAGGATTACTTTCTAGGATAGAAGATGCTCAGTCGAATTGTTCACTGGATACTTGCGATAATATACGGTTAAATGGATTTTATACACATTATAAAGAATGCTCAATTTTTTAACTTGAGAAATGATGCAGACGGTACTTAACTTTTTTAAGGGGATGTGAAAGTGGCATCCGAAAGCTCAATCGTTCATAGAACTTTTCATAGAACTGGGTGTCTCAAAGTCGTTTCATACTTTAAAACGTGAATATGGAGACCCTAAGATAGGTCCTGAAATTTCATTTTTTATATACTATTTTTAAAATACCTATAAACAAATTTTAAAAGAATTGAAATTTCATGAGTTTCAGGACCTTCCTTATAGTCTCCCTGTTCACGTTGTAAAGTTTCAAACTATTCGGTAAATCGAGTTGGGAGAAAAGCTTTATAAACGAGACCTCTTCGACGCCACTTTCACATCACCTTAAGGGAAATCGCAAACTATGCTCAATTTACTTGAGGAAAATTACAAACGAGTACGCGAGATTCTTATGGTGATAAGAAAGTGGCGTCGAAGAAAGTAAATTTTGTCGCTCGGTGTAAGGGCGAGATTTTCTTCCTTGAGTCGCAGATTTGACAATTGCTGCCGATTTTCAGAGTCCGAGAAAGAGAGGACCGCGCCAGAGAGAGAGACGACAGGGAACGAAGAGGTCCCGATCGGGAGAGAGACGACAGAGATCGCGCTCCACGTGACGACAGGATGAGAGAGAAGGATGATCGGGAGCGCAGGGAGAAAGAGAAGGACAGAGGAGAAGATAGACACGCTCGCGATCGCCGAGAGGATGATCGACAGCCGGAGAAGAGAGACTACGAGAAGGATCGGTTGGTGGCATTCTGTGTTTATTTGATTAATGTTTTTCACCCTGGAGATTCGTAATGACTATTTGACTTAATAAAAAAAAAATTGCTAAATCGCGTGGCAAAATTCGAATCCCTTCTCGAGGGGATAATAAATGTGTTTATTTGATTAATGTTTTTCACCCCGGAGATTCGTAATGACTATTTGACTTAATAAAAAAAAAATTGCTAAATCGCGTTGCAAAATTCGAATCCCTTCTCGAGGGGATAATAAATGCTCTACGTCGTTTTCAGGACGAGCAACGCGTACGGCTACAAGGAGGAGCGTCACCGGGTGGAGGAAAAGCCCCCACGTCCTCGAGACAGAGACCGCCGAGACCGGGACTACGACCCGGAGAAAGAGCGCGAGCGACACGAGCGATACGAGCGTCCTCCCCCGGAGCGGAAACGCCCGGGTGCCGGCCCGACCGGAAGCGGCTTGACCCGGAAGAGCGCCAGCCCACCGTACAACCCGCGACCTAGGGCGGACTCCAAGGAGACGCCCGAACGCGCCAAACGGAAGGAGAAGGACCACGAGGAGGCGCGCGCCGACGAGCGGAAGAAGGAGAAGAAACCGAAGGAGAAGCGGCGCAAGAAGGACGGCGACGAGAAGGAGCGGAAGAAGAAGAAGAAGCGCGAGAAGAAGGCCGCGGCGGCGGCCGCAGCGCACAAGGACGTTGCGGAGGAACCCGGGAAAACGGAGCCGGCGGTCGCGACTTTGTCGACGACCTCCTCTGCTGCGGTCACAGCTGACACGGCGGAATCGCTGGACGCGGTCGCGAGGATCGAGCCGGCTGCCAGTCCGGTCGCTAGTCCCGCTCCAGGTCTTGCTACGAGTCCCGCAGAAAGTCGGCCGACTAAGGAGAAGTTCGAGACCAAGTTTGAGAACAAGTTCGAGAATAAATTCGAGAATAAGTTTGAGAATAAGTTTGAGAACAAGTTCGACGACAAGTCGCTGGCCATGAACCCGGAGCCTCCGGACTTCGGCGGGGAGTGCGCCCGAGGTCGCATCGAGGAAGCCGAGTTCGCGACCAACCCCCCTAATCCTAATTTCAAGCCCATCCCGGAGCTGAAACCGGAAGGGAAGCGAGTGGTGGATGGACTCTACGAGGGCCTGGAGGACGCCGAGATCAGTCGCGCCGTGGCAGAGGAATACGCGACGGGGATGGCGCCAGAGGCGGTGAAGGAGGAGAAGGAGGAGAGAGGCGACGAGTTCCTGGCGCCGGTCCCGGAGCTCTCCAAGTGGGAGAGGGACGAATCGGCGACGGAGAGGACGGGCCCCGCGGTGGAGTCGCCGCAGCAGGCTAAGCCCTCCACCGAGGAGGAGGGCGCGTCACAGAGCGCGAGACCATCGGGGAAGGTCGTCACCTCAGAGGTGATTAAGCGCGCCGAGAACGCGATATTCCAAAAGGCTATCAACGCGATCCGGCCAATCGAAATCAAGAAGATAAGTGAGAGCAGGAAGGTGTTGTACCAGAACCCGGAGCCGAGGGTCCTGGAGGTGGCGCCGACGACGCCGACGACCCCGACGACAGCTGCGGCGACCTCGGGCGAGGCAGCGCCGAGGAAGAGCGTCAACGTGACGATCAACGTCGGCAGGAATGAGCGGAACGTCGAGGTGACGGAGCCGGCCTCGAAGAAAGCCAAGCCAGAGCGACCTAGGGTGAAGCCACCCCAGGTGGGCCACTCGCCGACGAGGCTCTCGGCGAAGGAGCGCCTCGGCGAGAAGGTGGAGGACGAGAGAGAGAGGAAGGTCGCGAGTCCATTGAAGGGCTTTGCTGAGAGGCGCGACCTGGGGAAGGTGGACGGGGAGGGGCGTGGTCGTTCCCCGAGGCCAGGGTCCAGGACGGAGAGGAGGAGCTCGCCTCAGGTCGAGAGGCGTCCCGAACCGCCGGCTCCGCCCGCCGGGGCGAATCAGGAGAGGAAGGTCTTCCTCGAGGAGAGGAGACGCGAACGGGAGCGGAGGAACGAGCGGTCCTCGTCTTCCTCAAGGCGAGATGGCCATGAGAGGGGCGAGAGAGAGTTCAGGCCTCCTCCGGGTCCCAGAGTAGAGAGGGATAGGGAACGGGAAAGGGAGAGAGAGAGGGACAGGGAGAGAGAAAGGGAGAGGAGAGGGCGCACTCCTCCCCAGGTGTTCAAGAGGGAGGAACCGAAGGCTCCTCCGCAGCCCAGGAGAAAAGACGACGAGGAGGAGCGGAAGCGGGAAAAGAAGACCACCCGGGAGGAAAAGAAGAGGAAGAAGGAGCACAGGAGCAGGAGCAAGTCCAAGGACAGGAGGAAGCGGAAGGAGAAGAAACACAAGAAGGACAAAGAAAAGAGCGTGGAGAAGAGGAGGCACAAGGAGGTGGCTGCGCCGGGGAAGGAGAAGGTCACCCTGGTGGCGGAAGCGAAGGCCTGCTCAGGGTTCGACGTGCCTCCAGGAGTCGTTGCGGAGCCTGCGAAAAAGCAGAGGAAGAACCCTAGGCTAGTTTCCGACAGGAAGAGGAGCGTCCTGGATGAGGCTAGCTTCGAACCGGATTATTCTGCTTCGGAGTCGGATGGGGAGACGGAGGAGAAACCTTCGATGGCCACTGCGGTGCCTTCGATGAGTGCGCAGTCCTCTTCGGGGCCATCTGGACCCCCGAAAAAGATGAAACTCGACGATGAGGCCGAGAAAGGCGCGGATCTTGCCAAGGCCAAGAAAAGGGTTAAGTCCACCAGCTCAGAGGACGACTCGAGCAGCTCTGACAGCACCTCCAGTGACTCTGACAGCTCCGACGACTCGCATCGAAGGAAGAGGAGGAAGCACAGAAAACATAAGAAAAGAAAGGCTGCCAGGAAGGAGAGTTCCTCGGAGTCGGACAGCGCCAGTGATAGCTCGGAGAGCAGCTCCGACGAGGACAAGCACAAAAGAAAGGCGAAGAAGTCAAAGGCCAAAAGCAAACAGGCCAAGAAGAAGAAGAAGAACAAACACAAATGACGACGTTAAGGAGGCGGGGAACGTGCCGGTTCAATAACTCTGGTGACGTGGGCTCTTGGTGGGTCGAGGGGTTCATAGGTGTTTCGTTTGTTATTTAATCGTGCCCTGGGGTGTGTGCGGCGAGGCCTGGATAACTCCAGGAGGGAGCAAAGTTCACCATAGTGCAGTTCAGTGTGCTCCAAGAGGCATCAAGCTTCAGTGCATAAGGTATGTGTACAATTGGACACGCTCCGGTGAGATCCCAGTGTTTTACGTTGCACCTCTAGGTCCCGGGTGGAAGTTGATGTCCGACCTCTTCTCAAAGAATTCTGAGAGGCAGAGTTATAGGATCAATGGCCATTTTCCAATCCAACATGTCAAACCACAGAATTTGATTCTCAGGAGGTTATGCTGGTTGTAGACTTTGGTCTGGGACGAACAAATCTCAGCTCCTGAGCGATGCTGGTCAAGTGTCATGTCAACGACTTGTCAATAGTGACAGCGATGTTCCAATTCCAAACCGGGACCGAAATAGTGACCGGGCATGGCCCTGCACAGTGGTTGAGTGGTATCGAGACCTCGACTACTTCATGGGCTACGACGAAGTGAAATTTAGTTTGAGAACGAGGTTAGGTAACCAGTGGGAAAAATCACAGCTTAGCAATTACAGTTCTTTTTCTTGTCAGAAGTGACCCTTTCTAAGAGATTGTGACAACGTGGGTGTTCGCTATTTGGCGCTTTTGTTTGTTTGATGAGACTCGCAGTTAATAGCTGGTAAATGTGCAGCCTGGCCACTCTGGAGACAGTCGAGGCTGTCGGTGTTCTTTACACCGACAGGGACCGAGACTGTTGGATTTGAACCATAAGAAACGTGTTATATTGTACTTTCGTAATGTAATGTCAATATATAGAAAGGTAGTCATATAATAAATAGAATTAAAGTTATTCTTAACGAGATGCAGAAGAAAGTTTAAAGCTCTATGTCACCAACCGAGTAAGCATGCTGGAAGTTATGCGAATAAGGTTAACCATTCAATGTCGTACTCAATTTGTTTTCATAGTTTTGCAGTGCTTTTGTAGTTTTATAAGACACATCATTACGTAGTATTTGAGTTTCAATTTTTGAGGAGTCCATTCGGATAGATGTCTCTTTCCTCGGAGGCAAAACTTTTTTGAAAGTCCCAAAAGTGATGGGTAGGTCGGAACCGCGCCAAAACCGTTGCAAGAACGAAAGAAATCCCTGGCTGAAGATTAACTGTAGCTGACTAAAATTTATAAAGTTATTTATTAAATTACATGCCATTGAGATCATCGAAAGAGTGATTAAATAAATGGTGGTGCATCGATTGTCAGTAGCCGAGTCTATGCAGTCTTAAGATTTTTGAACGTCTCAACAAGACCCAATAGCAGCGGAAGGTCTTTAGATTCCTCGTTTTCCTTGACTCCCAGATCTTGTATAAGAAACTCTCGATCCAGAGGCTGCTTTGCCATCTCGCATTCTGTAAGACAGGAAGAAATGTATTTTTATGAGAGTTCCATAAACGTTTTGAATATATTATAGATATGATGCACACAAATTAAAACAGACCTGCGACAAATACCGTCGAGGTGTATTTATAGCCAATCCAGTCGAGATACTCTCGAATTAGTTCATTCAGAAGAAGCACATCGTGTGGAGGCTTTGGTCGCTTGGTTCTATGAGATTTATTTGAGCCGTCAAGAAGCTTCATCACCTCTGTACGCATTTCTGCCTTCATCCTACTGAGAACTCCCTCGGCTTCCAAGGAGTCACGTACCGCTGTGTGGCAGTAAGTGTTACTTTAAATTTTCTTGTCCTAAATGTAACGATTGACATACTATACTACGTAAAATGGTGACAAAGGTGATAAATTTAGAATACATAAAGTATTTGTATATTTTACCATTCACCAAATCTCTTTCCGTCGCCATTTTCAAACAAACGAGCAGCTGTTATTTCCATAAGGCATTTATACCCTTGAATGCTAATTTCGCTTTAATGACAGTACGTTTAACAATGTCTAGAATAATGAGTAATCTCAGGGAACAATAAATTAAAGTTTTACGAAGTGATCATTGATGCGATAAATAAGCAATTCCGTCTATGACACTTCAACAGCAAGACATCTCTCACACCCACTCTGTCAATGAGGTTATGCTCAGGAATTATCATCATTTATTTCGTTACCGACTGAATGGATTACAGTAATTCACATTTTCGAAAACGGAGAGAGTGTATCTGAAATTGATCAGTGGCACCATCTGTGCATTGTCTATGAAACTATGTTCAAATTCCTCACTAGGGGGCCAATTCTACAACGTTGGAGAAAGTGCTCACTTCTCGCTCTGTCATTTTACGTGGATGTTCACTTTTAGAATTTTCACTAGATTGGAGTTACAGAATCGACCCCTAGATCGATGTAGTAACCCACATCGACCAATGACATGCCGTGTCGCGACATTCTTTTGGATTAACCAATAGCGTGCCGCGTCGCGAACGTTCTCGCATTTCGACCAATGAAATTCGAGCATTGCCGAGCGAGTCGCCATCTTGCCTCGGATACGCGAATTTTCCCAACTGGTGTTACTACGCCGACACCATGGCAACGGTTTACGGGGAAGTACTACTTTCGGAAATTGCCTCCAATCGCCTCGTAACGAGGAATCTGAAACAAGGAATTGCCGGTGAGTCCGATCGGCCAACGAAAAGGCCGGTTTTCGGACTATTTACACCGTGATTCGCACGTTATTGTTAACGGGTCACTACTGGGAAATCTTTTCTTCCTTTTTAAACAGCCGTAGTGACGGTTCGCCATTCGCGGTAACAACGTTAACGCGGAATTATCGATTGCTGACAAACTCGGGCGAGACGGCCGACCGATCCCCGAAGAAAGGCGAATTACGACCGTTTTAAATGTAAGTACGATGGTTCATTTAATTCAGCGCATTCCCACAACCTCGATCGATATTGTGAAGATTATTCCGACGCCGGTCGTTACATTTCTGGGCATTTATTCCCGATTTACGGCGCGCCCATGAACGGCCATTTTCGACATTGCAGAGACTTGAATTGTTACTCGGAGAGTTGAGTAATTATAACTTATTCCACCGTAATTATCATTCTTTAACACCTATTCGTTCTTCAGACCTCCCGAAATATTCAAAAAATGTTTAATTCATTTATGGACTTCATATATTTTTTTTTTAAGATTTTATTCCTTTCTAAAAAATGAAATTCGAAAAACTGCCACATTTTATGAATTAAAATTATGATATTTTTGGTTAATTTCACTTCTGAGGTATTTTTATGAACTCTCCTGGGATTAGCCATAAAATTGATAATTACGTTTATGTTGGTTTCGTCGAACCAAATGCAGGATTGTGAATTTAGTTTAATGATGTTTAGGTTTTCTCGGGATAAGGATCAAAGCAGGGGACGTCGTGGAGGCAGAGGTTCGAATCGTGGCGGAAGTGGTGATGGAATCCCTGGCAATCGATTCGGAGGACGCAACAATGGCGGTGGACTAAAAGGAAGACAGCCTGGTAACGCACTGAAAAAGGTGAATTGGGACGCTTGTATGCTGGAGCCCCTTCGCAAGGATTTTTACGTGGAGCATCCATCAGTTAGAAACCGGTATGTTAAATTAATTTCTTACACATCGTTTCATGTTATCAACAATAAAATGTGATCTTAATCCTTTAACTATGGTAGAGTCAGTAACGGAACTGTACTGTATGAATAGTTTAGTCTGGAACGTTAATATTTTACAATATATTTTTATATGTATGTTAACAGCTCAAGGGATGAGGTAGTTCAGTTCCGACAACATGCAGAAATCACAGTGAAGGGAGATGACATTCCTAATCCTATTCAATTCTTTGAGGAGGGAAACTTTCCTTCGTACGTTATGGATGGCATCCGAAGACAGGGTTACGCTCAACCAACTGCGATTCAAGCACAGGGCTGGCCGATTGCTCTCAGTGGAAAGGATCTGGTTGCCATCGCTCAGACAGGATCCGGAAAGACTCTTGGCGTGAGTTGCAAAACTCTTAAAATGATACGTGGCATCTGAGGGGTCTTATGAGAATATTTCTATTAGATGAAGTAAACGTGTTCTTTTCCATCACTTTAGTACATGTTGCCTGCAATTGTACATATAATACACCAGCCAAGGCTGGGCAGCGGAGATGGTCCTGTAGCCTTGATTCTGGCTCCGACTCGAGAATTGGCACAGCAGATCCAGGAAGTGGCCAATTGTTTCGGCGAACAAGCTTCCGTCAGGAACACCTGTATCTTTGGAGGAGCTCCGAAGGGACCCCAGGCTCAAGACTTGGAACGAGGAGTGGAAATATGCATCGCCACTCCAGGCAGACTGATAGATTTCCTGGAAAGGGGAACCACGAACATGCGAAGGTAAACACTCAAGTTTGACATAATTGTCATCTTAACAACACCCTCCTGTCAAAATATTAGAAGAATAAATAATTTTCGTAAATCAATTTAAAAAAAAATGAAACTAACATATAAGGTAAAATGTTCGAGTCCTTTAATTGTGATCAAGTGATAAACAAAAATTAATCTAGCTTGATTTTATATATTTCTGCCCAAAAAAAATCGAGTTTATCTTTAAATTTCGATTGAAGAATCAGCTTAATTTCATAAGCTGTAATTCAGTAACATTCGTGGTGCTCTAGATGCACATATCTAGTGCTGGATGAAGCAGACAGGATGTTGGACATGGGGTTCGAACCTCAGATCAGGAAGATCATCGAGCAGATTAGACCAGATCGTCAGGTCCTTATGTGGTCTGCCACCTGGCCAAAAGAGGTTCGAGCCCTGGCAGAGGACTTCCTCACAGATTACACCCACCTTAACATCGGCTCCTTGACTCTCTCTGCCAACCACAACATCGTTCAAATCGTCGACGTCTGCCAGGAATTTGAGAAGGATGTCAAGCTGTTCAGACTGCTTCAAGAGATCGGAACTGAAAAAGAAAACAAGACTATCATCTTTGTGGAGACCAAGCGCAAGGTGGATGACATCACTCGTAACATCAGACGTGATGGCTGGCAAGCTTTAAGCATTCACGGTGACAAGAACCAGCAAGAAAGGGACCACGTGTTGCAGGAGTTCCGCAGTGGTAGAGCTCCGATCCTGGTGGCCACCGATGTTGCTGCCCGGGGCCTCGGTAAGTAAGATTCAGAGCTGCGAAGCCTCTTCGAACCGTGTCTGAGCAAAGACAGAGACGCTCATGGGAATTGGCAACACTTATTGGATTAGCCAGTGATGCGTTAGAGTAGACCAGCTGGCATCTGTGCAAGTAGCGGTGTGTGTCTGTGTGATGCGTTTCGGCGTTTCATATACTTCCATTCCAATATGATAGAGCCCTGCGAATCGGAAGGTCTGTCATAACCTAACCTTCAACTTTCGTATGTCCTGTTACACAGGTTTCTCACACTAAATTCAACCTTTCGCAGTTGAAATTTTATTTGCAAGAGGTTAAATTTAGGATGCAATGCTGTACCATTTTCTAACTTCAATGTGTCTTTGTATATACTTTTAAATAACCCTAAACACTCGTTTCGATACATTGTATTTGATTTTTAAAAGATGTTGCAGATTAACTTATAAAATTCATTGATTACTTTCATGATTTATAGATCGATGGTAGAAAATTTTGATGACAAAATTCTTGATAGTAAAAGTTTCGATTTGTTGACAGTAGCAGGGCTCTAGAAGTACACACGAGCTACCACTAAGTCTGTCTGGTTTTCTTTTTCAGAGGCACAAAGAACATTAAATCGATGCCGTGTACTGCCAGTATTGGGCAGACACAGCGATTCCTTTGCTTTTGATTCTTTGTACGACTTGATTGATTTCTCAAATGTCACTTGAACTTGACCGAAAGATCTGTCGATACAGTTGTTGCCTCGATGAGGGTCAACAATGAGTCTTTGTCAAGATTTTCGTTGCTTGACCGGGGTATGAGTATTTGATACATCATTTAAACTGTCTGGTGCCTCTATTAGAGCAAATGCATTCGGGCCTAATCTTTAAACTGCTGCCTTTGTCCCAAGACCAGACACAAGCCGCTGTGTCTGTCTAATCCTTAGGCCGACGCTAATTCCTCTCTAAGAAACCGACGGAAACGGTCCCGATTTGCCTAAACAAATGGGACTTTCTTCTTGCTGGTTTCAAATCGGAATGTCCCAGCGAAAGGTGGGTGTCATTCAGCGTCTTTAACCTCTTAACACTTTTTCTCCCTCTTGCCGACTCTTTCTATCCCTCTCGTTCCCTCTCATGTTTCTTTCGTACCGAAGGACTCTTCAGAGAAAATTAGGCAAGTATGGATCAGTCGAAACATCGATCAAAAGAATATCGAGTTAACGTCAGTTTTACTGCACCGTAGAAGTAGGCTCGACCGATGAGTGAGGTTTAATGAATTGTCATATTGCAGATGTGGATGACGTCAAGTACGTAATTAATTTCGATTACCCGTCCTCGTCGGAGGATTATATACACCGGATTGGTCGTACCGGACGACGAAGGCAGACTGGAACTGCGTACGCCTTCTTCACGAGCCACAACATGAAGCATGCCGGAGACTTGATCGAGGTGCTGCGAGAGGCAGGACAGAATATCAATCCAAGACTTAGCGAGATGGCTGAGATGGCAAAGTCTGGAGGCTTTGGAGCCAGAAGTAAGTACCCGATTAGGGAAGAGTTTTTAATTGTTTGCGGTAAACTGCTGCATGACATAATTTCAAATTATGTGCTGATCGGAGCTCTATTCAAAAATTAATAAATTGAATGGACTGTGTATAACGGGTTATAAATATGACACTAGGTGGTAGACGTTTTGGAGGGTCAGGAGGAGGACCGGAGAGGAGTGGTGGAAGACGTGGCGGTGCTCCAGAGGGCAGAGGACGTGGAGGAGGTCCCGGAAGAGGTCGAGGGGGGAGCAGAGGAGGCTCTGCTGGTCTTACTTCGTCAGGAGGCTATTCTTCGGATTATAACTTCGGAATGGGGAAAATGCCTAGCCAGATGAGTAATTCGTATGGCTATAATTCTCAAAGGAACTACGGACAGGCTAACCCACCGCAGAATTATGAAGGGGGCGATAACTTTGGAAGCGGCTACCACTACAGGAGTACGGCCTACTAGATATATAATCCCTTCGTATTGATTCACCAGGGATTACGGAAATCAAAAGACTTTAATTATTCCTAGAAAACATCGGTGTATCATACTTGTTGTTCCGAAGGCTCGTAAGGGTATCAACACCTTTTTAGGCACGATCAGAATTTATATAGAGTAAGGTATACAGTGTCCTCTGATATAAAGTGAGATTAGTTACAAGTGATAATAAGTGTTAAGCCCTGTTATTAATCGTTAGGAGAAAAGCCTCGGGAGAAGACTCGATGTAACCTTTGAGGTTATAGCTTTATTTTTTGCATTACATTAGGATTTTTACGGAGGACCAGTGTCAGCGTATCGAGAGGAATAAAATCCCTAAATCGAGCACAATTAATTCTAAGAAACGGTGGTATGTGTATTTGCTCGTGAAATTGAGAGTTTTTCATGTGAAACATTTAATATTGTTTTTCTTTTTCCACTTAGTGAGATCGTGCTTAAAAAGTTGTTTGTTTAGGTTAGATTTCACGACAGGTCACACTAAAATCGTATGAAAAGGTTGGATTTCATTTTCGTTTATTTGCTGAGAGTAAGTAGAAGACTTTGTGCGTGGCACAGTTTAACTTTTAGAGCTTGTACGATTAAGTAGGCGGATTAACGATAATCTTAATCGATGACTTGTGTATGGTGCTTGGACAGTGTTCAAGACAACGGATGCTAGTCCTTTACATTCTTATGAGTACAAAAGTTTAGTCTCGATAAGTTTGAACTAACCTCGAATGTGATTCATTAGTTTAAACTCCGTGCGGTTTAGTGTAGTGTTAAATCTTAAAAGCTTGCTTATCTTGATTTATCGTGACGTTCAGTTTTTAAGAACTGCATTTTAGTTTCTGGAATATGCACATTCCACAGGTTGCACACCAGGTCTACGCAGAATGTTCGCCATTTCTCTTGGAGCGATGCACGTAAAGTACGTGTTTCTTTTATGTGTACTTGGTACTATTAAACGTTGATTTCAGTTGTCTCATGAATCTATTGCATCTCAATCCCTGGTTCATCGTTCTCGCTATTTATGTTTAAAAAGGGCGCGTTTTTCTCGCTAGTCCCACTTCGACGGAAGGTTCATCACTTCCGGTCGGATTTTATCGACGAGCTAGAGCTGAGCCCTCTCGACTTGCGAAAAATCGAAAGCCGTAGAAAAGCGAGAAATCCTCGGGCCGTAATTTACAGATACCTTTGTAGAGGTTTTAGTAATCACAACGAGTCGTCTGCGCGAGTTCTTCATAGCGGGAAAGATAAGCTGGGACGGAGTGAGGGACTACTTTCTAGCGGCGGAGGGCGCCATCTTGCGGCCGCGACGAGTGTCCTTCTGCGGTGTCGGTGACGCGCGGCCGACGGCTTCCATCGTCTCGAAACTCCGGGTTTTCCGAGGAAATATCGAGATCTCCGTTCCCCACGGATCTGCACACCCATCGCGATGTAAGTAGAAGTGTTCCTAACGTTGCGGGAGGCGCGACCACCAGATATTTTCGGTGTTTGGCGATGTTTCATCTTGTGTCATGAGTGGCACCCACGGCCGACGTTTCGGATCTTTCCATTCTCGACTTAACCTAAGTTCGAGGGGACAGACGCTGCCGCGGGGTTTACCGAGGCCGGTCGTGAGGCAATTCTAGTGTTTTGGGTAGCCCGTTGACGAAAATGTTACGCGAATTGAATTTTTCCTCCTCGCGAATTCAATGGAATTCATTAAATATGGCGAGTGCTTTCCAGTGTACAGCTCTTGGGCTTGACGCATTGGACGGTCGTGTAAGGGAGCGCTCTGATTGGCCCGCCGTGGCGCGTCGTTCAAAATCCAACCAATCACGGCCCTTCTCAGCGGGCGTCCACCAATCACCAGACGCGGTATTAGGCGAAAGAATTAACGGGATTGTCTCACGTCAAATGAAGCTTCCCCTGGGATGAAAGTTGATTTGCTCTGATTTCCCATCGACTCAGCTTCCGTATCGTAATATCTGTGCACGGATCCAAACATTGGCCAGCGAATGTCAGCGGAAGTAAATTCACTTTAATACATTCATTCGGCGATGAGTATTTCCGTCTTCAGCCTGATTAATACTCCCTTCTTAATTCTAATTTAATCCTGACTTTAATTATTCGCTGTAAGGAACTTACAGGAAGCTCCGTGCTTTCCTTATCTTAATGTTAACCTTACTATAAACATTTCCTATGAATTTCTTACAGTGAACCATTAAAGATAAAGTTAAGTTACAGTTAGGGCAGATACATAAATTAGGCTTTATTAGTCTGTACCATTGATTACGCTTTGGTGTTTCACATAAGCTATTTAGTTAAGTATCAAAGTAATAAACTCATATATTTGAGAAATAATTCAGTATAATATTGAGAGTAACTGGTGATTAATAAGTACTCTTGGTTTGCAGGGCATACCGAGACCGTGATCGTGACAGGCGGGGTGGCGGTGGCCGAGGCGGTGGCGGTGGCGGAGGAGGGCGATTTGGTGGCCGAGATGGCGGTAGCAGGTTTGGCGGTGGTGGAGGAGGACCAGGAGGGCGAGATGGAGGAGGCTTCGGCAATGGCTCCTTTAAGAACCGACAGCCTGGAGAGCGTTTGCGCAAACCGAGATGGGACATGAGCACTCTGCAAACATTTCGAAAGGATTTCTATCAGCCTCATCCCAATGTGTCGGCTCGCAATCTTCATACAGTGGAGGCGTACCGCTCCGACAAGGAGATCACCGTCAAAGGAACCAATGTACCTAGCCCAAATATCTACTTCGAAGAGGGTGGCTTCCCAGAGTACGTGCTGAACGAGATTCGACGACAAGGCTTTGGAGAACCCACCGCGATCCAGGCACAGGGCTGGCCGATCGCCCTGTCGGGTCGTGACATGGTAGGCATCGCACAGACTGGCTCCGGAAAGACTCTGGCATATATTCTGCCAGCAATCGTTCACATTAACAACCAGCCTCGACTGAATCGAGGGGACGGACCCATCGCTCTCATCCTGGCACCGACCAGGGAGCTGGCACAGCAGATCCAGCAGGTGGCCTCCGACTTCGGGGTCTCCTCCCAAGTGAGAAACACCTGCATCTTCGGGGGCGCCCCGAAGGGACCACAAGCTCGCGATCTTGAGCGCGGTGTCGAGATCTGCATAGCAACCCCGGGACGGCTGATCGACTTCCTGGAGCGCGGGACGACGAACCTTCGCCGGTGCACATACCTGGTCCTGGATGAGGCCGATCGCATGCTCGACATGGGCTTTGAACCCCAAATCAGGAAGATTGTTGAACAAATCCGACCAGACCGGCAGACCCTGATGTGGTCTGCGACCTGGCCCAAGGAGGTGCGCAATCTCGCCGAGGAATTCCTCACGGACTATATCCAGATCAACATCGGCTCCCTCCAGCTTGCCGCCAATCACAATATCCTCCAGATCGTCGATGTCTGCGAGGAGTACGAGAAGGAGGCGAAACTCATGAAACTCCTGGAGGAGATCTCAAACGAGCCCGAGAACAAGACAATCATCTTCGTTGAGACCAAGAGGAAGGTCGACGACATCACCCGGGCCATCAATAGGTACGGCTGGCAGGCCATCGGCATCCATGGCGACAAGAGCCAGCAGGAGAGGGATTACGTGTTAAATCGTGAGTTGAATAAGCAAATGCTCAGGGTACAAAGTGAGATGGACTTAGGTTATCTCGATCCTGGCACATACTAAATGCTTCTATGAAACAGTGAAGACACAGTGGTGTGCGATAAAGACTTCCTATCATTTATATTACTTCGTCATTTACACCAAGAATTTAATTCAAATTACGCCTTTGGTGTCAAATGTGAAGCGATCGGTGCAAGCTAAGCCATCGGGACTGAAGTTAATCTTGCACTCACTGCGTTGCTGCATAATTATTCAATGCCTTCGCAGTGATGTAACAAGCGAAATATTGTCGCATACGACTGACTTATCTAATGTTTCAGAATTCCGGAGCAGCAGATCCGCCATTCTGGTGGCGACTGACGTGGCGGCCCGAGGTCTAGGTAAGGGACGAGTCACCGTCGGTTCGATTATGATGTAAGGGTCAGGCTGCGATGGTTATTTCTCGGTGGTAACGGTTCTGATATGTACCTGATTACCCGAATGTGGCAACGGACGACGGCATGTGCCAGACTGATCGACACCGGCGCTTCGACGGTGCGGAGTCACGAGTCGACTCGACGAGTGCGCGACCTAATTTAACTCTTCGTCGCCCCGAGAGACGCGAAACCCCTGCCTCCTGGTGAAAGGACTCCCCAGCTCGTCGGCCGAAGCTGGGCCGTCCTCGTAGAAGGTAGAGCAGGCGAGAGGAAGACCCGCCGAAGAACGTGGCCGATGCTTCGACGACGACGAGCTGAGAAGTCCCCTAAAGAAGCTGCGGAGGGACTCGTCCTCGACGTTATCGAGAGACTTCGGCCCGGCGTGTCCTCCTGGTCCTTAGGATAAGCTAGTTTAGGGAGATTCCGAGCCATCTGCGAGGCGACGCAGCCGGGAGGATTTTCAAAAGGTCTCCAAAATGTTTCCGAAAGGAATCTAAGAGGACTCCGAAAGGACCTCGAAAGGGATTCAGGCTGCGTCGCCTTCCTAAGGGTTAACTCTTCAGCTACGACGATTTTTCTAACGAAATGTCTCTATAGTGGTTTCCTTTTAAGTATTGTTTTTCTCTCTCTTATTTATTTATTTTTATTATTGAAGAAATGTCGCTACGGACATTTTTCTCTACAGTAGCTATCTTTTTAAGACACAATCGAAGCGCCACGATATCGGCTTCCGTCCAGATGGTATTTTTTGTATAACTAAACCCCACTATAGTAGCCCGTTTTTAAGGCACAATCAGCCCGATAGTTGGGTATCTTCGCAGTCGTTACAAGCGGTACTATAAGGGCCATGAACCTAGTTAACACCAATCACTTGGTACGCGTACTAAGGGTGTAGTAATATAAAACTCAGTGTAAACAATACCGTATCGAGACGGTACTATACACACTTATCCAGCGTACCGTACCAGGTCGATTTAAGATCGTTTACACCGACGATTTGATAAATCCGCGCCTTCTCTTGGGTACGTGGAGGATGTACCAGTGGTAGGATAAATCTGAGATCGTAGCCGAAGAGTTAAACCGGGGTAAACGGGATATTTCAGCGGCTTGGCGAGAGGTAAGAGTGCGTAGCCAGGGCCTTTGTTGACTTAATGCTGAGCTAGCTTCCTCGAAGAGTCTCGTCAGTCTGGTGGTAACGTGCTGTTCTATATGTTTTCAGAGGCACATGCGAGACGGAGTGTTTATCATTGATAAGAACTCCCTGGGAGAGCTTGGTTTGGATTAGATTGAATTGAGAAACGGGGCGTGACTGCTGGTCGGCGCACCCCCCTCGCAACAAGCTATTACCTAAAACGCTGTGCCTCGACCTGTGCCGTGCCACTCGAGAAAAGATAACACTGCACGCTCTCTCGCTCTATACCCGAGACGGTCCAAAGTATGGAGGACGTAGTGCCTGGGCACCCGACGAGACCGCACACAGAGACGCGCAAACGCACCGCTTGGACAACTTACATGCGTATATATGTGTATATATATATATTTCTCTCTCCTTATGGGTACTCTCTCTTTGCTCTCTCTCTGTGCGTCCCGATCTCCATCTCTTTCGCCAGAGGAGAAGGCATCAAGCTGGACGTTTACTTGCAAACCATCGACTCGGTACCAAGTGGCGGTATATAATAATCCATCCGAGTTTGCCGATCTGCGCGTCTCGATGATTAGAAACAATGTAGACTTGACGCGGATTAATTAGTAGAGCCTCGAGAGGGGAATGCTTTCTATGTATTGACGACATTTCTCGCGTAAATGTATTTGGCGCGGAACTCTACCGGGTTTCTTTACTCGCGAGAACAGCTGTTCGTCGCTCGGCTCTTTCTGGGGGGTATTCACTCAAGAAATCGTGTATTTTAACGCTCGAAATCACGTGGAAATCAGATAGATATCTTGAAATTACCAAACACACAATTTAAAGGCCGAACGTCACTTGTTGCCGAATCGCATTGTTGCTTATCATACACTAAGGAAGAAAATGTCGTTGAACCTTTGAATGGTGCCAATGAAATTCGGCGTGTTAATTCAAAGGATAATTGTTTGAGTTAAGTTGTGGATAATTTAAAATGAAACGTTGCATACAAATTTATTCGAGTTTTAGTGAAGTAATTGTCCTTTGAATTAACATGCCGAATTTCTTTGGCACTGTTTAAGGAAATAATCTCTTTGGTTCGACGACGTTTTCTTGGTTCTTCGTGTATGAAGTCGTTTCCGCTGAATTTCGAGGGACAATCGAGTGCTTTTACTTTTCGTATTTCTTTCTTTTGGAGACCTCCAGGTCTCGGATCAGGTCGGTGTCTCAAAAGAGCCGTGAAACTTTGCAAGAGATGTCCTTTATCCCTTGATGCCACTCGCTGGTTACGGAGCAACCGGTCCAGGGGTGCTGCAGGTGTGCTGCAGGTGTGCCTCGGACCTGGAGAGACTAGAGAGAGGGAGAAACTAAAGACACGACGATGTCTTTTAAAGTCCGGCACGGAGATATCCATACTTTGGCGCGGAAGAGAAGGGCGTGGAGAGAGAGTCGCTAAAGACCTAGAACTCACTAGAGTTCGTCCTAGAGCGAGACTCCTATGACAACCATCTGAGCACTGATTCCTCTACATTGTCCAAAAAAACAAAATGTATTTACATTTCCAGCCCTAGGCAGCATACCGAGGTAATTAGCAAGTACGCTTGGTCTTTGTGGTCGGCTTCGCTCATGGGTCGTAGCGGGCCTCGAGATATATCGAAATTTCCCGTCGACCCTCGGAACTCGACGACGCGTCGATTTCGGGCGAGTTTTCTCACGCGAACGAGTTCACTTTCGCGTAAAAATATCGAAATTTCCCGTCGATCCTTGAACTCGACGACGCGTCGATTTCGGGCGAGTGTTGTCACGTGAACGAGTTCACTTTCGCGTAAAAATATCGAAATTTTTCGTCGACCCGTGGAACTCGACAACGCGTCGATTTCGGGCGAGCGAGTGAGACGTCTCGTCGATTGTGAGTCTTGTCACGTGAACTCTTTCACTTTCCCGCGTCCGGCCCGCTGGATCTATCGGGGGGAGGGGAAAGAGATACACACGCTTATCGAAAAAGTTTGCTTTATAAGTTAGAGCCACAAAGAAACAAGTGGTTCTCGATACATCTTGCCTCTGAGAGCTTACTATCGCGCAGATGTGGAGGACGTCAAATTTGTTATTAACCTGGACTACCCCTCCAACTCGGAGGATTATGTGCACCGAATCGGGCGTACCGGACGGTCCCAGAGGACTGGCACCGCGTACGCCTTCTTTACCCCCGGGAACGCGCACAAGGCCAACGACCTGATCCAAGTCCTCGAGGAGGCCAAACAGGTCGTCAATCCGAAGCTGTATGAGCTATCCAGGAATCCCGGCGTCTTCAAACGTAAGTTGTACTTCCTCTTTTTGCTTCGTTTAAGGTAAAGTCAATCTCTCCTTTTTATCCTAACACTTTCAAAATTTGGATTTTTTGTAAGAGAATTTTTTAACGATGGTTATATCATTATCCATCGTATGGAATAATGGTATAACGTGCATTCATGGGTGAAACGAGGCTTGTGATTTGCTGCTCTTCGTGGTGATTTTTAATCTGGTTCCTTTTCTCTTCAGGAGGACGTTACGGAGGTCGCAGTGGAGGTGGAGGCCCCAGAGGATCCGGAGGTAGAGGTGGAGGTTCCCGAGGACCTCGTGGAGGGCGAGATGGGGGAGACCGAGGGGGTAGATTCGACAGAGGTGGAGGCCTCGGTGACCGTGGCAGCAAATGGGGCGGTGGTAGCGGTGAGCTATTTATCTTTATTCGTCGAGACACTCGGTAGACTCTTGCGTAAAATCAGTCTAAGCGAGGAACTCGTTAAGAAAATTTATCTATATCCTATTTGGCGTTACTGCCACACAGGATATATATATATATATATATATATATATAAATTTTCTTTCATCGACGTCGATGAGACTTCTCGACGCCTATCATATCACCGTATACGATTCTAAGAGATCATTTGTATTGTTCTTAGCCGGAGGACTAGGGAGCGGAGGCTACGGAGTGAAGCCGTTCTCCCAGAGCAGCTACGGAGGCTCCGGAATAGGCGGTTACGGACAGAACGGAGGATACGGCGGCGTCGGTGGAGGCAGTGGCTACAGGCAACAAAACGGATACTAGGCGAGCCCGTCGAGAGTGTCATCCGAATGTACATTATAGCGAGAGTCAAGGAGGGAAGGAAGTGCGACGCGACGGCGACTCCCCGTCACCCGGAACCGGGGACCTTCCGACTTCATATATTTAAAAAGAGAACCGAGAAGAAGGAAACCTCTTTTCGTCGCATGGATAACCGACCGCTGCTCCTCGAGCAGTCGACCTAACCGGAACGCTCGCGTTTTAGCGTTATAATTCCTTTATTTTCTCTCTTATTTTTCCATTACTCCCCTTCTTTTTCTTTTCTTTTCTGTTTTTTTTTTCTTCGGTTTCTCTCTTACTCGTTGTCGAACTTTATCCCCGTGGCGCGCACTCGAGAATTCCCGAACAAGGGTGAAGAGAGGGTGTCGATTCTGTAATTAGAATCTGGTGAAAATTCTAAAAGTGGAGGTTTCTCCCGATCCCGTAACTTTCACTGGGATGAACGTGTGAGATACTTCGCGTGAGACTACTCGAGCGGAAACTCCGAGATCTCGGGCCGAGTTTTTTTTGCATTCTAGAGGTCACACATTTTCACCCGGAGAATCGGACGAACGTACTCACGTGAGATGACTGTGCGAGAAGTGGGCACTCTCGCGAAAGTTGCAGAATCGACCCCCGTAGACGTGTCTGTACCGATACGTGTCGGATAAGGTGAATCCAGCTTAACGCCGAGTTACAAGGACTTGTGAGTAGAGATGAGAGGAACGTAGGATAAGACAGAGGCCCCGAAATAAGGGCAAACTGTTCCAGAGATGTCCTACGGGAACGGAAATGCTGTAAGACGTGAGGAGGAGGTGTAATAAAAGTGGAAATCGCAAAGGCGAGAGCGGGTGTTTCGGAATGCTTTCCGGTGTTTTAAGGTACCCGGAGCCAACTTTAACCGGCGATTTAAGCTCGATTCTACAACGCAAGTTAACCGAAGTTTAATTTATTTACAGCAGGTGTGAACCAGAACCTTCGGTTAACTCGAGTTATGGAATAGGGTTTTCGGCCCGGAGTGAATGACTACATCTCCATCGTACGCGAAATCCGGGATTTATTGGATTCAAGCCCAGTAAATCCGAATTTAAGTGTCGGTCGATACCCTTAGGATCGCATCTGCGTAATTTATTAATGCGATGGAGACATGCGATTCATTAGATTCGGAGTCGATAAATCTCGGATTGAGGAGTACGATGGAGGTATCAATGAAACTCTTCCTTTATTCCCTTTAAACCATGATGGGATTCTTCCACGGCTTGCCTGATTACGCCGAAAAGTCGTTATCGGCGACCGATAAGTACAATCGTGCGAGAGACGCGAAAAGTGGCCGACCTTGTTGAAAATTTGATTGGAGCGTTCCCCTTATCGAGAATCGTACGACGCGCTATCGCAACCGGACGTGAGACGCGCTCACGTCATCGTTATTACCCGGAATTCGATTCGCAATTAATTCCAACTGTGAAACGCGCCTCGTCTCGCTCGCACAAGTCTGCCACTTATGTAAAGATATATTAATCGCAGAGATGCGATAGAAGTAAATAGTCTGGAATGGCGAGATTGCATAAATTGCTGTCAAATAAATGGAAAAGTAATCCGTCGGACGGGGTTTATCTTTTATAAGCTGTAAAGGAAGCGGCACTTCTGAATGTCGTGGGTAGAATCAATTAATCTACGGAAAGTCTAGTTTAAATCTTAGTGCCATTGGTTTAAGTTTAGCGCGGTTCAATGACCTTGATTTGAATCGCGCGTGATTCGCATCCTTTAAATTTCGCGCGATTCGGCGCCCTCAATTTGAATCTCGCGCGATTCGGTGCCCGCAGTTTGAATCTCCAGCGATTCAGCGCCCTTGATTTGAATCTCGCGCGGTTGAGCTTCCTTAGTTTGAATTTGGCACGCTTGGGGCGCGACAGGCGCGCGGCGCGGGATGGAATCTATAAGAGCGCCACGGTTGCCGGCTGTGCGCACTGCGCAGTCCGGTGTGTCCGGCCGGCTGAGTGACGTGGGGTTAACCTCTCCTCCCTTTTGACGTTTTGTCACGGTTGTTGACCTTGGGGCGCATTTTCGGAAGGATCAACCGCTTGCGGAATCCGTGGATTCGACTCGCCAATGACGGAGGGACGCAAAGACGTGCGTGTTTGGTGTGACGGATGGTGAGCAACGGTTTTCTCGCCGCTCCCGGCAAAGGAGCGGCGTCTGCTAGTAGGCCTGACTGCCATCCCGCGTCGCACGTCGCACAGAACGCGATGCGTCATCGCGTCGTGGGTAACCAACCAATCAGAGCGTTGCTTTAGTTCTCTTGCGTCATTTCGTCTGTTTCGATTGGTCCTTTATCCTCGACGCATTGACGCGCCGTATTCGATGTGATACCTGACTTAATGACACTGTAGCTTGACCAGAGTTGGGAATTCCGCTATTCCGCCGGCTTTTGACATAAATTACAATCAAGTGGTTTACCTTAGTACCTTAAAAAATCGTAGAAAACCAGTAAATTACGTTTCCCATATGAAGGATGTCGTAGATTCACGATATACGGCATCTGCTAGGTTATAAACATCTTTTAGCACGTATGTAAACATGTAAATATTTTTAAGGAATAATTAATTTGGCGCTTGTGTTTAAAATTCCTTTGACTTAACACTGTTTGTTATCTGATTCTCATGCCGAACCTCGACTGGGATAATTGCTTATTATGTATCTCTATTATATGTAATTTTCTATTTTGTATCCGGTTGGTTTGAAACTTCTGCAGCGGTTTATGTATTTGAAATTGCGTTGCAAGGTTTTTTAGCCGACACAATGCCAGAATGTTGTTTAAGTGTGAATGCTTTTACTGGAACTATGAACCTGTATGCTGATTCTCTTGTAGCTACGACATGGTGCACTTTGGTCATGCCAATTCTCTACGCCAGGCGAAAGCACTGGGGAATTACCTGGTCGTCGGAGTCCACACCGACGAGGAGATCACTAAACATAAGGGCCCTCCTGTTTTCACAGAAGAGGAAAGGTAGGACGAACTGTGTATTAAAATGTTTCTTGTGGGAGTTCAGCTTATTTAGGTATTGGGTTGACTAAAATGTCTTGCGACGAGATAATTGTTTAATTAATTTGTACTTAACCACAACTTTGGTCAGTGATGTATTCTCAATTTCTATCTCCGATCTGCGCCTATCTCTCGGACAGTTTTTCGATGCATCTTTTCAGATTTTTGTCAAATTTTAGAAAGGAATACATAAAACGTGAGGACTCTTTAGCCAAGCCAGTATATTAGAAATTATTCGGATTTTGTCGGTAGAAACTCTGTAGAGCATCGTTACGATGCTTCTGTTTAACCAGTTTGAAATATAGAATATTAATTGCCTCATTAGTGCTTTTACCTGAAAGACCAGTTTCTTTAAGAGGAATGCTTGCTTACCTTGTCTTGTTGTGAGTCATTGCAAATTTGTTTTGAGTTTTTCTGTCACTTCTAGGCAATAAATATTCCATCAGCATTTTAATTGTTACCTTAAACTGTGACTAGCGTAAATGTGGAAGCTAAAGGCCAAGCTTCCGAGTGGAATGGTCAGTCATTCTGTCAAACTAGAAGCAGCATATATTCTGTTTCTATCTCATGCAATACACCAAATAAGCTTTTAATTGAAAGAGATAATTCCACGATCACGGGTCATTCATGGTTAATCATTAAATGCTTGCTATTTTTAGGTACAAAATGGTACGAGGAATCAAGTGGGTGGACGAAGTGGTCGAAGGAGCTCCCTACGTAACCACGCTCGAAACTCTTGATAAATACAACTGCGATTTCTGCGTACACGGAGACGATATCACTATGACAGCTGATGGGGTTGACACGTATCATCTGGTCAAGGCTGCCGAACGATACAAGTGGGTATCAATTGAAGTCTTTGTTTCCTACTTAATGACAGAATATGAATCACCTCGATGCGTAACAACTGTGAATTATGACGTATCGTATCGTACATATCATATTATGTCATTGGTCCTGTGTAGTGGTTCGAGATAATCAAAATCATGCCACCAGACATACCAAGATAACATATATAATGTGCAATCAAATATTCAATCATACCAAGATCGATACTAATGTTTGATTCAAACGTCTCGCACAACATGTTTTGAATGAAGATACTTCAGACGCGAGAATTTTGAAGTTAATCCTATTGGTAACTCGAATGGAATGTTCTCATTGAAGAGGAATAAATTAATGAAGACTGTACAGGCTGCGATTAGTTTCTCTGTTTACATATTGTACCTCTGAACAGGGATATGAATTTTACAGAGAAGTGCAGAGGACAGCAGGAGTCTCAACGACTGATTTAGTGGGCCGAATGTTGTTAATGACTCGGCAGCATTTCAAGCAAGGAGACAGCGAGTACACTGTGGACCAAGAGCCAAGTAAGAGGATGGGTCAAGACAGATCGGCTCGCTGTCCTTGGACTGGATGCTCTCAATTTCTCCCTACTACGCAGAAGATCATTCAGTTTAGCGACGGCAAGAGTCCACAGCCACAGGACAGGATTGTTTACGTGGCCGGGGCGTTCGATCTGTTTCACGTGGGTCACTTGGACTTCCTCGAGGTGGCCAAGAGAGAAGGGGACTACCTCATCGTTGGCCTACACACTGACCCAGCAGTCAATCGGTACAAATGTGGGAATCATCCAATTATGAATCTACACGAAAGAGTGCTCAGCGTGTTAGCGTGCAAGGTGAAAATTAATGTACCTCTCTTGAGGCAGTGAAATTTAATTGCAACGTCAAAACACTGTGCAAGAAGTAATTGTTTTGTGCGTGTGTATGTATGTATGTATATATACACACACTCACGCGTTTGTGTTTATTTTTTTCCTATTTTGTGTGTGAAAACGTTTATTGCTTACGATCCCCCTCGACACGTTCGTTGTTTTTCCAGTATGTGAACGAGGTTGTCATTGGAGCTCCCTACGAAGTAACAAAAGACCTGATGGAGCACTTTAATGTCTCCATTGTGTGCCATGGACAGACACCAATAATGCCTTGTGAGGACGGAGCAGATCCTTATGCCGAACCAAAGAGACAAAATAAATTCAAGCTTTTAGACAGCGGTAATGACATGACCACCGAGAAAATCGTCCAGAGGATTATTCTGCACAGGTGCGGTATTCTTGTTACGTTCTTCAGGGATTTGCATGTATTTATCAGTAATGTTTTGTCATTATTTTTTTTACTGCCTGTCAGCCATTTTTCTGCTTCTCTTCTGTTCACCACTTTTTGGCGAGAAAGGAGGAATGATGTAAACGCGATTAAAACGGGGAAAGAAAAATGAAGGATGTCTCAATCGATTTGTCAACTTGTAAATCAGACGATCGATTTACATATTGGCTAATCGAATTCAATGCAGTGGAGTGCTCACCTAAGCATTTGTATTGCAGGTTGGAATTCGAGAACAGGAACTTGAAGAAAGAGAGGAAAGAGCTCGCAGTTTACGAGGCCTTCGTCAATGAAAAAAAAACCAAAGACTCCGAATAGCCTCGACCACGGGAATCGAAAATCGAGACACAGGATACATATATCGATATAATATACATTATATACGTGTTTATACGTATATAATGTACATTATATAAATTCCTATCCGCCGAATGGCCTCTCTTCGCCTGAAGTTCCGGAAGGGAACAGCTCTCACACACGTTATTCGTTTTGAAGGGTCACTTCTTTCTTTCGCTCCCTCTCCTCTCTCTTTAGACACTCGACGATCGATATCTAGAGAGAGTTTTCGCTCACCCTAAGGATCCTGAATTCTCTATTTACGGAGAGGGAGGAAACGAAAGAAATGAAGCCAGAGTAAATCGAAAGGGAGGTTTGCAATCAATTGACAAATATCGATTGATAAATCTGATTTATCGAGGCCTTGCCAAGGAACCCGAAGAGGTCTTGGTCCATGAGAAGAGGTTAGGAAATCTGTCATTAGTCTTTGAGAAATTCAAAGGACCCTGGGTTTTTAAATATCTTAAATGTAAGTTATCGAGGCCTCCCTAATTTTCTGCCTTATCGTGTAGGACTCCGTACTTTGTATTTATTTTAAGAGCTCTTTTATTTATCTCTCTTGTTTGCCTTCCCTCCTTTTACTGTCTTTTTAGAGTCTTTATCTGTATGTTTGTTAGCCCTCTCCTGAGTTACGGTCGTGACAAATTTTTACCTGGAATCTAGGAGAACAGGGAGGTCCAGGGGAGGAGACGAAATCAAGAGACGATATTAGAGAAGCGATTGAGGTTAATTTAATTAATCAAAAGCATCGCAGTGTATATGCAATGTATGAAGTGTAAATTGAGAAAGGATCGCATTGGCATCGTCCCATGTGCATTCTGGAGATTTAGAAAAAGAAAAACAGATATATAGAAAACGAGGGGAAGTTAAAATTAAATTTTCAAAGACGAAGGAGAGACCCGGAAGGGCTCTCTGCGATTTTGTATTCAGCCCTGAGAATACCAAAGATACTTAAGCATCTGGATGTGAGAGAAATCTGTGAACGGTTCTTCTATGTTACCTGAAAACAAGAAAAAAAAAAAAAAAGAAAAAATATCAATATTTTTCTCTTGATTTGTGGATGCGATTGTATACATACTTGTAAACAACGAGGATTATAAGTTTGTATGATCTTAAGGGGAACTCTTAATCGGTTTTTATTGTTCAATAAAAATGTTTCACGCGACTACAACTAAGAAGGAACTACCACTATTTTGTAATTTAGTAAGAGTTACGAGAAACGAAGCCTAACTTTTCCTTATTTTATGTATCGCCATTTCATTAACTGCTAATCGATTCCGTAACTCGAGTGTGGTGAAAATTCTAAAAGTGAACGTCTACGGAATAATACGAATAATAGCGTAGCTTATTTGTAGACCCCGAAGACGCTTAATCGGGAGATCGATTAAAGATCCATTAGCCAATTCGAAAGTAATGGAAAAGTAATTGAAAATCTAACGTCGCTCTCGTCGATCGACCCATTACGAACATTGAGGTCGAGGAAATGCATTCTCTATTATTAAAAAACAGCCTGGGAAGGTATTTCTATAACATGCGTCGAGGAAGATGTAAACGAGATGCGCTCTACGTGGTTCTATTTCCTGTGTATATATATTTATAATATACATACAATATTCCCACGATCTACGGGAGCGACGTCGGCGACGATGGAGATATTACTTAGTAAATAAATAATCTAATAAATAAATAGTGTTCAGACGAGCCAGGAGAAGAGAGGAGTCAAGCGTGACTTTTGCGGCGACCTTCCAGCAAGTCGCGAGTTGGCTCGATCTCTTCCTCCAAGGTTTACATTAATTTAAACTTAATTGTAAAATAACTTAATATTCTGGCGTAGACCTTAGACGTTCTCTATTTGGTAGGTCGATTGCAAGGGAAAGAATTCGAGGTCGGTTCGTGTAGAAAATTAGGGATGTATCATACGTTGTAACATACAGTGGGCTCTTGTATAACGCGAATTCGTATGTCGCGCCAAAGATATTTTTTTTACTGTTTTCATATAACGCGCTTTATGTTTCACGTTATACGAGATAAATTCCCGTACAGCATGATTCCCTGTAACGCGAATTTATATAGCGCTTAACGTATTAATCGCGTTATACGGGAGTTTACTGTACACGCAGAAAAGCACGTATATTACATGACGTATAATCGTCATGTAATATACGTGCGTATCGTGACGTATCATACCTACCGCACCTTGGGGAGAACCACCTTTGCCTGGAGATGATTTGCCAAAGGTAGTTCTCGTAATTGCGAATTATTTTTTACTGAAAACACTGTGTTCAGTTTATTGGACCGTAGAGCGACCCGTGTACCCGGGGGCGACCTCGCAGTACTTCCTGGCTCGCTCGCGGACGAGGTCGTCGATGGACCTGTTTTGCGGCATCGTCGACGTCACTCTGTGTAATCTCGATGCCAAGTAACACATTATGAAGGCTGAAAGAACCAGAAGACCCCCGAGACCGGTCGCGACGTACAGGAAACTACCGCAACTGCTTTCGAGACCCGCCGCGACCTTGTCGTACATATCTGTAATCAGGCCATGAGTTATAATTTATTTATAATTTAAGGGAAGGTAAGAGTGGCTCGATGCTTTCTTACCACCAGGCATCATCACGGTGTACTCGATGTTCTCCTTGAACTTCGTAAAGGGAGTCGAGTCGTTGTAACGTTGAATCAAGGCCTGCGCCTCGGGTGTGACCTCCTCGGGGTCCGAGTCCACGTATTCCGCATCTCGCTTTTTCTTCCCGTGTCCCGAAGGCTCGAAGAGGTCCAGACAGAAGTCCTGAAACAGGAAGAGGTAGAGAAACGACCATATAAATTATTGTAATAAAATTATTACCAGCGATGCGCTGGGAATTGAGTGTATTAGTACATGTAAGGTGACGTGAAAACGCCGTTCGAGGGTCTCGTTTATGAGACTTTTCTCCGAACTGGGTGTATAGAATCGTTTCAAACTATACTATGTGAATATGGAGGCTATAAGGAAGGTATCGATACCCATGGAACTTCCATTTTCCTTTTTTTTCTGTCAATACATTTTTTTTTAAGGGGGATTTCATGGGTGTCCGGATCTTCGTTACAGCCTCCGTATTCATTTTGTAAAGTTTGAAACGATTCGGTACACCCGGTTCGGAGAAAAGTTCTATAGACCTCTTCGGCGCCACTTTCACATCTCCTTAATTGGTGCTGTAATTAATCGTCAAATTACCGGTTGACAGTCCTGGGGCTCCATGCAAGCCTTGATCTGGGAGTGAATCCAGAGCGTGGACCTCTCCCTCATTGAGCTCAAGAGGAAGGCCTCAAAGTCAAGGAAAACCTCGTTCTTCCTTTCCCGGTAGCGAGCCGGTTGATGGGGAATTATGGAGGCGAAGTCCCGGTTCCTGCAGCCGTCCTTGACGAGGACCACGGACCCCGAAGCGTGGGGCTGGTCAGGGTCGGGGCTCACCGTCACCTCCAGGAGTTTGATGTACCCCCAGGCACTTTCGGCGCTTATTCGAGCTCTCAGCTGCAGTTTCGTACCTATGGGCACCGCTTGGTCCACCGTTTGGGACCCCGAAGAAGCCTCTGAAGTGTTTCCCGCCGCCTCTCTGTAGAGGGCCACCTCGTACTCCAACCTTCCCGGCGTTTCCTCTACGACGCCGGAAACGCGAGCTCCGTGCGGACTGAAATGCATTTTTAATTATCAGTTACTTTTTTTTTACACTTGATAATGTATTAAGTTTATTGTCTCATTTTTCGCCAGGAGACGCGGATACGAGGAGACCGTAAAACTCTTTTCAACTTACAATGTCCCAGCGAAACCAGCAGCCTTGTGTCTCAGCAAAGTCGGCTCAGGAGGTCGACACATCATGATCAATTCCTGATCGGCCAACATTACCACACCTGGGAACGCCGGGAACCAGATTCTCAGGTGGACGAAGCCCTGAAGACAATGCAAGAGTTTGAGACACATTTCGCTCTCGAAATTAATAAACATGTAGTTAGAAGTCGCTTCTCTATTATTTTTAGATCAGTCTCGAGGGTCGTCACTTACGTTTCTCTTGAGAACGCCGCACCTCGAGAAGTCGGTCACCTTTAGGAAGTAATTATCCTCCTGAGGATCATTGGAGTCTGGCCTGATTTGGCAGTGGATGTCAACGAGGGGATTGGCGGATCTATCGTCAGCAAAGAGGGGTGCTCCTTTGAACCCCACTGGTCTTTTTATCTTGGCTGTCAAAAGGTCCGCCGCCGATCCAGCTCCACTGCACTGGATGTCGGAGACCTCGTAATCCTGAGCCACGGTCAGCAGGATCTGCAAACGATTCGACATCAGTTTACAATATTTATGTCATTTCTTATTAATGTATCGTAAGAAGCCCATTGATGTATCGGCAGAAGTCCCTTAGTCTTCTGTAACGAAGGGACTGGGTCTGAATATGCTCCGTCATCTGTTCACAATTTTTTATTTATTTGTTATAAACATATCACAGGAGAACACTGGGCAGAAATCCATAAGTATCGTCTAACGGAATGAATGGATCTACAAACGTTCCAACGTCAGTTTATAACCTTTAACATATGAGTGTAACAAACGTATGCATACCCCTGAATTTGCAGGAACGCGGATTATCATTCCTCCGGATCTCAATTAGCTGTGTTACGTTTGGGGAACGAAACTGGAGCATTTCCTCGGTTTTCCCGGGTGTCCCCGAGGAAGACTCGACTCGTGCTTCCCGTTTAATTGCGGCTCCTCGGTACGGTAATCCCGGTAATTGCTCGATTCGTCGAAGCACGCGTCTCCCTTACTGCCGACACCTTCGGGCGCTTTTCTGTACGCGGGATTATGTAGACGATTCTACGCGAAAAGCCATCTCGAGCCGACCAAGTAACGGTCTCGAGGAGACGCTTCGCTGAGCCCGGTACTCACTTTGCGCTCCGGCACTTTGTCCTGTTAAAACGATTTATCGTAATCGATGCGTCACTATTCGCGAAAAAGGGGGATCCGTCCGCCATTTTGTCGCGCCCTTGCGAAACACCCCGATTAATTCTCCGAGAATTAATCCATTCGCATCCGCTAGTGAGATAATCCACACGTGAAAGATTTCACTTATCACCCTGCGCGTAATAATTCACGGGCTACGACATTCACTTATTTTCGTGATTTATGAAGTTAATAGGGCGTTTAAAGTAACAATGCAAATGGGTTAAATCGCTAGTGGTGTTATTTAAGAATGGCTACACATCAACGATAAATCGTATTGTGCACTTTGCGTCCTGTTAATACGATTTATCGTAATGGATACGTCCCGACGAGACACGTCCATGTGTATTCGTCGAGAATTAATCCATTTACATCCACTAGCGGAATAATCCGCACGTGATGATTATCACTTATCACCAAGCGCGTAATAATCCGCGCGCTACGGCGTTCATTTATATTTATGTTCTGTGAAGTTTTAACGTATTTGCAGTAATATTTTATACGGATTAAATCACGAACGAGGATCTTATCTAAAGGTGGGTATATATATCTAACGATTAATCGTAGCAATTCGTAATATATGCAGTTAAATTCGCGCATCTACACGTCAGTTTAATCTGCACCGATCGAGTAGCATAGTTTTATTCTAACGATTTATCGTTACGCAGGAGGCTACCTTTATACTAAGAATCTCCCTTTTAGTGCTATCTTTGATGCCGCTTATCGATAAGTTGCTAATAAGCGCGTAGAGAGCGGAATTTGCAAACCCATAAAGAGCAATTCCGTGTCGCGGCGTAAACGGACCTACCGGTTTACCGGTCGGCGCGTAAACTTAACGGGAAGAGCGCTTCGAATCCTTTATATCCGGGCCGATTCTTTTTATTTCGTTCCCGACTCGAGCAGGCCACTCGTGGGCGTAGGATATATATTCCACATGATTTTAAAAGTTGGCCAAATAATTTTTTCCTGGGAAATTCAATGTATGTATAATTTCTATGAGCTAATATTAGTGCAATTTAAGGCGATGCGAAAGGGCTATTCTATATACATATTCTACATAAAACTTCAAAATATTTATAAAACCAAACTGAGTGCACCGAATCATTTGAAACATTAACACGTGATTATGGAGGCCCTAAGGAAGAACGCGATGTTCGTGAAATTTCATTTTTCACCAAAAAAAAAGAACAATGTGATTTTAGTTCGTCTGGACTAAATAAAGAAAAAAATGTTGTTTGAAAAATGAAGTTCCACGAGCATTGCGTTCTCTTCATTAGGGCCTTCATAATTACGTGCTGAAGTTTCAACTGATTACGCGCACCTAATTTGGAGAAAAGTTTTATGATTATTTTGACGTTTAATATATATATAGTGACCCTTTCAAATCACCTTAAATACTTTATTAGAATTACCGACTACAGAAGTCTCGTTTCCAAGGAAGAAGAGGAAAAGGCTGGAAATGTCTCAGGGGTCTCCAAAATGCCAACGAAAGGGGGAAAAGGATACAGATCAACGTGGTTGCAACCCATCAGAGGAATGATTTCCTCGGAAGGCGGAAAAAGACCCAAAGATCGTCAAAATGCCGACGAAAAGGGCAGAAAATAATTAAAAAGAAACATCAAGGAAGTTGCAACCCTCGATGTAAAAAGTCCTCGAAGGAAAAGCAGAAAAGTCGGAAGAGGAGTCGAAGATGACGAAAATGCCGACGAAAAGGGCAGAGAAAAATGCGGATCGACGAAGTTTCCTTACCAGAGGAAAGAGGCCCGCGACCGTTGTCCTCCACATCCTCGAGCCCGAGTTTCCTCCTCCAGGGTTTCCAGTTCTCCACCGATCGGTCTCACTCGCGACGATTTAATACTCTACTCTCTTTATATATCTATTTGAAACGATATAAGTACACTTATATATCCTTTATATCAATACTCTCGAGAAACGCGCACAGGACGCGCTTAGGACTCTAGATTTCGATGTTCCAGGGCGAGAGGCGCTTTCCCGGGTCCCGAGGAGAGTCTCGAGGAGAGTCTCGAGGAGAGTCTCGAGGATGTTCCCGAAGAAAGCCTCGAAGAGAGTCGAGAGGTCGACGAGGGACTGCGTCCAGGACCGGGACCGAGTCCAAGCTTCACGGTTGCTGAAGGCGGGAGAGAACCACCGGCCCATCCAGAGTACTGTTAATGCATGCCCGGTGCTTCCGCTAACGACCGAGCCGTCCTTACCTCCTCCTGCGACGAAGAGGAAGGAGAGGTTCGACAAACGTTTGACGGCGTACCTTTTCGCTCGAGGTAGTTCGAAGCTGCTTGAAGTGGATGGAAGTAGCTCAAAGCAATTCGAAACAGCTCGAAGTAGCTTTAAGCAGTTTGAAGCAGCTCGAAGTAGCTTCAAGCAGTTTGAAGCAGCTCGATACAGCTAGAAGTAGCTTCAAGCAGTTTCAGCTCGATACAGCTAGAAGTAGCTTCAAGCAGTTTGAAGCAGCTCGATGCAGCTAGAAGTAGCTTCAAGCAGTTTGAAGCAGCTCGATACAGCTAGAAGTAGCTTCAAGCAGTTTCAAGCAGCTCGATACAGCTCGAATAGCTCGAAGGGGCTAAGGAAACCCGAGGAAGAGGGAGAGGAAGAACCGAAGAAACGGCGGATCCGGTGCGTTGGATTCGTTATTCCGGTCGAGGGGAGTTGCGATTCCGATACGCGTAATCCGGAATGAGCGGTTACTGACTCGAAGAAGAGTGGGTCAGCGTCGTCCTTGTGCCTCGAGAAGGACCCGTTAATTCAATGAGGCCGCAGGCGAATATCGTAAATCAGGATACGACGAGAGGATGGGGTATAGACGCGCGATGACGTCACGGCGAATGGCGACTCCACGTGGTCGAGACGTCGCGGGTTAAAAGAAAATCATGGACATGGTATATGAATTAAAGTCTAGGATATATGGTATTGGATGTGCGGTTTACTGCCCACAGATTCTACAACCATGGGGTAAACGTGCGCTGCGCATCCGTTTCACGTAAAAAGGGAGAGAAAGAGCCTCTCTTTCGGTTCTATCGTCTTCATAGTCGTATCAGGGTGCAGGAAGTACACCATAGTTTATTTATTATTTTTATATAGAGCTTATATATCCACCTCATAGAACTTATAAATTCATGTACCCCATGTCCATGGGTTAAATGTCGACGGCAAGAAAAACAAGGAATTAATTAAAACCGCGCGCGTGCACTCGTTCGTTGGGCAGCAATTATTTCCGTAACGCTCGGAGAAGCTCAGACGCTTCCGAATGCCTTTCCTCGGTATTTCCTCGGTAGGGATCGTCCGAATCGTACGAGCCGAGATTAACGACGTAATTACCCGTTAGCGAGCGAACACGCGATGCCACGGGCCAAGGCGATTTCTAACAACCTCGATATTTCGATTCTTTTTATTTATCCGACGCCTCTCCTTCTATCGAGTCTGCCGAAGGGAGGGAAATCGTTATCACGAGTTTTTCCACAGATTTGGGACTTTCTTTGCATCGGGGCGATAGACTGGTCTTTCTTAATTGACGGAAAGACTGCGAGAGCCCGTCGAGTCGTTACTCTCGCAGAATCGCTTCCTTGTATATTAAAAACCTAATTGATTGCGCAATTATCCCCTGCTACGGCGAGTGATAGTGACGGTAATTGCGGACGAGGGGAATGCTCGGTGGTAATAAGTAATTTCCGATAATAAGTATGGCAAACGAACCGGGTCTTGGGCGACGCGAATGGCTCTCTTTGCTCCGGGAAATAAACGCTAGTCCCTACAATACGGAATTATGTCATTTCAATTTTCTTATCAGCTTATACTCTATATTAGACTTCGTACAAACACGCGCCTATACGTGCACTTGGCGCGGAACTCTGCCGAGTTTCTTTATACTTATAAGGGAAAATTTTCCGCGTTTTTGGGAACGCATCCTGCGGATTTTCTAAGTCCTCGGAGAGAAAGATTACCTGGAGGAAAATTCTGGGTCACATTCCTGGATAATATTCCGGGAATATTATGTTCTACCCGTTATCGAGTTACCATAATACGACTAGCGGAGCGAATAATAAGACGAAGCGCTTAGAATTTAACTAAGTACAGGTCGATGTAAGAACGAGTTTAGCGCTCGCCTCGCCATTTTCCGCAGACGAGGCGAAAAGTAACGGCGACGGAGCCGTTTCGACTAGATTGACATGCTCATTGAATAAGCCTTTTTATTACTTCGAAAAATTCCTGGGAAACCGGTCCGTAAAATGTTATTCCAATAAGCCCCGGTAGAATGGATAGCCCGAGTAGTATTTCGAGTCTAAAGTCCTGCTGAGATTTCGCTTGTAAATATTCATTGGAATATCGGAGCTGGTATGTACCACGCGCGCAATTCGCAAGTGAGCTTGATTCCTAGTCCGAAGATGATTAAGGAGCAAATAGTGCTCCTGAAGAAGTAGTCCTTGCAAATCTGCCGAAAAGCACACCGGAAGGAACAGGTGCAGATGTCGCGAAAATAATTCATTCCTTTGTTTAGGAGGTAATCGTCGACGAGGTGCTGCAAGTCCTCGTTCCTCTTCTTCAGTCGCTCTGAAATTGTTTCCTTTGATTAATGGACGAATAGCTTTATTATCTGCTAGTCTCGCGAAGTAAAATTAATTAATAGAGTTGAAGGAATGTGAAATGGCATTTCAAATTTCAAGTATGAATTGTTTTAGATTAAGGTTTACCTCGAAGCAGTCTAACAGGACACTGCAAGGAACATGGAGAGTGATCCTGTTCGTCCCAATTCTCCATATCGATTTCAGAGTCTCCATCGGAGCCTCTTTCTGATCCTCCAGGTCTTCCGGGTCCTCTTCCAGGATCTTTTCTAGGACCTTTTCCAGGATCTCTATCAGGGCCTCTTCTGCTTGGGCCTGGCCCTGACTTGGAAGACCCTGCAACGCTCTCTTTATTCGTATTCACTGACCTGGCATCTTCGGCAGACCTCATCGAAGATTTGCCAGATTTTCCCTTCGAAGCTAGACTCTTCTCTTCAAGCTCTTTCTCTTCTTCCAAGTCTTCTTCTTCTTCCTCCTCCTCGCTACTCATTTCTTTATTGGCAATTCTCTTCAAAGACTGCCCTAAATCTTTTCCTTGGCTCAGTTCACTAAATTCATCTTCACCGGAGAGATCTTTCATCGCAGAAGCTGAGCTTCTCCTTATCTTAGAGCTCTGATGACTTACATTATCTTTAGTCTTGCTTCGAACACTCTTCCCAATGGATCGTTCCTCTGTACCTGCTTCTTCAAATCTTTCATTGCTTCTTCGAAGAGCTACACTTCTAGAACTTTTACTGTGTATTGTATTTTCCTTAGAGCTCCGATAACCAATCCTGTCCTCTGCAGTTCTTGAAGCAACATCAGACAGCTCTTCTTCACTCCTCCGATAGCTTCGAGAGCTCCTATCATTATTTCTACCCCGAGAACTTTTCTCCGTTAACTTGCCTACACTTTCCTCGGAACTTATTTTCGTTCGGTCGACACGATTTTTACTTTTAGAAGAAGTTTCTTCCAGTTGCCAGTCCTCTCCGATCACATCGTCTCTGGATGAAGACTCATCTTCTAAATTGGTCTTATCCTCTCTTCGGTGGAAAATATCTACTTCTTTTCCTTCCTTATCGTAGTCAGGTCTTGCAGAAACTCTTTCAGCATTTTTTTTCCTTCGCCTTTCTTCGCGACGCACTGTAAATGTTTAATCATTGCAGAAAACGCTTAATTGTTCATTACATTTAATTAACGGGGAGGTTAAAAAGGGGATATACCTTGTTTCACCTGCGCTATAACCTTACTACATGTTTTTTTACACGAGACATTCTCCAGAAGAGACGCATCCAGATCTTTCATTCCAAATATGACATTCGACTGCGTTTCCTCCCTTCCCAATTTTAATGATAATCCTTTCTTCGATATTTCATGTGGCAATTTAATAATTGCCACATGAAATTACTCCTTTTCGATAACCTAACTTTTGAAAAAACAAAGGAGAATCAATCCTACGAGTCGATTCATTTGAAAACAAAACAGTAGCAAAGTTCGTCAATAAAGGGTACATCAGAATAAATGAAAAATTTATAACGTGAGTCAAATAAGATTTGTGACTAAAATAGATATTTTAATGATTTGAATAATTTTTACGTGCTCTATTCATTTCTTTTAAGAACTGTCTTTTTAGAGAAGAATCAACCGAAGGCTGCCTTTGATTATATGACTACGTGTCTAAGATGTGTTGCAATATGGACTCTGGAATAAAAAATGACGAAGAAAGCAAAGCCAAAACTCCATCCTTATGGGAAGACATCCTTCGAGAGTCCGAAGAAGAAAGAACACTCTTCGAAGAGATGCAAAGGGAACGCGTTGAATTGCTTCCGGAGCGGCCTCACCAGGAAGGTTGTGCAGAGTACCTGAAGAGAGAAATTTTTCCTATTTTACTGCCGGCAATGGAAGGCATGCTTATCGAGGCAAATCGATGGAATGCTCTTCGGGTATTATTATCCATTTTTTTTATTAGTGCATAAGTTATTTTCAATTTTTAATTTCAATGAAAAATGTACTCTCAACAAAGATGTTGACTTTCTACAGATACAAAAGTGTCGCTTTAGTGGGTTGGACTACCTTGCCGAAGTCCTCTGGAATAAGAATCCTCGACGTTCCAGAGTCAAGTGGTTGGATGTATTCGAAATTCCCACTTTTAAACTTCAGCTGAGATTGAAGTCAGTTGATTTTTTTATTTTAATGTGTATCAATTGGTAAGAGAGAGCTAATATGTCACAGTCCAAGACCTATATTTCCTAAATCTTGGCTATGGACCAAAGAAAGAGCTGCAGTGGAATTACAAAGATGGGTTCGAGGCTGGCTGGTCAGGAAGCAAGAGGATGTGCAGGAAATGAGGCAATTCTGGATGGTACGTGTTCCTTCGTAATGCTGCTTCATTAAATTAAAATTGCATGAAACTGTTATAATCATCCAATCTATTTTCAGGCTATTGCCGAAGACTCGGAACGTAAACTACTTAAAGAATATCATCTACTAATTCTCCTAAGTCCTTGAAGTAATTATTCCTTAATGACAGGATTTGCTGAAATAGAGAGACATAAGAAAGAAGAAGATAAGTCGGACCCATGCAGACATTATAAGCGTCTGTTGGATGTTCAAAAGAGAACTACATTAACTTAAATGTAATCAGAAGTTGTATTTTAACAGGTATAGTAAAATTTGATACCCTAAATATCTCATATATATAATTAAATCTGGAAGTACATAATGCATACACATTTTAAGATATATGTTAACAGTTTAATAAATATACGGTACAATATAATATACACTTCAGGGTTTGATGTTTGCATACAGACTAGGACTAGCTGGTTTTCCAAGTTTCCATGTTACTTCTTCGGTTGGTGTTTCTCCTTCCTCCGCCATTCGATACATGTTTCCTGACGCTAGATTAAGAACAACAGGTAATCTCACCTCCTCTGAACTTGTGTCTTTTACTTTGATTTGCCGCATGAGTAACTCTTTAAGCAACGGAGGGAATTCTGCCGTTCTAGATAAGATAGTCATGGGTCTCGGAGGGACAGGTTTGCAAAATTCTTCCTCCTGGTCTTTTGGTACAAGTACGTAATCATCTTTGTAGGTTGTCGATTCCATTTGCACAGGCTTCTCTAAAGTCTTCCCTCGGAAGGTTTCCTGCACCAGTACTGTCACTTTGCGGTTTTCCTAGTGCAGAGTTACAACTTTGTACGGATGTTACCTTATGATGTAACGTCAATATTTTCAATAATCTGTTGCTTGATAAATTAATATGTGCATTTTGAAGTGCAGTGATTGTCAGTAATTACAAAGATCTCACCTGGTTTGGCAAAGCAGCCACTTTCAAAACTTTGAAATAACATGGCTCCGGGTATCTTTGAAATTGGTTTCTGTAGAGTACTCTCCCGATGCCAAAGTTTTTCAGGTTACCCAAGATTTCCCACACCGTCTTCCCCTTGAAATCAGTCGTGCGTCCAATGTATTTAATCGGCATCTTTGGTATTTAATAGAATCTGTTGTTATTTACGAGTATGTAACTTTTAGGTTATACCCAGATATACGAAAATTGCAGAATTCTAGACGTTACCACTGAAGTCAATTTTTTGTACTGAAAATAATTCCACGAGATGACGCTACTCTCTGCGGAATCGAATCGAAAAAATGGCGCGTCATTCGAATACAACCTCCAATTAAATGACTAGTAATACCATCCTAAGGCGAAGTCGGTTACTATTGCGTCAAAGGACCCACTTTTATTTATTTTCTTTAGAAATGAACTTCAAGCCGTGTTGAATTATTTACAAATGCCAATTACCGTCAGTGATTTTATATATTCATCAAATGAGATGTAAATTTTTGGTAAGAAAAAAAGGAAATTGTGAAAAACAGTGGTATTACTTTTTTGAAAATGACATTATTCTGACTAGTTGCTGGGATCTTCTAACGGAAACGTCGGTTTCTCAAAAACTGAAGAGTTTTAGTTCATTCATTTTGTTCGGATTTTTAGTGGCGGTTTCCAAGATGCCATTAAAAAAAATGGATTTGTATGTTTAATTCGAGCATGGTATTATTAAGGTTCGGCATTTCTTGGATGAATAACTTTAAACCCGTGGAGATTGTTTATGTTGGTGAGAATGTCATCCTTTTTTGACGGTTACAGATTAAGATTGTTTATTTGTATTTGACTTGCAGTTTTTCAACAAACGAGACAGAACCTACCTTATTTTAAATCACTGTCGGAGACAACGATGAAGCGAACGAGACTTGCCTTAAGAAGCAACAAAGCTAGCAATGATGTTAACAATAAACTACCCAAAGGGGCATCTATTGAAAAACAGCCAGAAAATGTAATGACATTGTCACAGCCTTTTGTAAATTCTTCTAACAAACATTTTCGTATTACAGGAAGACAATACACAGGACAGACTCGCAGATCAACAAGGAAACCATGAAGATAAAAACATAAAAACTCTCATGAATGATGAAACCACTTCGAAGAAAAAATTAAAACTTAAAAAACTTTTGCAGGAAAGTATGTAACGGATAGGAGAACAAATTACTAGAATTTGTTTTAATCACTGTTAACTTATAGGAGACTCAAGGAATGAAGACTTCAAGCCAAACGTTTTAACTGTAAAAGGCAGACCACGAGCAGTCGTCGATTTAGAGACAATGAAAAAAGAATTAAAGCAATTGGAAGATCCACCAATAACAAATACAGAGAAGCAACTAAGTTCCTTAAGGCTTCCGCTTTCATTTTACGACATTCCTTGCGAAGAGCTGGCTCAGAATTTACTCGGTATTCTTAGCTTTCTTAAGTCTACGATTCTTAAACTTTCCTAGTTCAAACAACTTTTTTCCTATGCAGTAACTCTAATTCTATTACTTTTAGGAAGAGTGTTGGTTCGTCGCCTTGAGAATGGCACGATCCTTAAAGGAAGAATTGTCGAGACTGAAAGTTACTTAGGAGGTGTAGACAAGGCCTCACAATCATACCTAAATAGAGTTACTCCTAGAAACTTACCGATGTACATGCAGCCAGGAACAATATACGTTTACCTTACTTATGGGATGTATCACTGCTTCAACATATCGTGTCAGGGTGAGTACCCTTTGTCTTTGACAGTTGTTAAATTTTTCTAGAAACTTTCTGACGTTCAGACTGCATTTCCAAATGGCTTAAAATAAAGTAAATGGATAATAACTTTTTATTCTTAAAGAATTTTCCAATTTAATATTTAAAGCTTCTGAAATGTAGTCTGAATTATGCAATGTATGTAGAGCCTGGAACATATGTACTGGTTCGAGCGGTAGAGCCGATATGTAACCTCCAATATATGGAACTACTTCGAAACACTCGGCTGAAAGTTGACAGACAGGAGAAAGAAATGGTGCAAGATGTCGGCACCATAGATTCTACTGAGCTTTGCAACGACCCATTTAAGCTTTGCACAGCCTTCTTTATCGAAAGGGACGCTTTAAACGGGAAAGAATTGCAATCTAGTACCGAGATTTGGCTAGAAAGAGACTTACTCTATAAATCAGTAACCATAGTGTCAGCTCCTCGAGTGGGAATTCCTCCCTCCGAAGAGGCTTACGAGATCAATCTCTCGCGATTTTACATCTTAGGCAATGCCTGCGTCAGTCAAAGAGATATTCCTTACGAAGATCGAGCTTACAAATTACATTTTTAAAGTGAACGTACACTGATTGATCCCTTCACCAAGAAACAAATGAGTTAAAACATGTCTATGTATGCCCAAGCAATGTGTAAAGGGCTTCGATAAGATTCCAGGTGACGGTGCTGCAGTGCTGCTGAGAGGTGTCGAACCCCTCGAAGGCATCGAGCACATGGCAAACCATCGCAAAGCCAAGTCCAAGTCGAAAGCCTCAACAAAGGCTACGAAGGAGTTCCAGCCTCACGAGCTGTGCAATGGTCCATCCAAACTCTGCATGGCCTTCAGTCTTGACAAAACCCACAATAAGTATTCAATGTGCTCGTGGCGGGGTCTGTGGGTCGAGGACTTCTCCCAAGAACAGGAAATTAAGATTGTCCGCTGTCCTAGAATAGGAATTGACAGTGCCGGACCGGAATGGGCCAAGAAGCCCCTCAGATATTACATATATGGGAACAAATCCGTCAGCAAACGTGATAAGAAAGCCGAAGCATGCCTCGTTGAAAAATAATTCGCATAAAATGTAGACTATCGATGATGTGTTTAAAGGTTAATAACTTTCTATATCAGGAGATCAAGTGAAACAAAAACAGTATTACACTTTATGTCATGCATTGTTTACTCGATATAAATAAACACGCGGTGTACGAAATACATTGATATTAGATTTACATAAACTGTACATATTACTTCGAGCTGTTACAGAGACAAACGCTGCTTTGCCTTCGGACATTCTTACCGTGGTTGCATCGAACCTAGCAGTTTCTCCTCTTAGATGCGACGATCTAATGGAAATAAGCAGCACAGTGTCTATTGTACCTTAAAATTGCACAAGTTATCAATATTTCAGGTTCCATCGTCCCATTTCCAATGGAACATTGCTTATGCCCACTCCTTCATTACCCTCTCGTAATCCTCTTCTTCTATGAATGGCTTGTCAATTGATCTGTGGACACGTTATTTATATTTCTCGTAACATAATCTCTAAAGTATGACGCAAAAGGTAAATGTTCATACAATAAATGTGACATTTATATAAACGCGTTCATAAAATGTATACTAAAACTCACTCGATCATGAGTTCTCCGCAGTAAAGACACTCCGAAGCAACCAAGTCATCGATCTGAGCTTTGACTTTGTCTTTTGTACTCTGCGATTCCAGTCTAGCCGATGCATTTTCCTCAGGTTTGGAATCTGAAATGAGTTGTCGTTGCAAGTCAGCCAATGTGGTCTGTTGCTCGGTAGACAGCATCGGTATTAGAGCAGCAACAAGGCAATCGCTGTGAAACCTATGGCCACAGGGGAACACGTAGAACGGTCGCAGGAGTAATTGCACCTCGCAGGCATTGCAAGTGTCCCTCGCGTGAACGTACGTGCACCTATAAACACGTTTAATCATCACGAAAATAATCAAACAAGGAAGTAAACAAATAAACCTTTATTCGACAAGTTTGACCTGTTGATTGAATTCCTTCGAAGCATCCATTATTCAATTTTACCTGTTTCGAAACGACTGAATCTCTTTCCTGATCAGTTCTGCAGCTTTCGTTGCCTCCTCCATCTCCTCCTTGAGGTCTTGAATATGCTTATTGTACTCCTGGAGTTAAGATAAACGAAGATACATAGAGTTCTGGCTCCGGAACTGGAGTGTAACGATTCAATTTCTGCTCTACTTTAAAATAAATGCGCTCTCACTTGCAGAGAATTGCAGATCGCGTCTTTGAAGTGGTCGATGGTCACAAAGTCGGAGAAAAATGGCAGGATGTCTTCGATGCGAACCAGATCACACTGCTGAAGGAACTCCATCGCTTGCTCGATGTCATCTCTCTCCCTTACCACATGCTCCGCTGTGAATCGAAGTAACCAGATCACACTTGAGTTCTAACTTAAATCCCATTGTTCGACGATACTTTCTTCATAATGCAATTTGCATTACCTATTTTCAGCCACAGTTTCTTTCTTAACTCGTCATCATGGTGAGAAGGCATGGCTGCGATCTGCTTAGCCAAATCTACGCTGATTGTCAGTGCCAGGTCTACCGCAGTGGTCCACAGTCCCAAGAGAGCGGAGAGTTGTACACAGGCTTCGGTCAAGCCTGTCTCTTGACAGAGACGAAGGGCATAATGTACATCGTAGTGTACAATTGTTACATCCTGGCCTTGAAAAATTATAATTATACCTGTTAAACTGAGTGTAAATTAAGTATCATATTTTTTTAAACATTAAATGACAAAGAACTGCACTACATAAAATTGCATTAACCAAGTAAGTAAATACCCTGCGAACTGATATATCGCATCATCTCGTCTTGCTTGTGTCTAGCATAGAGGGACAACAGAAAATTGTGAATGGCCTGCTCCTGACATCCTTGTTTGTAGACACAGAACTCCAGGTACCTTATTACCTCTGTTGCCTGGAAAATAAAATAAACGCATCTATAAAATATACTTGAAACAAATTCATATACAATAGCTTACATGTTTCTCGTCGCCAGTGCAGGAAACCAGAGCTGGGAGAAGCTTTGAAGGCTTTAACAGAGATTTCTGAGAAATCAGAGCAGCCACCGTAGGCTTCGGCAGCTCCTGAAGCAAAGTTCCACTGAACTGATAAAAGAGCTCCTTGTTCTTCTGACTCTGCAGGACTTCCAGAGCTTCCAGATAATTATTCTTGTACAAATGCTGGCGTATGACCTCCTCGTAATTGTGATGCACGATCGTCAGGCGAATTAAATTGTCCTTGTCACCATGGCTGGCCACCAAATCGTAAATAGTGCTACGATTCCTCCTGACGCACTCCTAAAATCATGGTAGGTCCACTTGATTAATTTTAATTTCTGCATTGATGTACACTAGGTGGTGAGAAGGATTGTGTAAACATTTTAAAATATCCTAATAACCTCAACTTTCGGAATGGCGAGGAAACTATCGAATTGTTTCTGTAGCTCGATGTATTGAGAATTGTGCAGATGTGAAGTCTGCTGGTTGCGGAGCAAACCCATTTGGTTCATGAAAAGTTCGATAACCCATACGACGATCATGGTAATCTGTGTTTTATCTTGCGGTTTAAGGCCCTCCAATTTCTGGAAGAAAGAACATTGGTCCTTGAAATTTCACCAATAAAAGGAAAAAATATTAAATACAATTCCGAATTTTTACCAAGACACTTTCTTCGAAACAACGTAGCAATAGAATGAACTACCACGTAAATAATTGACATCTATTATACTTAATTGAAATAATTATATACTAATTTCTTTACCTTTTTAAGGAATGTTTTTAGAGCCTCCACTTGAGATTTCTGAAGAAACTTCAATGATATCTCCTCAAAGGATGAATGTGTGTCTGCGTAGATCATGGCACTCTTCTCGAACCTGAGAAAAAAAGCTATCGTTACACTTTTCAAATCTTCAGAGCAACGCATAATGTATCTTTCCTTCTCACTCTTTATTTTTAAAAAGCATTTCTGCCTGCTTCACCAGCACTTGGTCCAAATGGGCAGGATTATCCTTGCAATATTGCTTGGCCAGTTCAAACTCCCCTTTGTCTGCATAAATCTGTACAAGACGTAGTAAAAATTCCAAATTTTAAAACTATCTCGAAAAGGAATCATTTTTACCAGTGATTAAAAAAAGTTGGTGACAGTTTCTTAGCTCGTAAATTCACCTGCCAAACGTTTCGGTCCTCCTTCGTCACCTTGTATTTAAAAACAGCGGATTGACTATAGGCCCAAATGCAACCAGTAATAGGATCCTTCGTAATATTTATTAGTTTTCCAAGGGGCTAGAAAACAACATTCAATAAGTGTTAACATTTACGAAATATTCAATTATAAAGCGAAAGCCTTCCGGTACCATTTATAATTTCTAAATAACAATTTTACCTCATTGTAGATGTCCTCGAATATGAGTTCTTGATTTAAAAGGGAAACACCTTTTACATGATCCACATAAAGCAGCAATGCATGAAATTCTGTCAGGACAAAAGCCAGTGGAACCGATGGCTTTAAGCTCGAACTAGTTCCAATTAAACTTATGACCGGACAGTTTAACATTTGTTGGTTCACCAGAACATTGTCTGGATCGGTTTCAGGATTGATCTGTGAAGCATCAAAGTGAATCGCATAACTTCCAAAAAAGACAATGTAGAACTTCTTATAAAAGCAAGCACTATATGAAAGTACCTCGGCATAAAGAATTCCAGTTTCCGTCAACCAACCGAAGGACTTTGGCAAAACTCTAGGCTGTGGATAATAACACTGCATTCTCGAGTACGGTAAGGAGCTTTCCAACTGTGTGAAGCATTCTTTGAAAGCCAATTTAATTTCCTGATTAGGTACGCATCTTAATATTGTATGGTCACTCTGCATATTAATTAAATTACTTGTGCTTGTACACTCACCTTTGGCGTTTAAATATTTATTAAAAATCTGTTGCAGAAGCGGTTTCTCATCAGGGTTCGACACTGTGCCAATGTACTGGTAGATCCGAATTAAAGTTGTCACGATGACGATGTATCTATCGGTCTTTGGGACCTTTGATGGCAGTCTGTGAAACTCCAAACCAGTGATCGGTGGTCTACTCTGCTTCCCAATGTCAAACACCTGTATACACTCGAAGTTATTAATTTCAACGTGTGGTACTATTTATTGTCAGCATGAAGTGGTGGTGATTTGGTAGTGAGTCGACAACATGAAAATAAAATCAATCAATAATGCTACTAACTTTTCACTTGACACAATGTGATGTTTCGTTCCATTAAGCTAAAACATATTCCAATTCGATGATACTATTGAATATAGTGTTTGTTTAAGACAGAATAAACAAAAGTGGCAAACTGGAAATGATAATCTCAAAAGTCTAGGTACAATTGCTTCAGAATAAACATTCCGGACATGCGAGTAAAGAAGTTTATTCTCTGTTGGACTCACCAAGCCTTCTACGTCCTTTGTACCATATATCGGCAGATAATTTGGAAGCTTAAGAATGAAGGAATGGTACGATGAGGAAAATACTTGTCATTAACTCTGATCTATCCAGCATTGCATCTGATCAAATATCAAAATAATCTGGACCATAATAATGATTTAATCATGTCAAAATAAATATTTACTTGATTGCAAATTAAATCCTATGTTTATCTTCCAAAGACCATATATATTTGTTAGTAATTAATTGCAATAAACCATAACAATTTGTATCTACAAGTTCTCGATTGAAAGGTTTAGGTTGTTTGTCAGTTACGATCTAGATTCTTTTACTTGGATCATATATAACACTGGAATAGTAATTTATTAATATTAAGGATTAACTTACCTGCCGCCAATATTGTTCCAAGCTAGTATTGAATATCTTCTCTCCCTCTATTCCAATTTCAGTCTCAAAGATGAGACCAGTTGACGTTCCCAGTAAAATTGGCCCAGAAGTTGTTTCGGAGGTGTTTGCAAAGTTCCATCCGACAGCAGTTATTTCGTGACCCTTAAATTTTCCAGCCTGTCGATGAATAAAAAAAAGAAAAAAGTAGTCTTTCTCTTCTTATTCATAAAATAATTTAATTCAATGCCAATTAAAGTAAACATTACTGGCTTTAATTTTGTAGTTTTCCTATGTAAATAATAGAGCTCTGCTGGAGGATTATCTCCTTCTTTTGGTACAAAGGTCAGCAACAAATGATGACCAAGTGGATCCATGTAAAGTCCTGAAAGCCTCATGTTTGTCGCATATTTGGAAATATTAATCTCTGAAATCAAACACGTGATATTAAAAAATATTAAATTAAAATTAAAAATCTGGATTTCCTTTAATTTATAATTACGCAGATAGTACATGAAAATCGTACCTTCCTTTTTGTCTGGCTGCTTCATATCAATTCTTAATAGAATATTATCTGTCATAGCAATCGCAATAAAGTTATTGCTTGTAACTAGATGCCTGATTTTATCCGACGGTCGAAAATTGACCTTCTGTTTAATGAATATGGGACCGTCATCCTGCAGCTTCATCTGTATAAAGCCTGCAGTACTCTGAAAGATGATTCGATGATACCTCAATAGACAAAACTAATTTCTGTAAAATAGTACACTTAATTTACAATGCCACTTACGATATCAGGTCGAACCGGAGGTGGATGGGTCTGTTTCGACCTCTGCGAAGCTTGCTCGTACTGATCGAATATCGAAGTCATTGCTCAAGAGGAACGCAGAGTAAACGATGTTTCTAAATAACTCTATAGAACGTTTCTATATGTCCCTTTAATAATTTACTTTTCACGATCTTCTCTCTCGAGTATTTAACACATATTAAAATAGATTTTGAAAGACTGAAGCCACTGGAAATTCGTACTGGCTAAGAACAGAAGCATACTGTCCGAAATTTCTACAAAGCAGCATTTAACTTTGACAACTCTAACACATTGTGTCATCCATTGCATCAAAGAACAATGACTACCTAACAACTGGTTGTACATAACAATTCATCATGACATTTGGCTTCGCTACAGCTGGTCAAAGCAACTGAGGTTATGCTCCGTAGATAACCATGCAATAAAAAAATTATCTAGGTTAAAAACCAATCTTTAATACTATGGGTTGCCTGGAACGCCTTTACTATGCATTATATCCAATAACGTCAGAATTCCACAATTCGAGTTAACCGAAGTTTAAATCGGTCATAACCAGTTAAACTTCGATTAACTCCAGTTATAGAACGAACTTGAGTCCGGACCGTATAAATCCCGAATTTCGAGTACGATGGAAACGTTCTTATTTCCGTATACACATTCAAACGTTGACCACTGCGCGACTTCGCAACGATGTGAAATTTTTCACGCGAATCTTTTCATATGTGAAAAAATCCGTATGAACTCGAAAGTAGCGTCTTTGCCGCAAACTATATGTCCAGTGCGAGAGGATGCTACAGGTTCCAATATTTCATATCCTACCGGACTTATGACGAAACGGGTATACATACTACGACGTAAATCTTTACCGACAGTGGCCATGGTCGTAACCACGTGTCTGGCGCCATTTAAAGTTTCTCCATTCGGCAGGAAGACGGAATGTCAGTTGCGGTTCGTGATCGGGGGTCACCAAGTCACCGGACTTGACCGGACTTATCGCACCTAATCTCGTAAACTCGTCGAAATGCTGGTAAATACGGGGAATGCGGGGAGCCATGGATGAGTGCGCGCAAACGTGAGTAATCTGGTTTCGAGGTTAAGTCCGTCCGTGTCCGCGGAAGCCGTTGGAAGTCACAAGGGGGCGAGTCGGTGGGTGGACTCGCGTCGGCTGCGCTTCTTCGTGACCGGGAACCGGCCCCGGTAATGCAGGTCGGCCCCGGAGGATGCCAGAGCCCGGCGACGAGCGCGAGGAGGCTCCGTCGAGCCCGGGAGACTCCGATGATACCGCGGACCGACTCGAGGTCCGCGCGACGTCAGACCCAGAAAATTGCGACGTGGCACCCGGCCTCGAGACAAGGTCCTCCGTGGAGGAACGACTGATTGGAAAAATGTTCCTCTACGCCAGGGACCTGACCTTCGTGTTCGCGCTGCTTTTCACAGCCCTTGCTGCGCTCACTAACCCGTAAGTTTTTGAGGTTATCTCCAATCTCCAGAGAAGCAATCGCGAAAATAGATTACGAGTTTCTTTCGAGGTTAACCTCTTCACGTACATAGTAGCTCGGTAAAATCCCGTCCCAAGAGATCTGCGAAAGTTTTCAAAATCGGTTGAATTGGTGAGGAAAGATGCTTGCAGAACAGGATAATGTTTATTATCCGAAATTGAGATCACGAGTCTAACTCGTGATCTTAAAGATCAAGAGAGAATTTTCTGGAGTTACCTGTCGTGAATGCGATAGTCTGTTCGGAACGACGTGTTTCCATAGTTTGGTTTATCAAGGAAGTGTTGTTGATGATTATATGTTTGTTTAGACCACCGAAAGTATCCAAACCACCTACGGCGCGGCCCTTCTTTGATCGGAGTTCCACGGTATTGGACTTCTATGAAGGGCACTTGGAGGCGGCATGGGAGAGGATCGCCGATGCTGATGTTAGCTTTGTAATGTATTACGCTCCTTGGGACGCGGAGTCGCAGTCAGTCAAGCATGAATTTGAAGCTGTGGCGAGATATTATCATGCACAGGTGGGAATGGCTTAAACTTTGGTCTGTAGTACAGGGAAAGAAATGTGCACGAATGTATGATTTTGTTAATGCAATCGCAGGTGTGCTTTGTCGCCATCAATTGCTGGCATCCAGGCTCGCAGTGCCGGCAAGCGACTGCAAAGAAACAGAACATTAAGATTCTGGCCTATCCGGTGCTAATGCTGTACCTGTCCACTGACTCTAATTTTAAGTACAAGGGCATTCCGACTGCGCCATATATGATAAGGTTCCTCGCTGCAGTCTTGAAGCCCGTTCACAGATTGACGAACAAGAACCAGCTTGTGCAACTTTTTCTGGATCACGATGTAAGTATAAGGAATTCACCTCTGAGAACACTCTCTAATTTTGTTTATCAATAAAATAAACAAAATTAAATAATCAAATCTAGAATCTATGATACTATACCATAGAATGAGCAACAATGATGCACATATACAGTGCTGCGATTGCACTTTTGATTCATGCAGGCTGTGCTACTAGGATTTTTCAATTTCATGGGACCAGCCAGAGCCCAAGGGTATAAAGAGTTCTACAAGGCAGCAGTTCGTTCCCTACAAACCGACCCTAACAGAGAATTGGCATTTGCGGTGGTTACCGATGCCAAGTCAGCGCAAAGAGATTATTCCATCACGAAATTCCCTTCTGCAAGGTTGCTCATCTGGAACGAATTTCTGGTAAGTTCTTCTGGCATCATGAACATGTAATCACAGTATTTCACTGTGTATTAATTACAACGTTTATATCACACAGAGTTATCCAGGAAATTATGCCTGGACTGCGGATAACTTACTAATCTGGGTCAATGGAGCTGTTCACCAACCCACGTTATGGATACAGCCTCCCGGCGGGAAATCCTGGACCATCTCTTCGTATGTACGAGATGGGCCAGTCCTCTTTCTGTTTACTCCAAGGAATCCCCTCCATCGGGAGAACTATAATTACAACCTGGTATGAATAAGTCTTACTGCAAAGTTACAATTGCCAAGAAACTCTCTTAGAGTTTTTATTTATCTACTTTTTGTGTTCCAGATGCGGGAAATAGGTCTGCGATATTATAACTCAGCAAATGATTCTATTCTAAGCGGTGTAGTTTCCATGTTAGAGCAGAATCGTCTTCAGGCCAGGGAGGGACATCGGGCAAGGAGCAAGACATGTCTAGAGATGTTAAATAAAAGTAGAACGCGGCAGGTGGAACCGCGTATCAGTGTGTCCATTCAACAGTGGATCAATGATAGTTGCTGTGCCAATGTTGTGATCAACAAGTGTCTGTTGTGTAAGGCAGATGTCCCAACTTTAGGGCCACTCTCTATGTGCGGTGTCAGTGACTCTTGGGCTCGGAGCCCTGTGCCGAGTGATAGGCCCATCAATATTGTTCCTAACAGCGATGCTGGTAGTGTTTCTGAAAATTTATTCGACGTCTGCAAGGAGAAGGATGTGTTCACCATATCTCCTTTGAGAGGAGATCAACATAACGTTGTTGACTTTTGCTGCAATAACGATCGACTTGTAGTAAATGAACCTGAACAAAGGCTTGATGCAAAGAGGTGCGGAAACTTGAATATTTTTAACGGTTCAATGTATTATAACAGTTTTAAAACTAGAGTGACTGACTTCTCTTTAAATAGTTTCTTTACTTCTTAGTGACAGATATACAACGTCCCTGATGAGCGGAGAGAATGATCCTCTTTCGTCAAGTGCCATGAAGGATTATTATGTCAAGGAAGAGTGCAGAATGTTACTTGCTGGGAACGACTATCATCCACCGGTGTTTCCCAACGATTCACCTAACCATCCGATAATTAACTTTTCCTCCGCAGTGACTAAAGTTAATAAGACACTCGCTCTAATCGCGTTAGACAGTCTCTATTACTTTCCATTCGCGGAAGGACTTGGCATCAATGTGTCGAAGAGACGAGACAAGACTGCCGTGGTTATTGTGGATTCCCTTGTGAGTATCATTGAATTTACTTTGAGCTAGTAAAAGTTATTTTATGATAAAGTGACTAAGTTATCGATCATTTAAAGGAAAGTAGATTATTATTTGAGATTTCGTTCCACAGCAGGAAAGTCAGTACGTGATGGAGGGCGATTTAAGCAGGTACTCTTTGATATCAATTATTAACAATTATACCGAAGGTTTGCTCAGACGAACCCTGCGATCTGCCGAAGTCAGGCAGAATGTTGATAAACACATGAAAAACGACAAGTGTAAGAACAGTGATACAGCCATCTGTATCCCGGAGTTGACAACAAGGACTTTTTTGGAGACTGTTTTAGATCCTACCCAGGTATTTCGCCATTACCAATTAATAAGGCTAATGTTAATTGATTATTCCATCAAATGATCATAACAAGGAATTATTATTTTTTGCAGGATGTTGTAGTGATGTATCACACCCCTTATTGTGCATTTTGTAGTGCTATTGCCCACGTGTATTTAATTGTAGCCCACTTTTTGTCCAAGATGGACCACCTTAGATTCGTTAGAATCGATGGGGAGAATAATGACCTACCTTGGGAATACAGTATGAATCGGTATCCATCGATACTTTTCTTCCCTGCAAAAGGGTAACTATTCCATGACATTAATTTCTACTCAGTGCGTATTTTAAGAAAAGAAAAGTCCGAGAACGCAATTGTCTACAAGTAGAGCATCTTAGAGAGTACATTGCTTTCAATGGTTACTTGTTCTAACCTCAAAGATCTCAACCAAGGCAACAAGTTGTCACCATAACCTATTGTTATCAGAAATCGCTCGAATAAGTCTTCAATTTTAATTTGTTAGCAGAAAACACTAAATACGGCACATCAATGATAGGATGTTCTTTTTAATACCGAAATAGTTTCTTTTCTCTATTTTAGGAAGAGCGACAGTACAGTGTTTCCGCACTCTTCACCCGTCACTGTGCAAAACCTGTTTCGTTTCGTCCTAGCAAATCTGGAGGGAGATTCTCAAGTGGAGGCTCTCATCAATGTGTGTCACCATGGAGCCGATCAGTTTCCTGATGACTGTATAGCCCACATCCGTAAGGTCTGCCTGGATGCGATCGGAGACCTGCTGCGGCATCACAGGAAACTAATGCGCGTTACGATCCGCACGAGCGATGCAGCGAGTAGACGAAGAATCGTTCTCAGACAATTGGAGCACGTGAGAGAGGTGCACCTAATTCTGGGATCGGTAAAAGACCTGCGGAAGGAAGAGAAGATTGTACAGTCCCTCCGTAGGAAGTACAGCCGGTACTACAAGAGCCTGGCGAGTCTCGAGGCGAATGGAAAAAGGGTAAAATCTCTGAATGACCTTGAAAAAGGTGTGAAAAGTGAAGAATCTATCGCTAACGAGGATAAATCCCTCAAGGACGAATTGTGATATACGGTGCACTTGGAGTGGCATAGATTTGTTTGTTGGCTGCTCTTTGATTCACCGAAGGAGGGTTCACTGGGATTTTTATCAATGCGTGAGATTCACTCGTCGACTTACACCGGACAAGCTTTTCTCATTGAAAGTCAGGGAGGAAAGTATCCAAAGCCTTTCATTTAAACAAGATCCTCTGATTTTTCATTTTTCCAACTCTCTTCCCTCGTTATCAGTAAGAAGCTTTCGCTGTCTTATGCAGCAAGTAAAAAATCAACTGATACCTTTTTCTCTGAGTTTCAAGAAATTTCCTCTTAAAGGACATCGAAGAGAAATCTTATGAAGGCAAGAGAGAAAACGAAGGTACTCTAGTGTCGACATAGGAAAGTAGCTGAGTCCTTAAGCTGGTATATTTTTCTATCTCCAACTATTCGGAGGCAAGTCGAATTAACCGTAACCCGTTAGCCTCCCACGGCCGCGTTTCGTGGAAACAGTTGTTGACTCCATGATTGAATTAGTCATCGGAACCTCTTTAATATTCATGACACTACCTCTGAAGCACCGTACGCCGTCGACCTAAGGTGTGGAGCTACGAACACTAGGCTGCGATAAGAAAGAACATTACAATGAGTCTTTCCTATGGCATCGAAAGGTTCGCCTTAGGTTTCTCTTGGTTCTACTCTACTCGAGGAATTCTAACCTTGTCTTAAATCCTTCATTATGTTCTTTAGACGGGTGTTCCACGGTCCTCTGGAACTCCTTTCTGTATATCAGTGTACATACACGTTGACGAATGCGCTATAATGTACAGTAAGAAAGAAGATTTGTAGGCTGGTGTGTAATTATAAATAGCGATTTATCCTGCCTTGAACACGCGATTTGACTTTTAACGCGAGCAAGGTTCGTTTCAATTCGGAGTTTTGAACCTCGCGCTTCGGAGGCGCGCGCAACCTCTCGATGCGCCGCAGCGGGATTTTCAAATCTGATAAATCGCGCATCGCGAATACCTGAGTATATACGCGTGTGGGTTAAATTGCGGCCACGCGTTAGTCATTCATCGTCACGCACCACGTTTATTCATGGGCTGGGCACTTGATTCGCAGCGGCATGATAATTCTCAGTAAAGTGACGTGCGATAAGGGATCAAGATGGAATCAGCCAAGGCGCGCCAATGCCGCGACGCGATTGGCTGCATTCAATTACTGTCAGCCAATCAGAACGCTGGATTATTTTTGAACTGGCGCGTTAAACCAACGAGAAGGAATGAACAAACGTGAATTTTAGCGTTTGTTTAACAAATTTCAGAGAAAATTTTCTGCTTCCGCGAGTAAGGTTATCTCGAATGGACCGGTCCACGGAATTCTCTAGATGTCGATCGCCGATTATCGCATGGTGTCTCGAATGGTGCGTGACGTATCGTCCCTATGAATTTCCTTTTGGAGCGAGAGAGTGTGTGGCAACCTCCCGCGATTGTTATCTCTGGTCGTGCGCCGATCTCCGGAATCGTTTATGTCGAGACCGAGTCTCGTCATTCTCTTAAACCATCTCTATTCTCGGATTATTCGTTCGCATTTCAGGGAGAGTGTCTGGCCGGGAATCCGAGGGATCGCCGGCGATCCCTTCGATTATCTTTTATACATCGCGTCGGAAAAGCCACGTTCTTTTCTTTTTCTTTTTTTCTTGTAATATTCCCACCGTTTATTTGGAACGTCTTATTTCAATATTTATTTTATTTCATCTTGTAAATTATACGCAATAACGCTTCGTAAGTGGCGATTTGTAAGGATGCGGGGATGTGAAACGCATGGAAGAGGGCGAACGGTATTCCGAAAGTTTAAACGCGACGGTGGCGCCGGGATTGCTGGAGGAAACTTCCAGCCGCCATCTTGGTAGTCGGTAAAATAGATCTTACTTTTCAGGGGTATCGGAAAGGAGAAGCCAAACCTAGAGTTCTAAACGCGGTAAGTTAAGTCGGAAACAATGCCAGAAATACCTGGCAACTTATCGGTAATTTCTCCAAAGCCTTTTTTTTTTATTCCGAGAAATGAGAACGCAAATATTTGCAACGGAGTGAACAAGAGGTTCCGATAGGTTGTAGAGGAACACCAGAGTGGGTGAACTCCGTTTTCTGCGGCCAATAAAAACTTCTGATTCGCTTCGTCGCGCGGCATCGTTAGAAGAATGAAACATCGGCCTTATTTATTATACAAATCCTCTGAAGTTTTACACGAACATTTATAACTAGTAGTAAACAGAACTGTGGAATTTATATTTTTTAATAACATTCATTACTCTTCAACTTGACATTCGAAGTGCGTTGAAGAGAAATGTTACTTAACGGAAGAAACCTTAAGTATAAATAGGAAGAATTAACGTTCTCATAAATTCTCGATATTCTCGGTATCTTACGGTATGTTTCGCGATTACCTTCTCCGATTTTCTGTTACCGAGAATTTTCAAATTCCACGCGCTATCTGTACTACCGGCCGAGGGTCGTAGCGGAGGTTGCGGGATCCGCCGTGGATGGCGCTGCGGGCAGCGCTGCGCCGTGATAACTAATCGCGGAGGCCGCGGGTCTGCTCTCGAGCTCGGCTGGCGTCGGAGTGCGTCGAGCGCGCGCGCGTGTCGGCCGACGGGAAGGATCGAGTGGGATCTCTAGTGCCCTCTTCGCGTCGCGTTCCCGGGAGCCGGAGCGGAGTCAGTGCTCGCGCCAGGATCCTCTTGGGGTCGGCTGGGTCGGGCCTCCAGAGAGCTGGGAGCGAGGGAGCGAGGAGGCGAGGGAGCTGCGAGCGGCGCGGCGGCTCTTGATGACACGCGCCTCGCCCGCCGCGGTCCACGCACGGAGGCCGTGTCCCTCGTAATTATGTTCGATGTACCGCCCAAGTTCTACGAGCTCTGTCGGCTTTGTTTGTCCTCGGACGGTGTCAAGCTGTCGATCTTCGAGGAGGAGGGCGCGCAGCGGAACTTCGCCGAGAAGATCCTTACGTGCCTCGCGATCACGGTAAGCGACAGGGAGCGGGGGAGATGATACAAAGCGGGCCAGAGATAAAGGGAGACGGAGGCACCTGGTGTGCGCGCTCCCTGATAAGAGCGAGAAGGACCGAGAGAGGGACGGAGGAGAGAGGGCCACGTCGGGAGAGAGCGCGGCCACGCAAAAATAGACTCGCGGCCGGGCCCGGGTTTTCGATTTCCGAAAGGTTTCTCTTTTCCCTTTTTCTTCTACTTTTTTTTTCTCTCTTCCTCCCATGCCAGTGCTCCACGGTTTTTAGGTTAACCTTCCTTTTCTCGCCTAGGGACGATGCGCAGCGGGGTCCTGCTAGCAGACTCGCCGCTGTGCCGCCGCGTGCCTCGGGAGAAAGTCGCTGATGGGTTAGTCGAGATAAGAGGACCACCGCGCAGGTGATAAGGGAGCCAAGCGACTCGCCGAACGCGGCAGAGCGAGGGGACCGAGGCGCGAGGGAGGGTTCGTTCAGGGTTTGGCTCTACGATTCAGCCAGGGTTTTTCTTACGATGCGGGAAGGGCTCGATTAGGACACTTCGATTGTCTTCCAAGGTCTTTGACGAGGACTTGTGGCGTTACTTTGAGCTAATGGGGTGATAGGTTTGTTAACGCTTGTCTGAGGTCGAGGTTTTCGGTTGTATCGAGATCAACGATGCATTGAGGTATTCGGTGGGCTTTAGTGACTCGAGCGATCGTCAGGGAATAACTGTGATGCCTAATGTCGATTATTAGGTTTTGTTTATGTCTGACGAGAGAAGGGTTGAAAGCACTTGTTAAGGTGTGAAAGATTCACTGCTTTTGATGAATGAATTGTTGGGTCATCAAAAGCATAGAAATGGATTTTTGGAATTGTTTTCCATTTATCGAATCAGTGGATAAAGCGAGCAATCATGGTGGCAAAATACTCTCTCACTCTCTCTTTCTCTCTTGGCCTCCCTTTTTTCATTCTTTTTGTTATCTCCTTTAGAACTCTAAATTCTTGTGTCTACGTTTAAAAGACAAGAAGTTTCAATGCCGTTTATCAGGTCTGAATAACAGTAATTGAAAGAAGGAATTCTAGGAGAAACACGCCCGATGCTTTAAACTATTTACTTTTATCTTTGCCATGAACTTGTGCGTGTCAGTTACAGAAGTTTCAATGTTTGTCAATTAATGTTGTATATGGTTTGTTACACAATTTCCTTTATAAAAACGTATAGGTCAAAGATGGCGATTCCTTGCCACCGATCATTTGCCACCGGTGTGTGTACAAGCTGGACGTGCTGCACAACTTCCGTGAGGTGTCTCGCAAATCCGACGTTATACTCAAGCAGTACCTGGACTACGCCAAGCAATTGTCATCACAAAGTGATCAGGTAAATGATTTTAAAGCTCCTAATTATAGTTTTATTTTCTTCGAATCTTAAAATCAATGCTAAACCAACAATGTGACCGTTCTAGGAGAAGTCTTTCCCCACTGCCAAAGTAGCAGACTTAAGTCCCCTCCAGTCGTTCCTTCAGTTGAACAAGACTCTGTTCAACGACGAACCAAACTCCCCGGTCAGCATCAATCAAAATGTGTTACCTCAGACGCAAACCCACCATGTCGAGCTGCAGACCAGCGAGACTCTGGGAAACGTCAAGTGCGAGCCCGAGGAGGATACCTGCTCGAACAGCTCCGACCCTGACAGGTTAGAGATTGAGGACTGCGAAGAGCAGGACACCGAGGTCGAGGAGAACGGTTACGACATGACGGTGAACAAGAGGATGAGGATCGACAGCAATTACGAAACCTCCAAACAGAGTGCGCCCAGTCGGAGCCCCATCAACCGAATGGACACTCCGGAGAGCAACTGCTCCGATACTCACATCGACCAGGAGACCACCAAGCTTTGGCAAGCTCTCGCAAAGTAATTCTATAATTGGCTCTTTCTTTCTTCCCAGGCCAAAGTAAAAGCGCGTACCTTCTTTATTCTATCCGTTTTCTATGCCGAACACTCTTTGTTCTCTGCCTCTGTCCCTTTGCATCTCATTCAACAGGTTGGAGGTTAGTTTTAATTTTCTGTATGCTTAACACTCTGACCTTGCTCGATTATTATTCTTCCTTGTTTCTTTGGAATTCTTTGTTTCTCAATTCTGTCTCTGTCGACTCTTAAATCGATGAGATGTTTCAGTAAATATTGGGTCGGTGCATAATTAATGTTATACATGGCTATTTCTTATTTACCTTGCAACGGTAATTATGCATCGACTTAGATGTACGTTGAGAGTGAGGAAAATATTGGATCGATTTGATACAGCAACAGGAGCCTGGAGATAACGCGGACCAACGGAGAGAAGCTGAACAACGGATTCACCGGGGAGGCCACGAATCTGCTTCGGTCTCTCATCAACAATCGGCAGATCGGCATCACCGCGGTCGACAGCGACAGGATCTCCCCTCAGATTCGGTTCTACAGAGACACGCAGGGTACCACGATCGAGAGGACGATCCCCGATTGCTCCTCCCTCGGGACTCGCACCGGCTTGTCTCGCATCGAAAACAAGGTGCGCGTCTCAATAGATACACAGTTTATCGATACCCATCCTTCCAATGCTCGAATGATTATCAATAGAATTATTCCTCTCATCCAGGAATGATTATCGATGAAAATCAGGAATGATAATCATTCTTCCAATTCGTGAATACGATCCTTTCAATTTATGAATGATTATTAATATAATTCAGGCGTCATAATCATTCCTTCAATTCAGAAATAACGGTAATAAAATTCAGTGGTAACGATTCCTTCAATCTAGGAACGAGAGCACCGATCCCGGTCCGTTATCAGTCCCTTCCTTAAGGTCGACCAGGGTTCTTTCGATCCAGGTGCACCCGGCGAAAATCACAGGGATCCTTTCCGGGCTTCGTTGCCCCGGTTTCCAGGAAACCGGTGCAGCGGGCCTCTCAAGGTCCCAGAGGAAACGCGGAAAAGTCCCTTTTCGAAGGGGTCAGGTGGGTCCCGGGCTGAATGGGGACCTCCTCCCCCGGGGGAGAGGTCCCTGTCGGTGGGCCACCTGCCCTAGGCCCAGGTAGCCGGGGCCCCCTCCTCTCTTTGGCCGCAGAATAGGCTTCCCCTCTCTCATTCTTTCTTTCTTTCTTTCTTTCCCTCCAGAAAGGCGACCCACCGCCGAGATAGGGTCCGGTTAAGTCCCACACCGTGTCGACGGATAAGCTCTCCGCCGATTCCTGGGCTTGATACCTGGGACACCCCACCCTCCACCCTCCTGATACCTGAGATAAAGAATGGACGCGTCCTAGAACGAGGAAGAATGTCTCTCTCTACAGGGCGAACCTGAAAAGCGAAACAACTCTCTCTCTTTCTCTGGATTTCGCGGGATTTTCCTCCCTTAACTTTTGCTCTCGACAGTGATCTAGGGCCTCCTCGAGGCTTTATCTCTTCCTTGGCACCTTGGACGATACCCGCGCCGGTTCCGGGAGGTGGCTTTAACGGTATCAGGGCTTCCCTAACCTGGGCAACGTTTGTTCGGGCTTTGTCCTCGATTATTGCGACGGATAAGGCCCTTGTGGACAGGTATAACCTGACAAAGGCGAGTTTAGGGTTCCAAGATTGCGGATTTGTATGGAACCTTCTGGTATCCGGGGAGGAATAGAACGCAAATGGGGGTGCGAAGACTTACCTTGGTTTGCGAATTGATTCGACCGACTGCGGACCTTACTTAACCTCATTTTAACCTCACTTTATACTTGCTTTACTGCTAAGTGTTACCGTGCAATTGGAAGGAAGACGCGATACCTTGTGGCGTGTGTTTTGGTAGAGAGATATGTCGAACGTGACCTTTGCATTGCAGAGCACTTCGGTGGACAGCAATCCGTCGAGCCCAGCTAGCACCGGACGCAGGGAGACCTCTTCGACGACGAAGGGCAGACGGAAGCAGAGTTATCCCAGCAAGGCCCCTGCTAGTCCGGATGTCCTTAGTTACCAACATGAGGCTGCCGAGGAACAGGCTCAGGACTTCACGGGATGGTCCAGCAAGATTAAGGTTAAGGTTAGTTTTGAAATTTATTGCATTATGCAAGGAGGCGACGATAGATTGGCACTGCGATGAGGGATATAGTGGGTGAACGATGTGGGTGGTTTCTACTTGGTGTCTTCTTCGGGGCAGATCGAGGACCAGAAGCAGCAGCTCGATCAGCAGGGTGGCAATGCCACGAAGAAGGTCGACATGTCTTGCACTAACTGTGGAACCATGACCACCACGATTTGGCGACGGAACATGAAGGGAGAGATGGTCTGCAATGCCTGCGGCCTCTACTACAAGTTGCACGGCGTCAATCGTCCTGTCACCATGCGTCGAGACACCATACACACACGCAGGCGTAGACCGAAGGGGGAAAAACCCACGAGGCACAGAAGTAAGGATTGAACTTGATCTTTTATTTATTTATTTATAAGTTAACTCGTACATTCGATTTAACGCTGTTCCCTGCCACAGAAAAAGGAGACACGATATTAACCGCGAATACGGACAACCAGATGGACGCAGAAAGTGCCGACATGCTGGCAGCCCTTCGCCGACAGATTCAGCCACACCTCATGATGGCAGCCCTCACACCTCCTCGTTTGCCTGGTGCACACCCTCCACCATCTGTGGCGCAGCTCAATTATTCTCTTCCTCTGTCCACCTACATGATGCACGTAAGTACATAAGATGATAATTTATTCGTCCAACGTTTAAATTAACCTCAACGAGCCAAAGCATTCACAGACCTTCAAAAGTGCAAAGTAAAATTCTGTAGTCAGTGCACAGTTTTTGAAATGCTTAATTATTTCTGTGTACTACCTTTTATTATATGAAAAGATTAATTATATTCGAAGTGGTGCCTAACATTTAAATCTTAGCAAAAGGAATTTAGGCATACACAGGGAAGAAAAATGAGGTTAAGCTGTTTGAAGAACGAATGTGTATACAGTGATATACTGATGTATCAGGTGGAATAGTTTTTTCCGTTTGTTTTCGCTTGTGAGTTCTTAAAGTTATGAAGCGCAAAAATAACGTTATCGTGTATTTATGTACAGCACATAAAGACTGAGGGGAGAGAACAACCACACCAGGGCTCGGATGACCCAGAGGCTGGCGAGGAGGGCGACGAAGAGAACGTCTCTGACGTGCCGTTGAATCTGGTGGCGACTTCGCTGTCGGAAGGCGCCCACTGAGGAAGTACCTCGGTACGCATGGAACGACGAATCTCCCTAGACAGAAGAGAAAACCTGTCCGGTGATACACAGGGTGTGGACCACGGAGCGCTCTCTCTCTCTCTCTCTCTCTCTTTCACCTTTTCTCTATCCCACTCTGACCGATCGAGATGTGACAGCACCTCGTTGCTCCGATCAGCCTTTTCTCGCTCTCTGTTCTCGCTTTCTTGGTATTGACGTACACACAGACACGCTCCCTGGACTCGGTCTGGGGAGGCCGCCATGTGGGCTGACTTGTCCCATGTGGGTCCGACTGGCCCGTGGTGCAGAGTGACTAGGAAAGTGATAATATTAGGTCGCCAGTATTACTCAACGTGGTTATATATTCAAATTGTATATATAATAGGCGGTATAACGACGGAGTATATTTTTATACAAAATTTTCTATGACTCGCAGGTTTACGCAGAGAGAGAACACGCACACACGTGCGCGTGCGTGCGTATTTGTACATATATTACTCGTCTTCTGTCCTCCGACTGTTGGCCCCTATGCTCTCCAGCGAGTGGTCGTGGGTCTCGAGGTCTTTCGGTGGGGACAGTGCTCTTACTCGGACGATTCAGCTTAGGTAACATTTATCGAAACACCTCGGTCGGACAAGAGATCCTCGTTTGGGCGGAATAATCGTTCGCAATTATGGGGATCGGCTTCTATGTGACGTGTGGTTTAGTGACATCCAATACGTGGAACGCGATGTGCGCCTGCCATGGGCGTCCTAACCTCGAAACGTCACTTTAGTTTTGGAAGTCAACTTTTTGCGGTTTAAACCTCGATCTAACCTGACTGTTTACATGAGAGATTAATTAATTAACATCGAGAGCAGTGGAGTTTATTGTTAACACTGGATATAAGAGGTTATTTAACCAATAATGACTTATATATGTGTATATATTAATTTTTGGGTACTGAGCGGTACCGAGGAGCATTAAGTCGATAGTGATGGAATAATAATTATGGCTTTTGGATGGTTATTAGCTGCGGTGTCACTGGCTGCACGTTGTTTGGAAGCTCGATAAAATTGCCGATCGGTCGGATTGTCACGTTCTGTTCCATGGGCCCGCAGGTCTGATAGCAGTATACGCCGTTGTCTTTGTGTACGTAACACGTACGTAGGCTTATTATCTAAGGATCCCGTTGTAAAAGGAATGGAAAAGGAGGAGGAGAAATTCCTCACCGGGGGTTTCAAATCGCCTTTTATTTTTTAAGTATCGAGGAATCGACTGAACGAGTTTTTGGCATTACTTGTGGAGGGAGATTCGTACTCTTGGGAGTTTTCGGGTCAAATTCTTTTCTTTTACTATTGTTGGTCTTCTAGTTTCTTTTTCGTAAATGTAACATCAATGTTATTCAACAAAGGCAGCTACGAGAAGCTGGGTCGATCGGTACCTGGCTACGATGTTTGACTCATTGGGCAGTTCCTCCGCAGTTTGCCAACAACTCGTCTCGTCTTAGAATACATATTAAGGGGTCGTTCACACGTTTAAAGAGAAATTAACATTGAGATTATAAATTATTAGATCATTATGCAGGATAAGGACAAAGGAACGCTGACTTGTCAAGGGAATCGAAGGGTACCGGTTGAACAAATCTATTAACGTCGCCTCAGTATTTTGAGAATACTAATGGAATCAGGAAATTCAAGTATTACTCCTCATTAGGAATGACCGTTCTCTCTAAATATTTATCTTAAATATTTTATTGCTGTTTCGTTGCGTGGATGAATTAATCGTAATTAATCCTCGGTATTTACGAGTCCGGAGAAGTATTTTATCGTTTTTACATGGCTCTCTGATTTTATTAATTAGGCTTTAAGTTTTTCTTTCTCTCTTTCTCTCTCTCTCTCTCTATTTTTTTTTTCTTCCAACGTAGTAATATTTAAGCGCGCTAAGGGAAGGCGGACAGTCTCTTCGTTCTCTTTTTAATTTAAAGTTAGAAAAATCCTTCGGTTATACACGATCAATCGATTTCGCGATTACAAAGGCGAAAGGAAAATTAGGGGTAGAAGATTATCCTTATTTTATCATCGCAACGTGGAATGCCGGAATGGTGAACTCTTGTGAACGGCCCCTGAAACCGCAAATACTCTTTCCCGCCTCGTCAATCGAATCTCGGCATTATTATTTACAGATAGTTAATTAACTTAAGGAATCGATGGAAGGAAACGTGACACGTGTGAGTACTGCATCGGCTTAAGGAAGTTTACTTCGGGATCGTCAGGATCGAACGGTCTGGCACCGTCGACGGTACAAATTCAGAAGAGAATTCATTCGATCGTCACAAGAGCATTCTTACCTAATCATTCTTACCAAGAGATATTTTACATTGTCAAGAAATTCTTTCCACTCGTTTCACCTGTTAAGGAAGCCTTCAGTCTCCCATCGAGGCTTGTCGATTAGAGAGACAAAAAAAAAAATGTCACGTTGAGAGTTGGCATTGTGAAATTGACATTGATATGAAAAATTAGATTTGTTTAGAAACTGCTTGTTCAGAAAATACGACGTTTTGAGCTGTACATGTCGAGATCTTTCGGAGATTTTCACCGTCGACGGTAAAAAATTGCGACTGCCCGTTACTGTGACACCTGTACTTAAAATGGTGAGCGATTTTCTAATTGCCGGTTAATCACGGAAGCAATAAGAAACGTGGCGGCGCCCGCGTACTCCACTCGGGTTAAAGAAAACACTCGTAATGGTTCGTAATAATTAATGACTAATAATACTCGTCGGCGAGAACGTCAGGATGTTTTTTTCTTTTTTTTTTCTATGAGAGGCCGATATACATGCACGTGTACGTGTCATGTCGCATGTATACGTGCACGTGTATATACGTATGTATAAACATTGCGAACTTAGATTTAGTTCCAGGCGGCGCGCGTACTTCGACTTAAGGCGATGCAATAGGCCTCGTTTATGAAACTTTTCTCCAAACTGGGTTTACCTAATCGTTTTAAACTTTGCTACGTGAATTCGGAGACTATAAGGAAGGTCCTGACGCGCATGGAATTTCAATTTTTAACGAAATTTGTGTATAGATGTTTCCAAATTTAAAAAAAAAAAATGAAATCTCACGAGGGGCAAGACCTTCCTCCTAGCCTCCGTGTTCACATCGTAAAGTTTGAATGGATTCGGTACACCCGGTTCGGAGAAAAGTATTTCATAGACGAGACACCTCTTCCACATCTCCCTTAACCTGGTTTAACGTAAGAGCGAATCTTGTCACGTGAAATTTAACGTAAGAGCGAATCTTGTCACGTGAAATTTAACGTAAGAGCGAATCTTGTCACGTGAAATTTAACGTAAGAGCGAATCTTCTTACGTGAAATTTAACGTAAGAGCGAATCTTGTCACGTGAAATTGTACGCGCGCCGCGCGGACGTTGCGCATCGCGGACTCACTGGACACCTTAAAGTAGCGACTCTGCCCCGTGAGCGCAGCCAATCAGCGTCCTCCATGGGAACCGGCACACCGGAAAGTCACCGCATTTAGATTGCCTTATGTATCGCGCGCGCCTTGCATATTCCTGGTGACCTAACTCCCCGTATTCTCTAAAGACCTCCGTCGTCGTTTTCTCGTTTACATCGTCGGTGGGTTTCCGTATGTGAGACACCCACGCTACACGATGGGGATTTTAAACTGAGAATGCAGATCATCTCCACGGTCTTCTGGAGCGTGGGCGACAAGAGGCGGAGGGTTTGAAACTTTCTTTTAAAGCGAGATGGTATACTTGCTCTCTTGCCTTGAGACACATTAAGTCGTTTACGCGATGAGAGGCGTCAGGACGCCTTTTCGTTGCCAGGGATACGCCTGACCGGGCGATTATGTCTTGCTTCGACAACGATTATCGCTGACAAGAATTGCCACCTGTCCGCCGTATTATCTCTCGATAGGGTTTCGAGGCTCACCTGGTGGAGGAGCGCGCTCGACAAAGTATTACACAGCCCAGTCCGACTAGCTCGTAACTGCAGCTACGGCCAGTGCATTTACTCGCGTGTACCGTACCTAATGACGTATACCTAATCAACTTTGCCAAAAATAGATTTAGTCGTTGTATAACATAGAGTATAGTTAAGACCGTTAAAAGAAAATTCTCTCTGCGCTCTAGCGTCCCCTCCTTGTCCCTTAGATAATTTTACGCAGCACTCTGAGGCCCCACTCTACCCCCCACGCTGTACCCTTTCCAGTCTTCTACGCTCTAGTATATTTTGTTCTGTGTTTTTTTTTTTATCTCTCATCCCCTTGTTCTCCTTCTTTCTCGCCGAATCACTCGACGGGTGGCAATTCTAACTCCGTCCATGTATACTCTTTGACACCTCTATGGAGCGATTGGCGGCGTTCCCGAAGGCACGTTAAGGCGAGGTAGCGAATTAAGTTCCTGCGGAGAGGCAGGCTTATCAGGATCACCCTGCGAATACTCGAGCGTTAAACCAACCGGACCACTGGTTATACTTATTTCACCTTTGTGGCGAGTTATCTGTCTGTACTTAATGCAAAGATCCAAACCGCTTAGGGGGTAAGCTGTAGCGATGTGGCGAGTTGAATGCTTATCCAACTCGAGTTACTCGAATGTGAGTTTATGAAAAATGCATTTGGCTCGAGACTCTGCCGAGTCTCTTTATTCGAAAGCATTGATAACTCGAGTTACTCGAATGTGAGTTTCTGAAAAATGTATTTGGCTCGAGACTCTGCCGAGTTTCTTTATTCGAAAGCATTGATAACTCGAGTTACTCGAATGTGAGTTTCTAAAAAATGTATTTGGCTCGAGACTCTACCGAGTCTCTTTATTCGAAAGCATTGATAACTCGAGTTACTCGAATGTGAGTTTCTGAAAAATGTATTTGGCTCGAGACTCTACCGAGTTTCTTTATTCGAAAGCATTGCTAACTCGAGTTTGTACTCGAATCGATGACTGGGTGCGGCGAGTAAAATGACTCGATTAGTGATGACTCGAGTCTAAGCGATATAACTAGTAGAGTACTTATCATCGACTCGAGTGAAACGATTTGAATAAAGAGAACAAGGCGCGATTGGTACCTCGGTGTCTCCCTTGGCACTCGTAACTCGCATTCGTTAGTACCAATAACCCGAGTTACAATGTAAAATCCCTCGATTTAACTCGACATTCGGGTTTAACCGGTTAAAAGTACTCGACTCGTCACATTACTAATTAGCTGCGTGCATGACCGTCACTTAGGAACGTCTCTCTATCTCCTTTTCTATGTCGAAACGCCTCTCGGCAGCTCTTTCCAGCCTCGCCTTGACCGTTTAGATATTTACCCAAGGAGCCTTAAAAACTGTTAGAGCTACTCGTATTCGCGGAGGAGACTTCGCGACGTCTCTTGGCTCCGCTCGTCTGAGGGGATGCCCCCCTTCGGCGCCAGGTTGTTCGTTGTGGCCTTCGGCGGCACCCTAGGACGGGCGAGAGCCGCTCGGGGAACGAGTACGGGCCTTAAAAAACGCGTAGACTAGACTCTTAACGAGCACGCACTCGCATACTTAATACACACAAGTACACCGTTACAAATTATTCATTAAGGATTAGCTCTCTGCATACATGTGTATATATACGCGTATAGGTAGGCGTACGTATATGCGTATGTGTATATATATATACTCGACACGGATACCGAATCGCAGGAAGGTCGACTTATTATATCCGGTCTAACGCGGCGTTTCCGGCAATAGCTAACGTTTTTACATACATTTGTTATTAAGAGGTATTTATACACTACGGCGGTCGGATATACGTTAAGACACGGCGATCTGTAACATCCGACACGTGTCCGTTCCGGCGTCGTTCCGACAAAACACTGGGACGTGCGTTTCGATGACATTGTTTATAACATCCGACATTTAATCCGCGTCGACGTGCTTTATCACGACATTGTAATATCCAGGACGTTATGCAGGTTTTATCGGTGTCGGATTGTTCGAATGTTTCCCTCGATGTGCGTGTCCTGTGGTTTTGCCGGACCGGCGCCGGTATGTGCCGGATCCGGCGCCGGTACGTGCCGGATCCGGTACGCATAGGATCGTGTCGGATGGTGCAACTCGAATTTTCATATTGTACCACCGTCCGGCATTGTCGATTGCGATGTCTTGTAATGTCGTTCGGCTTTAGATTCAGTCTCTACGAGCTGGAACGACGATGCAAATGTATTCTTCCGCTTTTGTCGGAACGTTGACGGGACGTTTACCTGCCGTGTCGGGCCGGATAGCGTCGGTCGACACGAAGATGCGCTGATAAGACGGGCCGGAGACGTCTACCCCGTTTGGGGCGATCTTGGGAGTTATTTTACGATTTTACTCTAAGATGATTAAGTTAATCCGTTTATGTCGTCGGGTCGGGGATCTATACGAGTACTGGGTGCCTGTCGGAGTTGACGAGTCTGTCCTGAAAATAGAGTTTTTAGTCCTTTATATTTGGTCGAAGAATATGCTCTTGCCGTTTTTAACGTAACTTAACGTTATTAAAACGGCCGGAACTTATTCCTCGAGCTGATGTCACCCGGGTAATATGACCGAGAGTATCACCAGTGATTATATTCTCCGCGGATTTATGCGCGAAAACGCGTGAAAATTTTAAATTTTATTTCTGAAGGCTTGACCTTTTTGAACGATTAATCGGGTGACCTAACCTCCTAACCTTTTGGGTATCTTGAAATTAATAAGGGGTGGCTACAGAAACCGCGGAAATCGAAAATCATCGAAAATATGAAAGGAAGCATATATTAAAGGGAAGTCAGCTAAAAGGTTCCTCGACTCCGGGAATATTACTTATTGAAAGTATTAAATTATCTTAAATGGAAATTCTTAGAGGGCGCTTAAGTTCTCTTAAATTATCCGGGGATCTTTAAGTTACCGTAACCTCGGTTATATTACTCGGATTTAAATTCTCGAGAGTTTGGAAACGCTACCTGAAAGTATTTTTAATTTCTTGCTCGAGGTGTGAAATTCTCGTGGGGGAATTTCTTTTGGAAGTCGCTATGAAGAAGCATTCGTCTAAGGCGGGCTCCACGGCGAAAGAGATTTTTACAGTATTCGTCGGTATTATATTTTTCGTAACTCCTCGGTTAAATACGCCGATTCGTTGGCTTTTATTCGCAGGCATCTGGGATCGGGTTTGTCGGGATTTTTTTTTACCTTCATGCCTTCTCCGCGTCCACTTCGAGTCGAACCAATTTTACCTTTCTTGAATTACGTTCGCTGTTCTTTTTTTTTTAATTTACGAGATATTGTGTAAACAAATTCTTGCGTTCAGTAGTTATCTTCTGAGTTTTAGTGCCCACGGGTTCGTGGATACCCCGTGTAAGTGAATTACGTGAAAATGTAGGAAGGCATGAAGGTTGTAATCCACGCCCGGGAGGTGCGAGTTGCGCTCCGCCCGTTCGAATCTCCCGCGCGCCAATCGTGTCGCTCCTTCGCGGGGAGTCGTCGAAGCTCGACATGCGCAAGCTCTCTTTCTCCCTTCTTTTATTTCGTTTATTTCCCTTTTTACCGCTACTAGTTTACGATATCCGAGGACAGAGTGAACGTTTCGTAATCGACAGTTAGTTTAACCGGTAGTTGTGACAGCATTTTGTCAGGTCGAGGCGTCCGAAAAGTGTTTGTTTTCCTCCGGATTCATGCTCGCGCTATCTTTCTCTCTCTTTCTCTCGTTATTTTACTCGGTACTTCAGAGCCGGCGTTTGGTTAGTCGTTTCAGACGCGATCTTAACCTCCTTGACTCTGTTCTACCCGTCGTATTAATTTGTTCTCGTTCTCGTCTCCCTTTCTTTTTCTTTTTTTTTTCCTTTGTTTCTTTCTTTAACGTTACTAGGATTTACTTAACTGTACCCGGTATGCTAGGTCTGGAGCTCTCTAATGTCTGAAGCTAATTGGTACGATCGGCTCTTTGTTTTTCTCGTTTCTCATCTATTTTCTTTTGTTTCTTTTTTATTCTTCTCCGTTCCCTTTTGTATCAATTAATTACTATTACATGTAACAGTATCGTCCGATCGATGGAGCAGCGAAGCTCCCACGAGGATATTTACCGAAAGAACACCGAGCTCCAAATTGTTCTAGGACTCGTTTGGGGGTTAACGTCCAAGCGAGATTAGCCTACTGGGTTAAGGAGCATCGCGGTATGGCAGTGTTAGCCGAGGCTTTTATATAGAATTTTTTTATATCAGTATTCCACCTTTGATTTTAGGGCTTAAGTTATGTCTGTCTTATCTCCGTTTCTACGTCGCTCGTCTCTGTCTACGGCGTCCTGTCTCTCTCTGTGTCTCTCTATTTTCGTTCTTCCCTCGTTTCTTTTTATTTTTGTTTTTAATTCATACCACTTAAACGGAAATCCATCCCTTAAGGAACATTTACTTAATTATTAAATTATTTAGTTTTTTACAAGCTATATTTTTACATGCCCTTAGGCTCCCCCTCGTGTTATTTAAGCGCTAACTTATTTCTCCGTGTCTCTTGACCCCATTTTTCTTTCCTCTCGGTCGGTTTGATCATTACGTCGTTCCCTTTTCCTCGACCCATACATTTTTGTATTATTCTAGATGCCGAGTAGCTCTGCGCGTGCGCATCGTTTGTACCGCTGTTTTTTTTTTCCGCATCGCTCTCGCGCTGAAACCGAGTTGTTTATTTATTGCCTGTGCGTTCCAATAGGTTTTTCTGATACTTGATCGATTAATTTGTACTCGTTGATATATGTACTTTCTGCGAGCCAGTGGGAACAACCACGTCGTCCCTTGGTATCGGCTCATGTCTGACAATTTGTTACACCGAGGCGGATGAACCATGCTCGAGAGAGAGATACTTCGGAATTCCTAATTGTTGATTGAGCGATAACATCTTACTAATTGCTAATTTACTATTGACATTAAAACAAGTATCGTACTTATATATTTATATATTGAGTACGCGCAGGCTTTGCTTAGTCCGGGTTACTTAAACATTGGAATCGTTCTGTCCTGTGCAGTGAGATCTCACCTTCCGAACAGTTGAATCGACAGTTTCAGGCTACTGTCCTGCGTATGAGTCTTCCGAGGTGGCGTTATATATAAATATCGACGAAGCAATTGTTTTAATCCATCGTACAGTACAGAGATTATGTCTCTCTCTCTTTCTCCCTCTCTCTTTCTCTTTTTTCGTTTTTAATTTATTATCAAGAGAATGTGATAATCCATGTGTGTGGAAAATTTCAAGCCTTAACAGTGTAATTACATAAGAGTGCCGAAGAGACCATCGGTGTTTTTCTGAAGTTTTTCTAGTGGCAGCCGGTGACACTCGTGGAGTGACAGATATAAGCGCGATTCGGTAGAGATTTGTTCATCGACGGTGACGCGTTAATCTCGCAAGCATCGTTCCGTCCGCCGGCGTGAATATGATTTTTCTGAACCTCCGGATATAATCGACGCTCGTGACCTTGATATATCTGTAATTAATTTGCACCTTGTTAGCCGGTTAACCATACAGGGATGTCTAGGATACGCTCTCTCTGTCGAAGATCCTTAGCAAGTGTTTGGCCGAGCCAGTGGCAGGCACGACAGCCCATGAGGAGGTTCTCACCGCTCCGAAGAACAACCCTTTCGAAACCCCCTTACCCCTGCCCCAACTCACGAGTATTAATCTGAACTAATTGACTGAGTATTATTTTTATATTGAACGTAATTGATAATTATGAATAAAAGTGGATAACTGCGACAGAAGGAGGGAATATTGTACAATCGACACTGTGCGAGAGGGCAGAGCGTAGGGCTGTTCCAAGAATACCTGTAGACCGATGATGATCGGTGATTATGCAGCCTGGTCTGTGCTTCTGTCCTAAACTAAACTAATCGTTACTTAATTATTCACTGTACCAAGTTTATAGACAGTGTTTGTGCTAAAAGTTAAGGTTAAGATAAGAGAAGCACAAACACTGAATTTTTTTTTGTCGTGGACAATTATTTTGGGGTTAGGATGGAAACATTAATCAGGCTTAAATTGGCGAATGTGTAAAGACAACCCTGAGCTTCAGTGAATATTGAAACTTCAGTCAATATCGAGCCTTAATAGTTATCGAAATTAAGTAGAAGTTATCGAATACTGGCGGTGAAGTTTTGATGTCGAACAGCCCTTGCAGAGCCGCAGACGAAAGAGCATCCAGCTCAAAATATTTTCCATTGATCAGTGATCGCGGAGGCATCACTGCCTGTCTGGCTTGCTCTTCGCTCTCTCACTCTTCTCTCCCCACCTGTGTCTTCTTATCCGGCTCTTCTACTTCGTAAGTTGGTTCATGATGTGCATCTGCGACCGGCTGGTTAAACAGTGACAGAACAATTAAATTGAGGGCACATGGGACCGTTGCGTATACTAACTTTTGACCAAGCGCACACTCGTGAATTAGCAATAGCAATAGGCAGGAAGACGAGGGAGGAGCATGCTTTTTGTACCCAGGACTTACGATATAAGTTAGTAGGCCGGGCTAATGGCCAGCAGCTGTTGAGATTATTCATGGTTGTGTGTAATCGTTATAAGTATTTTTCGAATTGTTGAATAGTAGTAATAATATAAGCGGCGAATGTGCAGGTGCAACGTCCTCTTCTTTTTTTTTTCATTCTCTCTGGTGCGTCTCTCTCTCCGTTTTCATGTAGCCTTTCCTTCAAACTCAGTTTTGCGTCATTAGCCAAGAATATCGGTTATAGGCACTCGCCAATGAGCAATCTAATTCGTAGAAAGGTTCTATTGGCTTCTTCGATCATCATATTGTTTTAAAACTATTCTTGAGTCTAACGAACAGAGGAAAGAACGTTACACTATGGACTCGAAGTGACACCATCTGTTTTGCATATGCAGTTTCCAATCACTAGTTGCATTTTATATTCTATCTTGAATTGTTCAGAGAATCCAAATTAGTCGTTGCCAAGAGAAACGTAAATTACCGTTACTTAACTATTTCAATTTAACGTTCACATATTGAATTACCTCAGCTCTTTTGTTCCGGTGACAAAGTATGTCGCACAAGAAGAAAAACACTTATTTTTAACGTAATTATCTTCATACGATAACAGGTCAAGAAGGAATTATCGTTTTTATCAAGTTGTAAACAAGTACCGATATTTTTACTTGGTTTAAATTGCGCACCTTCGAAATTAGTTCCCACTTTGACCGCATCGCACCGTCACATGCGTTCCACGTTTTCCAGAGGGAATTCCGCCATTTTGTTTTCTCGGGAAGTCAATAGAACAACTAACAACGCATTTTCATATCACGTTCGCATCGATTTACTCTCAAAGTACCCTTAAAAGACGCCTGGAATTATTTTCTAACTTCATGGAAAGTCACTTTTCTCGTAGTCACGATATATTCGGATTAAGTACTGCCGAGTTCAGTGCTCGCTTGACTAGCGTAGTTAACGTATCCGCCGCGCGGCGTCGCGCACCTGCATCCGCGAGGGAGGCCGACATTTTGGTTGTGACGCGTGCCGAGATCCGTGCGTGCACGCAGCGAGGCTTCTCCCGAAAAAGGAAATATTTTTCCGGTTTGGCGAAGGTCTAGCCAGTGTATCGTCTTCTAAAGTGTCCAGAGCAAGCTCTGCGGTATGAGCTACGGACGGCCGCCGCCCCGGATCGACGGGATGGTGTCGTTAAAGGTCGACAATCTGACCTACAGAACGACACCGGAGGATCTGCGACGGGTCTTCGAGCGCTGCGGGGAGGTCGGCGACATTTATATACCCCGCGACCGCTTTACTCGCGAGAGCCGAGGCTTTGCATTCGTCAGGTGAGTGTTTTCGTGAGTCCGCGGAAATTCGGGCGAAATTTTCGCCGACTCTTCTGCACCGGGAAGGGCCGGCCCCGTGGGTGGCTTAGCGCGGGCCCGCAACGCGTAACATGGAGCCAATATGGCGGCGCGTAATATGGAGTCAAAATGGCGGCTCGGCTGACGTCAACGCGAGCCGATGGTCGAGAAACTGTCGCCATGCGGAAATTCCAGTGAAAGGCCGACTTAGTTTTATTTCATTTTCCCGATTATTCGTCAAAATGGTATAAGTTATCAGTTCGTTCCTTTTCCTGGGCAGTCTGACCATTATGTATCGGCTTGTATCCTTTGTTATTCGTATTTAAGTAGTATTATTGATAACTTTAGAATTTTATGTAAATTTCTAACTTTCAAAATCTTTAATGGAATCATGGATGAGACGCGTGATTGGTATTCTGTGGTTTTATAACGTGCTTTGCTGCCTTAGATTCTATGACAAGCGCGATGCCGAAGATGCGCTCGACGCTATGGATGGAAGGTTGCTGGACGGCAGGGAGCTGAGAGTACAGATGGCACGGTATGGAAGACCCACTTCCCCTCATCGTAGCCGTGGAAGCCGACGCCGTGGACGGTTCGTATTATCGATTCGAGATATTAGGAGAATGTCGAGTTGGCCCATAAATTCGTGGCACTAAGATATTTAAGATTTTATCGTATTCTTCTCAAACAAGGGATCGAGAAAGTGACAATGTTTGGAATAAATTAAGAATGGCAAAGGAGAGTATGTTGATTGTTGAACTTCGTTATTTAACATTTTCTGAATGTATAAAAAGTTACTTGAACTTGTGGGGTAGCTCTGTAGAAAAAACAAGGAATCAAGTGGAGGTCCGATGATTCGATCAGTGATTTAGATGGAATGTACTTTGCAAAGTATGATTTATTCCATTTCTAACCTTATAATGACCTGACAGATCACGCAGCCGCAGCAGGGATCGACGACGCACACGTTCCAGATCACGATCCAGGTCACGAAGTCACGAGAGGGACCGCAGGCGTTCTTACAGCCGCAGTCGCAGTCGTTCACGTTCTGACAGTAAGAGCTCGAGAGGCAAGTCTCGCTCTCGCAGCAAGTCTCAGGAAAGGCAGAAGGACAGTCGTTCTAAATCAAGGTTAGTAAACTCGAATGCCTTTGACCGATCGATTTAGCTTCGTCTCTTTTTATAATTAAGGCTCGATTATTCTCTGATTACATTGAGTTCTATTATAACATTCCAGGGACTGAGACTAGGTGGTGACTGCGAAGAGAAGCCTGTAAATCAACGCGCACCTGCCCGAGTTGCGAAAGCAGAATGTCGTTCTCGTGTGAAAAAGGTATTCCGCTCTTCTGCTATAATATTAAAGACCATACTTTAGTACGTTCACATCCGACTGTCGTCCAAGTATGTAGGCTAGGGTGACGCGTTGTTCTGGGTTCGGCTCGCGAATCCAATTTCATTTTGAATAACGATTTACGTTTACTCTGCGAACGTTACGTGACGCTTTCTTATTTTTTTTTTCTTTTTTTCTATCCACTTTCCAATTTGCATCGACCAACGAAGTGCCCCATTCGACGAGCGTAAACTGTGCGTCACACATCGCCTTTCCACTTTGAGAAGCTTACTTGCCCTTAAGGCGATCGAAATTAAATTAATAACCCGTTGACTTGCTACGAACTCTTATTACTCATCAGAGAATTTCAATAACTAGAATTTGAGAGTCGGGGCTAACTTGAAATTGGCATAGAGTTTTATGCAATTGTAATTAACACAAGCAGTTGTATTGTCCTAAGTGAATTTTCCTAGACAAGATCCATTGATTGACGGTAACTCTAGGTATGGAATCCTACCGTATGAAATTTTGAAAATGGATCGAGTTAAGCAACTATGGTCATTCGGACAATTTTCTCTTTAGAATGTTTCTCGGTTCTGACCTGTTTGGTGACAGCTGATCCATGTCACGACTACTGCTTAATAATGTCAGGATGATTTATGATTTTAAAGAAATTTAAACTGTTAATGAACTGACGAGCACTATTCGGGAGTAGGCATTTTAGAAATAATACAGATTCTGTGAGAGACAATGTGTGACGCCTTCGGTGCACCCTGTAAAACGTGTAACGGTCACGAGGAGGCACTTTGGCCCCCGGTGTGCCTCGCTGCGCAGGTTCTATCGTCACTTGTTTATTTCTATTAAGCTTTTCGCAGCCACGAGCAACCCCCTTAAACTAGACTCGTATTATGTAACGAACCCTAGACATAAGTTACGTGCTTCTGTAACGGCATTTGCAGGTTCACTTGTGTGTAAGTTTTCCAATTAAAAATAAAGTGTAACAACGTATTGCGGCAGCCATGAACGCTTAGAGAGAAACGAAAAGATATGATAACGAATACTAGGGGAAAACCACTCGATGGCGGTTCGCGTTACGTACAACCGTGGTACTTAGCATTAAATTCTGTGTCTACGAATTTCTCTCTTGGGAATCGATTGGCTCAAAATTGGATTAGCTATTAAAATGTCACCGAGAGATTTCTGAACACCACCACAAAGTGTCCTCTCTCTGTTAAGATAACTACTGAAAATTCTGTCAAAATATTGGAGTGCAATAAAAGAAACTTGTGTAATTGTTCAAGTTCAATTGGTTACACCGAGACGATACGTCTTGTTGACTAGGAAAGTGGTCTTTAGAAATGTCTTGTCCTTGCTAATGTCGGAATATCCAGGACACAAGAGTGTCCACGTGACAGATATATGCCGTATTCAACTGCATGTGCTTCAGCACTACCATATATAGAAGTCTCCTCGGTCTGCCCTCCGTTGCGATGCGTAATAACAGTTACACTATTTGCCGAGTACTGTTCTATGGTGCATCATAAGCACCCGATATATATCCTCCCAATTGCAGCGAACCCCTTGGTACTGTGCTTGCTTCATATATACCATTCCATCGTAGAGACCTGTCACCTTACGAGCAACGTTATCCTTCCTGCAATCCTAATCTCCAAACGGACACTCGAACAATTCATTTTTCCTTACCATCGATAATGCTTTTGTATGACGTTTAAGGTTGTCAAAATTGATAATTCTTACATGGGATTAGGAAACTTGAATGAGTCTAAATTATTCATTAAACCAGTGTTTGGTTAAAGCTGTCGAATGTCTCCGACTTGTGACGAGGCGTCTCTGGGACCAAAAGTGAGACGTCCAAGGGAATGTTCCCTTCTTGAGGATGCTTCGACCCAGCGAATAACAGATTAAATCTGGCTAATGCTTCCATCTTAATGCATTAATTGTTCACAGTGAGGAATTCATAGGTAGCGTTTATACTTTCCTTTTCTTAACCCTTAAACTTTGTCATAAGGAAAGTATTAGCTCAAGGAATAACATCCCGCCGTTTTTAACGTAACGCGACGTAATTAAAACGGCAGGAACTAATTCCTCAACCCAATATAAACGCTTCCTATGAATTGTACACTATACAATTTTGAGGCTAGAACGGAAGCATGAACCAGACCTCGAAGCATCTTCACGGAGGCTGTCATTAATCCCGAAAACTTTCGTGGATATGACAGCTCGCTGTCACTAGAAACGGTGAGAATCAACGGTTCTCTTCCTTCCACCTCGCTTCCGCATAACCGCCTAAATTCTCACATTGGTTAAAAAAGAAATTATTCCCCTCGTTACTTCGACCTCTTTTTGAGATCGTTCAAGAAATCACTGGAAGATGGTCGAAGTATTGAGTTGGCTAAAAAGTTTTGCGACACAATTTCGATTACGTTTTAAGTGTCGCGGGACTTTTTAGTCGGAGGACGATTCCTTTTTAACGTTTCGAGTCACGGGCCAATCAGTGAGGAGCTCCGAGAGCAGGAGCCAATCGGCGAAGAGCTCCGAGAGACCGGCTCGTCGCTGATTGGTCGAGAGCGCGGCTCGTCGCTGATTAGTCGAGAGCGCATCGACGGCAGGGATGGGCAGGATTTAAATCCATTAAAAATTAGATTACGCATTTAAATCGGAAAATACCCTCGAATCATGTAATTAAGAGAAATCGGATTACCTTGCTAGTTTGCAAGTGAATAGGTATAGATAGCCAACTACACGTTCAATCAGCGACCGAAAAGGAAATGAATGATTAAAATCCCGTACTGAGCGTGGAACTGGTTCAGGCCCGAATCCGCAACTCAAATTACCCGAAGTTTAACTGGGGCCCAGCAGATTGAACCAGATGTAAACCAGTTAAACTTCGGTTAACTTGGGTTCCGGTCTTAGAAACGGTACTTTTTCCAAGGACCTTTGTTATTATATTCGAAGTATAAAGCGCAACCCCCAACAGCCTTGCGTACACAGATTAGATCAAGGCGCGATTCCCCGATAGATTACAAGTTGAACGTGTTAATGGTTATCGATTTCCTTTAAAGGAGAACCCGATTTTCTGTTGATTACATGTCGAGAATGTGCCCGATGTTTAAAAAATATATCGGTAATTCGGAATTTATGCCCATCCCTCGTCGGCGTTTCAAGATGGCGGCGGCGTCCCGGTAGAGAGCGGCCGCATATAGACACACCCCGCGCGACACATTAGACACGGATATCCGCGCACTCGCGGCCGTGATGGTTCACGTACATAACTAAATTCTGATTTTATGGTGCCACAGGCGGTGTAAAGGAGTGGCGCGGCGAGTGTAGCCGATGATGGGGTGTAGCTGAGAGTAAGCAGTAAGCCGAGTAGCGGTGCTGTATGCAGGTTGCAGTAGCGAGCGGTTCGCGGTCTGGTGAGAGCGGGGGAGAGAGCGAGAGAGAGAGAGAAAGGGGAACCGGGTTCGCGGTCGGGTGAAGGGAGCGAGTGAGAAAGGACGAGGTCCGCGGCGGTCACGTGGTACGGTCACGTGGTTCCGGGGGTAGCTGAGAGAGCAGTCTTCGGCCACGCGCGGTCGGCGCTGGTCGTCCGAGAGGTACGGTGGTGTCACGCAGCCCGCAGCCCCCGGAAGACTGACCTTCCCAGGGAATCGGTGACGAGGTGAGGACACGACCGTGAGGAGCGACGACCACGCACGGATCCATCTTCCGCAGTGGTTGGAACCTCATCGTGTGGTCGTGATTCGCTGCCTCTACCACTTGACCAGTCTGTGTGTGGGGGTACGCAGAGCAAGGGGTGCATTTTGGAGGTACGGTAGGCACAACTGGTGGCACCGAACGGTGCACTCATTTCATGTGAGGTTGGTAGGTTGGAGGGAACGGTTCGCTACGGTGCTGTGGAGGTTATGAACGGTCGTGAGGGAACAAATTATTCATGGATTAGGAGTCAACGAAGGCGAACGATGGGAGATACTTATAATATGTTGGAGGCAGGTGGATGTTTAGAATCGTGGGGTGGGGGCGATTAGGAACGGTTACGAAGGACTAAATTATTGACTGTTTAGGGATTAACAAAGGAGGAGTGTAGGCAAAATTTATATTTTTGGGGTCTCGGAAAGCTCTACGATGCAGATTTCCTTAATGTGAGATTGGTTGGATTATTGTTAGCTGCTGTGAAATTGGTAATGCCAAGTTTCGTGGGATGGGAACGATGAATTGGGTTTCTCGTTGGATAGGTTTGCTTGTAAAAAGAGGACGGTACAGGTTGGGTGGTTGTGGCAAATTTAGTAAATGTAAATTTAAATGTTTCAAAGGTGGGTATGAATCGAAGCAATTGTACCGTGATTTGCAGCCGGTGTTGCACTCTCTCTCGCAGTTTAATAGAGAAGGGATGATCGTCAATTCAGCACCGACTAAAGTTTCGCAGTTGGGGATTCTGACAGGTTATTTGTGAGTCTTGGGTAGAACAGACCTTTATCATGTCAGTTTTTAGCAGCTTTTTTCCAGCTTGAGTGTCGAAACGGCGAAGAGGTGACACCGACAAGCCAAAATATTACTTCCGGTCTCTAGGATCCTTCGATTGCAACTGAAAGTCACTCCACTGTTCCGTAAGTATAAATGTGACATTGCTATCTACTTGTACAGGTGAAATGTATGTAATTCTGTAATGAAATAAAGTTAAACCCATCTGAATAAAATCAATTTCCTGATAGGAGCCCGAGATGCGTCGTGATTTTCTGTCGAGATGAGAAAATAAATACTTTATCAAATACTTTGCGACTCTGATCTGATGTTTTATATGCGTTATCCTCAGATTCCATTTAATATGTCAGTCAACTTAATTGTATATTCCCATGTAATATTTTATTCTCGGGGTGATCAGTGCTTTTTATTATTTATTTCTGAGTGTTTCATCTCATTAGTATCGTTTCTAATTATATAACAATTATATTAAAAGGATTAATCTTTGGAGTATGGTTTTTATGATTTGTGGATAATTGAAGAGGATCCTCGTAATTGTCGATAATCGAAAACTCGAAAAGGTTATCAATCGAAAAACGAGTGTAGTTCATATTTAGGGGAAGACATCCTAGATGGCGCGACGTTCGAGCTCTTTGATTGGTCCATTCCATTAAATCCGACCAATGGCGGGCGTTTCGATCGTCCTCTGTCCTATCGAGTGCACAATACTCGTGTTTTTCGCATTACTCGGTATCTGCGAAAGTGTATAAAAAAATATTGCGCGACTAGCTGTAATCTTTTACCCAGTGAGTATCTCTTGCTTGTAAAAGCTGTGAAATAGTTGGAAACGTGTAATTTTCACGGACTCAAACGGCCCGCGGATGCGCAAACGAGTCTGCGCAGGCAGATCCGTAATGGCCGCCGTCCGCAGTTGACGGAAACTTCGGAGCTGCGCATCGCTCCAGATTCCGCGTAGGTAATTCCTAACCGAACACGACCCGCGACCCCATCCGACGATATAGAAAGCTCTCCCAGTTCCCGCGGTGAAGAAACCTATTCTGTTTTTGCGGACCTCACGTCCACCGTCAACCGAACATGCCTCGCGGTAAGACATGCTTCCTACACCGTTTTTCATATACTTTGCTTCACGGTTCTCGGCGAGGATCCTTCTTTGGCTGTCCATTTTCTCGAATACTGCCTTTACGAGCACGTTTCATGGCTGTTGCAACGTTGTGTCTTCTGTAGGAAGGTATGTCAACCACAAGGGACGCAATCGTCACTTCACCAACCCGGAGGAGCTGGAGGAACAACGGCGCCAGGAAGAGGAGCGTAAGCAGTGGAGAGTACGTAGGGTTAGGGATGTAGCGGAAGGCCTTGCTCCGCATTGTGGATGTATATCTCACTGCTTGTATTTTATCTGACCACTGCGTGCATACGAATGTCACGGACGTAGGATATATACACTATGCAGGCCGATTTGACTGAAGGCTGCTACATTGAGAGGCAAAAAACAAGAGACGCTCACTTTCTCTCTTTTTTTTTATGCGGATTTTCCATGGAACGGTTGTGCGGTACAAGGTGGTGGCGCGCTATTTAATAGCAAGGGAATATAGAGAGAGAAGGAGAGAGGCAAGGTTGTCACTTGTTCACTTTTATTCTCATTACTGTCATAAGAACATTGATGAAGTGATTGGGTGTGCTGTGTTCGTACATCCTATGTCCATGACAAATATAGGCTAGCTGTGAATTCCTCAGTGTCTTATCTTTTATTAGAAATCGAAAGGCGAGGAAGATTCCTCGGACGAAGACGAAGAGGTGACCAAAGGTGCCAAGGGCGACAAAGCCTCGAAACATGACGATTCGGATTCGGACAGTGATAGCGATTCGGACTCTGACTCTGAATCGGAAACGGAGGTACTTTGATGCCCGATCGAGCATTCATTTCCTTTATTTAATGATTCATAGATTTCCTCTCCTACTTTATATATGATTCACCGTGATAACTGTCTTGTTCACTTTAGGGAAAAGCAAAAGGAGTGGAGAACCTGATAGAGGTGGAAAATCCCAACAGAGTACAGAAGAAAGTCAAGAAACTATCCCAGCTGAACGCATCGGTAGAGAAAGTGTCGAAGCCAGAGCTGTCTCGGAGAGAGAAGTGAGTAGATACGTAAGATGTCTCAAACGATGTCTCTTCTCAATTGTTTACGACATATTAACCCTCACACCTTCTCTTTGGTTCCATTAATACTCATGGGCCCAATCGGTGGCAGTAAACGACGTAAAAACTGGGGAGAAGTTGTGCTTTAACGAGTAAAAATGTTTCTAATTGAATTTCAGAGAGCAATTGGATAAGCAGAGGGCACACGTAAACTATATGAAGCTCCACGCAGCGGGGAAGACCGACGAGGCCCGCGCCGACTTGGCTCGGCTAGCGATAATTAAGCAACACCGAGAGGAGGCAGCCAAGCAACGGGAGGATGCCAAGAAACAGAGAGAGCTCGCCCACCAGAAGAAGACGGAGCTGACGAACAAGGCGCTGGGCAAGCGCACCTAGGCTGATCCAGGACCCTCCGAGAGCGAGAATTCACGATCCTGAGTCCTCTACGATGGGTCATTTATCTCGTGGTGCGCTCTGTTACGATCTAATCGCTGACTTTTAGTACATTTACACGTGTTACTTTACACCGGTGTTATAACCTATCGGTGTTAACTCACTACATTTACACAAGCTAAGTTAAACCGGTTTTAAAACCACCGATGTTACAATTACTGTTGTTAACCGTATAAACACCATTTTACTCCAATTTTATCGGTAAAAGCCGGCGTTTATACGGCACTTAACAGCAGTAATTATCAAGTTTAGTACGTTTACACATTTTATCTTGCACCGGTTTTATAACGACTGGGGTTAAGCGCAGTTTAAACGCCGGTCTTACTGTGTAATCGGTGTAAAACGGCGTTTACACCACGCTTAACATTGGTTATTAAATCGGTGCAAAATAGCGCGTGTAAATCTACTGATCGGTAGTTATAAAACCGGTGTAAGGTGGGACGTGTGAACGCCGTTTTATATCGGTTTTATCGCTGTTGCGTGACGTTTAACACCAGTAATTATAAAACCGTCGTGAGGTAGGACGTGTAAACGTACTATCCGTTTCCTGTCGAGTGGTCATCACGTGGCGAGCAGTCGTGGGAACGTGAAAATTCGGCGCATCACCGAAGTGGACACGCCGATCGACTCGGAAGGCGTCTCAGCGAATTACATTTGACGGTCCTGCATCGGAATGATGTGCTCTTGGCATTGTTCTGGTCCTTCGGAAGGGGAATCAGCTCTGCCTGCGCCATGGCCGTATCGTTCCGCTTTAGGGCGGTCTAGTTAAATTCGCTACTGCAATTATACGCACGCATCAGGTGTTAGGGAAATTCTTGTTGCATGTCGGAGCGCGTGCCTTTGGCGAGCGCTCTCACGTATCGGATTATGTATAGATTGTCACGGTTCGTGCGCAATTAATAAATCTCTTTTTCAAGTAAGAGCCGCAGCCTGGAGTGAACCTGCTATAGCTTCGCCTCGAAGCGTTTCATTGCTATTTTTCGAGGATTTTTCGGAGTATTAATACGTTTCCACCGGCACCTTAAATACCAGATTTATTCCCGGTTCCGTAATTCAAGTTAAACTGCGGTTAATTTTTTTATGCCTCGTTTAAACCTGCTTTAAATCACTTGAACTTCGGTTAACTAGGTTAACTGAATGACCACGTCTGCAGCGCACACCTAAACCCCAGATTTATCAGGTCCGGATTAAGTAAATCGCATGTCTCCATCGCCTTAATAAATACGCAGATTCGAGGTTTAACTGGTTTACACCCGGTTTCAATCTGCCTAAAGAAGTTCTCCATATTTATTAATCCGGCATTTCGGTGTCGGTAGAAACGTAATGAATCACTTCAATTATGACCGGTTCATATAAGATATTGTATAAACCGGCCATTACATAATATATATATATATATATATATATAGAAAAACAGCTGTTGGCCCGGCCGGCCGATTGGTAAATAAAAACTCGAATTCTTGGGAGAGAATATGATTTTGGTCTCTTTATAATATTCATCGTCGAACCCCTATATCGGTATCACTTACAATTAATAAACCTGATATAAATATATCCTGTGCCGCGTTTTGTACTCGTAAATATTATTCCTTTGAGTTTTGTCTCTGTCCTCGAGAAATCCGCCTCGCCTTTGTCCCTCTCGGGACCCGGCGATTTAATTTTTCCATTAGCGCGACGCTTCTCTTTTAGCTCGCCTTTAAACATTCGCGCACCCCTCTTTTTCCGCACAATATACAGAAATAGTTGTAATAATCGGCTAAACGAGGTGTACATTCAACGTTGTTTAAGCTTAAATAAATTAAAACGGTAATATCACACTTATACGGATGACCAAAGTCAAAATCCTAGATTCGAAGACCGCAGCTCCATCGGAGCAAACAGTCCAGAGACTGGTGGCCACTAGTTCCTCTAATTTCAATTCTAATACGCGAAGACTCACTTTAACCCTTACACTTTGCTCACTGGAGTATTATAAAAAGAGATGTCAGTAAATTTCTAAGCGGTTAAGTAGTGGGAGTAATTTTTGCCACCGATCCCTGGACAGATCGGCCTGGCTCTCTCCGATTCTTAGAGGCCCATCGAAGACTCCGAGGCCCACGGATGACCACAGACAGGTCCTTAGTTGAATTGCACAAGCAATTTTACACTTTCTTAATTGCAAAAAGTCGCTCAAGCCGATACACGGTATGGATTAATTGTAATCTGAATGTTTGGGATCCAGGGTGTCGAGCCTCCGATGAGCTCTAGGTATCTCTCGGAGTGGAATTAATTCTTGGAGCAATTAATGGTCGCCTCTGGTGTCCGCGATGAGCACCCTGGCGATTTGGCACAAATGTTACGATGCTCCCTCGTGAATTTTTGGTTTCGGTAGGTGGCTGGGCGATGCACTCGCAGTGAGGATTTGGAGGTTAGGCCTCGGAGCCTGGCTCTCCGCAAGTGGACTACACTGTCAAGAGTAAAGTTTAATCAAAATTCGGTTAAAATGACAACTATGGCGCGATCTACGACTTAATATAACATTTTTTCAAGGGTATCTTAACACGCAACGGAATAGTTGAAGCTAAAACAACCCGTACCTGTCAAATTGTCATGTCTCCGGAAGATCAGAAAATGTTTCGTAATTAGTTTTCCAACGAAGACGCTTCTCACAAGTCCTAAGAGTATTCCGAGTTACGTTCTTCACGGGTTTGTAATATCAAAAGGTACAAATTTCGTGTCGGAGCGTCTTCGGAAGGTTGGGAACTTCGAGATAACCTCGAAATAGATTAAACTACTTATTACAGTCCCAGACGGTATTTTGAATTTTTTTGGATTTCTAGAGTACCAGGCTCCGAGAGGCAGTCAGTAATGAACTTTGCAAGCGATTCATCGATTCGCTATCTTTCCAGAACTATGACATCGCTGTCTGATTCTCTAACAATGGGTTGAAATGGCCTTTGCTCCTGAAATGTTTTACCATATGGCTCTAAAACACTATCTCCTAGCTCATAATTCCCTATGTACACTCGGTTCGAGTCTCACTTGCAAACTTCATGCAGTGCCTCGTTAAATACGGGTAAAAATTTAAAATCGAGTCTCCTCAATTGGGATGCATCGATACTATAACTGCTGCGAATAAAACTAACAATGAAACTCCTGAATAAGGATGGCAAAAGGATGTCTCCTCCTCGCAGTGACTAGAATAGAGACGAACAGTGCGTGACCCTCCGTCACTGTGCAGTGTTCACTTATAGCTACCATTAGGCATCCCGACTGGATTATCTTACAATTAATTATATTACTTGAGATCCTGGATAGCAGTTCTTTAGATTCGTTAATCGTTACTGTCGCATAACAAGGTATAACTCTTGGGAAAACTTCACTAGTTCCACTAACACTGTCACTCAATGCAATAACTCTACAGTTTCGTAGCATGGGTTACAGAATATTCTGTAAGGGAAACCGAGGATTTCTTGCCTGTGAAGAACATTGTGGATGTTTCTTGATACAAATTATTTTAACAGCACTGTCGTTGGTTCCTTGACATAGAGGAAAGCTTCTCTTGAACATATAAAAGGTAATCACTATCGGTGAGGGGCTTGTTGAATGCTTCGGCGAGGACTCGCTATCCAGGATATCGCTGTCTGCATTACTGGGAGTACGAGTTTCGAATCACGTTTACTGGAGTACATTAAACTGGTGGTACTTAACGGGTACGACGTATTCGAAATAGAAGAATATAGGCTAGAAGCTAATCAACAATTTTCTCTTTCCTCTCACTCGTTCTTTTTCTCTATTCCTCGTCGAACTATATCACGGACATGGCACTCAGTCATGATGCTTACGTTTAATTTCACATCCTTCATCTAAATATCCAAACTCCTGATAGAACAAGGGCATGCAGAAATTTCCACAGCGGTTCTAAAACCCTGTGCAGAAGTTTGCACGTAGTGCTCCGATACCTCTGTAAAAAAGACTCATGCTCCACAAGACCGAGGATGTAACCTCACCACAGAGATACTTTCAGTGCTTGTTTTTGGAATCGGAAATTTAATTCTTCGCATATCTCACACGACATCATGTTGTATAAAATACTCATCGTCCCCAAATTTGAAAATTTCATTAAAGCAGAAGAAATCAGTAGAATGACATTTGCTCTTTTGTTTGCTTCTCCCGCATCGCCGTTTGATTAATTTCTCGAACTTCTAGATTGAATATTAATAGATCTCAGAGGACTCTGCCATTTCCACGTGATTCGATAATTTACATGCTCTCTATTTCTTTAGTGAGTTATTCCTGCTGTACTAGAAACAAAAGTATATTTCCTTGAGTCTATGATGGAGATTTGATTTCCTTTTTGTCTTAAGTATCGGTTGGAAGTAAACAAATTTGTTCAGATGCATTAGATGAATTTACATCAGAGATTCAAGGGTTTCCAAATGTGATGCTCATCAAGACTTCGGTCTCATATCAGATTGTACGTCTGCAGCGATGTGGAAGAGATCTATGGAGTAATTTCTAACGTACCCAGTATTTCCTCTTTCCTCAGAGTGACCGAACTTCTCTATAACATCACTTCGATGCGTCGGAGTTCCAAAGAGTTCATCTCTGTTTGATGTAAAGACTAATGCCGCCTCCTCTCTTAAACTACTCTTCTACTAAGTGTGCAATGACTTCTCCAATACTTGCTGAGAAAGCATTCTCCAACCTGCAGACACCCGTTTTCACTTTCGTAACCTTCTGTTCAGAAGGATTCTAGATCGAATGGAAGAACGTACACAATATTGTACGTGGGCAGCTTTGCTTAACATGACTCGTGTGCGACAACTCTGCAACTCTTGAATTGTATGCCAACAGCGCTACAAATTGTGGAATGTGATTAACATCGAATCCAGTTGACAGCCACCGTTAACCTCACTCTTGGTACTTCACATCACTTTCCAAGATGTTATTTCTCTCGACACACCCAATGGTGACTTTCGAGGTTATGAAGCACTCCAATTTCACTTCCCTTTTCCAGACATAACTGGAAATTCCACCAATTCCCATGATCTTGATTTTTCTCTTCAATAATACCCGGAGTAATGATGGTAACCAGGCCTTGGAGGATGGTACGGAGCAGGGCTAACTGGATAAGTGGGGTTATATGCTGGCAGCGGAGGTGGCGGAGAAAGCATCCTCCCTTCGACAGTCTCTGACACGCCACGAGGAGTCACAGAGCCAGGAGGCTGTGGACTGGCAACAATCCTCCCTCCGGAAGCCCCATGGAGATGATGGTGAGACCTGGACAAGCTCAAGTCGACGCTATGTCTGCCACCTGGAGTAAGATCCAAACTCACAACACGTAGCACATCACTATGAGGGTATGGAGGTGGTGGCGGAGGAGGTGGCGGTGGTGGTGGAGACATCGAGTACCCTCCAGTCCTGCTGAGATCGACACTCTGCCTGTCTCCGATGTCATAGAGATGGTGATGATGGTACCTAGTATTTTGTACCTGTGCTCCGAACCCATGGTGGAACCCCCTAGCAGACATATCCAGGCCCTGCAGTTCTCCTCCATTAAGAACCAAAGGTTCAAAACCACCTCTCTCCCTCGCAAACTCTGACTCCAGGGGGTCATATTTGTACGAGGTCGACAGGTCCAGCTGAAGAGACTTTTCCTTGACGGAGAGGCTCAGGTTCTGAGCAACCGAGTCACCCTCGTCGCTTGACAGATTCTCTGCGGACACTTGATGATGGTGGTGAACTTCTTGGTACCTAGGATTCGGAGTAACTGAGGGAGACACAAGATCATCCTGCTGAACGTGGATATAACCTGGAGAGGAAACCCTGGGAAGGTCTTCGTGGTGGAGGTATTGTTCGATACCATGACTCCTGGACACACTCATATAGTCAACAGGCCTGTGAAGGTGATAATCCACGTGAAGGTGGCTCGGAGGAGTGTGTCTGCCCTCTGGAGTGCCAGCAGGCGCTGGCGAGATCAATTCGTCCTGGTGCATGTAGGATTCCAGGTGTGACTCAGGAGACCTCTGCTGCATCGGAGATTGCAACTGGCTGGATATGCTGGAGTACAGGTTAGGTTCTCTGTCACCATCCTCTAACATGGGACTGGAGACAGCCCCGATGTCCCTCTCTGCTGCATCCAAGGCAGCTTCCACTAGAAGGCTCGCATTCGAACTCTCAGTCCTCCGATACACACTCATCCCAAGTTTACTCTCATCAATGAGGCCCCTGCCACCTACGGAAACCTCCTTCTCCTCATCTTGTTCCTCTTTCCGGCTTTCCTCGAACTCGTAGACGTCTCCTGCACTAGCTGGGCCTCCGATCTGTCCTCCGGAGAGCTCAACAGAACCTGGCGGTGGATTGAATTCGCCCATCCATTTTTTACTTCCTTTGCTTTGAAGCCTGGAGGCTGCGTAGAGGTCTGCTTCGCTGCGTACTGGCTCCATTGCACTTTCTAGGCTACTTGATATTGACACCACTGGTTGTTGCTGTTGTTGCTGTTGTGGAGGTTGCTGGGGAGGTAGAAGTGGAGGAGGAGGTGGACTGTCTCGAGGCTGCTTTAACTTCCCAGGGATTCCAACTTGTAGGTCCAGTGATGCACTGCGGATTCTACTTGTAGAATCCTCTTTCGGACTGTGCTCCGAGCTGCAGTCATCCAGTGACAACAAACTGTTACTGTTCTCCTGCTATTATAAAAAAATAAGTTTTATCAACATGATCTCTCATGGAGTATTATTAAAGAATTCTCATAAAGATAATTATATCACCTGGGAGTTCCTTCGACTCAGTCTAGGCGTCTTCCCCCTCCCGACATCCTCGACCAGGCCTCCACTGTATGCATCGAAGGTGTATGCTACCGATCTCTCAATTTTGGGCATCATCTCCTCGGTCAATCCATGTACTTTCTTGTAATGGAATTGCAGGCACTGTTTAGTGGTGAACGCGGCTTTGCAGCCGTTTTCTTTGCACCTAAATTTCCGGGAGGATGTTGGGATTGATAATCAAACTTAACCTCTCTTCTTATCAGCAGAATTCTATATACTCACTTGAAAGGCTTTACTCCGCTATGCGTAAGCATGTGTATCTTCAGATTGCTCTTATTCTGAAACATTTTCCCACACCGGTCGCAGGTCGCAGCCCCGACGACGTCTTTATGATGGACCTCCTTCATGTGACGCTGCAGAGCTGCACGAGAACCAAGGAGTTTCAAACAAAGTTTACACTGAAACTCGCGCAGTACCTCCGACATATCTGCAACACCATTTGAACCTATCGTTTAACATTAAACTCGGATAGTCCCATTGGCGTCGAGTAAACGGTACTATCGATAAATCCTATCAGCCCTCCCACACAGAGTCATTCCCCTAATGTAACCCTTCGTCGAGTCATTTGAACAGCATAATCGCATTTAACGAGCTCTCACCGCTGTGCATTCTCTTGATGTGCACTTTGAGCTTCTGCGGCTGGCAGAATTTCCTTCCGCAGAAGTCGCAGAGAGGCCTGGACCTCTGAGGATTCTGGGAGCAGCCATAAGTCCGGTGCATCTCAAGGTAGTTCAGTCTTAGGAAAAACTTTTTACAATACTGGCACTGATAGGCCCCCCGGCCTGCATGGAGCTCCGCAGCATGTTTCATGATGTTATCCTTGCCTAAAACAGCGGCCCCACAGACCTAAAAATATGTATGACACATTTATTTTGACAGTTCCAGGCACGTGTTGATTTATTAAGTTAGGTTAGGGACATCTTAATCTTAATTTTTTACCCCCGTCACATAATACTCGACAGATCTGAAAACACGTTACCTTGCAGTGATATTTCCTGATAGTTAAACTGTAGTTAGTGTCGTGGAAGATGCAGCAGTGGAGACGATAATAAATTGGGTGAGAGAAGTTCAGGTTGCAGCCTCCGCAGTCTAGAATTTCGTGAGGGTTAGTAACAGGAGAGCAGAGGGCGAAGAGGGGTTAATGGAGGAAAGAGATTAGGGTGAAACGCACTGGTTTTGTCTATCTTGTTTTTCCTGGTCCAAGCGGAAGACTGTGAATCTGCCCAGTACGTCAGCTCCATTCCAGAGGAGATATTCTGCGTTGTGACGAGATGCAGCTCTCCGTGTCGAGTGACAACCGCCACACTACGCTCCTCCTTCGAGTCAGCCGGCCTCATGTAACGAATCCAGTTGCTCTTCAGTGGATCCGTAGTGCTTACATAGGAAGTCTTTCCATTGTTGTCTACCTGAAAATTATAGTTAACTCCAATTATTTTCAATGCCAGGATTTCGAATAATAAATTGATTTAATTTTGGTATTCGAAGGCCTAGGATTTACTTCCTAGAATTTACCTCCCAGATGTGCCGCATGGAAAAGTCATCCGGGATGTCCATTTCCCGGACAGGTCTGCCAACCAGTGGTCCAAGTTTTGCATACATCGGCACAGGATTCTTTGCATAGATCCCCAGTCCATGATCTGCATTTGTGGTTCTTAGTTCGAAGCACTCTGGCAGGGATTCCCTTGCATAGAGGGGTCTGTCGGCGTCAACGATCAGCTGTTTTTCTTCACTTTCCACTTTAACCTTCGGCTTATACTGCTCGACAGCCAGAGAGTCTTCATCGGACTCGAAACCATCCTCGGGAGGCCTGCCATAGCCCTCCGACATGGGATCGTCACTTCCAATGACCTTCGTCACTTCTGGGTTCTCCTGGTGCCTTGACAGCCAGTCTTCATAACTCAACGAGTCTGGAACGGCGTACAGGGGTATCATTAGAGGACAAGCATCCTGTAGATGACGACTGTTGCAATCTTGACAGAGCTTTATCTTAATGGCCACTCTTTGGGGCTCCAAAAGAGCTCCGTCCAATGTGGCCTCTGGTCTAGGGTTTTCCGATGGCTGGATAGTAGAGTTTGCTGTACAAATAACAGAAAGTAAAATCTCAGAAAAGAGGTCAAGCTCGAACAATTTGGTCCTGAAGATTTGAAATTTAATTTTAATGTTACCTCCATTTTGTGGGCCATCGTTCGTTTGACAGGACTCACGGACCTCCTCTTGCACGACGATGCCATCCTGTGGAGCCTTCCTAACATCGTGATGCTTCCTAGCCTTATGATCTCCTGTATGCCTGTGCTTCCTCCTTCGATGTTTGTGGACTCCATCGTCGGAATGACCTTCCGGGGAGTCTCCGACGCCTCCTAATTCTCCGTCTGTCTCGTACTTTGGTCTTCGTCTCTTTTTCTTTGCTTTACGCTCATCGGGCTCTTTCGAAACATGAAGCTCTTCTTGAGGACGTGCCATTAAACTGACAGTTGCCAAGGGCGCGTCTTCATCTCTTGACTCTTCGAGAGATATTTCGTTCTGTCTAGTATAGTTCTCGGTAAGTGGAAAGGAAGCTGTTAAAATCACTTTCTCCTCTTCGATTAGATCATCCGGAGCTTCGTTACACTTTGGGCTCCTAGCCAGGCAAGCAGTTGCTTCCTCTCCGGTAGAGTCCTTCGATCTACGAGAGTGAATGAAAGCAAAATCAGGCAAAATGTAGTAAGCGTCATAAATTAAGAAAGAGATTGCGTACCCAGCTCGTAGACTCTCCCTGGGAGGACTCGTCTTTCTTTCAATAGCATTGAAGCTTTCCGACAAGGCTTCTCTACCTGCCTTATCATTGTCTGCTTCCTCTGCACACCGCACGCTATCTGGTTCTTCAGTTTTAAGGGCGACCGGTTCCACAGCATGTGCGGAGCCCTGAAATGCACTCAGTACAAGATTAGATTTCTTTTCCACATCCTGTGTAGTCTCATTAGATTTTTCTTCTGCAAACCCTTCTCCTTGATTGACCGACAATAATGCAGTGGACTCTGTCTCTTCGGTAGGGACGGCAGGATCTTCTACACTCTTCGAGTGTTTTCTCCTCTTGCGCTTATCCTTATGATGCTTGGTTTTGCTCCTGTGATGCTTGTTCCTAGAGCTACGCCTTACATGCAACTTTATAACATCCTCCAGAGGTTCCTGTTCCTTTGCTTCAGACGACTCGATTGTTGGTGACACCAAGGACTCCGGAGATGGAGGAACGTTCTGTTTCCGTGGACTACGGCGCAGTGCTCCTTCTGCATCAGCCGATCCCCCTTGTGCCTTGACAACTTCTGGCTCATTTTCCTCATCCCGGTCAGTTCTCCACTCTCCGGAGACACCACACTTACCATCTTGCCTACTGGAAAGAAATTCAAACCTCAAATTAAATATCCTCCAAAAATAATTTAATTATTAAATTCAATATCCAACCAAACTCAGATTTTGCTATAACAAATAATAAAGTTTACATCTCGAGTCATAACCTAAATTGTCATAACATCAATAACGGAGTAACGATGTCACGTGGCCCGTGTCACATGACCGGGTAAAAGAGGCGGGCGGTTCAAAAACCGAGCGGAGCATGCCGGGAAACCGCGCGTTATCGATCACTCCTCCCCCTAGTGGGGGTGGTCGTAGGAGTGGGCGGCGCCAACTAAGATGGCGGGCGCGGAAAACAGCGGATGACAGTAGAGGGGAAACCCCGCGGCCCGAGAGTGACAGCGCGAGCCATGTGGTCGCGTGTCGATTCGGCGGTCGATCGGTGGCCGCTGATCCAAGTACCCCAGGGGGTCCATGGACCATGACGAGGGGAAGGGTGGTTGGTCGCGTACCTGGCTATGGACTCGGCCAAGTCGAGAAGGTAGACGGCCAGCTCCTCGTCCGTCGGCAGCCCGAGGCGGCGCTTAAGCGAGAGCCACCGCCTGCCGTTCGTTGGGCCGATGTGGACGCTCCGAAAGTGCTTCACGTCAAGTCCCGGGCCCGCGGGATCGCTCCCGTCGGCCCTGCCCGTCAGTCCCGGCTCCCTGACATGCCGCGCACTCCTTTTGGGCATAACTACATCGTAGGCCGCCGATTATTAAAGCGGCGAAACCCGAGGACACCCGCCGAAGAGACACGCGCCGCGGTCTATTCTATCCTATCCTCTTTATGCTCGACGCCCACTCCGCCCGCGCGCCCCACCAATGGTGGCGCCTCCCGCCCCGAACTTTCCCCTCGGCCGGACGAACGGCAATCTGCTTTATCGATCTTCCCTTTCCGATGGCGCGGACGGTTCAGCCAATCGGAGGGCTGGAATCATTCCGAAGCCGAATGGGAACCAATGGGAAGAAGAGAGGGATACGGACGAGGTTATTGGCTGGCGCGTTACGTGTATTCGCGGTCCAACGGAAATATGTCTTGTCGGTGTGATCTCATTCCGTTGGAGCGGGTCGCTTAACCTATCTAGAAGAAGGAAATGGATCTAGGGGAAATGCACAAGGATGGAAGCGATTCTAGTGGATAGAAATCGGAAAGAATAACTGGACTAGTGAAAGAGTTTATCTATACGCCTAAGGCCCGACTTTTTCATATTTCCAGATAGCTATCTTCCACATATCTGCTACTCAAACTACAGGATAACTTTATCCGGAGGGTAACTCTTAACTGGAAGTGAAAAGAATCGAACTGAAAGATATCTTCCAGATAACTTGATCGGGAATTTATCCGTAGGTGAAAAAATCCAGCATAAGAGTCTGCCGATTGGCTGAGAGGCCTTGTCTAGTCTATTGACTTCCTTGAACTTATTTTCTTTTTTAATATAAACTGTTGCAGGAATGGAAGAAAGTTTTAAGTAATGTCTTTCGGTTCAATTCAAATTCTTTGGAATTTTAGAATCTGAAGGATAGGTTTTTAAATGTTGAAGTTATCGTCATTGGGGGCGCTGGTATGTGGAAATCATTTGGTAACATTTTTGTTCGAGGTTTGGCATTTCTTACGTGACGTAGTTTATGTCATGCCGACGCCATATTGGATTTTGTAGTTCTCGGAAAATCTTCGCTTCGGCTGCTAGCAGTTTTGGCTCGAGGAAATGGCGCGACCTACTATAAAATCGTTTAATTGGAGCGCTCTTGCCGAAAGGGTCGCCGAAAGTGACAAGAATTTATACGCCGCTTTCAAATCAAAGTCTGACCAGTACTTGCGACGGTAAAGAGTTTCCTTCAATTTTTAATAATTATGTAACCTTCCACTTGGGTCCCCCGATTTACACCGTGCACTTTGAGGCAATGTCTGATTAAAATATATTAAAAACCTATCGATTCCTGTTGGAATCGCCGAAACTTTTTTCTAGGGTACAAGTTAATCCAGAAAGTCCTCCAAAATTCGACTGGACATTTTACAAGAAGAACATTCCCTTGGCTGGGATGGTTGACAGGTTTCAGAAAGAGTACGAGTCGTTAAAGGTGCCGTATCCTCCGGATAACTATACTGTAAAGTTATCCGAGTTGGAGAAAGACTACGTGAGTGATATGTAAATTCCTAGTTAATGTTCTTTTGTAAAATGTCCTTTTTCCTATTTTAATTCATTTGTTTAAACCAACAGTCCAGTAAGATAGACAACTTCGTTAAGGAATCCAATGTACGCATAGAAGAATACCGTCAAAAAGCTGACAAGTTGAAGAACCAGATTCCTTATGCCCAGATGACTATGGAAGACTTTAAGGATATTCATCCCGAGGAAGCTCTTGACCCTCTTAATAACCCGACCTTCTGGCCTCATACGGAAGAGTATCAGAGCGAGTACATAGATAAAATGAAGCCTGAGGATGAATGAATTGGTATTTCACCTCGTGTGCAGTAGTTCAGATTTATTTGTGCTACAATGTACTACCGTACACCATGTAAATGATTCGATCGAAACAGGAGAGACTATGTAAGGTTTGCTCGTGTTTCTGCATGAGCTCTGAGCTGAACAAGATACTGCTATAGTTACATCGCAGTTTATACTACTCCATAATAAATGTATCAAACGTTGTGCTCCAGGCTCGTGTCTAATTCCGAGTCTGGTAAAGTGAAAGCTTACATAAAATTTATTGGGAACCTTAATGTTTAGGTGTTTTTACATTTTAATGTTAGCAACTAAACAATTTAATTACAATTTATAAATTATAATAGTTCTTTTAGTGACGATATATCTAGTCTTTTGCATCGGCAACGCCACCTGAGGTGATAGCAAAAGTTGCCTCGCTCTCAGGCATGTCGGGACTGTCATAGATCTTTGCTATTCGACATTCAGCTCTGCCCTTCCGTAAGGAAATTCTTGTAGTGGATGCATGGGCTAAGATGTTTCCGCCGATGGGTTTCTTGGGATCGACTTGAAATGTCATTCCTGCCCCAGGGTCGGAGGTCATTTGATTGGTTATGAACACTGCAATGTTGTACTCTTCCGAGATTTTTTGCAGTCGAGACAAGACCTGTGCCAGTTTCTGCTGCCTTTCGGCTAGCTCACCTCGACCACTGAAATCCACTCGAAACAGGGCCATCACCGAGTCGATTATCAACTGATTGACGTAATTAAAAAGAAATAATCCAAACGATTAATCAACTAATAATAGTGCACAACGTTTGAGCGAAACGTATTTACCAGTTTAAACACTCCTGCTTCTTCATGAAATTTTGCTGCAACATAATCCAAAAGTTCGAACTGGTGCTCGCTGGTGTAAGCTCGAGCATAGAGTATATTGTCGAGCACCGCATCTTGATCTAAGTCGAATCTGTCTGCGATTGGACGGAGCCTCTCCGGACGACTTCGTAGAAAACAGTTGAGGAGATATATTTTACTCGATAATTAAAAGTAATTAACATGATTACATGATTTGCTGTCGCACAGAATTTCAAAGAGGATACAATGTATGTTCCGTGTCGATGAATATAACTTTGCCTCCGGAATGGCCCGGGCCTGGTAGCTGCGCTGTAATGCATAAAGTGTGTGCCAGCTGGGTCTTTCCAGTACGAAATTCTCCGAAAGCCTCCGTTATGGCCATTGACTCGATACCTCCTCCTAGAAGTTTGCTACGAGAGGAAATAATGAAAGATAATAATTTCCTTGCTAACTGAAGGTTAATTAATAAAGACACCTACTCTAGTTCCAGACTTCCAGTGGACACTCTAAATATTTTCGCCCTAAACTCGCAGACTTCCGAAGCTGTGAAAAATGTCGCATGATTGATCTTGCTACAGGCCTCTTTGATCTTATCGACTTTGGCTTCGGAGAGACCTTTTATGGCGCATAAACGTTTTCTGGTGGTCATGTGAATCCCCTTTACAGTGCAGATTCCAGCTGACTTCAGTTTCTTGATATCTGCGACGTTCTGAAGCGGTTAAACGTAGAAATAGAACAAAAAAATGTCGATTTAAGCACTGAAAAAGAAACTCATCCTACAATTTTCTGTGAAACATTTCCTAACCAGCGTCTCATATTTATGACTTTTTTAAATTCTGCGACGAATCTGTCGAGTTCAGATTTTACATACTTAAATATTCCTTGATCTTTTACATTAAAAATAAAGTCCTTACGATTCCCTGAGCCTGCAAAGTGTCGACGTCCTGAAAAGTGTCGCATTCGTTCTGCGTCGGCAGGCTGTGCGTGACTTCCGTCATATTTTCTCGTAATTCTCGAATATCTTTTCGAATTTGAAGTATTTACCCTCGATTAGTCCTGATTTTTCAAAGGGAAACTATTAGAAACCTCCGATTTATCGTAAAGAAAATTTGAATAGTTAAACGGAAGCGGCAGAAGATGAATGGTGGCTTCTGATTGGTTGGCGCGTTCGGCTGACGACCAATCAACGTAAAGGATGACTAGAGGACTCCTAGAAGGTTAGTTCCCATACTCTCCGCAAGACGGCGCGTCGATCAGTACCGGCTTCCGTCCCGAGTCGACCGCCATGACAACGCGTAATTTTATGGCGGCGACTTAACCCGCGGAGAGTAGATTTTTTTTTTCCCCTCGACACTGGGTATTCGTTTGCTGGCACACACGTCGTGTGCCGTTTCACTTCTGTGTATCTTCCGGCGATAGATCGACGGTACATCATCTCCGAGGAAGGCAGGACTAGGGAAACAGCGAGAAACGGCGCAAGGTAATTCCCAAGAGGACGGTGTCCGCTTATTGTGATGGCCCTGACCCTTTGGGGCGGACCACAGGTTTCCTGTCGATCGGCGACCTCGCCGAGGCTCTTTTTCGTTTCATCGAGCGCGGGAAGACGGAGTCTCGCCTCCGTCGTGGGATTTTCCACGTTGATTTCTCGAGGGGTGACCGAGAGATACCGAGAAGCTCCCTTAACCTCTTTGCCCTTTGATGCTCCCAAAGCACGTAACCGTGTAGGATAAACAAGTGTGGGGTAAACAGCCGCCAATTTTGAGGTTCTTTTTTCGTGCTCACTAGTTTCTTTGAGTGGAATACTTCTGTGTTCGCTAGGTTCCATCTGGGGTGGCGAAGAGCTGATCGACAGGGGATTTCGAGTCGATGAATATAAGAGCTCTGCTATTGTTTCAGAAGATCCTGACAAAGCAATCGGAGGTTACGCTGCTCTCACTGTGGGTCATGCAGACCGCTCGCCAAGTAATGTGATGAATAGCTGTGGGAGCTTAAATACTGGCACGAAGCTACGAGGTCCCAAGAGTTCAGAGTCGCAGGAGAAAGCTGCAACGAACAGTCAGGGTGACTCAGAGAAAGGCGACGCGGACTCGTTAACCGGCCACGGCGTCAATGACTTCGGCGTTCCTCGCGGCACCTTGGTCATTTGCCAGCGGAGCTCCAGCTACTCAGATCACGGCGTACCGCGATTCAAACCGAGGTGTGACGTAATTCAGAACCTGGAAAGTGTTTTTCTCATTGAATAGTCACGAGCATAAGTCGGACACGGAGTGTCGGTGAGCTATCCACCACGGGAAGCGTATCCTTTCTGGGCTTGTGCGGATAAAGAGTACCTTGACGTGGCCTAATCGCAAAGAAAATTTCCGATGCTGTTAAAATTTCAAATCGAGAGATAACTGAATTAAAATACAATCCACTGGCCTTTCGGCCGGTTACCAATTTACTTGCTTATCTGCAATGAGGATCGCCGTAAAAGCTGTAGAAATTAGGTGCATTGTGTCGGTGGGATCTTGACATCAGATAATCGGAGGATAAGATACGCGTGCAGTGTCAGTCTCCGTCATGCTTGTGTCTTTCCCGGGACAGTGTCGAGTTAACCTAAAAATCTGTGCGAGGAGTGTCGTTTAACTGAATGATGTATGTAAGGTAAGATTCAACGAGTGCCCTAAAGTTGGATGACTAATTAATTGACTGGCGTTGAATTTCTAGAACTGGCGGGACGCTGCGAAATGAGTTTCGAATGGCCCGCGGAGGAAGTATCGGTGACCGGGGACGGGGTAGCACAAGGGGTCGAGCCTTCAAAAAGACTTCGACGGACAGGGAACCTAATTCAGAATCAGTCTACCACCCGACGCCTCGACCCAAGTTTCAGGAATCGCTGAAAAACCAGGAGAACTCGCAGGGGAAGTATTACGACGACAAGAGATCAACTGGTGAGTGTCATTTATTAACTGTTCCTATTTCAGCCCTAATCTTCCTCTAATTTTTTAAATACGAGACATGTAACTTCCATTGCAGAGGAATCGAGGATCTTCAAACTGTTGAGAAGATTGTGCCGAGAGGATGACTATGATCATTTCCTGGGACTGTGTAAGCAGCTGCAGGAGGCCTTCATTTCTCCGGAGAGTCAGCGGTGTATCAGGCGGAACCTGGATCCTATCTGTGAGAGTCTTCTGGACACTTTGCACTCCGGGCCAGGTATTGAGGCGAAACAGCAGGTCGCAAAATGTCTGGGACGAGTGGGATACGTGGCGGATCAAGATTTTAAGAGGTAACAACTTTAAATATAAAAGCCTTTTGTTCATCGAAAAGCATCTTTCTGATCTGACAAACTAAAATCTGTTGCATTTCCTTCCAGATACATGGACTGGATATTCAATAAATATTCCTCAGAGCGAAAGGACGACGTGAAGTGCCTTCTGATGAAGTCGTTCGCGGAGACTCTGAAAATGGACACCGAAACGCCTAAGCTGAAGGATTTCTCGATGGTGAATGACGATTCCAGATTTTAGGTTATATCGAAGCAGTAGACTTTGGTGAAGTTAATCGCTGTGATTTCCTCTCTGTTATAGTCGCTGATGTCGCAGTTGCAATCCACTCTGGAGAACGTTGACAGACCTGACATTTTAATGGCAACGGTGGATGCTATACTCTTGATAATCGACTCCTATCCTGAGACCTTTTTGAATCACTTCCGGGACACTGTAGACATCCTCGTGGGGTGGCATATTGACTCGACTCAACAGAAACCAGTGGTGACATATGCTAGCCGCAGCTTGCAGAGACTGCGCAGCTTCTGGATTGCTGATCTGCAGTTTACCTTGACCTTGCTCAGTCAGTTCCTCGAGGACATGGAGAGCTACGATGAGGAGTTGACGTTACCGGGCTCAGGCAGAAGTTCCCCAGGGGAAGAGGGCTCCCCTAGCCCAAGGGAGTGCATTCTTCGAATCACTTCCTTGATCTCGGTGTTCAATGCAGTAACTAAAAGTGTCGGTGAACATCTGAGTCCTAACCTAACTCCAATTGTGCAGTGGTCCTTCCTGACAGATTGCTTGTCAAAGATGCTTCGTACTGTTGTAAAGGCCATCGAGCTTGACGACGGTATGGACCTGTGGGTTGGAAGTTGCAATCTCACATCGGAGAATACAGAATGTTTAACTAAGTGCATGAAAACCATGAATTTATCTCAGAAGAATATTGAGACTTTGTTGAAGACACTCGGCAAGGAGGATGCGAACGAGGAGAGCCTTGTCAAACTTGTTCGGTCTCTGAGTGTTAATAAGAAGAACGATCGGAGGAACATGAAGAACACCGAGAAGGAGATCGTGTGCCCTAAAGATAAAGAACAGTCTTTGATTAATCTTCTGAAGTCCATGGACTCGAAGACCAAGAAAATCCCAGACCTTTCTGAGGAGAAGGAAGAGCTCATTGTGGTAGCCAATGAGTGTGCATTCCTGCTTTTAGGATATCTGCAAAGCAGAGTCACTAAGAACCACGAGCTACTTTACAGATTCATTGATCTACAGCTGCAAAGAGTCGACCTGTTTTGGGATGACACCATTGTGTCCACACTAAATACCATCGCTAAGGTCATTAAAGAGGTCTCGGCTAATCTGCCTCTAGAGTTGGTGCACAAGTTGCTCGGTCGAGACTCAGTGCTCTTAAGGTTGAGGTTCCGCAGCTCTGTTCCGATACAGAATGCCAGTCTCGGGGTCTACCACAGTTTATTGAGTCTGAAAAATATCCCGCTACTTCAGGAGGCTTATCGATACGTTCTATCCGATCTGGAAATAGCTTACAAATTGATCGTTGATAAAATCGAGAACCTGGTGGCGGAGAACCCTCTAGGAGATCTGATGTACAAGAAGTGTCATGCAGAGATCGTGATTATTTTCTTGCTGCGAGCCCTTTCTGATATCGGTGAGTTGTCAAAGAGTCAAAGTGTCAAAGCATTATCGGTGACGTTTTTTTTTTTTTTTCTTTCAGCCAATGCAAGCAATTCTATCATTGGCATGTGGGCTCTGAAACCAAGCATCCTCGAATTGCTTGCCGTTAAACTCAGGCCTTACCATCCTGACCTCTCGCAAACCAGCCCACTGCTGCAGTACAGCATTTTATATCTTCTCTATGCTCATTGCTCGAGGTAATAATATTGTATAGATTTAGGCATTATTATAGTTCGTTAATTACTTTATTTCATTTGGCCCTGTTATTGACAGGTATAATCACTTTGTACCGAGTTCAAATTTAATAACATCACTGGGCTCGTGTCGCCCTATCGACATCTTTCCTGGAACTCTGGACGTGCCGACCACCTCACCGACCAGTGGTCACCTCTCAATAATCCTGAATCTCATCGCAAAGACATACACCGGAACCACCTCGGAGAAGACCCTGTTGCTCCTGGCTAATTGGATGCAGGAAATCTGTGCCCAGGCTGAGAACTATATCGGTATCTTGAACAAGACTGAAGAATGTCGTAACATTGTGTCAAGTTTGCTGGCCTGTGGAGCAACGACTAACCACGAAGTCTCAGTGGCAGTGTGTGGTAATATCGAGGCATTAATCGGTGCTAAGAATGCAACCTGGTCCGAGGAAACTTATTCCAGTATCGCAGATCTCGCGATGATGCACATAACCTCTAATGACGCAACTGTCAAGGACAAGTATGGACAGTTGTTAATGTACGTGCCAGTTAATATAGTCATTCAGAAGCTCAACAGACGGTGCCTTCTGTCGGATACAAAGGTAAGAGTGGCATAACCTCAAGTCAGAAGAGCTTGAGGTAGAAAATAAACCAGTTGGAGGTTATTTCCTCATGGTTCTGTTCTTAAGTGTCGTACTCTTCTGTTCAGCGGCTACAAGAATTAAAGGACTACTCGACAGAGTCTCTTATTCTGGCACAAAGACTCCACATGCGGGGCAATGGCAACGGAGAGATGCAGGCCCAGCATTTCAAGTCTTACATGGCGTACCTTCTGCAGGAACATCACTTTGATGCCTTTGGCCTCTCTGAGGTTTTCACTTTATGCTGGCCAATTGTGTAAGTCCGAAATTTTTTTCTCAGCGTAGATAACCTAAGATTCTGACAGACTTAGGTTTACCAATCTCCAAGTTGGCTGTAATCTTCCTCCGTCAGAGTTAACTAACATAGAGTATAATTAATCTTAGGTCGGAAAGTGAAACCACAGCAATGATGCACGAACTGGCCCTGGCGAATCGGTCCTTTCTGTTTTTCTGGGGAGGTTTCGAGGCAGCTCAGCACTGTGTAACAAACAAGCTCAGGACTCCCCTCGGCAAGCCTCAAGAGACCTTCACCACGATCGAAGGGGCCCTGAAAACCCTGGCCAGGGAGATCTCTAACAACGGGGAGTGTTTGAAACGTGAGAAACACGACCTAGATACTCTTCTACAGGAGCAGACTAGGGTGAGGCTCTTCGTGGAGTTCCTGGAACACTTGGAGCGAGCCATCCACAATGCTGCGGAGGGTTGTGCAATGGCCCTGGCAGCTCCTTCGAAGCCGGTGCGTACTTTCTTCCATACAAACAGGTCGACCTGTCGCGAGTGGCTCAACAGAATTCGCTTGGCTCTTTGCGTCGTTTCCTTGCACGCTGGTCTGGCCACGAGCGCCCTTAGAAACGGGCAGAAGCTCCTGGAAGACCTGGAGAACGCGGAGAACACCCAAGGCGCGGAGTTCGAGCGAGCGACTCTGTGTACTGCGCAAGCCATGGTGATGCTCGGTGAGGCAGAAGCTCTTCAGGGTCTCTACGCATACACCAGAGAGAGGGAGAGGAGATTTCAGTGGCTCAGGGCGACGACGGAGGAGGCCTCAGGTCACTATGAGGTGGCTGCGGAGGCTTACAGGACTTTCCTGGAAGAACAGCCTCATAGACCCTCTGGAGAAGCTGCGGAGGAGTCGAAGAAGTCAGAAGGTGACATCCAGGTAACTGCGTTCTGCGTCCAACATCTGACCAGATGCTACCGGGCGGTGAATGACTGGTCTCAACTGGAATCCTGGAAGAGGAGGGAACTGGAGGTGCTCTCCCAGGAGAGGGGAAGTATGCTTCGCAAGCAGCTACCAGAGGAGATCACTGTGCAGCAAACGAAAAGCCTCAGACTCTTCGAAGAGGGACAGATAATCGCCCTGGAGGAGCTTTCCGATTGGAACCTCCTCGACGAGGAGTCGCGCACCAGCTGGAGCTGCGCAAAGACGGTCACGGAGTGTTGGAACACCCTGACGAATATCGCTCTCAGGATGAGGGCGAACGATTACAAGGATTCTTTCGCGGGGGACGTGGAAAGGTGCAGGAGAGTGGCAGCGAGGACAACCGAGGAAGGGCTGCGGAACGTTCCCTCGGAGTACTTGGGGGAGTCCATCCTCCTCCGATACGTCTCCACAGGTCTGGCTGACCTGGTGGCAGGCAAGCCCAGGAATGTGTTCCACTTGATTCAGAACGAGAAGCTCGACTCCCTGGGGACAAGCTCCCTAGCGAGAGTGCTCTGGTGGTCGAGTTACTTCACCAGGTCCTCCGGAGAGATTGAATCCTCCGATGAGGTGGCAAACTTGAGGCTTAGAGTAGCACGGAGCGCCAGGAAGCAGGGCAACTTTGGCCTGGCGAGGCGCGAGCTTACCAGGTACTTCCTGGGGGAGAGAGGTCTCCTCTCCGAAGAGGACCTCCAGGTTCCGGAATTCCAAGACCTGGTCAGAACCATCCGGGAAGCAGCGACCCGTGTCAGGTGGACCGGAAACGAGGCGAGGGCATTCCGGGAGCTGGCCAAGCTCCTCTTCGGGATGGAGCTCCCCCAGGACGCTCTGGACATTTGCAGCGCGACCGCTCTGGGTGTGGCCAGGGCCCTGGTCTCCGGCGAACGCTCGAAGGACCTCAGAGAGACCGGGACCAAGTTACTCCTGACGATCGGCAAGTGGGTACAGCAAGAGTCCAGGCTCGCCGAGGGTAACCATCGCCTGGAGGAGCTCCTGGAGTTCGAGGCCGGACACAACGACGGTTCCATGGACGAGCTATTCGCCGGGACGGCCGACCTAGTGCCGGACGCGGAGATGGCGATCGGTAGGCTTCTCCACTTGGGGGTCAACCAGTGCCACGACCTTCCCAGAGCGTGGTCGAGCCTCGCCTCCTGGTGCTACAAGTGGGGCAGGAAGATCGTCGACAGCCCGCAGAGCGGACGGTTGACCGAGGTTGACCGCCAGAGTGTTAGAGCTCTGCTGCCGCAGGAGATGCCCGAGGTAGATCTGGAGACCGTCATCGGGATCCTCAGTCCGGGGAAGAGCCTCCCGGAGGACGAGGGGGACATCGAGATCGCCGACCCGAATACCGCGGAAACTGTCGAGCACCAGCTCAGGAACGTCCGGGCACTACGTGGAGCTCCTGCTGACCTCCTGGACCGACTCGTCGACGTATGGCGGCAAGCCAGGAAGAGAGTCTACTCGTATTACGAATTGAGCGCCAATGCCTATTTTAAGTATCTCCAGCTCGCCGACGAGGAGGTCGACGACTGTGTCACCGTAATCGCGACCCTTAGGCTGCTCCGTCTGGTGGTGAAGCATGCGTTGGAACTCCAGGATGCCCTGGAGGCCGGTCTCTCGACGACCCCTACGGCGCCTTGGAGGGAGATCATCCCCCAGCTGTTCTCCAGGCTGAGCCACCCAGAGGCCTACGTAAGGACCAGGGTGGCGGAACTGCTCTGCAGGGTCGCCGAAAGCTCGCCGCATCTGATCACCTTCCCCGCGGTCGTCGGGGCCGGGTCTGGCGCGAGGAGGGCCCTCCAGGGTGTTCCTTTTGGGAAACAAGACCCGGAGGAGTCTCGAGGCGACCTTGATCTCCTCGACGAAGAGGCGGACGGAAGTCCTGACGAGGGGAGGAGCTTCATGGACGGCTGTTTCCTGCAGCTCGCCGATTGCCTGTCGAAGAGAATCCAGGACTCGGTGGATCAGGTAAAGGTGCTTGTCGGGGAGCTCAGGAGGATCACTCTCCTCTGGGATGAACTTTGGCTGGCCACCCTCTCGCAGCACCATACCGAGATATCGAAAAGGTTCGAGCAGCTCGAGGTGGAGGTGCGGAAGGTCCAGGAGAACGTCTGGCTGGCCCCAGAGGAGAAGGACAGGCTGGTGGCGGAGAAGCACAGAATCATCCTGAGGCCTGTCGTCTTCATCCTGGAGAACCTGCTTGCTATGACTTCAGTGCCTGCGGAGACCCCTCACGAGAAGGCCTTCCAGGAGAAGTTTGGACCCTGTGTGGAGGAGTTAATCAATAGACTGAAGACCCCGAAGGACCCTGCCAAGCCCCAGGTTGCTGCGGTGACCTTGAAGCAGCTAGAGACCAAGCTAGCACAGAGGGTTCATAAGAGGGGAGCTTACTCTTTGATAATGAGTGACATCAGTCCTGTCCTGGCCAGCCTGCGGGACACTTGCATCGCTATGCCAGGTGTATGTTCTGCGGACAACAAAATAGTTACCATCAGGTCGGTGGACAACAATGTGCAGATCCTACCCACGAAGACCAAACCAAAGAAGCTGGTATTCCATGGCTCGGATGGACATGTCTACACGTACCTGTTCAAGGGCCTCGAAGATCTACACCTGGACGAGAGGATCATGCAGTTTCTGGGAGTCTGTAACACGATGATGTCGAAGAACAGTGAGACCAAGTTGTACCGGGCTAGACATTATTCGGTGATACCTCTGGGCCCTCGCTCTGGATTGATACAGTGGGTGGATGGTGTCACACCTTTGTTCGCATTGTACAAGAGGTGGCAACAGAGAGAGAGCACCGTCACCAGCAAAACTGGGAACTCTGCGATGCTCAGGCCCTCGGAATTATTTTACAATAAACTCGCTCCGCTGTTGAAGGAAAGAGGCATCGGACTGGAGAACAGGAAAGAGTGGCCTCTACAAGTGCTCAAGCAAGTGCTGTCGGAGCTCATGGCGGAGACTCCAAAGGATCTCCTCGCAAAGTCAGTACATGTGTTAATTGGTGATAATTAGTGATAATCAAATTGATAGGAGAAAGTGATTAATTTTCATGCATGGTGCGATTTCAGGGAGATATGGTGCAACAGCATCAATGCCGGCAGCTGGTGGCAGGCCACGAAGAACTACTCGTACTCTGTTGCTGTCATGTCTATCATCGGCTACATCATTGGTCTCGGTGACCGGCATCTTGACAATGTGCTCGTCGATCTGAATACCGGCGAGGTAGTGCACATCGATTATAACGTCTGTTTCGAGAAGGGCAAGACCCTCAGGGTTCCAGAGAAGGTGCCCTTCAGAATGACTCCAAACATCAAGACTGCCCTCGGAGTTACTGGTGTCGAGGTGAGTTGGCAGATTCTCTTTGCCTGCAGACGCTTGGTAACGATTTCACGAGATTTACATATTTGACGAAAATTCTACACTTAATTTCCTATTCGCACAATCGTATTATGAAAGCATCGAAGGTTTGTCGATAACACTGTGAACTTCCATCAGTCGGACAGGCGTTATATTTTAGGTGATTCTTTTTGTGAAAGGGAAAAAGTGGGAAGAGAATTCATAAGGTAGTCGTCTCGAAGCATGCGGTTCCACCTAGGGAATAGTCCTTGGAGATCGTCCTGATATGTCGACGTTCCTGGTTAATTGTTGCCTGGTTATTCGATCTGTCAAGCTTCGGTAATTCGTTCTGCTTGCGTAGGTAATTCTTCAGGCTCGAGTTGAACTCGTTTCGATTAGGCGACTGAAAACGCAGGAGCCTGAAGAAGGCCTTGCGGAAGTTTGCATTCTTCCAAGCATAGATCATGGGGTTCATCCCGCTGTTTGCCATCGCCAGAGAGAACATGGCTTTGTAGAGTGTCGGAGAGGCCTTTTGGTGCCAGTCGAACGCTCTGGTGCAGGCCACGACTAGATAGGGTAGCCAGCAGATGGAAAAACAGCCCATCACCAACAAGACAACCTGCGTCAAAGAATGAGGTTAACCGAAAGTAACCTGCAATGGCTTTTACATATTAGAAATCCTTTAGAAAACAGTTCAGAGGTGACTTTGCTACAATCTGGTGAAAACTTCTGGCAGAACTGTGTAAACATTGAGGAAGTATTCTTAAAGAGGTCGTTCAAATACGTGGAGGGTCATGGGGCGTTCTTAACCCCAAACCTAAATGACTCTTCTTGAGGTTATGTTTTCACACCTGTACGCTTTTCCAGTCGCTGGTTTCCGCATTGTAAAACCCAGTGAGTCTTAATCTGTGAGCATGAGTCCTCGCTTCTCGCCAGATTCTCCAATAGAGCAGAAACATCGAGATCCATATGAGGCCCAGAATTGGGGTTAGAATCGCCACAGTGTAGTACCTAAGAATTAAAATAAAAGATGTAAGGTTGAGTGTTGTTTACTCACTTGTTTATTTTAAGGGTAACACACGTGAGTGGTCACAGCGAATCGATGAGGAAACTTCTAGCATAAGAGCTGAGCACTTATCTCGTTCCACTTTCGAAATTTCTGATTTAAGAGGTATGGCTTCGCAGTTGATTTTAAGCTACTCGACTATTTTCGACCTCAAGAGGATGCAATGTTTCCTACATAATTGGAACGCACGTTTAACCCAGACTTGCTCCGCTAAATTGGTATCCAGGAATTTCTTTCGTAAATAATCAACACGGCTGTGTTTCATTTTTAAGGAATTTCATTCCTCTTCGGGGAGAACCTCACTGCTGTTTAGAATCAGTTTTGGGAGTCTTTGCAGTACCTTGGCAAAACGGTGTCCAGTTCGCAAGAATTTCTGCTGGCCTCAAAGCAGTTCCAATATATCGGAATGGTGGAGATGGCGATGGCATCGATCCAACCAATCGCTATCATAATCACTGCCACTTTTTTGGTCATATATCTCGTGTACTTCAGAGGATGCACGATGGCGATGTACCTGTCAATGGCTACTGCGATGAGATTGTAAATGCTGGCACAGCTTGCGAAGCTTATGAGGACGAATCGGAGGATGCAGGTTATCGAGAGCTTCCCCAGAGACTCGTCCAGGTAGAAAGCCAGGTGATAGGGCAGAGTCAGACCCACGAGGAAGTCCGAGACTGCCAGGTTGGTCACAAAGTAGTTCGACGTGACATTCCTGAGTCTTCGGCTCAGTCTGACTGCCAGAATTGTCAAGACGTTCCCACATACTATGAGGACAAATAAGACGCTGTCGACAAGGATCCAATACATGTGGTTCACAGAGAAGCTCTGCTGTCTCTCTTCCCTTTCCGTCAGGTTCCGAAGTCCTGTCGATAGCTCTTCAATGTGGCCACCAGTCGTCACAGAGTCCTCCGCTATCTCCATATCTACTCAGGTGCTCTCAGATTTTATTCCCTCCATCTGTCCGAGAAAACCTACATAAATTTCTTCTACAGTCTTACCTTCTGATCGTCCCTTTGGATAGAAATACTTGCCTGAAGGATGTACTCTCCGCGGTACACTTACTGCTTCTAATGAACCGAAGGGCCAGTCCGCAGCATCTCTATCAGCGAAGAAGAAACCCTCTGCTGGGCTCATTTTTTTTTAGGGCTATCTTCTTATTAAATCTCCTTGCACAATACACAGTCGAGTTATAACCAGTTGCTACAACTGTGCAACACACTTTTCACTTTTATTTTAGTTACTCTTTCACGTTTGCTGGCGCCTCTCCTAAATAACGGTCCATGCCACGTTCTCTTCAGTAATTTCGTTATTAATCTCTCCCATTCGCTTCCTACTTTCCTCAGACAGGTTCAGAGTTTCTAATTTGAAATTAAAATTGATCGGCCCCTCGACTTCTACTTTTATTCCTTTTTTATATCTTTTTAAGACGAGTCACGGTCCATCCGAGTTCAAAGGTTCACTCTTCGGCTTTCCTGGATCCTAAAATCAATTTCGATGATTAGATCGTATAAGTTGCCGTGGGAAGTTAAAAATCTTTCCCGGAGGGAATAGAAAATCATTGTCGTAGTAAATGGTAAATCTTTACCGGAAAAAAAAATAGAAAATCTTCGCCGAAAGGACACGGTGCGCCTTCTTGCCGTCGAGTTTCCTCTCTCACTAAGGGGACGGCCCTCTCTCCGTCGATGCCCGAGCCGCGTCCTGAATTATCGGGAAGGCCGATCGGGAGCATAAGCTCCGCGCTGAGAGGAGAATAAACATCATTAGTTAGGACTCGCCGTTCCTGTTCCGGCGGCACCCCAAGGGGGTGAATCGTCTCACCCGGGGAGAGTATAACGTGTCGAGGCGAGTCCCCTCACATTTAAGGGTTGTTGTCTCTACGGGAGATCCCCATCTACGAGTTCCTTCACCCCTGGCGCCGGAGGTCACGTGGTGTCTGACCTCTCCCTCGCTCCCTGACCACGTGGTCGCACCTGTCAAATACCCACGCTCGCGATATCGCGAGGATATCGCTCGTAATCGCGGGATTTGACGACCATTCTGACTCCCTTGACCGTGGGAAGATAAAACCGCGACATTGGGGTAAATACAGAACAGATTACTCAGTCGTTTCCTGCTGATTTGTCATTTTTACGCGGGTCGAAACCTCGAGGATGCGTTAGGATTTTCAGGTTAGGGGGGCTCAATTCATTAGGGGCGACCCATGCTTTTTAGTTGTATTGTAATTTACGCGGAAAGGCTTGACGTGGATGGATCGTTTCGAAATACGAGTATGCAGTAAATGGGGACGCTAAGGGAATTACGCCATTAGGTGATTAGAGGAACGGAGGTTATTTTGGGGAGGAATGCAATGCAAGTGGTCGATGGAATTTTTGTTGACGATGGGGAGAGCTTTTGAGTTTAGGCTTGTTGATGTGATATATAAGGTTTAGCAGTGGAGCAGCAATTACATGGTGTTCTGGATGTATTAGATTTATTTTCTACTTTCTAGGGAATCTTTAGGCTGGCTTGTGAACACACTTTGAGGGTCATGCGGAGAGGGAGAGAGACTCTTCTCACGTTACTGGAGGCTTTTGTGTATGACCCGTTGGTAGACTGGAGAGCTGGTGCAGAGAACAGCATCGCCAGCTATGGAGCATGCCAAGCAAGGGCTCGATGCACTGGAGTTGGTCGGAAACAGTTGGAGAGGGAACTTACCAGGGCCATGTTTGCGGTGAGGACTGCAGAGATGAGGGCTGAATGGTTGGCCAATAGGTTTGTCTTGCTTTTAAATAATTTCAGTTGTTAGGGAGTTCCATTGATAAGCTAGAAGCTCATCGGATGAAAGAATATGTTTCTTTCCTTCGACTTAATATAATTAATTTTATAGAGACGAGTTGACAAAGGCTCTTCCGCTTATATGCCACCACTTGTCGCTTTGGATTGAAGCGACCGAGGCTGCACAGAGGTGTCAGGAATTACTGCAAGATAGACATCAACAATTGGCTCTGGTGAAGGAAGCCCAGGCAATGGGCAGGAATCATGCCTTATACTCTGTCGTCAAAAGATACAGCACCTTCAAGAGGGCTCGAGATGCCCACGAGAAGGCCAAGTGTGGTCTGAAGGAGAAAATCGAGGAATGCGAAAAGCAAATCAACATGCACAACGTAAGAATAAGTGTACTCTGAATCCTTTCTAATTATTGTCTGACTACTGGTGTAACAATTCTGAGATCTTTCCCATAACCTCAAATAAAAATGCAGGAAATGACGTCGATAACCTAACGTCATACGAAATCAGTGCAAATCCTGGAAATACCACGCTTCGAGGTTACCTTAGTATTAATTAGTTTGAAATAATTATTTTCAGATCGCTCTTACAGCAGTGCGTGGGCCACAGTTGGGGCAGTGGCTTTCGGAGATAGGCACTCCGACGACTCAGGACGACCACCTGGTCTTCGACCTGGTGAAGGAGTTCCTCCAGAACGCAGGACAAAGCCAGATGATTCTACAATGCGAGCAGTCCGAAAGCGAGCTGACCCAGCTCGCAACCCAGCAGTCGATTCTCATCCGAAGCTGCTTGGACCTGTTGAGTCAGTACTCCGCAATCTGCAGTCTCTACCCGATGAGCATCCTGGCTCAGCACAGAACAGCTGCCTATCACACTTGGGCCAGTAAACTATTATCCACCGGGACTATCGAAGCCTGCCACGAGGTGATGTCTCAGTTTGAGGCCAACTTTGACCCTGCATCAGCAAATAATGGCCCTCAGAGTCAACAAGTCGTGGCGTTCTCCTACCAGATGCAGGCCATTCTTTCAGAGTCCAACGAGAGGTTAGTTTTGATAGAATTTATCTTACCATTTTATAATCATGAAACTCCCTGCGTTCATATATTAAAATATTTTAATTCCAGGCTGAAAAAAGCCTACGAGAGGCTGGCATCGGAGGGTCTGCCAGACTCTCTCGTAAGGATAGAAAAATCATACGCAGAGGCTCGGGGCCAGATCTCGAATTTCCTTCGCCGTGAGAAAGGAGCGGAACGTGCCCTGGAGTGCGTAACGATAACCGCCCTCTGCGCCCTGAACAAACGTTATCTAATGATGGAGGGAGCCGCAAAATGCGCCGGCGAGTGCCTCGTCGACCTAACCTCAAGGGAGGGTGACTGGTTCCTGGACGAGATGCGCCTGATGTCGTCTCTCATCGCCGAGCTGGCCACCCTGGTCCCGGAGGTGCACAAAGACCCTAGGGTCGATCCAAGGATTCCGGTGATCCTGAGATGTCTGAGAAGTGCCGAGGGGATCTATCAGGGTCTCCAGGAGTTGAACTACAATTTCCACACAATAATCCTGCCGGAGGCGACCAAGACTATCGCCACGGAGGAGCCGACTGTGGTCAGGATGGTGGCCGAGCTGGATGAGATCGTCCTGTCTACAGGAATACCCCTGGGGGAGATCCTGGCTCAGCTGGAGATGCATCTCAGGTTTACCGTCATGGAGATGGAGAGTCCACACGGGCTCGTTGGAAATCTCGTCGGGAACATGAGGAGGAGGTTCGAGAATCTCCTGTCGAGACCTGCGGAGGGCCAAGATCAGGGCCAGGAGGAGAGCCTAGCACCAGGACAGATGCTGCTCATGGGATTCAATGGACTCTTTGAGAAGCTCCAGGTCGAGGGGAACGCCCTGGTCGCCACTTTGAGCACCCTGGACGTACCACAGTGCTGGAGGAAAATTGACCAAGTCAGGGAGGCCAAGGAAATGGCTGCTCCTATCTTCAACGAAGGGGCTCGCAGGGTCCTGGAGGATATATTCCTGGTGAAGAGGCTCCACACCATCAGGGAGTTCTTCGCTATGTGCAGGGACATCGCCACGGCGTTCAGGGGCGGCCTAGCTAGTGTTTACGATGATGAGAGGTTGAACAAACCTGTGAGAGTGTTCACGGCAGATTATGTGTCAAGGCAGCTGCTTGGGGTCACTTCCCAGACCCTGGCCATTGCGCTGTGCTTTTTGCTGCAGAGGATGGGCCTCGGTGTCAGTACGGAAATCGAGCAGAGGGACATTGGGGCGGAGAGCAAGGTCTCCATCGAGGAGCTTTGCAGGAAAATCGTGGATATCTGTCTGAAGAGGGGATTGTTCTCTGGCTCAGTGCTTGCCCAGGCCAGTGCTTTAAGTAGTACGTTGGAGAGCGCATGGAGGAGGAAGCAAAGTGCCAGGATGACCCAGCAGGGCGTCGAGGTGGCCCGAGCTAGTGTCCAGAGGTTGCAGCTCCAGCTGACCGCTCATAATTGGCTGCATGAGGATAGCCTGCTTCTCAGATCGAGCCTCAATCCTCTCAACCCTCTTAGTAAGTATTGTTATAATATTGTGAAATTATACTCATTTCAGTTTACAATTAATTTTAATTTAACTGAAAATTATTTATATTTATATGTAATTATTACTGAATTAAACTTAACTCTTCTTGGAGAGCTAGGTACAATAGATTTAAACTTGTCCTAATTTTAAGTTAAAGTAGCATCGATCTCTGTTTGACTCGTTTTGAAGTTAGCTGAGGAAAAATAAACACAAAGTATATTTATGTTTAGATCGACCGACTTTCATGCTCGAGCTACGGAAGACAGCAGCTGCATTGTCGAGCATGCAATCACGAGTCTGCGAAGCGAGGGAGCAGCAGCAGAATTTAGTGGCCAGTGCAGGCCAGAGATTGAAATGGGCAGCCGGAGCCAATCCGGCACTCGGTGAGGTTATGGCAGCCTTTGACAATGCAGTGCTCTCCTCTTGCGAGAAACTGACTCGACAGCACAACCTGGCAGCTGTTGTTGTGAACACCTGTAATTCTATTCTACATTACGAAGCTTTACGTACCAGAACATCGGAAAGTGTGAATAACGATGCGAACTTTGTGAAACTTGTCAAGCACTGGGAGGAGAGCTGCATGTTGACAGCTAACCTAACAATTTCTGTTACGATGATCGAAGAGAGTCTGGTTGAGCTGCTGCGGTTAGATAATAATGTGGATACTAATTGGCTGCGACAGGCTGAGAAGATTGTCTCTGAAGCTATCCTAGAGACGCAGAAAGAGCTTGCGGAGAAACAAGAGGCTTTGGGTACTGCTCAAGACTGCCTTCGAGAGCAGGTTTCTAACCTACAAACCATCATAGCAGAGCACCACCGGCTGATGACAGATGTCAGAGGATTATTGAGAACCATGGCGAAGCAAGAGAACCTGATCGGCTTGCAGGAGTTCCTGGCTGCATATCGGGCCTTCACCGAGAGCATTTCGTCTGCTGTCAAGGAACTCGAGTCGGAGAACCTGAACCCTGCGAGAGCCTCTGCAGCTAAAGCAGAGTTGGAAGGCATCGCTGCCAAGGCTCCAGGAATTTATGGCGAGCTGTTGGAGTTTGCCAACGAGCAGAGGGTCGTGAGTAAGAACGCTGAAAGAGAGGCCCTGGCGAAGAGGAAGGCGAAGCTCATTCGACAGGACAGTGTGTGTCTCAGCCCGAGGAAGGGAATCCCATTGGCCAGGGACCCCACCACCGGCAAAGGTAGGATAACCTAAACTCTCTAATTTTTAAATTAAATTTCTGACACGTTTAATTATTTTAAACTCATTTGACGTTTAATTATCTTAACCTCATCTTGACAGCCGTCCAGGAAAGGAACGTCTATGCGCTGAACGTGTGGCGCAGAGTGCGGATGAAGCTGGAGGGACGAGATCCCAATCCAGCCAGGAAGTACACTACAGCGGAGCAGGTGGAATACGTCATCAGGGAGGCGCAGAGCTTCGACAACCTGGCTCTCCTCTACGAAGGCTGGACACCCTGGGTCTGAGCGGGGCCCGGGACCGGCGCCTGAGCGCCGTCGGGTCAAAAGCTCCTCTGCTCCAGGAAGTGGCATGCACTACTGTGTCTCGCAGTGTCAGCACAAGCCCTGAGGCCCCAGCTCTCATGCAGGGGCCCAGCCACCCACAGACACCTGGGGCACGCTACGGAGAGAGCCTCCGGTTGGGGCGAACATCAAGGACCAGCCTGGCGTCAACGGCTACCTGGAGGCCGGAAAGTAGTTACGCCGTGAAGAGAGGCCCTCGTCGGAGGAATATTGCGATTAACTGCCTGGTTAACGACCTGGTGAAGGTGTGGGAACAAGGAGTGTGGACGAGGAGAGGATTTCGTGGCCCCGTCGAAAGCTGTCACACGGAGCGGCCTGACAGCTCTCTGGAACTCGGATGGATTCTGCGGAGCAGCCTGTCAGGGGATTTAATCACGGGCCGACGGTGGATGGAAAAAAGTGTATCGCGGTTCTAGCTAGAGTTCATCGGGCTGTAACTTTGTTACCGTCAGGAATCAGCTTTGAGGTTAGGATGGGATGGCTCGACTACCGATATCTGGGCTTTTATCCATGGAAATGTGGTTCGACTGGTGGAAAATGTGGAGTTAGGAGTGAGCAGTTTTGTTTCGTGGTTGCGATCTGGTGAGGAATAGGTTAGGTTACAGAGGGAAGGGTTAGGTTTTTAGAGGTGGCACTGGGTCGAATTGTTGATTCGAGCGGTCTCCAAATTGTGGAGGAAATGTGAGTTTGTTAATCCAGTAGACCTTTAACATAATCATACGTTCTCTATTGGTTCTCGAGGTGCATTTCTCTTGGGGAAGTGTTCGACAGGGCCTTCAGGCTGATGGTGGAAAGGTATCTCTGGATTAGCGCAATGTTTAGAAGGGAGTTGACTGGGTAGATTAGTCGGATGGATGGAGAATTAGGGTTTGTAATTTTGGTGATGCACTTTATTGATGCTACCCTTAAGTAAAGTCTGCAAAGCATTCCATTGACAGTGGGTGATTCAGCTCGACAATGGAATCATTAGATCGATCCAATGCCAGGGTGATCGTGCAGAGAGAAACTGTCCTACTTTGCTCCACTGGAATTTTTTCAACCATTTGATCACTTAATGTTTGATGATTATCGAGTAGATAGGTTATTTTTAGTCCTCTGGTCAATTCACGCACGCGCACGCTTTGCTAATTATACCTCAAGATTCGTAAAGAAATAGTTTGTCTAGAGGAAGGAAGTTTTTCTCTGCATTCGTCTCTGGAGATGTTAGGGAGAGAGAGAGAGAGAGAGTGTTTGTTTTTGAGGGAAGCACCGAATCCACGTAATTCTATCCACGTCTTTACATTAGTGCGATAGTTACAGAGAGGCTATTGATTAACTCGGGCTGGAGCCAGTCGATCCACCTCAGGCTCGTACATGGAGGATAATTCCACAGTTGACAGCTGACGGAGAAGGCATTGACGGCTCAGCGAATTATTCCTCCATTGTCAATCGTGTCATCGCGTTGGGCTAATCAAGGCCTGACATTTTAAAAGAGACGTACACCATTCTGCCGATCCACTGGGTTGACCAAGAATTGACACGTAGCTAAACTACGGAAGATAGTTATATCTGGAAGATATGCTGATAAAAAAAGTTCTAACTACATCGGTGGAAATAAATCTAATAAATATGTGTTGAAAATTCTAATTGGTTCGATGAAAAGTTTGTTGAGTGATCGACAAGTGAAGAAAACAGTGATGACCTTCTGTACATCCAGTGGAACAGGCTAGAGTGCTGTCTCGTCTATTGTTACCCTCCAAAGGCGGATCCATCGACACCAGTTTACTCGGAGTGTCTGCGGAGGGTGTAGCGAGGATCCTTAACATAACCTAAGCATAGTATGCTGCAACACTAATTTCTTCTGCTGCGTAAAAGTACTGCTTAGGATTTTTTCTCGCGCGTTAACCTAAAGAAACAAGGAAAACATGAAGAAGAAAAAAAAGTACCGCACCGATCAGCACACTGTATCGGAAGAAGCTCCTACCCCCGTAACACGAAATCACGATTTTTTCGATAATTAATATTGTTTCTAATATCGATTGATTAACCTTAATCTAGTTATCGTAAACTTACAGAGTAGAGAGATGCCCCCTGCATCCAGCGGAGTGATAAGGAGTGTAAGGTCCAGAAGAGGAATCCTTGTCGATGGCTCGAAGTTTTAACTTTGGTGCTAATTGAAGGATTGAAAGAAGTAGACGAGGTGTGCGGTAAATATTCCGAATGGTTTATATTGAGAATTGACAGGTTGTGAAGTCGAGCGTAGTGAAGAAGATTCGGTAGAAAGAAGTTTGCATAGAACATCAGGAGAGGAAGCTATGATAGAGCAGGAGAAAGAGCGAGGTTAGGAGCGAAATTTCCCCCCTTGTTTCCTTATTTTCCCTTTTGCGTCGTGTTAAGGTAAACGTAATACTTGTCAAAATCTGAATAACACAGTCGTGAATATCGATAAATGGTTATACTTGCTACTATCTCACGAGTTTTGTTTCATTTCTCAGCCCCGACCAAGTACGAGTGAAATGCTTTTCAATTCTCTCTTCTACACAGCGGTTCCTGGATAATGAAAAAATACTGGATCGAAGTGAATGGATTTATTAAGATTTATATTACATTATTTAAAATTATAATACAGTCCATATCACATGATCGTCACACGTCGTCTACGGAAAAGAATCTGATTCCGAAGATTGTCTTCGGGGCGATTTCCTTGAGCGGAATTTAAAGGGATTCGTAAAGGCCTCGTTCTAACAATACGCAATTTCTTTTTATATAATTAATAATATCATAACAATGATGATAAAAACCCAGTCAAGGAAACTGACCCAAAGGCACGGACAGCTGTATCACCGTACAATTGTCTTATATTAATTTTATTGATTTTATTCCCTAAACTTTCCTAAAGCAGTACGAGATAACAACTGATAGCGAATCGACGTGCCTGATCTCGCTCTTTATGAATTTTATGCAGCATATATACAGTGACCCTTTATCGTAGTCCCAATAAAATGAAATGTACACACATTAAGCTCAAATCAACGACCCGAAGGACACGCAGTGAATCTTAGAACTAAGACTCCTCTAGCCTGCCAAAAGACATCTTCTCGTAGGAGGTACATCGGCAAAACCCTTTCGACAATTCATGCCCAGTGGATACCTGATTTGACTAGTTCGAAGGAACGACACTTCTGAAATTGCAACTGATTACCTTCTATATTATGTTTCGTAGTGGCATACAAAAAGGACGTGGAATATATTCTATAAATTCTGCCAGAACTCATTTTCCTGTAATATAATATCTCGATATTATTGAACAGGCGGAATAGCTATCGAAGCGTGCAACGAACTTGAGACGGATACTGAAAGCGTCCCTTCGAGTGTAGAAAATCTTGTAGAAACTGCGTTCTTACTTTTAATATGTTTATATTCTTTTCTCCTTAACATTGCACCCCCGTTTCTAGATCGAAGCCGATTTTTTCTAAAATCGCTGAAGAATTGTGATATATCAATATCATGCGACCAGTCAATCCCGTTCTAACCTCCAATAACCTCAAATATATAGATTCTCTTTATCAATAGCGTTTTACACCAGATATCCTAACCACCCTTTTCTGTTTTTGATTATCTTCCAGCATGATTCTGTTCTCCGAATTTCCTTTTCTTCGTTTACAGTTTCCTAGCAAAATATTATAACACGATTCGGGCAAGATACAAAAAATATCCAACACCAAATATAAAATCCAACTCCATAGCCTGTAAGTAGTTTTGCCCTCCTTACCGGAGTTAATATGCACTGACATCGCGCACTCTGTACTCCATTCTTTCTTTTTCATACATTCTTCATTTAACTACATTTCTTTGGCAATTGTTAAAGACTCCGGAAACTCAATAGAAGAGGGTTTACGCTGAGGTTTTTCATAGCGTCTCAAAGGATGAAGCACAGAGTGCACAATTTAATTAATTATTTGAAAGGATTTAAATCAAGAGCCTTGCCTCTCTGACAGATAAATTAGATCGTACCTTAAAGATATCACTTTGAATCCTTTAACGTGATCCACTTTTAGATCAAGCCTTCTATTGATCTCGGAACAACTCACTAGTCTCTTCGAAAGATCGAACCTTCAGGATATTTAATATCCTGGAAGCTTTAGATCCCCTCTGGGGATCTTCAGGTGTCTCTTTTCAGCAGCTGGTCAATCTGCGTTTTGTACATGTCTTTGACATCCTCCAGGTCGAGTCGTAGCTCTTGATTTTCTTCAACCTTCTCTCCATACATTTGTAGCAGTGCATCGTACCTGGTCTGGATCTCGTTGAGACTCTCTTTCAAAGTCTCTGCTTCGCTGACCTTTGAACTAAGGTCTTCGACTTTCTGTGTCAACGTTGACAATTCACTGTTTAGAGCATCTCTTTCAATGTTTCTTCTCGAAAGCTCCCACTGCATTTGCTGCACTTCACCTGAATCAAACATGAAGATGATACACATTATTTAATGTTCCATTTTTATGAGGAAAAAATTTTTTATTTAATAGATTTGTTTCTAAATCAAGACTTACCGTCTCGTTGCTTTAGCTGCGCCTGTAAGCTTTCGAACATTGAGGTACTGTTAGAACCAGACCTTATGCTCTCGTAGACGTTAGGAAACCTTCCGGAGCTGCTCTCGAACATCGAGTCGTTGAACTGAAACATCGATTAGAGAAGATTTTATCTTGGTTTAACTGTCAATAAATATTTATAATACTCACAGTGGGCCACACACTGTTCGTACTGCCAACGGAGTCTCTTCCGATGCTTAGAGTAGGACTGAGTCGTAACTCCTCGTCGAGGCTTTGGTGCTGTTCCAACATTGCATGATTCTTCCTCTTCTCTGCATCAGTTGCTGCCTTTTCTATGGAGAGCTTGTTCTCCAGAGAGTTTATTTCCCTTTTAAGCTCCTTTATTTTACTGGCGTGAGTTTGTTCCAGCGATTCTATGATCTGTCGATGCCTGCGAGGAATAAAGTTAGGATTGATTAATTAATTAATTATTAGCATGTTAAAGTCTACAGAGAATATTTTAGACTCTCACATTTTCTTCTCCTCGGCGAGCTTCTCGTACTCCTGCTTCATCTGCTCGTATAAACCTTCCAGCCTCACTTTCTCATTTTCTTTAGAGTTGATTCTTGCCTCGAAGGCTGACATCTTGCTTTTGAGGTTAAGATTCTCCTCCTTGAGAAACCGATCGACTTCCACCAAGTTCTCCAGCTTGGTCTGGAGCTCGATGATCCTTTCCGACATGGCCTTCTCTTGCTTCATAAAGCTATTCGATTTGTGTGATAAGTTTGCCTGAAGTTGTTCCAGCTGTCGGAGTAGAGGTTTCGTAGAAGTCGACACTGACTCCGAGAGCTCTTCGCATCTAGCCTCTGCAGTCTCTAGGCGTTTCATCAGTTCCGTATTCTCTTGCTTTAACGATTCCTCTCTCCTGTTCGTTACAAAATTAATTAATTACAAACAATTATACAAATCACTATGCTTATAACAAATTCGAACATTACTTGACATGAGACTCTTCAGCTTGTCGGAGCTTCGACTTTAGGGCTTCCACCTGTGCAGCCAGCTGGCAAGATTCTCCAGCATTCTCGATCGCTTCTTTGAGCTCTTCCTCAGCGATTGTAAGATTCTGTTTAGTGTCAGCCAGCTCCCTAAAAATATATAAGAGAAATAATTCAGCGTCCTTCAGTGTCGATGACAAAAATCCAAAATATCTTCAATTTCACCCACACTTTGGCAGCGTCCAGGCTTCTTTTGTAAGCCTCCATCTTATGTTGAGCATTGTCAAGCCTCTCTTGAAGACTCAGGATCTCCTTCTCCTGTTTCTTAGTTTTAGCAGTCAACGTGTGCACCGCTACAATTTGACTCCTCTCCACCTCTTCCTTGGCGTGAAGAGATCGCTTCAGTCTCTCCAGCTCCGAAGCCTGTTCTTCGATCTGTTCCCTAAAAAATCATATCTGTATCCACAACTCTTATAACGAGGCCATCAAATCTATTAAACTAACTTCTGATTCTTTATCGTAGCGTCGTTCTCCTTCTCCTTCAGTCGCAGTTTTTTAATAATGTTACTATGTTGAAGCTGCTGCTTGCTGAGCTTCTCTCCCTCTTCTCTCAGCTCGCGAATTATCTCGTCCTTCTCTGCATTCATGATCGACATCTGCGAGGATAATCTACTCGCCGTTTCCTGCCTGAGTTGTTCCAGGTTCTTCCTGAGGGTGTCCCGTTCGCGGATCGCCTGTTGGAACTTCCTTTCCAAAGCTGACAATCTCTGAGTATATTCATCGGTGATCTGAGACAAGTCTTGACTCTGCTCGGCGCTCTTCTCGAAATTATCCATTTGCCTGAAAAATGATAATCGTTAACGCTTTCCTTGGTTTCGATCAATCATCTGCAGGTACTGCGAAGGGTACTTCATCTCTTCGGAGTAACTTTACGCTTCTGGAATCCACCTTTTCAGCATATTGTTCTGCTCGAGCAGCTCCATGTTAGCCCGGCTGACGTCGATCAGCTTCGACTCTCTGGCTTCCAGAATTTCCGTCATCTCTTGAATCCGTTTCAATAATTTCTCTATCTCGAGATTCGTGTCGTCGGACTCCAGGCTGATCTCGCTGAGTTCTCGGGAGTGTCCCCTGGTCTTGTTTAGAGTTTTCGTCAGAAGATCTCCGCCTTTCTGCAGGTGCAGCTTCGCCGGACTCTGGCGAGACTGCGTAGAGCTGGAGTCCCCATTGGGGCTGCGGAGAGTACATTTTCCAGATATTAAAATATAACAAAGGATTTCTTCACAGATTTCGAGCATTATTTATCCACTGGCGTTGGTAATGACTTATTTACGAGGAAATTCAAGAGACACGGTCGTACCTGTACCTGGATATGATCTCGATGTCACTCGACGTCGTTGTCTCCAGCTCGTCACCACTGGTGTGGCCACTCGTATGGTCTGATCCTATCTTTACTAGATCTGAACGACTGCAGAAACAGAGAGGAATTCACTTATAAAGTGTATATTTTCCATGCAGGGAAAGCAAGAGATGGAAAGAGAAGATTGAAAGTGAGGTTAGGAAGACTACCTTTCGGAAGAGATCGGTGAGTTCTCTCTGGGCACGTCTGCATGTCTCTCCAGGTCGACGGCTTCCCCCTTCTCGACCATTGCGTCGGCTAGCATGGTTTTCACATAAGAGCTGGTTGTCAGAGTAGTTTCGACGAGACTGGGTTCCACCGAACAGAGAAGTCCAGCATTTTCTTCGGAGCTGCTTTCGATGAGAGTCCCTTCGCAGCTGGAGTCGGTAAGCATGGGGTACTGATCAGAGCACTCCGGAGGGTCAGGTTTGACAGGCTGCTCGGATTCCTGGAAACTGTCATCAGGCTCGATGGTGGAGCTCTTCAGACGTTCGAAGGGGTCTATCTCAGGAGGCTTTGCAGCTGCCTCCAGGTGTTCCACTTTGCGAATCGGTTGGGTGGTGATGGGTTCTAGAGGAAGATGCATGCCATGCTTCTCCTTAAGTGAATCGAGGCTGGCACTCAGAGGGTTTTCCGACGAACTGCCCATTGCAGGTATGTGAGGGGATTGAACATTTTCAGGACAAGTGTCGTAGGTCCTGTCAAAAACTTGTGTTAATACTGTCTGAAGTAAGCAAGAAAAATATCTAGATTTAGTTTCCTTGTCGATACTCTTACCTAGGACTTCTGTCCACGTGTTCGATCTTGGTCTTTGCTTGCTCCATGTGATGGAAAGTCTCCATGACAGTTATGACGGTGCACTCCGAAGCTGATGTATAGGAGTCCTCAGCGAGGCTGACTTCGTCGGACTCATCGACAGCGTCTGGAATAACCTCGATGCTTTCTGGCGAGGTTTTTGAACTCTTCTCTTCGGTTGGTAATCTTTTTGTAGGATCCTCTGGAGTGAGTATGGAGATCGAGGACTCTTCGGCAGAGCTGTCGGTGCCTGGGAAAAGGTGGGAAGCGTTTGCATCCTTGCCTGGCGATTCGAAGGGAGAGACACTGGAGCAGGAGTGGACTGCGAGTCCTCCGAAGAATTCCAATGTGGAACTTTCCTGCTCCTCAGCGTACGGGGTGACGGACTCTCCTCGGTCTGAACCTACCGGAGAAGGTTCTGAACGATATTGCTCCACTGGAGAGAGAAATGGGCTTCCCTCGCTTTTCCAGTCACCCAAAACCTCGACGGAACTCGGAGATGTCACTGAACTGTCAGGCAGGATCTCGACGGATTCGGAGGTGACTTTTGGACCCGTCACTGAAGTACTTGCTGTGATGCTTACGGAGTTGGCATCAGATTCCGGTGTGGTAGTGCAATCGGTGTCAGTACTCGAGTGGGATCCAAGAATTTCTAGGCTGTCGGAGCTCTTCTTGTCGCTGCCACTGGATACGATGGATACTCGGTTGACCGAATGACTGATACCTAGCTCTCTTCTCGTTACATTCACTGATTTTTTGTCCCCACTAGAGCTTGAGTCCTCTTGATTAGTTTGGCGATTATTCTCCCCATCGATGTCCATCACCTTACTTAAGGAATCATCTTTCTCCATGGAATCTGAATATTAATAGACTTATAAGCATCACAACTAAATTCGGGCACGAGGGCGTATATTCAAGGATGTTATGTACTCACTGAAATGTTCCTCATCCTTATCAATGGAAATACTTTTAGCTTCTTTGATCGAATCACTGCCAGATAGCTCATCCGATGCATCATTAGGTCTGTCGTAGTCCCCACTAGACGTCTCCGAGATAACATCCTTTCTCAAGCTGCCAAGTGGAGAGTCGAAGCTCTCCCTGGAAGCCACGGACTCACTGGATAGCTTTGAGTCTTCCTTCGACAAGCTCTCATCCACGTTCTGCCTAATGGGACTTTCCGGCAGCGAAGACGAAGATATTTCTTGGAGACCTTTTGAGGCATCGGTGAACGATTCCTGCAGTGAGGCAGAGTGTTTGATGCTTCTTTGCGTCTCTTCATCTCCTGACTTTGGATTCTCAAAGAAAGACCCTGTAAAACTTCCCCATATACTCTGTTGATGCTTGTGCGAAGAAGGCGTCTCTTCTTGTCCGCCCTCGGTTTTTAAACCCCAAGTTGCAAAGAAATCTAAATTGTCACTCGATGGGCTTTGCCCTATTCTCTGTTCCTCCTCTTTAATGTCCAGTGCCTTGTCTATCGTCTTCTGTGCCTCCTTCAGTGCTGACTTGGCCAGACTGGCGAAACCCGAGGCGTCGAACCAGCTCATCCTTCCTCATACCTAACGCAGGAAGACGGAAGACAATTGACAACAATCCAATCCACTAGATGAGTACTGTGCCGAATAATCGTCATTAATACTACGAAAAATACGCCACTGTTAACAAAACGTATAATTTCTCTGACAACTAACTACTGTTAATAATTAAACGTCGCGCGAGTGCGCAGGAAGACCTGCAGGAGGTTAGGTCGCCAAGTAGGATTTTCAATAGCGAATTTGCCAGTGGCTTTTAACGAACCCCTTACTTTTTCGCAGGAATTACGATGTTACGAAATGAACGCCTCACCCGGCGGATCCTTTACAAGAATTAAAGATTTCCATAGGAAACTCTGGGAAGAAAATTGACAGCTCTTGGGTGGCTCTCGAGCAACGTCCCCTGATGTAGGGGGTGAAGATGCACCCGTGAGCTGGCACTCTAGATGCGACTCTATTTCCGCGTCTTATCTCTCGTTTACAAAAATACGACCACTCGACCGCGTTGAAACATCAATCTGTGTGTCTTTGAATGGATTACGATTCTCGGGAGATTTAAAAGAAGTATCGCAAGACAAAAGTGTTTCGGAGAATCAGTTTATACATTTTGACAAGAGAGTAATAGTCGAGACATCGATTTAATCTTCAATCAACCTTCCGAGCGTTTGAATCTGCCGCCATTAATGTTCGGCCCGTAAACCAGTTTTCTGTTTTTACCGACCGCGATTTCCATGTGTCAGTTCATATTTAATCCCATAGAGTCGCTGGCGCTGTTGAGGATGACTTTCTGTGAGTTTTGAAACGCACCGTTATGCGGAACTGCGGAACCGTGGAACAACGGTGGAGGCGCTTTGAAAGCGCGGAACAGCGCGGAACAGCGCGGAACGGGGATCGCGGGTCGTCACGTATATCGCGTACCTGTCCGGCACCTGTCACAGCCGCGTAGGTGCTAGGGGTCGGTGCTTACTAACCTAAAAGTGTGCGAAGGGCGGCGCGTAGTCCCAAACAAGCGGATCAACGTCGCCGCAGCGTCGCAGAGCTCCAGCTGCGATTATGCCTTCGGGGTGCGAATAGCTCATCGGCGGTTGACCGCTCTTTCATTCGCCGCCTGCGCTCGGTTTATCCTCCGTTGGTTTTCAAGGTCTGCCCCGAGAATTATCTATCCGCGGCTGAAACGTCAGAGCGAAGCCTCTGGAGAACCCGAAGCGTCCCTAACCAAAACCCCGAATAGATCTCGTCACTGCCGGTTTTGTCCTTATTTCACCCTGTTTTGAATCTCTAGAGTTCGAAACATCTCCAGGAAGATCCGCGGCGATGACTGCGACACTTTGTTCCTCTTTATTTAGTTTACCCTGCGACGAGGTCCATTGCTCGAGACGCTTACATTCCTTTGTCTCTTCGTGTTTCTTGTTAACGAGGGATAAGATTCAGAGTGCTTCGCGAGGTTGATTTGCATTGTCATTTTTAAGGCATTAGCTTTTTAATTTCTTAAGATCTATTTAATTCCAGGGGAAAGGAGGAAGCGTCGATGGCAGCGTCACTTGTATGGCTCTTGGCGTGAAAATATGGCCACTGTCTTCGAAAGTCCGTTCCTGTCGAGTAGGCTGCGCCAGATAGAGGAGCGCTATGAGGAACCAAGCACCTTTGGCAGCTGCGATTGCACGAGCTATAGTTATCTCGCCCTAAGCGTGGTGCTCTTTACCATGGGCTCGGCGATTACGATCCTCGCCCTGGGTGACGTGGCGGATGGATACGTCTTCTCCAACCTGGGGCACATGTGGCTCGTCGGGCCGATCTTCATTTGCTCCGGGCTGATGGTCGCGGTCAGATGCATGCTTTATCTCAGGCGAAAGTCTGTCATCCAGATGCTCTTTCATCAGCGACAGCTATTCAGGGTGAGGCACACTGAAAGTTTAACATATTAGATGCTCAATTCGATCGAATTACTCCATAGTTCATGGAACATGTCAGTAATACATGGCAAATGGAGATTCATGATTTAAAGGGCTGCAAAAAATCTAATCGATTAACAGCACTTACAGGAACTGGCGGGTGCTCAAGGTGTGAGTGGATCTGGAACAGGAACTCCTGGACCGCCATCATACGATGCGATCACTCAGGGTCAGGGACCCAGTGAGCTGCCGCCTCCTTCATACGCCGAAGCAGTTGCGTTGCTTCAACAGGCAGGCATCCATGGTAAACCATTTGTTACGAATAGTAATTTCTTTCAATATATTCAAACTAATCCGATAAGTTTCAAAGCCAATCTCAGGAGCGGCTGGTGGTACTATGCATGTAAAAGATAGGCTGGTGTCTTCCTTTGTCCTCTTACAAAGTAGAAATTTATATACGTCTATATTTAAAATTATTATTTGAAATTAGTTCCTCAAAAGTTATTCATTTTAGATGCAAAGCCATGTTGTGGAACAGCACCAAGCAGCACGACGGAGGCCAGTGAGATGGCACGTGGCAAGCCCTGAACCACTCTTGGACCACTCCAGGCTTCTCCGTTGTCTGTTCGCCTTCGAAGGGCAGTAGCATTGGTCAGCAGGAAGTGGAACACACCCTGGCAACAACGGTGAGCAATTTCAGAGGCAACAAGAGAGCAGGTACGACGCGCGCGCTGGCAAGGCCGATGAGAGTTATGCAATAAGTTTATTCCAGCTGGCTCGATTGCCTCGCGGCACGTTAAAAACCAGAGTGGGGTAGATTTTGTTCGCGATTCATTAGAATACGAGAACAGCAGTTTTCAGGCTGGGAGGTTTAACACACCCATTACCTCAGCATCCTGATAAGTGACGATGCTGCACCCAGAGTGCCGTTGAGCATTGCTCAGGGTGGACCTCTCTTATTCTCTACTCCCGTTCTCTTTTCATCGACCACGAGTCCGGAAACGTCAAGAGTGCTTCGCCTCTGTCATCTTGCACCTGTCACTCCGGAACTGTCAAACTTAACCAGACTTGGCCTCTCTCTGGTCTTCTTTGGCTAAGAGGCATCGGTGCTTGGTTTTATTTCCTTTTTCTTTTATTTTTCCCTTTTTCCACCGATCTGGGCAGAAGTTTAGTGTTTCTCATTGTTACCGGGTCTTGCAACAATGCAGGCCGATTGATCGCACACAATAACCAGGAAGCCAAGCCCCACTAGGAGAATTTCTGACTCGGTCACATTATTGTCCAGCCTCCGAATGAGTTCGCTATGGCTGTGGCCTCTGCTTCGCAGCCCCTCGATATACCAAATTGGGCTGGTGCTATGTATCGACAGTTATGTTACGATAATTGTATGTAATAACGCGTTACGATGGATATACATAGGTATATATATATACACACATATATATAGAGGTATGTAATAGAGATAGGTTTACGTAGTTAGCCACGGGCCGGCGCCTCGTATACTTAATAGTAGGCATTAACTGTACAAGCGTCTTGGTTTCCGCGACGTCGACTCTATTATCGCGTTTTCCTTCCTTTTCTTCTTTTTACTCCCTTCTTATTTTAGCTGCACAAGGCTTTGCCACGACAGCGGGACATAATCAAAAGAAACCGCCCTCGGTGTCGCAAACGAAGCGCGAGTCGAACGAATTTTCTGGAGATTCTTTTTTTTTCTTTTTTTCAATAGCCAAATTTAGAATCTTTGCGCCTTTTTTGCGACATTTGGAGCGGACGAGTAGCCGAGGGAAAAAGATACGTTTTAGCTGCGCAGGATTTTGTCGAAAGAGAGGGACATGACCAAAAAAAAGAGCCGCTTTTAATGTCGCGACCAAAGTTCCCTCCGGTAAGTTCTTCTCGTTTCCTTTTACTCAAGACGTATTTCGAGTTCCCGTGCTATTCTAAGCGAATTAATATAGAGTAAAGGATATGTTCTAGGTGCACAAGATTTCGTCGAAACAGGGACATGACTAAAAGAAAGAAGAGAAAAAGCCGCCTTCGATGTCGCGACCTAAGCGTCAGTCATTTTCTCGGCAAATCCTCTATTATTGTTTTCTCGAAGTAGAAACAGTAAGTGCGCCTTTTTCTTCTTCTTCTTCTTTTTTTTTGCTGAATTTTATGCAAATGATCAGCAGAGGGGAAAAGCATGTAACGGTGGAGTAGAGGAAAGTGGCGGAGTCCGGGGCTCTCTCGGTCGATCGTTTCTTTTGCTTCTCCTTGAGAACCGGAACTCTCTCTCCCTCTTCCACTTCCGGTTCTCGAGGGCTCTCTTTTTCCGTCGTGGACTTAAGGCGAGGTGACTTAAGCGTCAACTTTGACCCCGAGAAACAGGAGAAAGGAAAAAAGGGGGACAAAAAAAAAAAGAAAATTAATAAACGACACTTGGTGCCTTACGATCGACTGATTATAGGGACTCTTAGCGGGCCCCACCCGAGAGGAGAGAATCGCCTGCACTTTGGCGAAGGATTCGGAAGAGTTTCCTGAACTCTTTAACACGAAGGAGCACCAGGGAGGTGGACGAATGCCGAAGAGAACGATTTAGAAACTCTCCATGTACGCGAAGTGAGTCTTATAGAACATCCAAAACGGGCTGAATTTTCTAAAATCAACCGCGATGATACATTTCCCCTCGAATGGGCCTTCGCGACATTTAATACCTGATTTTGGATATATAGATATTTTTTTTAAGACACCATACCTAAATCATCACGATTAATATCCCTTAAGGCGATGCCAAAGTGGCGACAAAGCGGTCTCGTTTATAATACTTTTCTCCGGATTGTTTGAAATTTTATAATGCGAATACAGGGGCTACAAGGAAGGTCCTGACAATCGTGGAATTTCAATATACATATATAAATCTGTTTATGGATATTTTCAGAATTTGTTATAAAATATGAAATTACACGGGTGGAGGAGCCTTCCTTATGGCCTCCGTAATTACATTGTAAAATTTGAAACGATTCGGTGCGTTCAGTTTGGAGAAATGTTTCATGAACAATTGACTCCTCGGATGTCACTTTGACATTACCTTAATGATTAATTTGGTTTTTTTTTGTTATCGCCTCAAGGCCCGTTTAAGGCCTTCCATTAGTGGGTCTAAGCAGGATGAAAATATCGAAAAGGTATCGGATTAGAGAATAGACTCTTCGGAACTCTCTTCGGCGTTCGTTGAGTGCTTAACGGTGTAATAGATGTAATCGTAAGTTCATGTAAATAGCTCAAAAACCGCGCGAATGTACCTCGCGCCGAAGTATATGTAATTAATCTAGCGTTAACCTGGATGTACGTAGGCGGAGACAAGGCATATTTTTCTATTGTACGGTAATTATATCTACGGTAAGACTGCTGCTGCCTTAAACGTACCACTAAGCGAACACAGTTACAGAGAGAGAGAGGGGGGGTGATAGGAATGTACGAGTAATATTATCGACAATTCCGGGATTTTGTCCACTCCTCTCGAGTATTTGAATTTTTACCAGGCCGATCTACGAGATAACATCTCGAAGGGATAATTATTAAACGGCGCCGGATTTTGCCGAGCCGTTTCATTGTGCGATTCTCCACGTACGCGTACACATGAGAATGAAAATTAATGATTAGCGATACCTTGTACAACTCCTTTTATCGCAAGAGGCGCGGCCATCTTGTTTCTTAAACCGGCGGACGCATTATCGTTTTTCCTTCATGATTTTCATTTTGAGAACGAACCCTCGACCTTTTGTATTAAAATCGTATCCGGGACTGACAATGGCGGGTTAATTTTATGTATAAACTGCAATTAGCGATATACTGTACAACTCCTTTTATCGCAAGAGGCGCGGCCATCTTTTTTCTTAAGCCGGCGGACGCATTTTCGTTTTCCTTCTTGCTTTTCTTTTTGAGAACGAACCCTCGACCTTTTGTATTAAAATCGCATCAGGGACTGACAGTGGCGGATTAATAAAAAAAAAAAGTAAACTGCATATCGCGAGGTTTTCCGTTTTAAGACGCCGAAATTCCGCGTTTGCAATGGGACAAGCGTCACAAAATGGAGCTTTAAGCGCGACAAAGGAGTTTGCATTTAATTTCCCTTTACCTTCGTTTGTATCTTGGTTTTTCTCTCTTCTCATAAATGTTTTGATAGATCCTTTCCGGACAGTGTGAATTTTGCCCGTTTTTTTTCTTTTTTTTGGTAAACGGAGGCGGATAATTTTCGCGGACTTTCGACGGAATGCAAACCGATTGTTACTTTCGAGGATTGCTCCGATTTTTGGCGCGTGATACAAAAATCGGGCAAAGGGAAATTAACAAGAAAATACTGAAACGGAACTAAAGGGAGGGAAAGGATTACACGCTTCGTTCTGTTAATCGAATGGCGAAAATAATTTTTTTTTTCTTTCCCCCCTATAAGTTTCTCCTCGGGTCGGATAACGTAAACGAGCTTTGCGTTTCGCATTGATTAGGTGCAATAAACACCGGGAGGCGTTATTCTTATTTTCTTTTTCTTTTTACTGGGCCGCAAGAGTCGATTGGCTCGCTTTATCTCGAAATCCGTACAGAGGCCCTGCGCTTATTTTACTAACTGTACCGAGAAAAAAAGGAAAAAGATGTGTCGTACAAATTTTCGATTTGCATTTTCTTCGGCCATCCCAGATTTTGGATTTCTCTCGCCTCGCGTCGTTTTTTATCCGTTGCGAAAGACGGGCTGTCGGACTTTTTTTTTTTCCAGAGTTTCGGAGGTTGGTAGATATTCCCTAGAGCGGAAATCTCACCCCTGGGGGAGAAAGAAACTTAATCCGTATGACTACTCATTGTGATGTTTTGTATATATTATAATAAAATTGTAAACTTAAAAAGCAAGGAACGGGAGTAGCGTTTCCTTTTTCGTTTCGTTCACTCGTGGACCTGCAAAGCGAATACTCGTCTCGATACATGAACTTCTCCGTTGAGTTTCTTACATTTCGTTCTCCTGGTTTTTCATATTTTTCTTTTCTTCTTTTTTTTTTTATTAAACAGCACGCACCTGCTGGTAAATACATTCTGCGCGAATGGAAAACCCGGGAAATATTCGATAGATCTTATTTCTCTCGCGGAATATTAGAATAGGACGTTGATTACCAATTATCTTCGCTCTGACTTAATCTTAAGACTGCGCAACTGCCAACATCTCTTCTTGGTGAATTAAGTGTGTCGTATGATTTAGCAAGCCCATCAGTTTTGACAGCGATGCAGCCCAGGTGTCCAGGAGAGCAGCCGGTTCCTGGCTACCGGTGAATTTAACTACACCTGCAGGTCTATCGGTGCGAGCATTGATCACACCGGTCTCCACCAGATTGCACAGACAGGCTTCGGTCTCCTCGACAGGAAGATCAAGCAGTTCTGCCATGCGAATCAATGTGATCTTGGTGTAGTACTTGGCCATTATCCTAATATTCTGAAATCAAAGGAAATATTTCCAATGCCTCCGCTGTCTTCTTTTTCAGGAAAGGTTAAGAAAAAGAAAACAATTTAGATAGTTACGTGTTCGACTACGCGATTTCTGAGTTCAGTCCATCGTTTCTTCCCTTCCTCGGTAGCTGAGGAGAACACTTCGGTGGCTCTCAGGTCGCTCTCATAGATCACACAGAGACCGGACCACTTGATGAGCTCAGGATTTACAAAGAGTCGCAGCAATTCCCTAGAGGTAAAGTTGTATTTTTATCTGGGTTTTTAAGGAATGTATTTAGGTAAAATTATTAGGGGTCATACTTGTATGTAGGTATCTCATCGAGGAGTTTGTCAGCGAGCAATCGGTGAGTAAGGTCAGCTTGTTCGGGCTCGTGCGGGGCCAGTATGAGGTAGAGTACTGCTCGAGATAAAGCAGCGTGTCGTTTTTTAGGATCATCTCTGACAGCTGGAGTCTCGAGAACGGCACGATTGTGACGACATAATTCCAGGTGCCAGCCTTCATGTCGGGCCAATTCCATCATTAGACTGGAATGGAGGATAATTTTAAATATACCAGATCGAACCATTTGATCAAACTCTAATAAGATACACCAGAGTTGTACTCACTCATAATACTTTAACTTTAATTCCTGGACTTCTTCTTCTTCAATATTTTCAAAGAACTTAATATTGATTTTCTTTGCAATGATCTGCGTTCGCATGAAGTCTTGTTTGGCGAGGCAGAGTCGCATCTGTTCGAGAATTAAGGATGCCATTTCCTTCGTAGACATGCTGCCGTACGTCTCTAGCTGCAGCTCCAACATTACTGCTGCAGCTCCATTGACGTCTCCATCTTCTTCTTTTAGCTTCGCCAATCGGTGGGTGAGGCGTGCTCTTTCTACTTCTACGTATATCTGTAAATTTTTCGTTGTTGAATATTTTAGACATCTCCGGGTAAGCAATGATTTTATGACACATTCGGTGTTGACTTACCTTTCCTTTGGTGACCGAACGGAGTGTTTCAATTAGCTTTATCATGGTTTCCCTGTTTGGAGTCTTGTCGACATATGTACAACACTCTTGGACCATCTTTGTCACTGCTTGCTTTAACTGAGATCGTCTTTTGGAGAGTAATATTATGTGCTCATTTAGAGCTGACCAGTTTTGTGCTTCCAGGCAAATTTCTACAATGGTCACTAAGACTCTAGACGTCGATACCATGTCGGCGGCCTGAAAGACGATTGTGAATTTTCTGCGATTTTTTCTTAAATTTAATTTCTTTACTTAAAAACGCATGACAAACCGTTCTTGTAAGCTTCTCTAGCACCAGCAACTGATCCAGAGCGTCATGAAGCTTTCCCTCCTTTGCGAGTTTCTTACATTCTGGGATTTTCGTATCGCAATTGCTGCTGTAATCTACCTCCATCTTGATGATCTTCCCATTATCCGTTATAGGTCCGTCTGCCATGTTTAACTCTTCAAAGATCTCCTATTAAAAAATTGAATCCTTTAATCATTGTACGATTACATGAAATAGTTATAAAAGTTTTCTTTTTCAAGCAGCTAGTTCGGTTCGAATTTTTGATGCCCATTTTTAGAGACATTACAATGCAGTTTTGAAGATTTTACCACAGACTGTTCCTCAGATATTTGGCCTTTTCTCAGATTTTCACACAAAGCATGAATAAAAACAGGCAAAGGTCAGTAAGAAACAAGAAAACCGAATTAATGTTAAAAGATCCACCGGAGGAAATATGCAGTTCGAAAGAAGTGAGGTTATACCGTGTAATTGGCACCAATGTTAATTGAAAAGAAATTGCATTTATATATAACTTTTGAGTAAGCAATGATTTTATGACACTCTTGATGCAAGCACTCACTTATTTTGCGAAGAAAATGATCGTTTAACGGTAATATTTACGAACAAGCGGGAACAATAACCAAACACACTTGTCAGCTTCTTGGGGAACCCTGTCAACCATTGCCAAATGACCGTTTATTTTTCATATACTTAAAAATGACTTTCAATCATTTCTAAAAAAAGCCCAAAACGAAAAACTATTATTTAAGTGGGTATTGCATTAAATAGTGTATTAGCTGCTTATTGTATTTATTAAAAAATAGAATTTATTAGATAATAATTTAACTCAAGTGGTATCAAAAGAAACCACGTGATCGGTCGTTTCAAAATGGAGGCGAAGATGGCTGATCTCGCGAAGGATGTAAATAATGTTCGCTTGCTCTGAGATTAATAAAATAATCAATGAATTTTGTGTACTTAGCGTGAATTTAGTTTGACTAGATTGAAAGGTTATAGGATGGCAGAAAAGGAGGAGGAACCCATAACAGTGGAAGAGAGCGGGAATTCCGAGGAAAGTGGGAAAATCGAGGAGAGTGAGAAGGTTGAAGAGGTAAAGGTTGAAGAAAATGTGAAAGTTGAGGAAACTCCTGAGGCTTCAGCTACCGAAGAACCTCCTCCGAGTACGGAGACGAATACCGGAGAAACTAATCCTCCCGAGGCTGCTGGCAGTCAGGCTGTCACAAAAGACAAAACGAAAAGTAAGTCGGACGGGAAACCTAACCTTAATAGGAGTAATTAAACCTTTTGATTTTTCTATCGTTGTACTGTGTTATCGCCTGTTCACGCATTCTTTTACTGTTTAGTCGATATATTTATGAAGGCGACGGGCAATACGCCGATAATGAAGAAGAAAAAGTGGGCCGTCGCCCAAGACCAGACCATTGCCAAGATTGCCGAGTTCTGTAGTAAATACTTAAAATTAGATCCTGATGAGAGATTGGTACGTGGTAAGGATTTACGTTGCGCTAGGGATTTTGAATATTTCCAATAATATTAATTTTTTATGTTGCAGTTTTTGTACATAAACCAAACTTTTGCACCCGCACCTGATCAGACTATGAAGAATCTTTACGATTGTTATGGAACCAATGGAATCCTAACTATTCATTATTGTAAAAGCCAGGCATGGGGATAATCTCCGTTGCTGTGGAGGAATAATATATAAATATATACAGTTGACTAGGCTTTTATTAAGTTATGTTATCATTGCTAAGTCATGCCATATGTGATCTAAAAAGATTATTACTCTTTGTAAGGTTTTACAAAAGATTTTATTTAATTAATAGTGTACTTGCGTAAAATCACTGTTTATTCTTACAGTTATGTGCCGATGTGTGTAAGTTAAGGACAGACATTTTTAATTCTGTACAATAGCGTACAAATAAAAATTTTTTGTATTTTTTGCCTGATGGTACTCGGTTCGATGCATTAAACTTCCACGCCGTGCATTTAAATCTATGTACGAAATTTCAATACATTTATTTTCCACAATTAGTCAATGCTAGCACAGTGTGGGCTTTACAAGTTCCTATAGGTGGTTTCTTTGCAATGGGTGAAGTTACTTTACCACCATGATTATTTGAAGGAATCGATATAGATCTATTTGATTCAGATAATCTCCGAGTATCATTGACTTGTCTCCCACTATTTGCACAAGCACAAAAAAGCTTTTCCCTCGGAACAACTTTATTACTTTTTGCAGTGCCTTCACTTCTGTTCAGTTTAGAGCACGTTGATGAAACAGACTTGTTGGACTTAACCGATCCTCTTTCACTGAATGGTGTCTTATTTTCTCCTTTACATTTGCAAGAATTTAGAGAAGGTTTAAGAGGGTCACACTTGCAGGGAATAGCCAGTGCATCGCCTGAAAGATTTAGGTATTACCATCTGATCAAAGTAACAATTAAATCTAATTCAATCAGTTATGTACCTTCATGGATAGCTTTGACACTTTCAGCAGCTTCGGACCTTGAGCTAATAGCTGCAACATTTTCTCCTCCATTCTCAAGTTCAGGTAACTTTAATTTTTTCCATTCCTCTTCCTTAAGACTGCAAGTCGATCTAGACCTGACACTGTTAACATCTTTTGACTTGTTAATTTTGTTCAAGCTTGGCACAAAGGGACACCTCCAAATCATAATGGCCCCATCGGCACTCACAGTCACAATGTGCTTATTATCTGGACTGAATTTGCAGGCAGTGATGATGGCAGCATGGCCCAACCCGATATGGGTGGTGTCAGCGGTGTGATATTCCCAAACCTTCAGAATGCTATCGTTGGACCCAGTTATAAAGTGTTCACCATCGGCACTTATGTCAAGGCAGTTCAGAGCTCCTACGCTGGACCCTTCGATCTCTCTCACCAAGGAACCATCCAGTGTCTCCCAGTATGCAATCTTACGATCGGTGCCACATGTTAAGATCTGCACAGCGTTGGGGCTAAATCGAGCTGACAAATACATGTTGTTTCCTATCAGGACTTGTTTTCTTGAACAACGGCTATAAACAAGAAGAGGTTATTAGAAATGGTATCGATGGAATATTAAATGTCTTTCATACTCACATTATGTCCCAGATGATGCATGTTCCATCAGTACTGGAGCTGACTACTTCTTCGCAGCTGTTCGATATGTGTAATGAGGTAATAGGACCCCTGTGTTCCTTTAAAATCACTTCAAGACGCTGCACGTCAGGTCTTATACTCCAAATCCTTAACTGAGCGGTAAGATGTTCTAAATTGTAATTTATTTTGTATTTGTAAATTGATATTAATGTTAAATACCTGTCCATCGCAGCCTCCGCTGACTATCCTCCTGCCATCCATCGTAATGACAATGGCAGACACTGCCTTGATGTGAGCATTGTGGATAGCAAAGATCAATCGTCCAGTTTGCGGAGTAAATGCTCTGATAAGTCCGTCATTCCATCCTGTAATTGATTTTATTTCTTAATTCTAATTTCTTTGTTGCTTTTTCAGGTAACGTACCAGAAATTATCATCCCTCCATCGAATGAGAAGCACACACTGGTGCAGATAAAATTCAGTACAGAAATCCTGAGAAGTTCCTTTTGGGTTTCGAGTCGCCAGACTCTGATGTCATTTTTACTACTCGTTGCGAAGACTTCTGAATAATTACTGCAAGGTATGGAAATTATGTATCGAAGCATTACAAGGTATCGACAGGCAATTTCTTATATTTTTACTTACTGTGGGAATGCGATGTCATATATCGTATTGGTGTGACAAGTAACCAGGAGGCGCATGTCAAAGTCTGACAGACGTATTTGATAAATCTCACAGAAGACTGTTCCGATGAGAATGAATTCACCTTTGTGCAAAGCCATCGATGTCACTTGACTGCGAACGTTTTCTGCCTGGTACTGCAAAGAGAATATATTCACAGAATATCTTTGTTGAAGGAAGTTTCATGACAATTAATTAATCGTAACTGACTGCTTTAAGCTGAGGAGTGTTCGGTAGCTTCACCGACTGAGTGCTGGTGTTCAACGGAGCATCTAGGATTTTGACAATCTCCACCGTACCATCTCCTGCACCAACCACAACTCTTCCGTCTTCCAAGAGGAGGAGATTTGTCACTCCGCCACCATACAGATCACCCTCTCCAGTTTTTCTTTTTTTTGGATCTTTTGGAATTTTCGAATAACAGCCAACCATTATGGGAGGTTGAGCAGGCTCCATGTAGGTCTTATCACGATAGTAGTTCAGTCTGACATAAACGACTGATGTTTAATAATTAATTATTAACATTTAATAGTAGAGCAACATCCTGAAATTATTTGGAGCACCTTGCTTTTATGATGTCCCCTGAAGTGGTGCCACAAAGTGCTTCTTCGTCCTTTTCGTTGATAACGATGCAATTAATCGACCGCTTTAATTTCCCCACCTTTACGTTCATTCCGTAAACCTTCCTCGACTCGGGATTAATTCTCCAGACTTTCAGAGTGTTTTCTCCCCCGGTTACGAAACATTGGTCTCGCAGATTCGTCTTTGTAATCGTGAATGCATTGCCGGACGTTTCGCTGCTCGCAAAAGAGCCTAGAAATATTCAACTTTATTATTGTATTTAATATTTATTGGCTTCAATGAACGTTTTTCAGGAATGTTAGGAACGTACCGCAAATAGCTTCGTTCTTGTTCACATCCCAGATGACAATGTTCCCATCGTCTCTGCCACCGAGGCTGATTAAAAAATTACCATCGCAGGAGAAGCACAGGTCCTCGACCTTCACTTTGTGGATCTCGTAACTGCCCAGCATCTTCCGACTCTCATAGTCCCAGATGATAACCATCGCCTGGGAAAAGAACTCCACATGTACCCGTTAAATTACATAAGAAATGTATTTTATTAATACCTTAAACCCGAGATGATTGATCTGACCGGAAGCGACGAGTTTCCCGCAAACGGAGACGCAAAGTGTCGAAATTAAATTCGTGTGTCCCGTCAGGAAACTCTGCTTCCCCGAGGTGATATCTTTTATGGTGACCTTGTTCCCCATGGGGTATATCAGGTGCTCCTGGTCGGGGTGCAGTCGCAATCCATTCTTCGTGGCTCCTGAAATGAAATTTTCATTCGCCATTCGGACTGCTCTAATTCTTCATGATTAAAATGCTTATTAAATTATATCACATCACCATCGAACGATATTATCCCGACCAGGTCCAGTTCTCCTATGTCCTTTGGCATTTTAACCCGAGTTTATTGACAGAATCCTTCAGGATCGTCCTGGGTGACGTCTTGGCAGTCCTTTTGACAGCTGCGTGGGAAGCGGCGTCGCTTGGGAACAAACACGTGGTCGCGTCGCCATGGAGACACGAGGGCCGCCGGAGACGCCCGAAGACGCCCGAGCCCGCATCTAGTGGAGCGCTCCGACTTTCTGATGTATCCAGACCGGCCTAACGGAATCGACGAATCGCAACCCCCCAATCTTCCATATCTCACGCCGTAAGACTATAATTTTTACATTGACTATCGTAATCTCCGTTTTATCTCCTGGAATTACAACTCTCAATGCACTTATTCCGCTAATTAATCCTTGATGCATCTCCGGAGAGTACGTGCGCGAGACGGAAATAATTCAAAAGAGGATCCCCTTATCAGTAGACCGCGAATCTCGCCCTTATCAGAGCGTCGAAAAGTCTGCATGCGATGCACCGTACATTCGAGATAGGAGGCGAACCAGATCCGTAAAGTGTAATTTCGAGTCTGAAGGCGTCAAGAAATCGGTCGATCGTCCCACTATCAGAAAGAGCGCGGCTGATAGAGAAATACTTAAATAAATCATTAACATCAATTTCCATTAATTACAGATCGATAAAACAGATGTAGGCAATCATCTGGCAAGTTTCCATTGTCGGGCAATGCCTTCATTTCCCTCTCTCCCGAGGAAAATGACAGCTTGATAGGAGACGCTCCCGGCTCTGATAAGGATTATTAAACTTTTCCATCGGCCCTGCCTGAAGGCAGTCTAGGTAATTTCGCCCCCACTTACTATCGATTACGCTTGGTTCTACATACGAGCTCGAAAACACTCATTAACGGCTGGCACGCACGAAAGCGATCTTATTTGCCATCGGATTTAATCTTTCCGCAATGTGAAAAAGAATTTAACACGCTGTTCCGTGAGGGATCAGAGGTGCTTAAAGGTGAAGCGCTCGCTCTCGCGAAGACGATTACAGGGATTACTCGATTAGGCTTATCAGGTTTAAAATAAGAGATCCGTGGTTTTTACCAAATTCTTGGGTTGTTATTAAAAAAAAAATTCTAATGATGATTATTGCGCGTCTCCTGTTTGTTATTATAGGTGAGATCAGACGAGAGACCTCGCGACTCCAGGGCCCCCGAGGCCACGTGGCCGGGTGACAGTTCGCTGTCACTGATAACAGGCGGAAAGTCTCCTCTATTGGCTTACGATCGTCGGATTATCGATCGTGGTCGGTAGGGGCGATCGATTTGTGCCCAGAGTCGCCGAGATCGAGCACCACGAGAGAGACGACTGTCCGAAAGAATCGAGAAGATCCGGAGGTTTATCGTCTCGCGATATACTACGGTTGTATTACGAGATACGCCCAGCCCGTGAGTGCGAGAGAGAGGAGGCGATGCCGGCGCAGGGAGAGCGAGAGAGACGCGGATAGGGAATCTGAGTCTAACACGAGGAAGAGGAAGGAGGTCGATAGAGACATCGAAAGAAAGACCAAAGATCGCGGATAGGACTGTGGCAGGGAGAGGGACCTCGTTACATCGGACATGTAAATAAACAGTGATACACCGACAGTGCGTAGCAGTGATTGGACGGGAGTGCAGGAACTCGACGGAGTTATCGACATTTTGGGAACGAGGAATTTTGGAAATCCTTAAATTTTCTTCCGTGGCCGAAAACTACGAGTCCCAGGTGAGGTGGAGGTTCGGGTCGGCGGCGGTCTTCGGGAGGCCGAGGTCAGGGTCGGCGGCGCCTTAAGGCGGCTCACGGTCAGGGTCAACCGCGGAATTGAGGCTGGTCAAGATGCACAAGATTCGAATCGACAGGGCAATGGAAAGAAGGCCACTTTTGGACAGGTGGGTCGCCGAATCAAGGAGGGACGTCAGGTGCGTCTGTGAAGGTACGTCCACCCTCGCCTTCGTTAAGGCGACACGAAAGCGCCGCTCAAATCCGCCAACCTGACGGTCTACTCAGTTTCCTCCGCACTGGGGGTACCGAAACATCCGAAACTTCGCTACGTGGTCAGGAAGGCCTTAAGGAAGGTCCCTACAATCCTGAAATTTCATTTCTTCCTCATCTTTTCCTATAAACAATTTTTTATTTTCCATGGAAACTCGAGTCTCTCGGGTGTTACGCCTTTCTTAGAGCCTCCACACCCTCGAGGAGAAATATTAATACGATGATGCATTGTGCGATAAGGTGCGAAAAGTTGAATAAACGATTGTTCACTTTGACATTTCCGTGTCGCGATAATTACCACGTGGGAATTAATTGTTTAAAAAATCCCGCCACGTAGACTGCACGGTGCTCGCTCGTGCGTGGTTTATCATTATCAAATTAGCTCGGAAAAGGGAGGGAAAATGGAAAAAACAGGACACCCCTGAGCGATCAGAGGTGTGATCGTCCTCGATCGGTCGATTAACCCGGAAGAGTCGATCATGGCGAAGCTCGAGGTCGCCGATCCGACCCGGCGCCCTCGGCCGTGACAGGTCAAGCTGTTCCCTCGATTACGTAGTTTCTTTTCTCGATTTCCATAATTTTTTTTTCCTCTCTCCTCTCTTATAATGGAATTTTGTCGCGTACATTCTAAATCGACTCGTTGACTCGTCGATAAATAATTCCGAAGCGATATGACGGTGCAAGGTAACGGCCACCGCGAAAACTAGAGCTCGCGGATTTATCGGGCTTATCGGACCGCTCAGTTATTCAGTTTCTTTTTCTTTTTTTTCCTTCAGTTTAGCCACTTAGCGATAAATACCACTGATTAGCGATAACTCGCCACTCGTGTGTGTAGGAGATACCGACACTTGGAGGGGAGACATCTCTTCCAGAGTGGAGGGCGGAATTAATTGCAAAGTGCGGCGGAGATTTGTTTTTAAAAATTAGGGGGGTACGTCAATGGTTAGGTCGTATATATATAAAATATTATATAAATATATATATACAAAATAGGATATTGAAATGAAAAGAAACACAGTTGGGTAATAAGTTACTTGCGAGAATTGCGATTCGCAGTGCAGGCCACGGTCGGACGTTTTACTGTTCCTTGTAAAGTGTAAATCCACTGCGTGGACAATTTTTAATTTATTATTGCACGAGCGTTGAAACAATTTCCGAGTCGCCCCCTCCGTCCGGAAACGTCGCACGGGCTGTAAAAAATAATTGACTTACGTACGTGGCACTTTTAGCCGTAACGAGAAGAGACGTAAGTGTCGGTTCCCGTTATCGTTACGCCTTGGCGTGGAAAAGGGAAGAATAAAAGACAAGGAGGAAAATAAGAAAAAAAAGGAGGAAAACGAGAAAAAAAGAACGCGCGAGTCTCTCGGAAGTATTTGCAAGGCGGCCTCGGCCTTCGGCAGGATCGATTGGCGCGATCGATCGTTGACGATTTTGCTTTTTTATGCCTCGTTACTCGAATAGTGGAGGAAAAGAGGGGAGAGAAAAAGGGAGAAACTTGGAGATTTAGTCGTGAGATATTCTGGTGCATCGCGAGAGAAAATGATTAATGAAATCAGCGCCCGATTGAGATCGATGCGATCGATCGTCGACGATTTTTCGATGGCTCGTTATTTCGGGCAGAGAGAAAAGGGAAGGGATAGAAGTAAGGAGTGAAACATAGAGATTTAGAGGTGAGATAGTTTAATGTATCGTGAGAGGAATTATTAGTGAAATCGGCGCCGATCGATTAACGCGATCGATCGAAGAGGATTTTTTTTTCTATCGATCTTTATTTCGGGCAGATAGACAAAAGAGGGGATGGAAGGAGAAAGAGACATCCAGAGATTTGGTCACGAGATTTTCGGATGCATCGTGGGAGAAATTGTTAATGGTAATTGGCGCCGATCGGGATCGATGGGGAATCAATATCGTATATTTTACGGGCGATATAAGCCTGATCGATTTGAAGCTGCTCCTCGTCTTCGACTTATCCGAAAAAACGGAGCAACGTAATCGCTTTTATGATCGTGGAATTTCTTGCCGAAGGCGATCGATATCGTGCTATCGATTGATCGAACAGTGTCAGAGAACCGATCGGCGTCGACCTCTCGACGCCGTCTTTGACACCGATTATTGTGTGGACAATAATACTCGACACGCGATAACAAGGTTTACAAAAGAATCCCAAGAACATAGAGTGGCGGGAAGGAAGGAAGAAAGATGAAAAAAAATTGCCCTGGTCGAAAATCCAGATCGATCGATCCACTCTAATCGGTGATCGATACTCTATGGGGACCGATCGATCGGCGAATTTTCTTAATTTCTTAATTTCCCTAATTTCTCTGAAAACTACATCAAAGTTATTACAATCCACGGCGTGAGAAGTCGAGGTAATCGATACCAATCGATTTTGATCGATCGGCAAGGTTAACAATTCAATTTCCCTCCATCTTATCCCCAAGATTACATTGTCGATGCAATTTGTAAAGTGCACGTAAGACGCGGAAGCGTCGCGGGAAGCCCGCCCTAATCGTCGATCATGGGTGATCGATGATCGATCGCCGATCGATGGTCGGTCGAGCGGCAGTCGACCAATCAGGAGGCTCCGTTTCCCCTGGGGCGAGGGGCGGGCTTCCCCGTGGCCTGATTGGCTGGTTCTTATCATGCCCGATCGGCACCACGCCTATCTTATCAGCGGCCGATCGCGCCGATAAAAGGCGAACTTATCGGCGATTGGTGCTCAGTCGGTCGCGCACGCGCATCGCGTCCACGCAGGCCGCCGATCGATCACTCGCGGCCTCGCGGCCTTACCGATCACACCTCCGCGAGCCTCGCGACCCATCCGTCGATCAGATCGATCGCGATCGATAGATCCGCCACGCCGGGATCATGTTGTCCGCCTGGAAGACCTGTTGTAAGTAATGACGACCTATCCCAATTTTTTCTAAATTTAAACATCCTTCTTTGAGGATTTGAAACTTAAAGGAAAAGAATTGACGAGATCGATCGCGATCCATCGATCCGCCGCGCCGTATCGATATTTAATTAGAAGACCCGCTTTAAAAAGTGACGATTTTTCCCGATTTTCTTCTTTCTTTTCTTTCGAATGTTATAAATTATAGGACAAAGTTTGGCGAGATCGATCGGGATTTATCGATCCCCCTGTAAGGTGCGATGATCTTCCTCGATTATTTTTTTTTTTTTTTCCCAGTGCCAAAAAATATAACGAAACACTCTCGTGATCCTTCTGTTGTTTAGATCGATCTTGTTATGAGTATCGATTTTTTTCGATTTGTTCGAGCGAAAGGAAATGTGTAGGAAGAAGCTTCGGTAAAGGGGGGAGGGAATGGGATATCGATCGATTGTTATCGCCAAATCGCGATCTCGCACTTCTCGTATCAGCTGTTCTTGCGGGAGGGAATCGCGCTGTTTTCCGCGCCCTGGAATTACCGGTTGAAAAAGATCTTCGATTAATCGATTATTATCGCAACTTACGTCCAGGCATATCGCATCGATCACTCCGCGCCGAAGATCGCAATAAACATTGCACTTCCGGTCGGAAAATTTATCGCCCTTTCCTCTTTCTTACGTATATCGACATTGTTCATATCACTCATATTTAACGACCGCCCTAAGAAAGAAATTAATTAATGTATAAATAATGTCAATACATACTCTTCCGAATTAAGTTCATTAGTTTTTCCACACTTTTCATTAATTTACAGGATTTAAATGTCGGCATTTCGCGCACACTCGCGAGACTTGTGAAAAAAGGGGAGAAATTTATGTATAAATAATTTGCGTACGTATATAATTACGGCCTTTTGGCACGGTAATGTTTCTCCTTTTTTCCCCCGAATAATTTCCATTNGTCGATCAGATCGATCGCGATCGATAGATCCGCCACGCCGGGATCATGTTGTCCGCCTGGAAGACCTGTTGTAAGTAATGACGACCTATCCCAATTTTTTCTAAATTTAAACATCCTTCTTTGAGGATTTGAAACTTAAAGGAAAAGAATTGACGAGATCGATCGCGATCCATCGATCCGCCGCGCCGTATCGATATTTAATTAGAAGACCCGCTTTAAAAAGTGACGATTTTTCCCGATTTTCTTCTTTCTTTTCTTTCGAATGTTATAAATTATAGGACAAAGTTTGGCGAGATCGATCGGGATTTATCGATCCCCCTGTAAGGTGCGATGATCTTCCTCGATTATTTTTTTTTTTTTTTCCCAGTGCCAAAAAATATAACGAAACACTCTCGTGATCCTTCTGTTGTTTAGATCGATCTTGTTATGAGTATCGATTTTTTTCGATTTGTTCGAGCGAAAGGAAATGTGTAGGAAGAAGCTTCGGTAAAGGGGGGAGGGAATGGGATATCGATCGATTGTTATCGCCAAATCGCGATCTCGCACTTCTCGTATCAGCTGTTCTTGCGGGAGGGAATCGCGCTGTTTTCCGCGCCCTGGAATTACCGGTTGAAAAAGATCTTCGATTAATCGATTATTATCGCAACTTACGTCCAGGCATATCGCATCGATCACTCCGCGCCGAAGATCGCAATAAACATTGCACTTCCGGTCGGAAAATTTATCGCCCTTTCCTCTTTCTTACGTATATCGACATTGTTCATATCACTCATATTTAACGACCGCCCTAAGAAAGAAATTAATTAATGTATAAATAATTTCAATACATACTCTTCCGAATTAAGTTCATTAGTTTTTCCACACTTTTCATTAATTTACAGGATTTAAATGTCGGCATTTCGCGCACACTCGCGAGACTTGTGAAAAAAGGGGAGAAATTTATGTATAAATAATTTGCGTACGTATATAATTACGGCCTTTTGGCACGGTAATGTTTCTCCTTTTTTCCCCCGAATAATTTCCATTAGGAATTCTTCTCTTTTTTTTTTTTTTTTTTTCAGGGATCCCGGAATATTTGCACACTTGTCTCGTTGTGCGCATCTCCCGGCGCGGTGTTTATGAAATTGAGAGAAAAAATTCGAAAACGTACACACCGCGCGGTATCTTATCGAGGAGTCGCATCACCTCGTCTCGAAATCGACGTGTAATTTCTTAATCCCCGCCTCCCTCGTGTGTGCGAGCGAGAGGGAACATGAGAAAAGAGGAAAAAGAACACGAGCGAGTCATCGCTACGATTGTCGTTTAATTCGCGGCAGGTAAATAGGAAGAGTCGCGCGGAATGCGGACAATTGAAGTCCGAAAATTCCGCGTGGTCGTAAAGAGCAATTACAAAATGAAAAGAAAAGAAAAAAAAAATTAGTGCACCGAAATAAGAAAATCCCAGGAATATTAATTTAAATATCACATCAATTAATAGACGTAACGTCGCGTTTGGCAATTTTCCCGCGGATTACTTCGTCGATCGGGAAGTTATTTTTTACCGGTGATAAGATAGGAGATCCAGAAAGGGGGGGAGGGATCGAGTCTCCAAATCATTTCCCATCGTCGGGAGATCTCCAGTAGACATGTACTTTTTTCCGGGGGGATTTAATTGCGAGATTTAATTACCAGATACCCCTCGGGTAGATTATCGCGCCCTCTTGTACCGAGAGGACAATGGGGATGAGAGGGAGAAAAAACGGCGCCGTGGGGGAATGATTTTCTTATCAATTTTTCCTCGTTTTTTCCCTTTTTTCTTCCGGGGGATAGTTTCTTTTAGCTTCGATTCTTACGTCGGGCGTTATGCGCGATTATGTGTCGCAATTATGTAACCTGTAACGAGAGGATGGATGTGTACACGTGTTCGATTTCCCCCTTATCGATGTCTCACGGTAATCATTATCAAGGAGATATGCGGTCAGTTCCTGTATCTTCCGAAAATCGGCCGGCTACTTATCTCGGCCGAGTTTAATTAACTTCGACGGAGGACAAACGTCAAGTAGGTCTTGACGCGTTCAATTTGATTTTCCGGAAAGTTTTTCCAAGAGGAAAGCCTCCGGGTGGAGGCGGAGGACTTTAGAAAGTGAACCTCGCTTTCCGCTGCGGCTCGGTAATGGCGATTATCTTGGGAGATAATTCATCTCTTCTGGGGGTAATTAATTGGAAATTTCGTCGATTGGTCGTGGAATTTTTATCCGGCGCGTTCTTCGGTTAATTACGATTAGTCGGCCTAGGGGGGTGGGATCGATCGACGCGATCGATTTTGCTTTCATCGCGCGTCGATCTTGTAGGAGAAAGCGAATCGCTAATGGGGATCCTCACTTTCCCTTATCGCGTCGTTAAAGTCTCTTTTGGTGGCGTTCTTCAAGTCGGAAAATTGGGGAAGGATCCTCTTAAGAGTTAAATAAAAAAAAAAGAAAAAAAAAAATCAGTTCACTCGAGAAAATTTGCGCCCTGATTTTTTCCTTTCCTGAGATTCCTCGGAAAAGTCGAGGTGGGTTTCATACCTTGAAGAGTAACGACATGGAAAAGCCCCTCTCAGTATATACAATACATGTCAAAGATTAGAGAAAAAAAAATGTAGAAATTCAGATCACACGAGAAAAATCTGCATCGCATGATTTATTTCGTGAAGTTCCTCGGAAAAGTCAAGGTGGGTTTTCCTACCTTGAAGAGTAACGACATGGAAAAGCCCCTCTCAGTATATACAATACATGTCAAAGATTAGAGAAAAAAAATGTAGAAATTGAGATCACACGAGAAAAATCTGCATCGCATGATTTATTTCGTGAAGTTCCTCGGAAAAGTCAAGGTGGGTTTTCCTACCTTGAAGAGTAACGACATGGAAAAGCCCCTCTCAGTATATACAATACATGTCAAAGATTAGAGAAAAAAAATGTAGAAATTGAGATCACACGAGAAAAATCTGCATCGCATGATTTATTTCGTGAAGTTCCTCGGAAAAGTCAAGGTGGGTTTTCCTACCTTGAAGAGTAACAACATGGAAAAGCCCCTCTCAGTATGTACAATACATGTCAAAGATTAGAGAAAAAAAAATGTAGAAATTCAGATCACACGAGAAAAATCTGCATCGCATGATTTATTTCGTGAAGTTCCTCGGAAAAGTCAAGGTGGGTTTTCCTACCTTGAAGAGTAACGACATGGAAAAGCCCCTCTCAGTATATACAATACATGTCAAAGATTAGAGAAAAAAAAATGTAGAAATTCAGATCACACGAGAAAAATCTGCATCGCATGATTTATTTCGTGAAGTTCCTCGGAAAAGTCAAGGTGGGTTTTCCTACCTTGAAGAGTAACGACATGGAAAAGCCCCTCTCAGAATATGCTATACATGTCAATTACAGAAAAAAAAAAAAACAAAAAAAATACGCAATCTTTTTTTTATGTCCCGCGAAGAGTCAAGGCAGATTCAGGACCTTGAAGAGTAACAACGTGAGAGAAACATGGTGCCCCATAGCATGATAATCATGTTAAAAAACGAGAGAGAGAGAAAATATAGAATGCGAGGTTCATCCTAGAAAATCCGCGTCGTGTAATTTTCTTTTAAGTCTCCCGGGAAATTCCATATAAGAGTGAAGGTGGGTTTCAGACCTTGAGGAGTAACAACATGGAAAAGGCCTGGGCCCCTCAAAGCATGTCGCGAAGAGGTAAGGCCTTAGCCTACATGCCTAATTCCGTAAGGCCATACGATTGCGATTCTCTCCTGCGGTTTTCCGCCTCCACCTAGAAGGGGAGAAACCTCGCCGTTTTAGCGAACCCACCCACGTACGAGATTGGACTACTCGATGGAAACTGTCCTCGGCACTTCCGGTCGGAAGTGGTCCCCGACCTCGGGGACTCATCCTCGATGTCTCTCCCGAAAACGAAGAGAGAGAGAGTTAATATCGGAAACAATGAAAAGCCGGACATAAATTCCGAGTAGGGACAATAGGCGGTATGACGCTCCGCGTCTTGCGGTGCATCCTGCGAATTTGCATACGAATGCACCGAGACGATGCATGGTCTCACGGAAAGTGAACGTTTTCCGGGTAAGGCCGAGTTCCCTCGGTGTCAAATAAGTTTTCCTCGTCAATGCCGACAATGTCGTTGCGCAAATACCAGTCGATGGGGCAATTGGGCGTTATGCAACCGATCGCGAAGGTTAAGTCCCACTCGCTGCGGAAATTTCGTCGAAGAGAGGCCCTCCCAATTATCCCGATTTGCATAAGACGATTAAGGTGGGGGGGAGGCGAAAATCCAATTCCTATATCGTTCGGAATTATTTTGGAATTTTTTCCCACCCGAATACGGAGGACCTATGGTACGATGAGATTATAATTTTTTCCGAAGTTTAGGAACATTAAAAATATTTTTTTATGGAAGATGGGACCTCATGGGGGTCAGGCCTCAGCTATCACATGGTGGGATTTCAAACGACTCGGCGTGATTAATTAATTAATTCAGAGAAATGTTTCAGGAGTAAATCCCAGTTCCATGTCCCCTTAATGTGGATTTATGGCCAATGGATTTGGAATATGATTTTTGTATCTCATTTTCAGGCGTCCGGGTGCCGCAGAGATGGGTTTTCGCGGTGATGGGGTTCCTGGCCCTGTTCAACGCCTACACCATGAGGATTTGTCTATCGATCGCCATCACGGAGATGGTGGTCCCCGAGGCGGGACACCATAACGAGAGCAGAGATGACACCTGTCCAATGGAGAACAACACCTCGGACTCCCCTGTGTCGTCGGGGGGCACTTACGATTGGGACGAGTACACCCAGGTAATACACCATAAAAATGATAAAAAGTTTCAAGGAATAAAGTAGAAGTTTCATGGGTGTCGGGACCTTCCCCAGGGCTTCCACACTCCTGTGGTAAAATTTCAAACGATTCGGTGCAGCCAGACCGGAGAAAAGTATGATAATAGAGAGCCCTCCCCTTTGATAAGCCCTTAATACCCATTTAATTCTCCTTCAGGGCATCATCCTGTCGTCCTTCTACTGGGGCTACGTGTTGACCCACCTGCCAGGTGGGATGTTATCGGAACGTTTCGGTGGAAAGTACTCCCTGGGTCTTGGGATCCTCTCGACGGCGCTATTCACCCTGATAACGCCCCTGGCAGTAGAATGGGGCGATTCGACGGCCTTAATAGTAGTGCGAATCCTGATGGGCCTAGGGGAGGGTACAACCTTCCCCGCGTTGAACGCGATGTTGGCCCAATGGACCCCCCCAGAGGAGCGATCGAAGATCGGGTCCATGGTGTTCGCAGGAGCCCAGCTGGGCACCGTCTTCACGACGACGTTGTCCGGTCTGATCCTCCACTACTCGGCCATAGGCTGGCCAGCAGTCTTCTACCTCTTCGGGTCAGTCGGGGTCCTCTGGTTCCTGGTCTGGGTCCTGGTGTGCTACAACAACCCCAACGAGCACCCGTTCATATCCGAATCCGAGAAGAAGTACCTGCACGAGAGGATGAGCGAGCACACCCACCAGAAGCCACCCCCAGTCCCCTGGAAACACCTCCTGACCTCTGTCCCCGTCTGGGCGCTGATAGCAGCCCAGATAGGCCACGATTGGGGCTTCTTCACTATGGTGACGGATCTCCCTAAGTACATGAGCAGCGTGCTCCGGTTCTCCATAAAAAGCAACGGGTTGTTGTCCTCGCTGCCCTATTTGTGCATGTGGCTCTGCAGCATCCTATCTTCCTGGCTGGCCGACTGGGTTATCACTGCTGGCCTCATCTCCAGGACGAACGTCAGGAAGCTGGGCACAACCATCGCATCGATTGGACCCGGACTCTTCATCATCGCCGCGTCCTATGCCGGCTGCGACCGCGTCGCCGTCGTCGCCATGTTCACCGTAGGGATGACCCTTATGGGGACTTTTTATCCAGGGATGAAGGTGAACGCCCTGGACCTAAGTCCGAATTACTCCGGGACTCTGATGGCCATTGTTAATGGGATCGGCGCTTTTACGGGAATCCTGACGCCCTACGTAGTTGGGGTCCTCACTCCTGATCAGACCATCTCCCAGTGGAGGCTCGTCTTCTGGATCGTCCTGGCTGTCTTCATAGTCACCAACCTCATCTTCGTAGTCTATGCCAGTGGGGAGGTGCAGTACTGGAATGATCCAGAGTTCTTGAAGAAGGAACGAGAGGAGAGGCGGAAGAGACTCTCCGGGGAGAAGGCCAAGGATGGGAAATGAGGTGGATGGGTCCCGAGGGTTCCCGACCGGGAGCACGGGATTCGACCTCTGGAGATAGGTGGATGCAATCTCAAGAGATAGGAGAGAAGGAGAGCCTCGGCAGAGAGAGAGGCCTGGGGGAATTCCCCTTTTGGGGGAATCCCGAGGATTTGAAGGAAATTCTGGGAGGCTCCCTGCCGGGTCGGCGGCTTCCAGGAATCCCCCTGGGAGGCTGCAGACCGGGGCGGCGCTCTGGATAGAGATCAAGGTCGTCGCTGGGGATTCCCTAGCGCCCTAGTCTTTTTTTTATCACGTCCGTGCACTGATGGGATGGTACGTCGAAATATCCCGACGACTCGGAGTCATCCTCGATTTTTATAGTCGACTTTTAATTAGCGTTTCGATTCTATTAGACGGACACGTGGAGTCGTCTCCTAGTTTCGCTCCCGCAAAATCATCCTCCTGATATCATCGATAGTGAGCGATTAGACCTCGCGAGGCCGTACTTGCGCAACGATCACTCGATGACAGTGATTTTTACGTCGCAGGCGGTCTCTCTCTTTCGAGGGGTGCTGTTTTATCCGACAAGGGGGACCGCCATGCACTAGTCATTAAGGCGATATGAAAGTGTCATACGAGAACTCAATCCTTAATGCAATTTTTTTTCCAAATCACTCGCACCAATTCGCTCGAAATTTCCGCCCATAAATCCGGAGGCTCCAAGTGAGGTCCTGACACCCATATAATTAGAAATTTAAAAAATTTCTATTACAAATAACTTTTAATTTCTTGCAAGGAATTAAGTTTAAAGGGTGTTGGGACCTCCCTTAAGGCCTCCACATCCACGTGGTAAAGTTTGACGCGATTCGGCGCAGACCATTCGGAGAAAAGTGATTAATCGAATTGTCAGACGCCACTTTCATCCCACCTTAAAATCGTCATATGTTATCCCTCGACGAGAGGCGGCCTTCTCTCATCTCCATTGTCATCCCAAAATTTGTACATACACTCACGAATCGTGATTTCCCGGGATTTCGATCTCCTTATCACTTGACGCAATTCTTATCGTGACGAGACAACGTATCGACAGTCGAACCGGACTTATAATTAAAAAACGGCGGAAAAAAAGCGGCGTTCTTTCCGCGTTCTTCTGTCGGAGATCGGGCATTATCGCGTGCCTTTGTTCCAAGATCGATCGGGATCGGATTAATCGTCATCGATTTAATCGGCGCTATCGTTATCGTCTCTTGACGTTCTAGACTTAAGGAAATAGATTAAGGGACTCGATGGTCCGATTCCAGATAGAGGGAATGCGAGGAATGCGATGTCAATGTTACATAACAATGCCAAAACGACAATGTCAGTCTGATCTTGTCAATTCGACATTTCTAAACACGCGTATCGACAAATTAGTGACGAATCGCTCCAATAGATGGCGACAGTATGCGGTAGAAATTCTCGAGAGCTTCGTCTCTCATCAGCGGTCGGTAAGGGAGATGTCCCTCCTTATCACTGGCCGCTTCATCGGCGGATCGATTTTCGGATTAATCGATCTCGGCAGTTTTACTCGACGTTTAATTAACCGTTTTATTTTCCTAGGTAGACTCCTCCCTGTGAACGAATTTTTATTAATAAATGTGACAAGGTCCCTGAGAGCGAGCCCGGAACTATTTTTTTTCCCGGGCCGGTGATAACGAGAGATCACTGATAATCAGGCTTTACGTACACCGTCATGATGATCTCTTTGATGTATTGTATGTCAATTCCGAGGAACGGAGTAGTACTTGGAACGACTCCACGGTTTTAATTTCTTGAAATGAGACCGACTCGAATTGATTAGACGAGATGATTACGCCGCGAAAAAAAAACTTGATTCCTTTGACCCAAGGGGCCTTTCTTTTAAGGGGGGAAAAAAAAAGGAAAAAATCTAATTAATTTAAGGGATAATTATTTGATTAAAATAAACTGGAATAAATCGTCATATTTACGAGGAGACACTGCGACTTATTTATTCCAGTTCATTTGGTTGAATTAATTTTTCTTCTAATTAAGAAATTATTTCCTTGGTATTAGTCGAAGATTCTTTTTTTTTTCCTCGGTGCTGTTAATGATGCGACAATTATTCTGTAATTGTTGGAACTGATGATTGGGGGGCCAATGACATGACACGTGTTGTCATGACGTGATGACACTTAATAACTGTTGCGATGCGAGTAACACGTGTAATGTCATCTCCATGTATATCCACTCGACGTGCTCGCAACGAGACTCGATGACTTTATTTCCCGTCCCAAGATATCGGCATTATCGTCGCTCACGATTCAATTTGAATTCCTGACACGATTGATCCGTGACGTCATGCCCGCGCCCCGTGTCGCCGGAGTACGACGGCGCGAGTTAAGGGCGCTTTTCGCGCGGCCGGTCGCGGGAAATTGAGCTCTACGCCGCGGCGCGCGACTTTTCAATCATATTCATGCAGTCATCCATTTCCTCGGGCGACGCGATTTATCATTTCGGCCTGAATACAGCGAAGGATTACCTTGCATCATCGGGAGTCATTTCCACGGTGACAACGCCTTGGTCACGTCTAATTAAAGTCTCTCCTCGAAGATCTCATTTTCCCGAGAAAATAATAACGACAATTATGGAAATGGCTCAAGTGCGTATTTCCACAATATCGCGACTTAAGTACATTTAACGAGAAAACAACAAAAAATGTCATTGGACCAATGAAATGTTTTCGCCGATTCGAGGAATACTTATTTTACTCGAATTTCGAATAATTGTCATAATTCCGGGGAAACGTTCTATCCAATTAATTCGAGTGAGATAATTATCCTCTGAATTTGCAAAATATTTCTTTGGTACTATTCAAAGGAACATTTCTTTGGTACAATATTTTTATTTTTTTTTAATTTTTTTTTCTGGGGTTCATCGTACTCCATATCGATTAGGTAATCGTTTGGATATTTTGGAATCGTTTTTCTATCGATTTAATCGAGATCGAAGATGTGGCAAGGATATCTGGAGATTCGCAGGGATGCTGCGAGGATCGTCCCAGCAGGGAAAACTGCTCCAGATTCTTCGGACTCGGTTAACTTAGCCGGTGATTAACGTCCAATCGAACCGTTCCGTTAATTGCGCGGTCGGGATAATGCTCAGGAAGTACTATCGATCGCAATTCGAGATAGATCGGTAATCGTATTAGGCTCCCGAGACGAACCGGAGGGAAGACGTATCTCCGGCATCCCGAAGGATCCTCCCCGAGGATTTGCCCCACACAATCAAGATTATACGATTTAATCGTACACTAATCATCGGCCCCGCACCTCTGCATGACTAATGATTAAATAAATTAACTGGAAAAATTGACAAGTCCTAATTAAGTGGATATATACGGGATAATCAACGATATGGGAATTTTCGGGACTCTGGAAAAAGGATTTGCCCCACACAATCAAGATTAAATAATTTAATCGGACACCAATCATCGGCCCTGCACCTCTGCATGACTAATGATTAAATAAATTAACTGGAAAAATTGACAAGTCCTAATTAAGTGGATATATACGGCATAGTCAACGATATGGGAATTTTCGGGACTCTGGAAAAAGGATTTGCCCCACACAATCAAGATTAAACAATTTAATCGTACACCAATCATCGTCCCTGCACCTCTGCATGACTAATGATTAAATAAATTAACTGGAAAAATTGACAAGTCCTAATCAAGTGGATATACACGGCATAATCAACGATATGGGAATTTTCGGGACTCTGGAAAAAATCCTGGAATGATTTTGGAGGGAATAAAAAATGGTTTTTGAAAAAGGGAGGGAACAATGAAAATTGGGTATTTTTAGCCGAATGTATATGAAGGCGGCCTTAACGAGCGAGAAAGGAAGTTCTCTCTCTCTCCTTATCCGCCGAGACGCGTCACTTCCGGCGGTGATAAGGACTCCCGTCTACCGGGAGGTGACTAATCCTTGTCCGAATTCGCCGGTCCTCGCATCGGCGTCGACGGATTCCGCGTCCACCTCTTCCTCGGGAGGGGGTGCGTCCCGAAGTAGGCGCGAGTTGGCGGACCGTCCGCGAGATGGGGACGCCCTGACCGGCGCCGGGCGCCGCGGCGCCGGCAGTCGCAGGGACGTCGCCGTCGCTGCCACGTGGGAGCCAAATTCAAATCCGCCGGCGTCGCGAGAGGAAGGAGCCCCCGAGCGCGGAAGAGGCTCTCCGCGAGGTCCTGGACCAAGTGGGGGGAGTGTCGAGGTGACGTCCCGAGGGAACGAGCGAGGTGAATCTTTCAACGAGGAGGTCCTGGAGGAGGGTCCTAGGGTCCTGGGGATTTCGTTCCCGGGGTTTCCAGGCCCTTGGTAAGGACCCAGGACGCGGTCGGCGGCGATTAGACGCGCGGAGAGGTGGAAGAGTCCCAGGGAGGCAGTCGCACCGGGACCACCTCAAGGCCAAGGTCGCCGGGGGTGGGGACGGCCTTGAACTTGGGCCCGAAGGCCGCCGACCGCCGCGAACTCGCGAACCTCTTGGAGCTGACCAGCTTTTAGCCATCCGACATGTGGACCAGGTGAGAGAGAGAGACGTTCAAATTCTGACATTTCATTTATTAAGAGCGGGGTTGTACTTCTAAGGAGTAATACCTAGGTATTGGGCAGAGTAGATGACGCGAACGAGGGGTTGAAAATAATTAGGAATGTATATGTTGAGGGAGTGCCTTGAACTTGGGACCGAAAACCGCCGACCGCCGACCGTGCGCGAGCCTCCTCGATTTCTCGGATTCTGGTCGACCTGAGGTGTGGACCAGGTGAGAGAGAGAGGTTCAAATTGTGGTTTATTTGATTAAGAGCGAGGTTACATAGTCTATTGTGAACAGGTGATTAAAAATAATTAGGAATGTACATGTAGAGAGTGCTTTGAATTTGGGCCCGAAGGCCGCCGACCGTGCGCGAGCCTCCTCGATTTCTCGGATTCTGGTCGACCTGAGGTGTGGACCAGGTGAGAGAGACGTTCAAATTCTGGTTTATTTGATTAAGAGCGAGGTTACATGGTCTATTGTGAACAGGTGATTAAAAATAATTAGGAATGTACATGTAGAGAGTGCTTTGAATTTGGGTCCGAAGGCCGCCGACCGTGCGCGAGCCTCCTCGATTTCTCGGATTCTGGTCGACCTGGTCCATGGACCAGATAGGAGACACCGAGGATGGTAAAATATCCGTAGCCTCCTCTAGCCTGATGAATTTTCCAAGCCACTTTCGAGAATCCCAGGAACTCATTTCCAACACACTAGTCCCCTCACGTAAAGAACCGCGAACAAGAAAGTGTCCACACGCAGATTTCTCAATCGCGGCCCACCGCGTTCCTCGGCTTCCATTTCTGGATTCCGCGAAGCGTTTCTCAGATGGCGACACAGAAGCTATTCAATAACCTAAAACCCCGGATCGACTTCCATCGCTATCCCTACCTCGCCTCGATTATTAATCCCATCTCTCAGGAATATCATCCTCGAATTTAAATAGCCTCCGAATAATTCCGGTCCTCGTCGCCGAATCTCCTCGACCCCCAAGAGGCTGCCGTCAGAATTCCTGGAACATCCATAAAATTCCTGGAACATCCACGAAATTCCTGGAACATCCACGAAATTCCTGGAACATCCACGAAATTCCTGGAATTCCGAAAATCCCTAAAATCCCCGACATTAGCGCCGAAGGATCCCCATAAAGCCAGATTTCCACCCCTGTGACGAATCGAGCGATTTCCCCCCTGAATGGCCCTCCATAAAAAATGGGGAAAATAAGTAGAACTAATTCCTCGCCTCCCTGCCCTACGTGGGGAGTTTTAGGAGACTTGGAGGCCCTTTAAATCCTCGTTGAGAGGGTGCTCTCGATTTTCCATCCCCTTGGGGTAATTAATTTCTATTAATTTCCTCATGATGTCGTCTTTTACCTCCTCGTTCCCCCTTACCCCCGAGATCTCCACGCTCGGCAAAGTGTCTTCTCCCGTTTTACGACGAGCGAGACGAACTCCTGGTGCTCGTCTCAGGATGCCTCAAAGGCCTCGCCGTTTAGGTTTATTTGAATTCCGCGACGTAACGCAACAGCCGCCGGTCTTCCCAGGGGCAATTTCGGGATCTGCGAGGACCTCGATCGAGGAGGAATTTCATTTATGCCGCTTTTCGCGCCCCGTTTCGCTCCCAGGACGTTCCCCTAGAAGGAGGACTAGAATGTGAGAAAAAATGATCAAGGGTCATTTTGGACGTAATGTAAAATCCTGACAGCTGGGAATTCCTCCTGAGGGATGGAGAAGGGAATTTTAAGAGTTATTTCAAGACCGTGGGAAATTAATTGTTGCTCTGAAAGGAAGGCGCACATTTAATTGTGGACCGGGTGAATAAAAATCGTGGGAAAATGATTTTCTCTTAATTTTATGAATTATTTAATTAACGAAGAGTCGCATGAGCCTGTAAGATGGAAGATTAATCGCGAATCGGCCTAATGTAAAATCGTGGGAAAATGATTTTCTCTTAATTTTATGAATTATTTAATTAACGAAGAGTCGCATGAGCCTGTGAGATGGAAGATTAATCGCGAATCGGCCTAATGTAAAATCGTGGGAAAATGATTTTCTCTTAATTTTATGAATTATTTAATTAACGAAGAGTCGCATGAGCCTGTGAGATGGAAGATTAATCCCGAATCGGCCTAATGTAAAATCGTGGGAAAATGATTTTCTCTTAATTTTATGAATTATTTAATTAACGAAGAGTCGCATGATCCTGCACGGTGGAAGATTAATCCCGAATCGGCCTAATGTAAAATCGTGGGAAAATGATTTTCTCTTAATTTTATGAATTATTTAATTAACGAAGAGTCGCATGAGCCTGCAAGGTGGAAGATTAATCGGGAATCGGTTGAATAAAAATCGTGAGAAAATGATTTTCCTCGGTCCTGGTGAGCGGACGGTCGTTTCACGGCGATGGGGGATAAAGGAATGAATATTAAATCGCCAGGGAAGGAATAAAAAAATTTTATGAATTTCTTGGACAACGAGTCGCATCGGCAAATGAGCCCTGCAAGGTGCAGATTAATCGGGAGTCGGCCTAATGAAAAATCGTGGGAAAATGATTTCCTCGTTCCCGGGAGGTGAAGGAGGGTCGGGTCGTTTCACGGCGAGGGGGGGAAAGGGAATGAATATTAAATTCGGGGGAAAAGGCCACCGAGGAAAGAGGGAGCCGGAAAATCGGGGTCGCTCCTCGTACTCGCGGCGCGGCACTCCATTACGCCATCCTAATGAATGAAGATCTATGAATGGGCGCGTAAAGCCCGACTCACAATCGGCCCCTCGACTCGTCCGATTAACTTCCACCAGCCTAAGAGGCAACGACCTTAATTCCAGCGATGTTGAAGGAAGAATAAAAGGGAAGAAAGAAACACCAGCCGGGGACCTTTAACCCGGCCGAATGAATGAATAAGTCGGCCCCTCCACCTCCGGGATTTCTCCCGACGGTCGGCTCTCCCGATAGCTTCTAAAAATATCTGAAATCCCCTAGGAGGGGGCACTTCCGGGTCGGCCAGGAAACGCTTCCGGCCCGGAAGCGGCCTTAAACTCTCCCGCGGGAGATTTAACGCGGAATTTAGGGCCTCGTTTAAATTGGATTAATTGCCGAGGTCTAATCGAACGAGGCCCTTGTAAACGCATTGTTTCGTCTTACTTGTTTATTTATCCCCGAATTTTTTCCCTTGACAATTGCTGTCGGCACTAATTTAGAAGATCGTTCCATTTTCCCGACCATCGCGACGCGTACACTGAGACAGAGAGAAAAGAAAAGAAAATCCATCGAATTAAAGAAACAATTCGTTAATTATGGAGTAATAAATTTTTTTTTTTTTTCATACAAATTCTCATCATTCCGGGAGAGACAATTCCTGCCGGGTCAATTTCAGTCGAAGTGAATTCCTTGGATGAATAAAATATTTCTTAGGTTCGATGACACTTTATTTCGCAGAGTAGAAAGAGCATCGCCGCGACGAATGCGAATGGCTAGGGGATTGTTCTTTTCTTTTTTTTTTTTGTTTCATTGCCCGTGCGTGTTGCTGACGGGTTACGAAATTTTTCTTGGGAGTGTTAAGGCGTTAATTCATGGAACGTTGACACGACGCGTCCTATGGGACACGTGTAGAGAGAAACGCCGAGTTATATGAGGACGCTCGCGTGGGGCGCGGGAGAGGAAGAATCGTCGACCAGGCTCCGGCTGGTCCAGAGAGACTTTCCATCTCTTTTCCCCCGGAGAAGGCGAGTCATATCGCTCTAAACCACGGAGGAAGTTTAGACAGACCGGGATAAAAAAAGAAAAAGAGATAGGATGGGTGTTTAGACCGCGTCCAGGGAAGAAGAAATAGGCCCGCGAGGGACGACAGGAAATGCGGATAATTCCGGAATATTAATGTGTAGCCCCGAAAATCTAGGAATAAAGTGAAAAGAGATACCCACACTTTCCAGAAAACTAAGGAAGGGAAACTGGAGAGATCGGGAATACGAGGGAATTATTTTGGAATTTTAGAAGCCTAGATTATCTAATTATACAAAGTGAGAGGAAATTCCGGAATATTAATGTGTAGCTCTGAAAATCTAGGAATAATTTGAAAAGAGATATTAAAGAAATACCCACCCTTTTCAGAAAACTAAGGAAGGGAAACTGGAGAGATCGGGAATACGAAGGAATTATTTTGGAATTTTAGAAGCCTAGATTATCTAATTATACAAAGTGAGAGGAAATTCCGGAATATTAATGTGTAGCTCTGAAAATCTAGGAATAATTTGAAAAGAGATATTAAAGAAATACCCACCCTTTTCAGAAAACTAAGGAAGGGAAACTGGAGAGATCGGGAATACGAGGGAATTATTTTGGAATTTTAGAAGCTTAGATTATTTAATTAGAGAAATGAGAGGACATTCACCCCCTTCAGAAAAAATTGGGGAAAAATAGGGAAAAATCGAGAAATGAGGGGTATTTTTTTTTTTAAGGACTGTAGAGTATTTGTCTCCCTTTTGTGGGATCCGGGGAGCCTATCAAGGGGGGACTCGGTTATTGTTAGAATTTTATAGACCTAATGACTGCCAAGCCCGACGTCTAATTTCGGAGCGCGGAAGTGGGCTCGGCGGATCGCGGTCGAAATCGCGGCTGAAATCGCTCGTCCACGGTCGACGGCCAATTCGATCTTCCTGATGGGTCGAATGGAGGTCGAAGAGCCGAAATTCGGCCCTCCTGATGGCCGAATAGACGCCAAAGAGCCGAAATCCGGCGCGATTTCGGTGATAATGCTCCCCCGAAGGTCCGAGTCAAACGAGCAATTATTGGCTAACCGGCCGATACGAGGGACGCTTTTCAATTTTTCACCCCGGTAAAAATGCCCGATTACCGGCGATAACGGGGGCTAATGCCGATTACGTGGGATTATCAGTGGACACCGGGTATACGTTGATCGGTCTCTGGTTCTCTGGTGGTTTCTCGGACCATTGAGCTCGACGAAACGATCCCATTCGTCAAGCTCGACGGCTCTGACTTCGCCTCTTTCCCAGAGCCATCTCCCAATTAGCCCCGATCCCGAATCCCGAGGGATCCCGCGATACCCGCCCCGGGAAAGAACGCAGCATCCCCGAAAATTTCGCGCAGGACCTGGTTGGTTTTTATTTCTTTTTTTTAGAATCCCATCTTGGCCTGGAAATTAAACCGAGGACTGAAAATTAGCATAGATCGATAGTCTTAATTTCGTTATCTTCTAAAGTCATTCTTCAATCAGAGCCAAAATGATCCCCCAATCCCGAATCCCATGATTTTCAACTCCTGGAAGAACGCAGCATCCCCGAAGATGTCACGTAGGACCTGGTTGTTTTTTTATTTCTTTTTTTAGAATCCCATCTTGGCCTGGAAATTAAACCGAGGACTGAAAATTAGCATAGATCGATAGTCTTAATTTCGTTATCTTCTAAAGTCATTCTTCAATCAGAGCCAAAATGATCCCGCAATCCCGAATCCCATGACTTTCGTCCCCTGGAGGAACGCAGCATCCCCGAATTTTTTATTTCTTTTTTTAGAATCCCATCTTGGCCTGGAAATTAAACCGAGGACTGAAAATTAGCATAGATCGATAGTCTTAATTTCGTTATCTTTAAAGTCATCCCCCTATCAGAGCCGATATTAATAAGTCACCCCCAATCCCGAGTCTCGATTTCCACACCCCCTCTGGAAAATCCGCAGCATCCCCCTGGACTACTAGATCTCCCAAATCCCGGGCTAAAATTAGCTAACCGTCTTTCCCCCCGATTTATCAAAACCTCGGAGATCTCTCTCTTCATTTTTCTTTTAGAACCTCCGTCCCGAAAAATGAAAACACGTCGGAAATAAACTCGGAGAGAAGAGAGCTGAACAGGGTCTGAAGAGTCGGAATCTCGGTTATTAACGAGACACCGCATGCGTCGGGTTTTTCTCAGCCGTCCGTGTGGGCTCCTCTCTCTCTCTCTCCTTTTATCGTTCCTTTTTTATCCCCCCATCCCCCCCCGAAAGCCCGTTCGTCTGAATTCTGATTTATTCGCGAGTGGCTTCCTGGAGGCTCGTAAAGCGACGTCGTTGGCCCCTGATGTCATCGAGTCTCCTCTCTGGCGACATCCTTCGATTCCTCGAGAAGAGAGGCGAGAGAGAGAGAGAGAAAAGGAGCAAGGAAGGAAAGCGAGAAAATAAAATTAACATTTTATCGAGCCGCTCCTCCTCCCGCCGATTTAATTTCCAATCGCGAATCGCTAATCGATGGGCCAAGGGGAATCCCATTTCGAGGCTCCAGGTCGAAGGTCAGGAGTCCTGGGAAAGGACGATTCCTCCTCAGGAGAGGAAGAGAGAGAGAGAGGGATATATCTCGTATTGACGTACATGGTAATAGCACATGCCGATCGATAGGACCGATCGATCGGTATTGGACTTGCAAAGCGTCATAGCCCAGGTCGCCTCCTCGTAAACGCAAACGACCGGGACTTTTCGAGTTCGTTATGCAATTCCCGTGGGAATCCTCGGTGCCGAAGGAAGCGGGGAGATAATGGAGAGCTGGGGAAAAAGGAAGAAACGGAAACGGTGGAGGAGGTCCTCCTTTGGACGGCGCGATCTCGACTAATGGCGTTAAGGTCCTACCAAAGTGGCGGAGTCGTTTATGAAGCTTCTTTTTTTTATTTAAATCGTTCCCATCGAATCGTTTAGAATTTTTTCACGTGGCTATAGATGCTCCAAGGAAGATCCTGACACCCATGTTATATAAAAAAATCACAAGATTGTTTACAAAGGAGATTAAGAAAAAAGAAAATGAAAGCAACCCAATCGTTGATAATTCCATCGCGTGAATTCGAAGGCTCGGAGGAAGGTCTTGACACCCGGGAAATGTCATTTCTTTAAAATTTATTTATAAAAAAATCTTGAATTCCTTATAAATCAACAAGTTTTATTAGTGTCAGGATCGCCATACTGATGTACTGAAATTTTAAAGAAATCGGTCTACCCAGTTCAGAGAAACATTGCCTTCACGGGGAGAATGATCGCCTTAACGTGATTTATTTATTTCTCTGTAGTTATTAAATTTTATCGTGAATAATTGTAATCTCGTATGACTCCATATACTTTCTGGTGAAATTTTAAAGGACTCGGTACACCTAGTTAGGAGGGAATCCATAAACGATTGATTCCTCAGAGGTCACTTTCGCGTCGCCTTAACGAATGGGTTACCTTGATTTCCTCGAGTTTCTTTTAACTTTCCTGAATTTCCCGATTTTCCCGATTCTCCTGGTTTCCTTTAATTTCTCTGATAGCGCGTAAAAAGGGCGACCCGACGTCACGTAGGTGTCCCGGAGGCTCGTTAAAGGTCTTCTCCTAGAGAGGGTGGCTCGCCTTTTAATTAGACCAGGTCCCAGGGCGTTGGCTCCAGGGGAAAGCTCGTCCCCAGGGGCTCTCTAATTGGTCCCATTCGAGGCCCGAGTCAACGACAACAGTGCCGTAACGAGCGTTAACCCCGCCGGGAAACAATTCTGTTCCAGGACGCTCCTCCTGCTGATCTCGGCTCTCAGCTCGACCCGAGGCCAGCCGGACTTCTTCGGGGAGAAAAAGGGTGAGTACCAATATTCTTTTTTTTTTCCCATAACAAAAATAAACCCGCCAGGGAACCCGAAAAAATTCACACCTACGGACATATTTCGTCCTTTGTCAGGAAAATTCACGAAAAAAAAAAAAATTGAAATATGATATTCGAAATAATTCTCTTAAATATCTCGTGCGATTACCCCATAAAAGGTGGAGATGCTTCGTGCGTCGTTTAAGAGGGAAAGATTTGAAAAATTCTATTCCAGACTCATGTGGAAATTTCATAAAAAAATGAAAATGACAATCGAAATGATCGCTCGCACATGTCATGCGATTATCCAGGTCAGGTATATCAACCCCATAGAAAATAGGGAAGCTTCGTAAAACCCATCCCAGGGAAAGCGTCCAAAAAAGTCGATCCTTGTCTTATCCGGGAAAAGAAAAAAAGGAGAAAGAAAAAAAAAAAAAGAAGAAGAAATGCGAACGATAAAATAAACGATAATGGAAATAATTAGCTCGACAAGCATCCGGGGGATAGTTCCGGCCATATCGGGGGATGGAAAAGCTCGGGGGCACGCCGGAGGAGGAAAAAGGGAGGGATTCCCGCGGGATAGAGGATACCGTCCATACCGTTCTCATCGCGGCCGAACCTAGTTTGTAAACTCGCCCCCGGTATCCTTTTTACGGCCACTTTTTGCCGCGGACGGGAGCTATCCCGTGGGAAGATAGGGGGAAATCCCCGATGTAAATAACCGGCCAGGGGATTGGATTAAAAATCGAAAGAAAGGCCCGCTCCGAAAAAAAGCATAAACCAAAGGATACAGAAAAATACGAAATATCGCGGGGTAAAATCGAGACCCGGGAAAATTGCCGAGTTAATGCGGGAATTATCGGCGGAACTTCCGCAGGGCGGTATCGAGCGCCGGGGGCGCCGACGAGAGGCTAATAGAAGGAAAATATTGGGTTTGAAATTATGGAAAATAGAGGGAAGGTAACCGCGAGTCTATACCATAGCGATGGGAGAACTTTCGAAAAACACCCCTTTCCCTCTCCTCCCCTCCCCCCGTCCAGCCATTCCAACTCTTCCTCGTTAAATAACCGCAACGGTTCCCGCTTATTTAATCGATCTGTTCCGCAAGGGAAATTCCGCAAAAGGCCCGTCCCGGAATCCGCGGCGCGAACCGTCCCTCGATTTTCCTTCGAAATCGCGATATTTCCATTTCTTCCCTTATTCCTTCGTCAACAGATAGAGAAGATATCGAGTACTGTGTAGGAAGAGTCCGTGTACCGAATCCCCCCCCCACCCCCCCCACCCCCCCGGGGGGGATCAACCGGAAGTCGATATCAATGCCCGTCATCCGAGTCGGCACGCGCCACTCCATACATGATTTAATATGTGTCCGCTTTCGGAATCGAATGCACCCGTGGGGGGAGAGGGGGGGATTCCCCCCTCCGACCCCAGGGAGGCCAGCTCGCCCCACGGGAGCGGACATATTGGATCGAGCGAAATGAACTTCGGGGCGTATGAAATACGTATCGTCTCCTGCGAGTTTGCCCCCCCATCGCCCCCTCCACCTCCTGGGGGGTTGGGGGGAGTTCAACCCATTCTTTGTAAGGATCCACTCCCAAGGATACGAAGAAAAGAGGGAAGGGGGAGGGGGACGGCTATTAAATCGACGGATACAGTTGAGTTTTGGAGAAATCTGAGAATGGGGGGAGTCCCCCCCCCCCCCCCCCCGCAGGGGGCGGCGGGGGGTCGCGGTATTTTTTCCACTGACATTTCGGGGATTTCAAGCTTCGATAAATCTTTCCCTCCTCCCCCTTCCCGATATACGGACTGGCATTTATCTCGCGCGGAATAAAAAGTGGGGGGCGTACATGTATATATATATATATATCGTCTCGACGTGCATGTATATACATCGTATATCNGGGGAAAAAAAAAAGAAACTCGAAATTCCGGGGAAAGGGAGTTTTCCGAAAGTCCCATACCTCGCCGTAATTCCCCTCGTCCCCGATTGCCCCCCTCTGGAAGAGGTCGCAGGAAGTGAGGGGGTCCATCGATACCCGAGGGGGGCGTTATCCCCCATCCCGTCCTCTCCCCCCCCCCCCCCCGTTAAGCTGCAGCCCTGCTCCATCAATTACGCGGGAAATTCATAAATTCCGGAATTCCGCCGGCGTATCGGGGATCCAAAGGGCTTGGGGGGGGAGGGGATTTCCGCGGCAGAGCTTTGCCACTTAAAAAGCCACCCTCCTCCGTGCTTTTTCCGGCTCTGGGGGGTTAGCCCCCCCCCGCGGCTTCCTTTTGCGCGCCGCGGGCGGTGTTAACTTTATTAGAGCTTCTTGCGCGAGAGGGGATGCAGGTGGAAAATGGGGTGCAGGGGGCTAGGGGGGGAGGCTTTCTCACCTGCGAATGGAGCTTTCACCCCGACGAGTGGCTGATAACGAATGGTCGTTACCCCGAGGTACAAAAGCCTCGTAAACAAAACAGTACCGGCTGTCGTCGCTGGTCTCGTCGCCCGTGTACTACAATCGCGGGGACGAGCTTTCGGAGCTTTTTGTGCCTCCTGGGGGGACGAGAGGGGGGTAGAGGGTAGAGCAGGAGGAGGGAGAAGTTCCCCAATAAACGGCAGAGGGATCGGGAGACCTGGTATTTTTTTTTAACGCCTTTTTCGGGGGGATGGGTGGAGTTTGTCACCCCGGGGGAGCTTTCGATCGCAAGTGCGAGGGGGTGGGGGGTGGGGATTAGCGCGAGATTGACGCGCTAATCCGCTCGTCTGCGCCCTGGGGTCTTAGGATCCAGAGGAAAGTGCCGGGCGGCCATTGGCCGGCGCCCTTAAGGCGAGCCCGCAATCGCAGGAAACGGCGAAAAGCCCTTCGCGGGTTTACGAGCCCCTCGGGGGTTTATGCCCCCCCCATGGGTTCTTCGACAAGGCGACACCTGCTTTCCGAGAATTGGAGAGATAACGCGGAGTGATAAGGGGAGGAGAGGTCGAGTCCTGGGGCGAGATTTTAGATCGGGACGAGGGCGCCATCTTTTCCGGTCGGGCGGCCGCGGATGCGCCCAAGATGGCGGCGCATTACCGGGCGCGGCAGGCGCCACGGCTCGAAACTTTCTCACGGTAAATCCGCGGCGGAACAGCCGTCGCAGGCCAGCCGGAATGAGCAGCTTCGAGCGCCCCGGGGAGACCCAGGGCGGCGGCTGGTCGGACCAACTCCTGGGGGACGACATGGGGGAGGGAAAAAGACGGAGACGCGGTACCTCGGAGGGTACGCGTCGCGCGTAATCCCGGAAAGGCGGGACGGGGAATCGAAGAAAGCGATAAGCGGGGGGACGAGCCTATATACGAGAAAGAGCGATCCCTCGCACCCGGGATCATAAAACGACGGACCGACGCGCGTACCGCGCCTCTGGTGGATGTGGGGATGGGGAGGAATATACGGGAAACGGGAAGAAGAGCGTCCCGATTCGTTTCCCCATACCCCTCGACGCCGCGTGCTTGCCACCGTAAACCCACGGAACGGTTTATCTCGACCCCCCGGGGGTCGGAGCGAGACTGAGAGGTGCACCGGTTGCTCGAACTGGCCGCCAGGTGGCTGCGGCCAACCAGGCGGCGCCAGCGGAAAGCGTGGTCACTCGGGGAAGGGTGACGCGCCAAGGGTAGTGGTCGTTTAGGTGACCGCGCCAGGGTTAGTGGTCTTTCAGGTGAGCGCACTCGCGCCAGGTACTCGATCCTCGGATTCGTATCATGTTACCTACGCGAATTTGACAGTTTCGTACATGACTTTCGAACGTTGACTTGACTTTGCAAAAATGGGAACTTTTTTCTTTTTTTTTTTTTCATGCGAATACATTCGCAGATGAAGAAATCCGCATGAACTCGAGAATTGGGTTTCGGGGTGTGCAGTCACCCAGGTGAGCGCGCTCGACACGCGGGAGAACGGTCACCCAGGTGAGCGCGCTCGACACGCGGGAGAACGGTCACCCAGGTGAGCGCGCTCGCCCAATCAGGGAACTCGGAGATTCCTGAGACCTCGTCCCGCCGTCGCAGCGCCGCGGACTAACAAATACCTCTAGATACGCGACCGATAGGCGCCTCCTGTTTGCGCCACGAATTACTGGATTGAAGAAGAGACGGAAACGGATGTATATGTACCAGAGACCTGGGATTTACGCACGCACGCGCCCGTTCCGAATCTCGCGCACGTAGTCGGGGGTAAATTTCGAAAGAACCTCGGGATTCGTTCCAAGGAAGAGATTCCTGCCGCGAGGGTTCCCGAGGGACCCGCGGGAAATCACCGGAGCTCGCCCCGAATTCTCTCTCTCTCTCTCCGAGGGGAGAGTTCTGATTTCTTTTTTCTTTTCTCGCTTGGAAATAATCGACATCCCCCTTCCCTCGTCCAGTCGTCGAAATTGGGGGAACCCTCCGAGGCTTCCGGAGTAATTTTTTCTTCTTTTTTTTTTTCTATCCCCGGTAATCAGGGACACTTCCTCCGCCTCCCTTCCGCGCCCACCTGGCCGCGTTGTCCGTCGGTTCGCCCCGCGGGCGGAATTGCGACTTTCGGCCCGACGCGATATGCGGCCCTCCTGGAGGGTGTCCAAATGAAACCGAAAAATTACGAGGCCAGACAATCCTCGGCCCATTTTCCTCCCCCTCCCGCCCCAGGATAATATCTGGCATTGTGCATCTGCCCCCGATGTACACCTCGCAACCGAGACGATCCTTGAAGGATTTGCTGGTTTCTCGTCTGATTTTAGGTGGAGGGCGTGAAATAGAAATTACCATCGTTCACCTCCCACCCTTTATTCATGTATCTGTCACCACCCCTCAGCTACTTTTTTACAGTCACTATCCTTTAATAACCACCCTTCAACCATCATCTACCAGCCACCACCCTTCAGCTATTCTTTCACGATCACCACCCTTTAACCACCACCCTTCGCCCATCAGTCCTTGACCACCACTATTCAATCACCACTCTCTCGGAGGGGATGAAATCCCGAGACGACCACGGTCACTTAGTATT